GCTTACAAATGGCGAGCCGTTCGACCTGTCAGGATCTAAGATCAAGACTTGGCAATATCACATGTTCTTAACTAGCCTAAAAATGAGAAGGAGAGCCACTCTGGGCTGCCTGGTGATCGCTACGATGCTGGTGAGCAAGTGCTGGGGAAGGGAAAAAGGAGGGTCTGGTGGGCTTAATGCGACGTGTGAGTATTGCTGTTAAGTTTCAGAGCATATTCGGGTGCATACACATCGTCATTACCAGAGATAGCGCTCTGGAGGGGGCTGTAGGTAAGAACTTAGAAGTGGCTTGCAGCTGTAAGACGAGATGTGCCGACCAGACGGGACTGGCACCCCTCTTTCACACAAAGCGACATTCCGTCATTATTTGGTTACAGTTGATCAGATATATGGAGCTGAGAAGCCGTGAATATTCTACTATGGTACCTAGTGTATGTATGTACGTGTGCCATGTATAATAAATAGCGTAGAAGATAAACCGGAAGAGACCCTATTGGGCGATACGTTATCTTTGACACTAAGTATGAGGCGAGTTCATGCGTAGCCCTGAACGACGACAGAGAAGGATAAATGTAGGTGGAGAACAGAAGAATTCAGAGCACATAACTATGGCTAGGCAGTCTAGCCTACCTAGTGTAAAGGACGAGAGTATCTGCGGCTGTGGCTAGTTGAAAGTGTGGCAATCATAGGACAGAATAGACAGGGTAGGGATCAAGGGGATCAAGGGGGATAATGAATAGGCCAATTAACAAAAAGACGCTCTTCATTCGCTCATAAACATCCTATAGCGGAGGATGAAGATAAACCCTTTTTTTCCCTACGTACCTAGATGCCTTTAAGTTTAGGTATCTAAGACAGATATACGCCTCGAGTCACGTAAGAATCATGTTACTTTTTGATACTTTCCATGTTGACAGGTAGTACCGTAAATGGATACGTTAGTTTTAGGTAGCATTGGTATGCCCCAATATGATATCCTTTTTTTCCCGCATCGTTGTGACATAGAACGAACGATTAGGAGCATGACAGCAGTGATCATTATGGAACTTTGGCCACGCACCGCTCCAATGACTTACTCGGCCGAAAAGCACTTGTCTCTGGCGCCGAGCTGGGTGGAAGCTAGGAATAACTGGGCTTACGAAAAAAGAAAAAGTAAAGAAAAAGGCCACTATATTAATTCTTTACTACCTAGTTGCTATTTAACTAGACGTAGCACGGAATGGACTCTGACTGGAAAGGGGCATTATTCGGGATAGAGCCAGGTATCGATTTGGATCTGAAATGATGATCCTTTCCTCACTTGGCAAAGATGGTTAACTGAAGTTAGTATACCGTGTGCTTCATTCCTTGGTTGGGCTCGAATAAATTGGCGTTAGGAGGAAGTTGTGCCTGACTTTTTGGTGGAAAGTCGCAAGATATTGCCTCTGGAAGTAAAAACTACTGTGGCATGTTCCACGAACTTTGACTAGCTGTTCAAGCAAATCTGCGCGGCTCATTTCTATGCCCGATTTGTCTTGAGTTGAGGCGGAAGGCTGGCTACCTACGTTAGAGCGGCGCAGGATTATTCTTCGTACAACCACCCTCATTCTAAAATCGATAGACGTTGAAGAGGACTTGTGCTACGTTCTACTGGTTCTATTACTGCCGCGTATCTGCAGCTCGAACTGAGACTTTTCTGCGGCTGTTAGATCTTCAACGTGCCCACTGATGATGATCAGGCTACTAAAAAACGCAGATCTGCCATTCCCAACATAATAATAACAGCTGTTTGATGAATTCCTTGCTGCGATAACCCTGGGCAGTTTAAACTATCTTTGGACTCACTACGGTTGGCGTACATATTACAGCAGCAGGTGATATGATGTGACAGGTCATTTTTCCTTTTTTTTCTTTTGGTCGGCAAGACCCTGGGAGGGGTCGAGCGTCGGGAACAAGGTGCGATACCCATGGGCCATACCTGGACAACGATCACCCATCAACGCAAGGACTTGATGCAAGTAATATCAGGATTTAGGCCATGAAAAATCCTGGACTGTACTATGACTGCACTTTACCGCCGAGACGGGATGAATATAGGGAGGTATATTATATGTTAGCACTGTGCCGCACAGCATGGCTTGTTTACCAGGTATACGCATTTCCCTCATCAAGACTATAAGTGCATTTTATAAATACCTACCTAGGTACCTACCTACTAGTAGGCACCTTAGTTGACTATATCGTTTAGATATATGACTCTTTAAGAATATGGAGGAGCTGCGTCGGGAAAGAATTCAAGTGTCCCTTTATCAAATAGAACACCTAACCCTTTGAATATCCGGGACGAGCGGGATGAGTGATGCTGTGCGGGATCCATTACCCCAGGTTTCTGCAAGGCACTCGCTACTAGCACCAGTCCACCCTATCCGCTCACTGGACTGAGGGGCCCCCTCATGCGATGCGGAGGGATGTTAGTTAGTAAATTGGGTATAGGTAGATTTCGATGACGCCGGCCTGGCTTGCATATGGCGTTTGCTGAATCTTTTGCCTCGCCTTCGGAGTGCAGTGCCTGAACAAGAGCATATTTCTCTCTTTCCCATGATGTCGTAGCGTGATTTTAATCATTAGATCCCTGCACCTTGACCCGTCTTTATCACCTTATGCTATGTGGAAAATGCCAATGAAGATCGCTCTATATCCGCCAGCTGCTGGATATTGGTAATTACCTATACATCTAGGTAGGCATCGAGGGAAGGATCCGAAGCAAGGCTCTATTTCCAGAACAACTTGGGACTCACCTCCCGAGCCATTCCGTTAATGTATTGCAATCGTCGATTCTCGAGGTAGAGTAGTAGTTGCCGATTCAACGTGTATCCATTAGATCCGCGCGTAAATCGAAGATTTGAAGGCAGACTCTTCTTTCAGAGTCAGAGCATCTTACTGCAGTGCAACAACATGTCGCAGGGTCGCAGCATTGTAGGTCCGAAGCGAGAGGGGTGTCATTCATGACTACTTACATTTGGGTGGCGGGTGAACGCGGGGATGCTAACTACTTGGATACTAACTAGGAAGCCAATATCCCATCGTCTTTCATGCCTGCTACATAGTACTAACTACTGCTACCGCACACAGTAGTAGGCTTTAGTAACTAGGTAGGGCCCTGGCCGTAGGAGTTGCACAAACCCTGCATTGGCATTCTCCAATGCGTGGCTTTTCGAAAGGCGTGGCTTTTCGAAAGAGTAGAGAGTCTGGGGAAAAGGGTGTGCGGATGTGGGGAAATAGGGTCTTTGAAGAATCGCCTTTTTTTTTTCGTGACTCGTCGATCTTGCGATGGCTGGCTTACGGTTAGAGCACGTGTAGTATCGGACCTCCTGGTATTCCTTACCGCGAATGATATGGCGTCGCGGGTTCAACATGGCTTTCGGTGTGCCGTCCTTACGGTCTAGATTGCAGTCGATGTAGTCCTTCTTGAGAAAATGTTGCAGTGTGATGATGTATTTCCTAGTTGCTAGGCTTACCGGCTGCATATAAATCAGTTCTACGGAGAGCCGGCACACATTTTACATACCTAATTCTCAGTTTTTGGAGAACTATCGCCCCTTAAAATCCTTGGTTTACACGACATTATGTGCTTACTTCTCTAGCTAATCTAGAAACGACTATGGGATTGTGATATGGTATTGGCGATTGATGCCAATTTACATGGGCAGAAATAGGGAATACGAGGAATTCCGCTAGTGAATGCCTGACCTGATAACTCCTTTTTTCTCCAGCCCTAGCCGTCTAAACTTCCTTACTTATTAAGCTGAGGGGTTTCTGATCCCGACTAGAGACGTCACCGCGCCACATTCATCAAATTGTCAACCAATCTATATCGTTCGACAGTAAACAAGGACAACATTTTTTTTTTTTTTTTAGAGGGCGGGCGATCCCCCTCATCGCGGTGACGAATCTTTCTACCCATTGGTGTATCGTAGGGAGAGCATATGAGTATAGAATACTAGAATATCAGACCACTTAAGACATCGATCGCTTAAGATAATAACCCTATTACTACCTAGTTACTTCATGTATCTGTCTATTCTTCAACGAGAATTTTAACGAATAGGTATTAATAATAATCATTACTACGTTACTTAGTCACGTATTTAGTGCTGTCGATCAGATTGACGATAATATTTCAAGGTGGGAACTGTCGATCAACGATTGCTTTATGGTATATACATTTATGAGCCAACCTGGGCAGATCCGGATCAGCAGAGGTTTATGTGTTTACACGTGGAAGGCCTTCCTGTCAACATCGCTCTACAGATGCTACACATGTGAATGGGTCATATTAACCGGTGGCGTCCTGCTTAACGAGGAACCGTACCTAGTGAAGAGTCAACGCTCTTGCATATGATCCTTTCCCAACTAATAAATCTTTTCCCGTCCGAGAAATTACGCCCAGAAATATGTAACCTTTTACCTGCCAACGCTTCTAGGAGGACCTGAAGCCTGAAGGCCATAACAGCACCGTAACTCGACATAGCATAGGTTCTAACCGGGAAATCCTGCCTTTGCTGTACGACGTAATATGTCCTTTTTATTCAGTTACACTGGAACCAGGTCAGGTCTCCGGAAATACCAAAAAGTGGTCTTTACCGATAGTTTAATATCGTCGAATTAACGCCGATACTCTCAACAACTTACTCCGAACGACAATTATACATTAGGTACCTGTTATGGTAAATCAAAACAAATGGCTTGAGCGTGGCAGTTATACCTAATACACACCACTTTATACTCTCTCTGGAGTCTGGTGTATACAGCGTTCGTCGATTCGCAAGGAGTAATGAATACTCCCCTGAGCTAACTTCGATGTTGCGTATGTTGAACGTAACGGCGTTTGTTCATCGACCCACCAGACGGCCGAAAACAGTTTGGATGTCTTCCTGAAAAAAAGCCAATCATAATCCCAGTAACGAAAGGAGACTGTGCGATAAGCTGCCACATCCCTGACCCATTATCCATGATCCATGCTGGCGTCGATCCCACCCCCTTTATAAATACCTGAATAGACCGTCTTCATACTGTGCTGCATACACCTACATAGTACATAGCCGCAACCCTCCAAAGGCATGGTAACTATCCCATTTAATCCCATTTAAAAGGATTAACTGCCTATGTACAAGGAAATACATGACTACAGACAATGGATTGGTTGTATAAAAGGAAGGAGACGAAGACAATGGCCGAGCGTTTTTCTCCGGATCCATCAATCAAGAAAACACGGGTAATGAAAAAAGCAAAAAAAAATAAAAAATTGACAGTATCCCCAACGGGGTACCTGGCGATCTTTTTTTTCTTCTTTTCTTTTTACGGAAGTTTTTTTTCTTTTCACTTTGAAGCAGGCTAGGTAATTGACATCACAGTTTGCCTGAGAGCCTGGGAGCCTAGGACGCGGGCGGCAAACAAAGGAGATTAATTCCACATCTCCGAGTCGGTAGATAACGACTTCCCATCTGTCTAATCCGAGATAGGAGGTTAATTTGTAAGAGGATAATAAAAGAAAAGAGGGTACTATGTATAAAAAAAAGGAACAAACCTGCATATATTGCGATGACTGGAGCACACTTTCCGATACTTATGGACAGCTATACAAATTAAATTTTATACAAACCAAGGATGATGAAATAATATACTCAAAGTTTTTGAAACCCTTTATGCTGATACTCCTATTGAACCTCCAAGAAAGTTAATGCAAGCCTGCAATGTGCTTGAGATAGGGTAGGTACCTAAACCTGTAAGTACTTACCTTAGGTACCTAAGGTAAATAATGACCTTACCTAAATGCACATACGATATTGAATGTATAATCATTATTAGAGGATAATTAGGTTCCTCCCGTTCCGAAAAGACATGATGCCCGTTTACATTTGGTACCTAGAAGCACAGGTCCAGCTTGTACTTAGGTATACACATCATCAAATAATTGATGGAGGATGTTGTTGTTGTTGTTGCCCATTGCTCATTATTTACTGGCTGCTGGCTTTGCATAGGAGGGGCTTTGTGTGATGTACTTCGTATATTAATTATGTACGTACCCAAGGTACATGTAATTATGTACCTAGGTAGCTAGTGTGGAGGGGCAGGCTGGCTTTTGTTCCTCGAACTGTGTTGGTCAGTGCCTAGCCAAGGCAAGCTTAGTGCAAATCGTGTACCGTGCATATCCCAGTATAGCGTAGCGTCACAAATAAGGTACCCACATATACATAATACATAAACCTAGCGTGGCCTGCATGGTGTGCAGCACAGACCTTAAAGACATCCGATTATCAATGTTAGCTCCGGCCAGGTAGCTACGGATTAGTGGGAACCTTCCCCTCGTCATTGGCTTGTTTCGTGTCTTTTGGGCTGGGCTTTTGGCTGGCTGCTGCAACAATCTCTCCACTTGCGCCAGAGAGTTAGACCAAACTTTCTCATGCCTTTTTTTTTTTTTTTTTTTTTTTTTTGCCCACTTCTGCATCTGTCGCCTTTGGTTCATTCATCATCGTTCCATTCTGCGACGAATCATTCCAATTCTTTCCATTTCCTTTTTTCTTCTTGGACCTATTTTTTTTTCTTTACCCTTTTGATATGACGACGACTTGCTTGACAAAATTCACTGCCCACTTCGATTCACTTGTCTAGTGTCATCGAGATCCAATTTATCTTTTAGCTTCTAACTTCCCTGTTATTTGTGTGTACTACCCGGTTCTAATTCCCCACGACAATGGCTTCTTGAAATTCGATTTTCCTCTACGCCTCCTGTCCACCAGGACCAAGCGACGACATGCTTCGATATTCACCCAGAATGATGATCACAATACCTCCTAAGCCACCTACATCCTCTTGCCGCCATGGATCCGCAGCAGCAACCGAATCGACCTCACCATCTCCTTACCGACAATAGTTCACCCCTCACCTCCTCCGTTCCCTCTAGGACTGCGAATAGCACTCCGATTTCTTCCCCGGGCTTGTTTAGTCCTACGAATTCTCGTCCCAATGTCTTCTCGCATTCTGCCTCCGAATCTTCTACGCCGATGGCTGCCACAGCCAGTCCTTATCTGCACCCCCTGCAGACTCATAGAGTTCGAGAGTAAGTTTTGCATGGTTGGTGTACAGAACGCATAGGCACTATCCACTATCCGGAATTTCGTTACAGATATCGGGGCTAGGAAGAGGCCGAGCCCGGTTTCCAACTCGGATCTTTGTTTGCGTATTTTGACTGGTTCGTGTTTAGCTAACTGACCTTGGCAAATTTAGGACACACAAAGCTCTCGTTGACATGGACTTGATGACGGGACGAAAGATTATTAATCAGTATGAAGTAATAGAAGAACTTGGCCGGGGCGTACACGGTAAAGTGAAATTAGCTCGAAATCTGGAGACGGGCGATAATGTCGCGATCAAAATTATTCCCAGGTTTTCTAAGAAGCGCCGTTTGGGTAAAGTGACCGCCTGCCCCCAAGACAAGACGAAAAGGGAGATTGCTATACTGAAAAAGATCCGCCATCCCAACATCGTCGCCCTTCTCGAAATCATCGACGACCCCGAGTTTAAGAAGATCTACATGGTCCTGGAACACGTTGAACTCGGAGAAGTTGTTTGGCGAAAGAAAGGTTTACCTCACATCTGCAGCATTGAGAGGCGAAGAATCGAGAAAGAAGTTCGAGGTGAATTGAGCACTGAAGAGGAAGAGCGGTATATTCAGCTCCTCGAAAGACGGCAGGCTCTCAATGACGTGAAAAGGGCGAAGATGATGCAGACTCAGAAGGGCCCAGCGGATTTCTGGAGTATCGAGTACGGTGCCGCGAACGATGACGACTCCGAGGGTCAACCCCGCTCATTAGGGAGGGCAGGAAGCGAGCTTATCCGTTCACACAGAATAGCCTCTTCTAGAACCGGATCAAGAGCCACATCTCCGACTCGTTCGCAAACTACTCATTCCGCGCCCTCGGGTTCTCATGCGGGTACACCATTGCCCTCCGAATACGATGCCTCGTCGGTTGGCAGGGGTGTAGATGCGGAAAGTGATATCGAGACTCCGGGGCCTTTGCGTTCTCAGTCCGGATCATCAGCTGCCCTGAATAGGACCCTTACTTCGGCGTTCCCCGAGGACGCTATGTTCCGTGGCCGATCTCCGAGCATGGCTGATTCGATCATCTCCCATATGTCATCGGTCGACTACAATCCACTACCGCATGACCCTTTTGCAGACGACTACTCCTATGTTCCTTGCTTCACAATCGACGATGCCCGTGCCACCTTTAGGGATACTGTGTTGGGCTTGGAGTACTTACACTATGAAGGGGTAGTCCATCGCGATATCAAGCCGGCTAATCTCTTATGGACTCGAGAGCATCGGGTCAAAATCTCCGATTTCGGTGTTTCCTATTTCGGTCGACCCATCCGTGAGGGTGAATCCGATGAGCTCGTGTCGGAATCCGAGGCCCGCGACTTCGACGACGACCTTGAATTAGCCAAGACTGTTGGCACGCCTGCTTTCTTTGCGCCGGAGCTATGTTACTCGGACCCGGACGAAAAGCAGCCAAAAATCTCGGAGCAGATTGACGTATGGTCTTTGGGAGTGACACTTTACTGTCTTATCTTCGCCCGCATTCCATTCTTGGCCGAGGATGAATACCAGATGTTTCATAAGATTGCCAAGGAGGAAGTGTATATACCACGCCGCCGACTAAAGCCGGTTGATCCACATCATTCTCCATCATCTACGTCTTTTTACAAGCGCGTTAACGACGAGCCGTACCGTGATGATAGTGTCCTTGCGTATGAAGAGATCGACGATTTGTTATACGACCTCTTACACCGCATGCTGACTAAGAATCCAGAGAAACGGATCCGGCTAAGGGAGGTGAAGCGCCATCCCTGGGTCGTGCAAGATATTCCTAACCTTATAGCGTGGATTGACGAGACAGACCCTTCACGCCGTACTTCAGGTCGGAAAATTGAGGTCGACGAACGAGAAATTACTCGTGCTGTTGTTCCTCTTACATTTTTGGAAAGGGCACGATCGGTTGTGAAGAAGACCATCGGCAAGGTTATGCATCCGCGCACTGAGAAGACCGAAGGCCATTCGAGGAGAAGGGCGGCTAGCAGTGCTGCTAGTTCTGCGGGAGATACACCCCCAACTATAGGATCGACATCGCACATCCGAGACGCTCGCCGAAAGAGTTTACGCCCCGACGACTATTTTGCTACAGTTCGAGAAAGCGATCACCCCTTATCGCAGAGTGTTACTGCAACTCCTCACGAGTCTCCGGCCCATGATGGACCAGATTCTGCCCAACGTGGGACGGCTTTGGTAGGCGGAGATTTTAGACGCAATCTGAGCGACTCTATCAGCGATTTTAACGCGCAACCAGATCTGGCAGGACCGCCGTCGACCTCGACTTCTTTCTCGTCAATCAAGGGCCATCTAAGTCACCGCCACGGCCGAACAAGATCGATTACTAACGCAATACTCGCTCTCGCATCCGTAAGAGACCCATATACCACACCGAACTCGCCTGCGCTTGAAACCTGTATTAGAGATGATCCAATCGCTGCCTTACGGAAGACCCGAGATATCGGCTCGACGGACGAATCGTCCCGATCAAGGTCAGTCGATCGTGGCTTGTTTGGCTGCAATGATAAACGCGCGGAGGCCAAGGTTGCTTTAAGCACAGCTGTAGCTCCGGGTAGTATGGAGCTTCCCCGGCGCCCCCTTTCGGTTCATCCCCCGGAGCCCAAATCATATACGTTTCACCGGGGAAATGCCTTAGCTTCCCCCATGTTCTTTTCTTCCAGAGCGGTCGGTGCCTATCAGCATGGACAACCAAATTCAGACCCCAATATGCATGAAAGCCACATGGGTACCGTAGAGTTAGAGACGCGGCCTATGACTGCCCGTCGGGCCACAGAGGTGGAAAGCCACACCCCTCCGCCTAAGATATACAACCCATCCACTCCAGACTCCTTCAATCAAATTCATGAACATACCATACGCCGTCGCCGACATGAAATGGAAGGTCATTTAAAGCGTGACGAATTTGGACCTCACGAAGAAGATGGTACGCCGGTTTTTTATCCGTCTCAAGAAGAGCTTGATCTGGACCATGCACAGCCACCGTCCAGGGCAGATACTGGGACCGTCACGACATCAGCATCGGCTTCCACTGGCACGCTGATGACTCCATTGACCAGTCCAAGTGAATCGGCGAGTCCAGTTGGCTTAGGAAGTCCGCCAGACCGGATTGAAAATTTGCCAGTTTTCCGTTCAGACCCATCGCTGCCGGCGCTGCTCAGCGGTGCTAGCTCGATTTCTGCTGACGCCGAAGGAGAATTTCTTTTGAGACCTGGCTCCGTCGACCGCCCCTCGCTTATTGACACCACAGACTCGCTAACACCACCCGCTATTATCAAGGAGCCGATCTCAGGTTTTCCCTTGGACGACGATGAACAATTCCACACATTATTACTTCCTCAACCACATCGCACCTTAGCCACATCGTCTCTCCTCACCACGAGGGCAGTCGATGATGACGACGGCAGCGACAGCGATGAAGGTCTCGTCATGAAGCCTAAGAAGCGAAATTCTGGCAAAGACCACACCAGTTCCCCACGAGGAAGAACGCTATCAAGCCCAAAGAGGCGCGATACACAAACAAGTATCAGTAGCACAGGAACAGCCAAGAAGATATTCGTGCAAAGCCGATAAAGGTTGATATGACACTGGGGCGTTGATGCCTCTACACAAGCGCATCAGGGTAATAATTATTTACTACATAATTACCTACCCTCTTATATGAAATACGTTGGCACGTATCGAGCCAATCCACTTGTATGTCAGACGCGAAAAATAGCCGCCACTAAGAGCGATATGCTCAAAAGGCCAAGCTTTTCGCTACGAATACAGTTGAAGATGAACGAACGGCGAATATTCGTACGAAATCTAGTTTCATCTAATTGATATTTTTTTTTTAATCAAACATGACCCAAAGCCTCGACGAACTACGTCGTAACTAGGGATCGGGGCGGTCTGTTTATGTTACGTTGGAAGGAACAATCACCTCTCTTTTTTTAAGGAGAAAATGTATAACATACGAATTTTTATTGCTTTGGGATGGTTTATGGGTGCGACATTGATGGGGCTGAGTACGATGAGATGATGGGACGAAACATGAGCATGCTCGGCGATACAGGTATGCTTGGCTTCTCAGTCACGCATCGCAAATACTTTTTTCCTTCGGAAGAGGTGGGCTTCCACGACGAAATTGTAAAGATGGATTACATGTCGTGATGTTCGGGGCTCTGCTCCTAGTCTTGTTTATCGCATATTCGGATGGGCCATTGGGGCTTGCTTTCTCCCGGTTAGGAGATGAACATGAAGAAACGGCTTGGCAGCGACTAAATGAACCTCCAAAAACGGCATCGGACAGAAGGGAGCGCGGGACGACATTCTGGGGCGGCGGCAATTTGTTTTGAGCGTGTTAATAGACCATAATTTGATATGCATCCTAGCGGAGTTCCTACGGGCATTTTCTACTATTTATACCATCATCCTTGCTGTGTATACAGATATCATGGTGATTTTAAAATTTTAATGATAGCGTTGGTAAAAAGAATAATACCGTCTGGTCTTAGAATTTTCGTGGCTGCCTCCTATTTATACATTTATCTTCTACACCATTTTTTTTACCCAGATTGAATAAGGAGGTAAGGTTGAAAATCATGTTTGCTCTACACCCCAAACGGGTAGGTTTCTCCTACTGAGAGGGCCTCTCTTGGTTGTGCTGTTTCAAATGCGTGGACGGCATTTGTCTCGTCAAACCAAAGAAATGCATCATATTGCTCAGTAAGAACGGTCTGAATATAATGACTCCATCTTTCAGTACTCGGTCTATAGATGACGCCAATAAATCGCTGCAACATGGGCTCGGTCTTCACGCCATGAAGATCAGCCATGAAGGACGGGATTCCAGTGTCATGCATCATTCTTTCATAGCTATCCGGACGTGAGGGCACAACGTGCATGATCTTCATGGGCGCGTCCCACTCGTCCGCGGCAGCCACGGTTCCAGTGTGCGTCCCGCATCCTATGATGGAGACCTCGTTCGGGAAGTGCTCGCGGCACAGCTGTCCTAAGTTAAGCTCGCCGCGCTTGGTGCCCATGCTCGACCCCCTGGCGTCTCCCAGATGCGAGTTGTGAGCCCACACGACAGCCTTGGAGCCGGGCTTGAGCTTGATAAGACGCGACAGCGTGCTGAACATGTGAGTGTCGCGAATGTTCCACGAGCTCTTGTCGCCGTAGAACATGGCCCGGTAGTAAACCTCGGAGTCTTGAACAACGCGAGCGTTCATCTCGGCATCCAGGAAGGCCTCGCCGTTTTCCGGGTGCGAGGCCAGCTGGATCCGGTTCGAGAGGAGCTCCTGCAGCATCTTGATTACCCCCGGCTCGCACTGGGCCGTGCCCTCGTAGAATGACTTGCGCCCGTATTCCTGCGGATCGTGGAGCCACGGCTCGAGACAGCCATACCGCTTCCTAGCTGCTTTGGCAAGCGCTGGATCAACCTAGTTATGATACGATATCAGTACCCAGTACCCTAATACGGTTGATACGTGCTTAAGAAGCTTGACAGCCTACCCTATCCAAATACTCAACCACCGCCCGAGTCGACGCCCCCATGCTATAAAGGTCCAAGCCGTTGAACGATGTCCTCTGGCTCATGGGTAGTTTCGCATTGTGCTCTCGAAGCCAATCTACAAACTCCTGGACTTCGGTATTGCGCCACATCTAAAGCAAGACGAGAAAATAGGTCTATTAGAATAACTGGCTGAAAAATAATACTAAGGAGGTGTCTCTCGTACCCAGCGCGGGAAATGGTCGAAGACGCGAATAGGCACGCCCTCGGACCGGCGAGGATGCTGCCGCACGTATTGGTCGATGGCGCGGGCATCCGGCCAGTCGCTCTCGATGGCCACGTGGGTGAAGCCGTGCTCTTCGATCAGGCGTTTGGTGATAGCAGCGCGCGCTCGATAGAATTCAGACGTTCCATGGCTAGTTTTTTTTTGTTTAATATGTTATGTCAATCATACTGTCTTTACCTAGGCGAGTCGGGTCGGATCGTCAAGGCTTGATCTAGGTAGAATATACCTAGGTGAGGTAAGGTGTAAGGTAAAGGTACTGAACTAACCTTCCGTCACCGATGAGAACCAAGCGGGAATTTCCAAATACGTCGAAATTAGCTCCGAACTCATTGCTCTCTATCGGCGGGAGCGTCTGCGCGGTGTTTTTGAAGAGTTCTGAGAGCCCGGCAGACATTTTCCTGAAAGGTAGTTTAATGACCATGAAAATAAGGGGGGGTTGCGCTTTAAGTGTCTTCCAGTAACATGCAATTATATTATGTGATGGCCAATGAGCAAACTACATGGATGGAATTGTGAAGTTTCTACGTTGAGATTTATTATTCTACGTTTAAGCTTCTATGGGATGGTAGTTATATAAGGTGTAGGTTAGGTAGGTACTTATTTGAGATGACCTCGGCATCGTGGGTGGCGAACGAAAAGTGGACAAGCCTCAATATTCTCCTTACCTTATATCACATTTCGTCATAACGACATAACAGTTGGATCTAGATACGCATATCCCCTATACCATAATCGTCAAAATGAGGACAGAGAGGTTTCATAAGGTGGAAATATTACCTAAGGAGCAGTTCCGCTCACACTATTCATTTTCCTGAAAAAAAAAAGGGGGGGGGGAGATGTGCACAAGGATAACATGAGTGGGTTATTCATAGAAACTCATTAAAATATTATTCACGGGTTATAAGGCATCAGACAGAAATACTCATTTTATAATATTCTGATGAAACAACTAGTAAATAAATAAGATAAAATGAAATGAATGACTGAACTAGTGAGTGTAGAAGTACCTACCTACCTACCTTACCTAAGCTTAGGTAGGTACCAGGTAGGAGGTAACTACCTCACGTCAACCTCGAGGCGGAAGGTGGGAAGATCAATTATGAGAAAGATTGGAAGGGGTTAAACCTACCTATAAGTTTAAGCTACATAGGTACCTAGGTATTGTACTTCCTACATCTTATTTTAACTTCCGGTATTTGCGAGAGATGGCCTTTCGAACCCGAATATGTAAAAGAATGTTGTAGTCATTGGGGCTACACGTCTGGGTGATTCTATCCCAAACAACCTCCCATCAATCCAGCCAGGTGCACTCGTTTTTAAAGCAAAGCGCGTCGTCATATCATGGAAACACGTCCTTGTCTACTTCACTTTCACACACGCCTCCAATGACCCTTTGAATACACCAGGTACAACATCCATAACGATGGCGGCACCGAATAATACTACGACCGCAGGGTGGTATGATATCGACCATGAGACATTAAATCTCATTATCCACCTCCAACAGGACGATATACGACAATTTGCTGCACTTGACAACAGCGAGAATGTCCAAGGGAATGCTCGAGGAGAGCTTTCGGACGTAGAACTAGCAATTCGGTTATACGGCGAAGAACTTAACAATGCAGCCACCGTTGCATCTGATAGACGTATAACTTCGAGAATGAGACGGGAAGAAGGGGTAGGTTATGATACAGTATCTGAACCCGAATCTGATGTAAGTACCTATACCTATATTTCCCATCATTTAGATCATTTAAACTTAGGTTCTAACCATAATTCTTTACAGGGCAGCGATGATATCATTGAAGTAAGACCGTGTCTTGCTTGTAATGACATGACAGAACTTGCCAGGTTGGTAGAAGCACCTTGTGAGCACGAGTATTGTCTTCACTGTCTAGAACAGCTATTCCGGAACGCCACAACTGATGAGACACTCTATCCTCCACGCTGCTGCCGCCAACAAATTCCCCTTGAACCTAACCAACGATTTCTTCCTAATGATCTAGTCACGACTTTTCGAGAAAAAGCAGTCGAGTTTTCCACACCGAACAGAACATACTGTCACCAGGCAACATGCTCCGTATTCATCCATCCTGATACGTACGTCAACAACGTCGCAACGTGCCGTACCTGTCGATCTAGCACATGTATCACGTGTAAGAGGCAATCTCACGACGGTGACTGTCCCCATGATGAAGATCTACAGCAAGTTATAAGATTAGCCCAAGAGCAAGGATGGCGGCGATGCTCTAACTGCCGGTCGATGGTTGAGCTAAACACCGGTTGCTACCACATCACGTAAGTATTTTCAGCTCTAGACGAAATTCCCGAATAGTTTTCTAAGTACATCTCAGTTGCCGTTGCGGCGCGCAATTCTGCTACCTTTGTGGACGACGCTGGAAAACATGCGTCTGCGTCCAGTGGGACGAAGAGCTTCTATATCACCGCGCGGCGGTAATATATAATAGAGCCCCCAACGCGAATGTACGCCAAGTGGCTATGAGGAGAATTCAAGACCTCGCGGAGGATCTGAGACAGAATGATGAGTGTAATCACCACACATGGCGCTCTACGAGGGGACGTTACTACTGTGATATGTGTGGCGATCGTATGAGATACTTTGTGTACGAATGTCAGGCGTGCAGTACTATGGCCTGCCGCAGCTGTCGGTATAATCGCCTGTAGAGGAAACCGGGAAATATGAACGTACGGGGGAAGGAGTTACCGTGGATCAAGTTAACGATGTTACATAGCTCGGGGAAGGAGGTGCTTGTTTTCATTCCTTGACGAATTTCTCGCATATAGCGGTTTAGATGTTCTGCTCGAACACCCCCTTGCCCATTCATCCTACCATGATTAGCATGGCTGAAAAGATATAGCTTAGTACCTAATGGAAAATTAGTATATTAACGATCTTCTGAAATCACGTCATGTCTACAAGGAGCCATAGATAGCAGACCCAAAACGAATATTTTGTAGCACTTCGATAACTAGGTCCGAACCTGCGCTGCGAATCTACCGAAGCGAGGCCGAAAATTATCGTAGGCCTCCCAAGCGAATACACTTATCAACCCAAGACTCCTTCGGCGGCTTCTTCTGCGACCAACCCCACGTCCTCCACGTACTTTCGGTCGTAGCCGTCACCTCCGTCTGCCCCGAGACGGAGGGAGCTACAGGAGGGGCGACTCGGGCTTGAGCCGGGGTCGTAAGCCCGTCTACCCTCCGGCCCTTGTAGAAGCCGGACAGGAGCTGATTTACGTAGAGGGAGTTCGAGCCCCTGTCCGGACCCGCCGCCGCCGCCTGGGCCTGGGGAGGCATATTCGACCGCCGCCTCGAATCCGGGCCGTACAAGGAAGAGTTGCCAGACAGTCGCCGAGGCTGCTTCTCGTCCATGTACGCGACCCCGTACTGCGACGCGTTGCCGTCCTCGGCCGCGTACGCGGCCGCCATCAGGTCGTCCATGATCTTGGAGCTCGTCCTCCTGCCGCCCGATACCCGCCGGTTCGTCGTGTATATCCCCCGGGGCTGCGGCTGCAGCTGCGGCTTCCACTTTTCTTCTTCTTCTTCTTTCATCCTCTTGAACCCGAAGAAGCTGCCGAAGGGGGAGAATAATCCTCGACCTCTGCTGTTGCTGTCGCTGTCGCTGCTTCCGTTCGCGAGGGCCCGCCGCTGGTGCTGGCGCCGCCGGCATTTCCAGAGGAGGAATATTATGGCTGCGAGGATTATGGTGCCTCCTGTTGTTTCGTTGGTTACCTACAGGTCCCTAGGGCATAGTGTGCGGAGAGAAGAGAGAAGAGAAAAGGGAAAGGGAAAGGGAAAGGGGGGTTGGGGGATGGCAAGCGAGGTGGAGCTTACCAATTGTGCCGAGTGCTATGGCGCCGCCCTTGCTCATTATGCGCTGGGGATTCTCGGGTTGGCTTAGTTGGGCTTGTGACGGTTCGTTGCTTTGCGGTAGTAGCGAAGTTGATGTAAGGCCCGCGCCGGCTGAAGTAGATTGAGGCGATGCGTCGTCGATGCTCGCAGCGGGTGTTGTTGTTGTTGACAGAGAAGCATCTGTCGCTGGCTGGGGAGTTTCTGTCGGTGAAGACCCCGGGGTTGTTGATGATGCTCCGATTTGCTGCGCGGGAGTCCCGGTTCCAGCAGGAGACGACGGGAACGTAGTTGTCGTCGGCGATGGCGTGTCCGGTTCCCCATCGGAGTCGGAGTCGGAGTCGGAGTCGGAGTCGGAATCGTCAACGGTATCCGGGACGTGGTCGCGGATGAATACCCGGAAGTTACTCGGGCGAGCGTTTCTTCGATACATTGAGCTCCTTCATCTCGGTCAGATCGAAAGACCAATATAGATTACAAACGCAGCCTATCAACTAAATCTAGGTACCTAAGGTTAGGTAGATACTCACCTCATTATGAATGACCCAGCACTATTAAAATCTCGACCAGCCGAACTTGAGAAAAAAGAATTGATATAAACAAAGGGAAGAGACACGAGAGTCAACCGCAACGAAAGGAATGGTTTATTCAATTAGGCCCAGCCGTAGATAATAATATTATAGCGAGGGCGCAGCCCGATATCTCGAAGTGAAGTGAAGTGAAGTGACCTGGGACGCAACAACACGTGCTCAGTTGCCCAATCCAGCGCAGGTGAAGATTTCTCCTTCGAGAAACATTTTGGAGGCGTCATGTCTTTAATACAAACATACAAGCGTGCGTACAAAAGCATCCAAGCTTTTTTTATTTCTATTTTCATTTTTATCTGGAGCTCATTTCCCGCCCCAAATCTTCAGATACGACTTGCCGAGACGATTTGAAACCCTCTATGAGTGAAGCACTGACAATGGGACGTTTCAACCCTCAACCGCCCGCCGTTGATCGCCTTGGCGCCAAGGTTCACTAACAGCAATATCCAATTCGTCCAAACCAAGGACGATGCTGCCCGTTTTCTTCAAGCTTGGTCTAGCTTCGTTGGACGTTCAAGAAGTTTTAGCGGCGGGCTCAGACAGATGGTTGTTTCGATATGTGTAGCTATTTTTGGACATATAACACGTCTCGTCGAAGATGAGATGAAATGTGTGGGGGAGGCAAGGGGGAGATGTATTGTACATATGTATCGTCGGCTGGAATTTCATTGCGTCAAGCGTCCCTAGATAGGAGGTAGATACGTAAAATAATCTTAATATATACATACAGCTTGCCCGGAGAGGGGTTAAACATATAAACGTCGTAAAGATCGTAGACACCTAGCTCCGTAGTCAAATAAAATTCAAACAAAACCCCGAGGCCCCCTTTCAGTCTAGGGTTTCTCGATAATCGGGACGGAGGCCGTCATCATGAACCAACCCAATTCCCTTGTCGCCTATGAATCGGATAAGTTCTCGAGACATGGCAAAAGCGTAGGTTAGGTACTTCCTAACACCACTGGCAAACACCCTTTGATTTTCGTGTTCCCGGTTTACCACCACCTTGGAAGAACCTCTCGTACGCTCCGTAATTCGGTATCGACTTAAACGTGTCAATAGTGGACGTGCCGATATTTAACAGCTATAGTTTAGGTACCTAACCTAGTGAAATAAACTTACCCCCTATCCGCGGCTCACGATGCGCCTTCATCCCGTCGCGCCAAATCCGTAACGTCCAGCTAGCCACCATGGCATCCGTCATCTTCCGCGTTATAGGGGTCGTAACAATCAGTCTGTGCTGGTTGTCCATCTCGTCCTCCACCGCGATGCGGCTCCCGTCGGCAGCGTGCATCCACTCGTAGTGGTCGTGCTTCTTCAGGATCTCGAACAGCACCTCGTCCCCCTTGATCGACTCCCTCCTGGCCTGGTACCCCTTGGGGAACCCGCTCTCCTTCTCCGGCTTCGTCTTGACCACCTTGTACCCGGAGCGGGGGAAGGACGCGGGCTTCAGCGCCAGGTTCCCGACGCACTGCCGCGACATCGCGTCCAGCACGTAGGGGAACCCGGTCGAGATCACCGGCGGCAGGTGCTTGAGCTCGAAGATGTGGCGGCTGCGGCTCGTGACCCGGGGCGTGCCGTTCGTGCTTATTCTCACGTTGCGGATCAGCCGCTCGAGCGTCACCTGGGCGAGTCGGGCCTCGCTCGTCGGGGCCTTCCTAACATCCCGAGAGAGCTCGTATAGCGGCGCGCCGTCGGCGGTTTGGGCGCGGATGAATTGGCCGTCGAGTACGAAGATGGACGGCGGAAGTATGTCGTCCCCGTCGTTACGGTTATCTGGGATATAAGGTGGGGGTTCTTCTTCTCCTTGTGCCAAAGTTGCCATTGTCTTGTCTGATAAGATGGGTGGGGTGATGGTGGTGGTGGGTTGTAGCTTATGAATGGGAGGTAGTATTATTATATTTTAGGTGTGTATTAGGTTAAGCTACCAAGGCTATCATGATCACACGGTTCCTCGCATCATGGGCGATTCAACTCTTATGTATGCGACGTTTTTTTGAGGGAGAGAATCCAGGCAAGCTCAAGATTGGTCTCGGCAGAAGTCTTAGACGTGGGGTATTGAGCACTGCCTTTTCGTTAGGCTGTCTGGGCTGTGTAGGTAGCTTACAGCACACTGACATCATGAAAACACCAATGATGTTCATATCCGCTGCAGAAATTAAAGGGGGATTTGATGAAGTATTTGTCATTCTACTCAGGTCGTATGCAGATGCTATAAGATTTGATAATTCAGGCCTTAAATAGATTATAATATGTATATAAGTAAGACCTAAGCATTGTAAATGGTATTATTTTTATAATTTGGTTTGTGGCTTACAAAATTCATCTATTGGGTGCATCTCAACAGAAAAATCCACGTCACAGACGCTTGAGAAAGGAAGAACAATACCAAATTACAAAGAAAAATGTTTTGCGCCGAGTGATTAGAGATGAGTTGAATATGTCACTTCTCATAAAGCCTTTTGTAACACCTTTGAATATTAAAGGTATTCAAATGTCTACGGTTTAACCGACGATAGTTAGTAAACAAAACCGAGTTTGACTCGTCAAACTCTAAAGTCAGTCAAGTCAGTCAAGTCAAGTCAATCCTAATATTTACGTCTCTGGCAATGTTACTAAATTGTTAATTATTTACCTAGGTAATTAATGGGTTAAAAGCCGTGGGGTTGCGGAGGCTTCGGATGGTCCCGGATGGTCGGACACGTCGGATTTACCTAAATTAACCACTTACACTGACTCTTGTCGGTTGGTTCGCGTCTCACTTTCAGCCATCCGCAATCCAGAGAGAATTCTTCATATGAGAAAGCCAAGGCTGTACGTGACAGTTAGTACGGCTTTTACCCGATAATGTGCGAAAAGAATGTCGGCAACTCCTCCGACAAGACCTCGTCCCTTACCTCCACCAAATCGGAGACGGGATAAGCCTCAGGTAAGGTACAATACATTAAAAACCAACTAGGGAGTATGCACCTAATAATTGCTTATAGCTCTCATGTAATTTATGCCGCCGGCGCAAGTATGTCTTCATCCGCCCCAATAAATTTTACTAATTAAGTCACCCTGGTTATTCACATAAGCGTCTAGGGTTAAATGTGATCGGCAGCAGCCATGTAGAACATGTTCCCTCCGGGGGCTTGCCGCCTCCTGCAACTACCCTCCGGATCATATGTCGCGGCCCTCAGATCGTGATACCCATTCTACGGTGCAAAATCGGATCCGCGAGTTAGAGGGTCTCGTGCATGTTCTCATGCAACGGGCGGCGTCTAAAAACTCCTCCAATGTCCAAACACTTCCGGAGGCTATCGAAGGTTCCCCTGACTCCGAGGCTGGCGCGTCAGGGGAACCGTCTAATGGTGGGACGTTAACAGATACCCCCGCCGGCGTCAGCTACGTTGATGGTGTACATTGGATTGATCTGTTGGACAGCATATCGGAATTGAAGGACTACTTTCAAGATAATGCGGAATCAGGACCGCATTGCCAGATCCCTCTACAGCCTGCCCATGATTACGGCCCTTGTCCGCTATTGCTATACGGCCGTTTTACCCATGCCAGTAAAAGCGAGATACTAAGTATATTACCAGCGCGGAGTGTGGCCGATTCATTAGTTTCTAAGTTCTTTACATCTATCGATATAACGTCAGGTACTATTCCCTCCCTCCACTTTCTAAGACGAGGAATATGGCAGAGCTGATTCTTTATGCACCTAGCATTATTACACAGTGGCCAATTTATTCGGCAGGTAATTATTAATGTTCCGTCTGTCTTACAATTCCGATGAGGTACTAACGCACGTTGTTACAAGTACAACCGATTTTGGGAAGACCCCTTCGCAGCTCCGATCGTATGGATAGGGCTCTTGTTCGCTATCATGTGTTTCTCGTCTATGCTTTGGCAGCGCTACAGTGATCAAGTGCCTGGTACCGTAGGCCCTAACGCTGACAATACGCTCCTTATACGGTCCTACCGGGAGAAGGTCGTCCAGTGCCTGATACTGGGCAAGTATACCAGGGGCGGTGAAAATGTCATACAGACTCTAGTCATCTACGTTGCTATAGAACATTTTCTCCAGGAGGATCCCGATTTTGGTACTCACCTTTTACTAAGCATGATCTTAAATATTGCCATGAGGATGGGATATCATAGAGATCCTAAAAACTTTCCCGTTATATCACCTTTCGATGGCGAGATGCGAAGGCGCATATGGGCGACACTATACCAAGCGAATCTTATCTTTTCCTCCCAGATGGGCCTCCCGAGTCTGCTAAAAGATAACCAAATAGATACAGAGGAACCGCATAATCTTGCCGACTCCGATTTCGACGAGGGAACAACCGAGCTTCCTCCATCTCGGCCTGAGACAGAAGTGACGCCAGGTCAGTAACTTCCTATGCCATATACGGAACCCTGAAAAATCCTAGAAAGTTAATAGAGTGGGCAGTTCTGTATATAATTACTAGGAGCCGTGTCTCGCGCACCTGGGGCAAGGTTCGCGATCTGGTAACCGACACAACGCCTCATAAATATGACGAGATCCTGGCGATGGATCAAAAAGTGCAAGCTGATCAGCTCCGCATTCCACCCGTCTTAAAAATGCGACCTATACATCTGTCCATCACAGACTCCCCGAATTTGGTAATGCAGAGAATTTGGTTGGATATCTGTTTCCTCCGGCTGAAGATCGTACTACATAAGAAGTACTTTATGTTGCCTACAACTCAGAATGAGCGCTATAATTACTCGCGAAAAGTCTGCTTGAAAGCGGCCATGGAAGTTCTCGAGTATCAGCATATGGTTTACGAACTAGTCAAACCAGGCGGCCTGCTCTACGAAACTCGGTGGAGACTTTCATCTGTGATGAATAACGAATTTCTCTTAGCAACTAGCATCCTGTGTGCTTATGCTAAGCAGATCGCCGATACCCCTAAGAGCGCAGTGGAGGGAACGGGCACCGAAGAAGTCAACAAGCTTCTCATAATATCCGCGGACTGCTGGAAGAGATATAGCGCCGTATCTAAAAACGCGCGGAGGGCTATTAAAGCGATCAATCTCGTTCTAGAAATTACGGGAACTCCTACAGCCAGCCCGGCTAATACAGAGGATGAGCTCACTCCGATGTTCGCCTTGCAAGGTATGTCACATTAAAAGCTCCTATTTCATTTCATTTCTGCAATTCCGCACTCAATGATACATACAACTAATTTAGTAAAGACCCTCTACTTCTAGATTTTAATTTTCCTTATACTTTGGACAATTTCTATGGCGGAGATGAGTCGAGACTTGTAAATGATCCCTCTCTGGGAGCGATTCCGACCGCACAGCAACATGCTACCGACGAGGAGTGGATTAACCTATTCCAACGGGTATCAACGCGCCAAACAAATTGAATCGATCATTTGAAGGATATGTCTAAATATTCGCGAGTTATTCAAAGGGCAAGGAAAAAGATAAGTCGATATGACATGAAGGTGTGATGGCCCCCCTATAGATACCTCGGTACCTAGGTACGTATCTTGACCTTGGCCTTTGAAGATTGGCGTATACGAAGTTCCCCAGATCATCTAATTCTTCTGCAGCTACCCCTGAAGGAGGGGACAACAATATTGTAAACTACCTTACTACTAAGGCATTGTCTGATGTTCGTCTCGGCTTGGCAACAACCAAACCCCGATAACAATGGACGACAAACAACTGAGGGAAAAAACCAGCTCTTTGTAAATAATCTGTTCTAACCATAATGTATAATACCCTGTCTCTCGAAATAGGCTCACCCCATGGACTATAAAAGCAGGCCAGCCTTAGGCATTGCTGGGATTTCCACTCAGATCAAGTCCAAAAACCTTAATACACCTCCTTAACGTTATAGATACCTCCTCTCAGCAAAAATGTTTGCCAAGCACCCCGACACAGTCAAGGACCTTCAAATCTCTCTGAGGCTGAAGAGCTATCGTAACGCTGAGGCGTTGGTTCAAGTTCACGACGTGAAGGAGGCGGCCCGGATATTCATGAACAGGTGCCTCGGGGCGGCGGGCTCGCTGACGAAGGAACTGCCGGACTGGAAGGACGTCGACAACTACATGCAGCACGTGCGGCTCTCGTTCGCGGTTCGGCGCGCGCAGAAGACGCTGGCGCAAGCGGTGGACGAGGATTGCAAGGTCAAGCCGTACGACCTGATGCCGCACACGGCGCTGTTCTGTCTGCGGATCATGGACTTCCTGAGGACGGCCGAGGGCGGCGCGTACGACGTCTGCTTGGACCCGCTGGTCGTCAGGCGCCGCGAGGACGTGCAGTTCGACCGATGCATCCGGATCCTGCACCTGCTGGGCTTCTTCGTGAACCAGCACCGCGAGACCAAGAGGGCCCGGGAGGCGGAGAAGATCCGCGAGGCCATCGGCGATAACTGGATATGAAGATGAGGATGCTTTGCTTCGGCTTCGTATGGTGAGGTGACATGATGATGGAATGATGCCCCGTTTCGCTAGTTACGAACGCGGTTGAGAATCCCATTATGACTTGTGCCGTGTAGACTCTCCCATCTAGTAAACAGATAAACAGTAATGATAATGATAATGATAATGTATTACCTTTCCTTGTTTCCCTCTTGCTTTTATTTGTAATTTGATGTTTCTCATTTGTTTGTTATTTCTTTTAGGAGGTACGTATTCGTTGTTGCTTCACCCCTTGGTAAAGTACATTCCCCTGGTCCGTAACCATGGCACTTTCTGCCTTCCATTCCACTTTGGTTGGGACAGCTCAGGTAGCTAGCAGGTGGCCTCTTGTATTACCGTGCTTTGCGCACGTGAGATGAAGGAGGTTCGAACAGGGTGTCCATTGAATCGTGTTAACGCTAGAAAGCTAGACCGGAGATGTTATAAGATATAAGGGTTAGTCCCTCCCCTCCCCCCCTTTCGATCTCGGTTGATCTATGTCTCCTACTCTCATCGCAAATCTTCCTTTCCTCTTAATAGGGCCCGTAATAACACCGATGCTTAATTTACTACATTATTAAACTCTTGTTAATTCCTAAGCATATACCTCACTACCTAAATCATGTTAATCCATGGCCACGTAGAAAGCCCGGTGCGATAAACCATGACCTTGGATAACTCATTCCCCATTTGGCTAGAAGGGAGGATAGCTCATCTTCCTTGCCCGGCACGACGTTGACGAATATCCGGTCTCCTTTGCTCATGCAGGGCTCCGAGTGCACAGCTCCGCGCTCCTGGCCGATGCGGAATACGCTGCACTCACCCGGCGCCGCTTGAACCAGACCCAAGGGGGCGAACTCATCCGCGAGCTTCTCCCGGATCGCTTCGGCGGTAGCCCCGCATCCAGGACACCGGATTGAGGTGCAGACGTGTTCCGTAGCTAGCGCGCGTTTCGTCGAGCGCGACGTCGCCCGTGCTGCTGCTTGGTGCTCGGCGGGGATGAACATGGTCGCGGGACCGAGCAGCGTGGCGCATAACTTCCAGTCCGTCTGCAGGTCCAGCTCTGCGTTTTCCCTCCCCATCACTAGCGACCTTCTCCGACCCCAGACGCCTCCGCCGCCGCTGTTCCCACCACTACTATTACTACTGCTCCTGCTGAAGAACATGTCGTCCGTGTGCCATCGGGGCTTGTTGTATTCCGTGGTCGCTTTCGTCGCGCGGATGGTGAGCCAGTAGTGGTCGAGGCCATTCGCGCGGATGAACTTGTTGACGAAGGTGAGGAAGGGGAGCAGCAGCGGAAGCAAGGACCCGGACAGCGCGGCACGGGTCCAGTCGTGGAAGCTAGCCGGGAGGTCATCTAAGGTGGAAAGCAAGGGACCGCAGTAGCTCCAGAAGGCATCCCTCTCTACGGACAGGTTCTGCTGGTCATGGTCAGGAGAAGGAGAAGGAGAAGGAGAAGGAGCAGAAGGCTCTTCGAGACTAAATCTTATGAACTCGAAGCTCGTCGATGATTGGAGCCTGTCCTTCATGTTCGGGAGAGCATAGGAGGTATACGGGGGTGTTTTTCCCAAAGTTCACTTTTTGAAAGGGGAGAGAGGGGACCGCCCTTTTTTTTCGAATTTACTCAAAATATCTAAACCGGTAAATTTAGCACGGCAGGTAATCTTAATTGAGAATAGCTAACCTCCTTTCAAGATATAGCCCTAAAATATAGATAATTATATGCATAATGTTTATATGAATGCATATATGTAGGACATGTAAGTGTAAATAGGTGTGTAAGTTATGTTTGTATGGATGTAGGGCTAAGGTAACAGAGACAGCAGCAGAGAGCTAGCGTTGCGTTACTCCGCGTTGGAGACACATGACTCTTCTTTATACCATGTAGGTTTATACCATGTAAAGTGACCGACATAGTAGCTTCGCTGCCTTGTCGTCCTGCCTGCTTTGGTAATGCAGACTTCCAAAAATAAAAGAAATGGAAAAAAGGGGACTTGATCCCGATTCGTCCGGCATCATATACAGTGGGCTGGCTTACTTCGCGAACCCGCTTTGCTAAGGATTTTCTAGGAAGGGAAAATCAAGCTTATTCCTTGACATCCAGCACTGCTTGACGTCGAGAAAGCTGTTGGCGTTGACAGATAGCAAATGATATTTTACGTAACTAAACCGAAAATGTAAACAATGGCCCTGTACGGATCCGTAATGCTAACTAAATAAGAGAGTGCTGCGGGATCATCGCCTCGGTGCGTAGAACCCCTGCAGTTTTTATACAGCTTTGCCGCGGTTCCAAGTCCTAACGCACATTCGCCGGTACGCTACTGGTCGTTCTATGTACCCCTAATGCAAAGAACAATGAAGAATACAAAAAAGCCCAAACCTAGCGCCATGTAAGCACATGGGATGAGGGAAAAAAAGAAAAGAAAAAAAACGACCGAGATCACAATGTTCTCTTGCTTGGGGGGCGTTACCACAGAGCGGCCCGACTTTAGATCAATGATGAAGTGGCCGATTTCACGAGTGGTCGAAGATCGTGGTCCCCATCTATTGGAAAAGGCCACTGGGAAAGACACTCTCGCGCGTTCCTTAGGCTTTAAGGCGTTGCAGTTTCGGAGATTTGACAACGCAGTGTCACACCGCGTCACAAAGTCTTCACATTACTTATAAGATCCAATGTCTCAGCTTGGCGTCGGGAATATCTTATCCATTACCAGGCAAGAGGTACCTGAGCCAGCTATGAACGCTACCTAGATGTAAGGTAGGTAGATAGGTAGGCCAGATTTTCTTTAATCAGTTGTCTGGGCCGGTTCGGCTTTAAGGGTCTTGGGTACCTAATTCAAATCAACCTGATGATCGCCTCATTGGCGTTAGGTGGCTTTTCACCTTCCCCTATCGATTTCAAGTGGAGCGTTCTTTTACTGATTACTCGTATGATACCAAAAATGTCCAAAAATGTCTAGTCTAATATTCAATCGTCAAACTATCGTACATAAATTTCCAACCGTCACACCGAGTCCCCTCCCCGTGAGGGGTTTCCGCCGGATATTTTGATCTATGCTAACGTATATGGAAGTGTTGATATAGCGTGGATTCGGCAGACTTCATTGCCGAATCAGTGTAGTCGTGAGCCACTCCGATTATTTGGGAAAATATTGAAGATATTGCGCGGTTCTTTCGTCTTTAATTCTTCGGAGGGTTCGTCGTGCCTCTCGCGTTGAACGGCATTACGGCGCTATGATGCTGAACTCGAGCTCTCGTCGGCGAAATGTGCTTGCCTATCCTCGCCGGATGTCAACTTTTCCGCTTGGTTCTTCTGTCGGTTTCTTGAAGCGGCTGAACACGGTAGTGCGGCCCACGCCCGGCGGAGTCGGGCAATGAGTCGGTTCATCAGAGAAGATATCATGCCCTCTTCAAATTCGTCGTCAAAGGCCCAGGCGCCTATCGCTTTGTCGCGAGCCCTACGAGCGCCTCTTATTCTGTGCAATTCAAAGGAATCGCGGTACAAGATAGGACTCGTACTTTGTCGTCGGATGCAGAAGCTCCTTTCACAGGCACAACGTGGGTGTGATTCTTCTGCAGGATCTATGGAGTCTGAGTCTGAGTCTTGACTTGACATGATGACGGGTGTGGTAGTGGTATATACGTGTTTGTGAAGGATGGTTGCTAACAGATAGGTATTCGCATAATAATAGCTCTACGTTTTCTGCTCCTAGGGGAAGTCATCGTGAGTCAAGTTATAAATAACCTAGGGACTCGGTATTTGGGTGCGATATTCCGACAACAACAGCTAAATTTTGAATTTTGTTGGGCCACAGGAGTCCGAGGGGTAGAAGTTGACTTCAGCGATCTGAACTTAAATCCCTATGGCCCCTATCTATCGTGTCGAAGATTGGTATGAGCCATTTTCGGGGTGTTGCTATTGAAACGTTCCGTCGTATATCAGATGTCGCTCATCACCTCGACCGCGCCTTATCTTGGTTTTTTAGCTCGTATGTTTAACTATGACATATGTCACTTGAAGTCATTGATTCTAAGTAGAGGCATGATAAAGTTCAAACTCTTAGATCTTCGCCACTTGGATCTGACTTTAGGCACTTACGCGACTGATATCGGTAGTTAAGGGTACCCGTCTTCGACGACAACAAGGCGCTAATATTCCAATGCACCCGCTCGAAGCGTGCTATACCATATATATCTCTGATCGACGACTAGAAAATGCCCCGCGAATGGTCCGTAACGATCTTCATTCAAAAGAGTTTCGCCTCTTTTCGTCGATGCTGGCATAATTAACTCAACTTGTTCCAGTAATTTCAGTTTTACATCTCGTGGTTCCTATTTCTCAACAGTTTCGAGATTGCAACGTTCATATTGATCAGCGTCGAGCGACACATGATCTGGTCTAAAGCTCATATGTATACAATAGCAAAATGGCCGCCGTGTCCGTCTTATTATATACCTAGCTGTCTGGATCGGCATTGGACCTCTATGAAAATCCCGTGAAGGGCAATTCAGGAGAAGGGGGTGGGGGTGCCGGGAGGGCGGGATGGGAGTAGGATTGGTAGATATATTATGAGGTATGTAGTAGAGGGTTGAAGGATCGGGTCCGAGAAGGAGGCCATGCATAGTTTCAAGGAGCCCTACCTTAACCAGTCAAGCCAGTCACGGGAAAGGGTACTACTGTTCGACAGTTTTTTTTTAAAGCGCCCCCAGAAGTTTAAATGGTTTGAATGTCGATGCTTCTATGAGCGCTGCTTACTGCACGAATTATCACTCAGGTCTTCGAAAGCATTTTTATCTCAAAAGTACCTAGGAGGTAGGTATATAAATATTATAACTACCTTTAATTGTTATGAATACTTCACACCGCGTTTACTATTACTGAGCCCATACTAAACTCGAATGAGTAAACTGCCCACCTCTTTGGGTTATAATGCTTGCTTTCAGCGCGGCTCCTGATCCAACGAGAGCGATGCTTGTGTTGCGGGGAGGGAGCATGTAGTGATCGTGTACATGGTGAAGTGGGTAAAGATCACTAGGTATTGTTTTCGATTGACTGACTGGCGACAATACATACCATGCTGTCAGGGAGAAGTTTTCAGTAGTCATCGATCATTCCTTTACTCGATCTAGCTGAACGTAGTATCTATGTGCGGCATCGCCTACGCCCGTTCCTGGATTCTACAGGGACTTCCTGCGATGTTACGGGGGGGCTAGACCCTGCCAATAATTTGTATAGCTACTATTACGTACCCTCCAAGAACTCCACGAAGGATTCCGCCAACGCTGTCCACTGACGAAAGAGGAATTCCTGGCACCCAATGGGGTAGAATAAAGCCACGATTCGATTCTATGCTAATGGACTAGAATGGGATGATAAGACGAGATTGTATACTACAAACGGGTTATCCGTATGCTGTGTTGATCACAAGCTAAGCTTTTTATTAGGCTACGAATCGGTGGTTACTGGAGGCACGGTCCTGATAGGGCTGTTAAGGCTCTGGCGTTAGTCTGGAAGCTAGCTGAAGATCCGCAGTCCAATAATCACACCTAACTTATCGGCCTATTGGGCGATAGAGCGGTTACGCTCTGAAGATGCAACTGTAGGAATTAGAATGAGGATCATTGTAAAGAGATATATTTCATAGAATAACTGTCAAAATGTCGTGCTCTTCGCGACTTAAACAGTAGAGAACATGTATCAACAGAGTCCGACCCTGCTCGGGGCACTCTGCACACCTTGTCGGCTTAGAGATGGGATTGGATAGGATAAGCGGAACGTGAGACCCAGAAGGATTCCATGGTCCCTGTCCATGGTCGCAATGAGAAGCAGGCTGTAATACACGAACCCGTAAGTAGCTTGCCAAGAACATGGGACGATGTGGACTAGGTGGGATTGCTGTGATATGGAAAGATTCATAAAACAGTTGAGTAGCCCCCCCTGGACACATACTGTGTATGTGTAAGAGCTGAAGCAAGTTTCCATCCCATCATCGCCATGGCGTCAGCTGTGTTGTGACCAAATCTGTCTCGAGCGCTTCCTGGTCAGAAGAGTCATGCTTAACTTCAGGTTATCGAGTAATTGAAGTCCCTTTAGCTGAGCAATTCTTGCTTATAAGAACGCCATTGGCCGTTTGAGACGACGTCATGTACCAATCACCAGACGATAACACGCCTTACAGCACGCTTGAGGTCTCTACGCGAGATCCGGAGACATTTCAAAAGGAGGTGATACAACATCCCGACTACAACTATCCGCAAGCTGTCCCAGTCGAGCACGCAACCGCGGGAGCTGCGCAGTCATATTATGGTTCCGAGTCCGCGAAAGAAGTCGTAAACCCGTCATATAACTTACATCCCGGCGTCATTCCCGGTCCTTATAAAGATCCCAACGTAGCAGCAGCAGCATACCCTATCGGCGCAGGCTACCCCCCGAGCACGATTTATTCCGATGGATCAGCGTATCCTAATAGCGCGTATCCTACCAGCGTAGGTGACCCGATAAACTCTTCTGCCTATGGACCCGGACCCTTAAGCGCAGCCGAATTCGGCGGCGAACAACCCCCTATAGAGAAGGGAGCTCCGGCAAAGACGATATGGGGCCTTTCAAGGAAAGCATTCTTTATAATCATAGGAGTAATGATTGTTATCATTATTGCACTGGTAGCAGGATTGGCGGCCGGTTTGTCTAGTAAAAATCATGCATCAGAGGCAGCAGCTCCTGCGGAGTCGTCAGGGCCAGAATCGAGTAATGGAAATCTGCCGTCGAATTCGACAGACGGACCGCTCATACTCGCCAATTCGAAAATAACCGCTTCTAACTGGACGGATCCTAATGGGGTCGTTCACAGGACTATATTTTTCCAGGATGCGTATAACTCGATTATCGCTCGTCGGTGGGACTCGAAAAATAAATCGTGGAAGACGAATAACCTGACCGAGCTGATGGCTGCGACGACGACACCTCTCAACCCGCAGCCGGGGACGCCGTTAGCCAGCGCGTCCATGGACTATAAACAGACGTTCGAAACGCATGTATGGTTCACGGACCCGGGCAACGTTATACGATCCATGGCCTCCTTCGATGCGCTGAACCGACCCGACAGCTGGGATAATGATACGCTCGACGGGGCAAGGTTAGAAACGTGGCCTGGAGGCCAGTTAGCCGCTATGTGGCAACGCTGTTGGGGTGCAGACTGTGCGGGCACTTGGATTGTCGCCTACCAGCGACCGGAGGGAGCAATAAAAACGGCCAACTCGAGCACTTGGGGTACTGCGACTGTGGCGGTCGAGTCCAAAGATGTTGCTGCGAATTCCAGCTTGGCCATTATCCCCAAGCTGCGCGGGTCATGGCTAGACCGTCTGGAACTCGTTTCCGAAAAGGTATCATCGGGCAAGACAGGAAGTATGAGAATGACATCGTACGACGACACGTGGAATAATGCTGATCAACGAGGTAAGCCTATTAGCAAGCATTTATGAGCTTGTTAAGAAAATTGTGAAGCTGACCGATCCTAGTGACCGAACTTCAAACTGACATACCACTCCCCGCGCCGTCTCAACAGTTCGCTGCTACCAGATGGGACCATTGGAACCAGGCCCTGTATCTCGGGCTCCTTTCTAACGGCAAGACTGAAGGCAGCTACTGGGACGGTAAAAAGATGAACTCGATTTCGAGTTTCCAGTTCAAATCCGGACCGGAGACTAACTTTACGGCCATCGCAATGACGCCAGATGCCATGTTTTACGGCATCTCTAACAACGAGATCTTGGAGTACTCGCTCGACACGTCGGATCCGTCAAACTTCAACTACGTGGGAAGAGTATACCCGTGACACATACTCGGGCGACTATTTATAGGTACTTCCTTATTTATCGAAACTGTAAACGGGATATTCAGGGTTAGGAGGCCGGGATTTTGAAGCGTTACAAGGGAGGGAGGGTCCAGGGAGTTGGGAGGAAATATATGTCTGCGTACTAACGAGTTACCAAGTAACACCTATTTTTATTCTTACATCAAATAGCCACATACCATATTGAAACAGGGCGGCCTTTTTCGAGCGAAAATTAAGCTGAGCTCGTCATAGACTCACTTCATGCGTCTCTGCAAATCTTACAATGCGATTTTACTTGTATATTAGATACCTTGCATGCTATGTAAAGAATCAAGATATCTTCACAATAGAAAGCAGTTATGAAAATACCAATCTTGATCCATCGTCCATCTTTGCCCTAGATTGAACGTCGACTTCTTCCGGAGAACGTGGACAAGCGAGAGCCTACATGCACATACGGTTGGGGATCGCAGCCAGATCGACACTACCTAAACCTAGATTCATTGCTATACAAAGCAGGACGCATATATATGGCATCGAGTAATAGGGCTTTGTACTTATGTGCACTTGCTTATTTCGGAGGGCCAATCTAGAATTCAGCCTTCAGTTCGTAATCGTGACGCGCTCTAACCATCAACGACGTCATAATATTGAATGTCCGCCTCGTAGACCAACAGCCTCTCTCAAACCAAATTGTATGATGATGTCTGTGAAACCTATCTGCCCGGCATCAAGGTAAGAATGCCAAGTGGCGGGGAAATAAGTAGTAGGCATAATAAATCAACTTCGCCGCGCATAGCGATTTTGTAGATATAAAGATGAAAAGTCATGCTTGGAAAGATGACGGCTCTTCATAGAGTTACACTCAGAATCAATATCAGAAGAACTCATCTTAAGCCAACAGATCGGTTGTATATTGCAACGACAGTCACTCGATTTCAACAGCAGCATCCCAGAAATATCACTCTGAACCACCAATTTACACGCAAGATGGCGTCGTTCTCAAACACGGACACTGGCAACAAGCCGTCAGGTCCTTATTATGAAAAGAACCTCGACACAGACATAAGCCTGAAGGAGAAGGTCGAGAATTTGATTAAATTCGTGTCGTCGTGCAAGTTCGGCATGATGACGACGCGCGACCCTACAAGCGGAAAGCTGGTCTCCCGCTGCATGGCTATTGCCGGAAAGGTAAGCTATCCGCTTATACTATCAATGCGACGCAGATGGTTCTGAGAACATCCATGTCTTTACCAATATAATCGTCCAGATCAGGATAAAGTGGTACTCAGAGAACTAACTGCGATACCTCTAATTTTTAGGAAGGTGGCGATATCGACCTAACCTTCACGACCAACACTGAATCTCACAAGACCGATGAGCTGAAGGCGGATAATCACACTAACGTCTCGTTCTACGACAATTCGGGCCAATGGGCCTCGATCGCGGGCGAGGCAAGCATCGAGACGGACCGAGAAGTGGTGAAGAAGTATTACAGCCCAACGCTCAAGGCTTGGATGGGTGATCTAGGCGACGGCGTTCACGACGGGAGCGAGAACGACCCACGCATCGCGGTGCTGAAAGTTAAAACCAGCTCCGTTACATACGCCGTCACGGGCAAGACGATAGTAAGCAGAGCCGCGGAGATCGCCAAGGGCACTATTACAGGCGAACCGGCTGGGGTGAATAAGTTGAGGGAGATTAGCGAGGGTGAAATTCAGCAGTGGAGGGCTACTGCTTCGAAGTAATCGGCTTTATACATATTCGCCCATTTCTTGTAGCCCTCGCTATGTTTATTATATGTCAAAGCTTATGAAGATAGGAGAAGCAAATCCACATAATGAAATTCCCTCATGTTCCATTTTGCCGGAGCGGCGGAGATGATTCTCAAAGTAGCAATTGTTATTCTTTGTTCGGTGCTGACGGCGTTTTTTTAAAGGCGGGAAATTTAATTTGGAGATTTGGAAGAATTAAGTCAGCCAGAACTAGCGACCAGTCAGCACTAAAACCATGCCCTGTTAAGGTTAAGCGCGGGCCCGAAACGCGGCAAAGGTCGCTGATGTAACGGTTTGGTAAGGCTTGGGTAGCGGGGCTGCTACGTTAGGTACGGTAGCTAGGTACCCACCGTCGGGAATTTTTAATCGTTTTGTAAGGCACTGCTAGAACTCACCCAGAACACACCAGTAAACGAACCCTGATTTACAAGAAAATTGCCCCGCTTTCTTTCTCTCCCCTCTCTCGTGATACTTTTCTTTCTCTCCCCCCTATCATACTAGGTGTACCTATCAACAGAAAACCAACCTTGAATCGAAAGAAATCGGGCGAATCTTCGTGATATTTCTAGCTAGCCTAAGTACCTCTAACATAATACCTAACATAATGCATCCACTCTCGTCCCTGATTCGCGATCTACCTACTTCAGTCTTACTGTTCGATCCCGTATAAGATAGACGCCCTCTTAAAGCTCTAACATCTCTCTGTCCTGCCCCTCATGAGAACTGTCGCATTTTCTTTTCTTATAGCTATACTGTCTATAATCATCTTTAGGGAACGAGTTATCGAATTGACTACGACAACTTTCAATTCTGTCCTAGAGATTTTCAAGGCCTACGACGGCAACAGTAAAAGTAGTAGTACCGGCAGCAGTACTACTATGACTGACAGCGATACGATAATCAAATCCACCACTGCCGACTCTAAATCCGAATCTCCCTTCTATAACCCTTCCGAGAAACTCGTCGTAACCGAAATGTCCATACCGCGCGCAATCCGCAAGGTCTTCCTAGCGGTCGAACAGGCCGAAGGAGCTGGTGCTAGGGTCAGGTCAGTTCAATCAACCACTTGCGAGCGGCCATGCGCCGAGTATGCGATCTGAACGTCAAGCTAACTATTAGCAGGAGAAGTGTAGGAACGCCGCAATTGCGGAACTTCTCGCCCTTTCTGATGCTAGACCATTTCAGCATTAAGCCCGGCGCCGGCTTCCCGGACCACCCTCATCGCGGACAGGAAACCATCACGTATCTGCTAGCGGGCGCCGTTGACCACGAAGACTTTGCCGGTCACGCTGGCACCATCGAGGCTGGTGACCTTCAATTCATGACCGCCGGTCGTGGCATTATGCACGCCGAGATGCCGCGCCAGAACCCGGACGGCAGCGCGAACGTCGGCCTGCAATTATGGGTCGACCTGCCTGCCCACCTCAAATCCTGCGAGCCCCGATACCGCGACTTGAGAAAGGACGAGATCCCGAGCGTCGAATTGGACGACGGGAAGATCCGCATCAAGGTCATCTCGGGACAAGCTGGTGGTGTCGAAAGCCTCAAGGAATTGGCGTATACCCCGGTCTGGCTGCTCGACGTGGAGATGAAGCCGGGTAGCAAGTTGGCGCAGCCCCTCCCGAAGGGTTGGAATGCCTTCTCCTACCAGCTAGAGGGATCTGCCGTGTTCGGCACCGGCGACAAGAAGCAGACGGTGGCGCAGTACCACAACTGCGTGTTCGAGCCCGACGGCGACATGGTAGTAGTCGAGGTTCCCGAGACCGCGAAGGAGAACGCGCGCTTCGTCCTGGTCGCCGGCCAGATCCTAAACCAGAAGGTCGTTCAGTACGGCCCGTTCGTGGCCAATTCCCCCGAAGATGTGCGGCAGGCGTTGATAGATTACCAATTCCACATGAACGGCTTCGAGCGGGCCAAGGACTGGCAGAGCGAGATCGGAAAGGCAATGGTTGATTGAAGGGTCGGTCGCTTATGGCTGCTGCGCGCTTTAAACGTTATCGGGTTCTCTTCTCGACGTCTTAGTCCGCCGTTCGTCCTCGCGAATTTCATGTATATAGTATATTTTGTTTCCCTTGTTTACTCTCTCCTTTTAGATACCTCAAAGCACAACCTCGGCGTATAGGGGTGAGTGTAGAATGGCATTCAGCAGAAATATATGTTGAGTAGTGATTTTCTTGGATATTCCTTTTTTTTTTCGTTTGTGATTTGCGGTATTAGAAGTTTCCTTTCGGCCGCTTGATGGGATAGGTGTCCGGTAGACTCATAACCCATTTGAGCCGCTCTAGCTCGTCTCTTGGAGGATGGACACCTTTCCACCAACCCAACTTCCTGGGGTGTAAACCCGTCACCTGCTGCAGTCGCGGATGGCTGAGGATGGATGCGGCCTCAAGCGGTTGGCCATGTTGAAGCTGTCCTGTAGGCGAGCCGGTTCTACCGGATCGTGTTTCCGATGTTTTCGGGGTGGTTTTACTCGCGCTTGTGCTAGGAGATGCTTGTGCGCCGTTACCCCTCGGAGAGGCTGGCGGAGGGGGGAACATAGGAACTCGGCCTCTCGAAGCTAACGCAGCCCTACGCTTTTCTTGTTCTGTCGGCATACTCGATATTGCGTACTGAACCTATACCTAAGTATATCGTAGCCTGAGTTAGAGGTCCCGTCTTCTTATAGCTTGTGTTAGGAGGGTATGTAAGTAAATAGTAAGTAGAGCATATGGGTTAGATCTATTCTGTCGGCAGGTAGACATAGCCTCAAGTTTTATGTCACGCTGAAAAGGCTGCAACTACGAGACTTAAGTTCATGTCGTCATTACCAATCGCCCACCGTCTTACTTGCATGCGAATTGCCTACCAAAAGGGATGGGAGGCAGCATGTTACTCTACGAGGTATAAAATGGAGCATGTACTCGTATACCCGTGCAGCCTCACTCATCAAACCTCGCAGCTTGGAGCCTTCTTCCTGCCTAGAATTTTTCCGGTTAGGAACCTATATTGTACGTCGAATGCGGGACGCGAGCAGGCTGCCATGGCATGGGATAAGCAAACTTTTTTTTTTCCTCTTCAGTCTTACTTAGGTAGACCAGTCGTCTGGACATGGACAGAAACTTGGTAAGATGTGAGAGGTAAGATCGGGGGCGGCCAGCCGCCTTTCCTGAGTCATCTTATGTATTGTACTAGGTTAGAGGTAGTCATACGCCGGTAGGCGCCCCGGTTGGCCTGTTCTCGATTTAGCAAATGGCCCCATCCCGGTCCATTCCGTCTTTTCCCACCGAAAAAAAAAAATAATACTACGAAGAAAGAAGTATGAAGAATGAAGAATGGGGGATAATGATTATTCTCGGCATGTTGCAAGCTCGTCATCGTCGCATATGCGCGCCCCTACAGTAATGAGGTCGTCCCGCTTCTTATGCCTATGCGTGGGAGTTGGGGAAATAGGTAGGGCTGCTGGCGTGGGATTGGGGGCGGGTTGATCCCACTCCGCCACGGTAATAGATGTATCGTGAGGTAGGCAGTGCACATTTGCTTTTTAGTAAGCGAGAGCCTCACTTTTAAGACTCTTTTTACATGTACAGTCTCGATCCTTCTCCCTCTCTCTTTTTTTTTTCTTTTTTCAAGCTGTAAGGCTGCGTCGGTTTTCTAATCGCAGACAATGTAGTTTCAATAGCTGCCGTTTGACGTTGTGCACCTACGCTTGGGTGGCTGTCCTCCACACTTACATGTAGCTTAGGGAGGAAAGAGAAAAGGACGGCGTGAAAGGAGAGGGTTTCATCGCTACATAGAACAATGGTCTTCTTTTTTATTTCACTAGCGATACTCTACTGGTTAATCTGACATTCCTTCAATTGTGGTTACCTCCTAAGTTAGGGGCCCTAACTGCCCAAGACATGATCAGTGCCACAACCTACCCGCGCCCAAGAGCTCAACATTCCAGGCCCAGCAGGCAAAGACTCTAGGATAGAAGTAGCAAGCATACTAAGTAAGTATTGCTTAGAACCCGTATGACTTAGTCCTATGAAGCATATATTGCCTAAATCAACCGAAGACATCACGTAGTGTGTAAGAGTTCGGAAGTTAGCTATCAGACCGCTACACTACCAAAAGGTAGATCGATGTCAACTCGAGGGGTTGACGATGCTATCTTCACCTATAAGGGCAGTACCGTGACATGGTGTTACCCAGTCACTTGATCACGACATCGCGGAGCACTAACGGATAATGATCCAAAACCCTTGTTCTCAGCTACAAGCTCACACAAGCTTGTACATGTACGCTAGGTAACAGACGTTGTAGTGCCTTATATCTACACAAATCTAGTATGGAGAAGGGATTAACATTGCTTAGTTACAGCAAGAGGGACCGTAATAACGAATGGCGTATTCTATTAGTATCCGGATGAGCGGACGACTTCTTATACCTTATGATATTGGGAGTAACCGTCTACTTCAAAAATATCTACAAGGCAATGTCCCTTAATATCCAAAGTCTAAAGGTATACATTTGCCTCGGAATAGAGTATCAAAATAGTGTTTCTAGACCTCGATGTTGTCTTTAAGATATATACCGATGGGAGAATCTTCGTGACTAATACTATTATATTAAAAATTGATTCGATCTTTTACCCTCATAGATCCTCCATACACCGAGCATATTCAGGCAGGGCCGGAAGCCCTCCGCTTTTGGCTTATTGGGATTTTCTGCTGTAATAGTCAAGGGAGTCCGTATATCGAACGGGAAGCCCTAGCGGGAACTGGCATGTTTGCCTGAGCTTATCCGGCTCTATATTCAATCAGGCGACGATGCTATAGAAGGATACTAGGGTCGTTACAGCAGAAGCAGCTCAATCAAGTTACTGCAATCTAGCCTTATTCCAAGTGTACTGCTTCGCGGTACTTTTTTTTTAACCAGCGGTGATATGATTATGGAGATGCCTCGTACGGTGCGTCTCATCTTTGATAGTTGCTCCGGTTTCCCCCTTCACTGCAAAAGCGTGCTTGCAATGTGGATCTTTATATGCTACGAGGTTACGGGGTTGTATAAAAGAATGATATACTCAATACTTGAATTATCTACGTACAATAGTTATTTTTTTCCGCTCATAGAGTAAGGCATTTTGACTATGACCCCTCTGAACGAAGTCATACCAATGCGTTGAACTCTCCTAGTTGACAATCTAGCTTGTATACCATTATATCCAGGCTTCTTCGTAAAACAATTCCATTGGGTCCTCATTTGGTGTATATGAACGTCACTAGATCTACATAGCATTACGGTTTCTGCCACATCGATATGATGTAGCACCAAGCGAGTTACCCCTGACGACTATATTTTACCAGTTAGGGCACAAGGCCACTTCATATAACTCCACGTGGATGCAAGTTTTATGAAATATATTATACTATATAGTTGATGCCCAAAGTACATATCTATCGATCCGGAGTGTTACGTTGATGAGCTCTGGAAGGCGGATCGACTACATCGGTTAAATTGACACATTCAAGGCTCGGATGGAACTAGACAACGCTGACTCGGCCTTTGTAATAGCTTATATTGCCAATGTTGCTTCACAGGAAATATAACATACAACAATCTGCCATAAGCACCTTTTTCCGTTTATTTGATTCCGTAGAAAGAGGAGGCATACTTTACTTGGAGTCGGGAGAATCACTACGTAGTTCACCATATATCGCAGCTTCAGAAGTTCCTATGAAGTAGCTATTGGATTATCCACGTGTATTGATGACCTAGCCCTACGGTAGTTATTTACGATCCCCTACGTAGATTATCACGGTACTGTCCGTGAGGTCCTTATAGGTGGAGATAGCATCGTCAACTACTCGGGTTGACATCGATCTACCTTTTGGTAGTGTAGCGGTTTGATAGCTATCTTCCAAACCCTTACTTGGATTATTCATATTGCAAGTTAAGAAAGCTTTCCATCCCGGTAGTTTTGACCGATTTAGGAATTCCAACAGAATATTCCAAGTGCCTAGGTAGGCATGTAGTATTCGGTGAGCTGATGGGCATTCCCTGACCGGCATACATCCAAGGCGGCATATTTCAGGTACATTAGGTCTATATGCCGGAGCCAATCTATCAGGTAGGTGCGCAGGAGTCCCGCTAAGATCGCCTACAGCTATATAATTCACTATAGCAGGGTTTCAGGAGAATCATAGTTGGAGAAGCCACGTGGGATACTAAATTTAGTACGGTTTAATATGGGAGTCGTGGAAAATATGTGAGACTCGACACCAATGGACAAACTAAATTATATTAGGATTCAAGAAGATAGATTGAATCAAATGAATTCATCGTCAATCCCACCACCGGGCATCAACCGGATCCGAAGATCGGTAAACGTAGCGTGACATTTTCGCCTGAGAGGGTAGTAATGAGTATATTCCACGTGGAAGCCATGTGCTCGGGGACCCGGCTGAAAGGAAGCTTTTTACGCAATTTTCAGGGGGTGCGGAATTAATCTTCCGCTAGAGTCCTAATCAAGGTGTCTGTAGCAAGGGGTTATACAAGTGCCTATACTGACGTCTGGTCGTTATGGTCTGTGGCCACTTAATTTAGCCGGTCGTAGTTGCTCTCCAACTCAAGGCATAGAGATTTTGTATAAAATCCACGTTAGGAATGGCTATCAAGTCAAAGATAAGATATCATATCATCAACATCGATACCTCTTAAGTCTTAGCCATTCCAAATACAAAGCTTTCATAATGCTCGGCAGCAAGCTTCTCCCTCTCGCTACGCTTTTAGGCGCATCTGTGGCCCAGAATGCCACTCTTCGATATATGCCGTTTGGTGACTCCATCACCGAGATTATCTGCTGGCGTTCAAAGCTTTGGCAGAAGCTGAAGTCCACCGAGTGGGGATCCGTGGACTGGGTCGGCTCTGGGAAAGGAGATTTTAACTGCGGAGACAACACGTACGACCGCGACAATGAGGGTCACTCAGGGTTCTTGGCCATCGACATTGCCAACAAGAAACAGCTTGTCGGATGGCTCCAGACCAACCCAGCAGACGTTATCACGATGCATCTTGGCACCAACGATATCGTGCAGCAGAACAAGCCGGTCAACGATATCATTACTGCTTTCACGACTCTAATCAGCGTGATGAGAAATAGCAATCCTCGGATGAAGATCGTGGTAAGTTTTTCATCGGCTCCCAGTTAACTGTTTTTCCCGCGCACTAATGGTTATGACTTTCACACAACTAGGTGGCTCAGATTATTCCCATGGGCTTCGGCAACTACAACACCCAGATTCAGAACTTGAACAAGGCCATCATTCCCTGGGCTCAGGGCCTCAATACCACCGAGTCGCCTATCTGGGTCGTGGACCAATACACAGGCTTCAGCGGCAGCGATTTGCGCGACGGTGTCCATCCCAATGTACGTGGCATTAAGATTTCCCTTCTTCGGGTCTTCGGGTCCTTGAAAGATTTAGAGAGAAGTCTTTGAAGTTCTTAGTTGGAATCGTGTGAGGTAATTGGCTGACTTGTCTATCTCTAGGACGCGGGTGACACCAAGATCATGAACGTTTGGTACCCAGCTGTTGTCCGTGCTTTCCAGGTAGCCCAGGCAGACAAGAACGCTGCTGCTCCAAAGGTTGAGATACCATTCACCGCATAGAGAGCGCCAATAGCTCGTCTTAGGATGATATGGAGATATAATTCTCTCGGTGACGTTCCTGGTGGTGCTCTCTGAATTTATTTATATTGTACATACGGATTATTGACCAATATTATATGTGTGTCGAAACGAAGCTCCGATTGAATAGTTTAACTTATGACTATTATAACTCTTTAGGATACTACGTGCCTGAAATATCATCTCGCCAGAGCATAATAGATAATAGACCATATTATTAACGGAGGTAATTATTTTAAGACGATATTGATGGATGGATGAATTAATGAAGTTGTCTTTTAGTGCTATTCTGCTATGTAAAGACACAGTGGATCTCCTATTTATACACTCCAGGTACCTTAGGAGGTACCTGATTACGTAGATCTGCGCGGTGCCGATGGCCCGGTTGTCAGATAACGCCAAGACCAAACTAACTTTAAATACCCCAAATCCCCCTGTTAGGCTGGACTCTAGCGGATTCCATATCGAATTCTCGACAAATAAGGGGATTTCGGGACTAACTAAAAAAACGCAGTTACCTACCTAGACAGGGATGCAGATCACTTTCCTACCTCTTTCCCGCCGCGTAGGGGTTTGTAGGAAGGTAAGAGGTAAGCACAAGGTTCGTGTCTGCATTTTCTGTCAAACGTCAAGAAGCCCCCTGCCAAGCTCTGACCTGAAATAATTTTGGTGTTCTTTTCTATCATTCTTTTTTTTTATTACTTCGTCGTGATGCGCCTTCGTTAAAAGATTCCTTACTAGTCACCTAAACTTGAACAACCAACTCTTTATACCATTTACATACACCAATTTCTCCTCGAGCGAATGGACTTCCTGCCAAAATGCTCGTGAGCTCTCCCTTTTCCGCGCTTTGCCTGCGCTGGAAACAACTGCCCAACCTTCACAAGGTCATATCTATATCCGGCCTATTTATTTTCTTACTAGGTCGGTTAATTCTTCTTTTGAAGCACGCACGCTATGCGCCCTATACACTAACATGGAAGACGAAACGTAGTCATATTTATTCAGCCTAATCCCGACGTTGCACGCGATGGGTGGAACCGTCTCACTCACTCCGACACTGGCCCTCTGGCCGGTGGAATCCCTCTTCGTGTCATGTTCATAGGTGCTTCTATGACTCTCGGCGAGCACTCAACTGGCGAAGTCGGTTTCCGAAAACAAATTCGAGACTGGATGGTTGCTCGGGGAAATCCAGTTAACTATGTCGGCCAGGTATTTTTTTCCCTTTGTTAATTATAACTAGCTGTTCGTCGAAGAGACCCTTTACGCTAAACCCCTCACGTGCTTCCAGAACCGATATGGCGATTTCAAAGACAACGACGTCCAAGCTTTCGGTGCCCAGCCTATAAAACCGACCCTCGATCGCCTTAAAGATATCGTTCCCCAAACCCAACCAAACTTGGTCATCATAAATGCTGGATCAAGCGACTGCTTTCAGTTAGACCACTGGGGACCGGCCTACGTCTTCCAGAAGATGCGTGACCTGGTCGATTTCATCTTCGAAGCCTCGCCGCGAGCCACCATTATCATGTCCACCATTATAATGAGCCCGTGGGAAGGTACGGAAAAATGCGTCAAGAGTTCCAATGCCCAGATACGTCAGGTTGCTATTGACCTTATCCGCGAGGGCAAGCCAGTGGTCATGGCTGAGATGCATCATGATCAGGGCCTGCCACATCGCGTCGTGCGGGAGGATATTGGAAAGGACGATATGCACCCTACCGACAAGGGTTATTTCAAGATGGGAGACATCTTCATAGAGAAGATTATCGAAGTTGAGAAGAATGGATGGCTACAGGCTCCGGTCGAGAACGGCGTCCCAGCAGATGGCGAGGCTGCTAGGGATATTGAAGAGGCAATGAATGCAAGCAAGGAGAAGGCAAAAGAGAAAGAGGAGAAAGAGAAAGGTAACCAGGAGGGCAAAGAGCCCCAAGACAAAAAGGAAAAGAAGTCACCTAGCCGACGAAGTCATGAATGGGGAAGAGGGCTTAATAGGCGACACGCCGCCATTCAATGATGTTACGAAGGAATTTTGACCCATCCGGGTTGTACTAGCTGGGCTGGTAAAAGCTTTAATAGCGTGCAATATGCGAGGATAGGAACGGTTGTTATTTCGCAAATTATTTCTGGCATTTGAAGCTGATGACGACGCTGTCCCGGCTCATGGTGATATAGAACTTTACTACTAGACGATGTACTTATCACACGGGCTACTACTATTATAATATGATGTAGTATCTAATGTAGGTTATATTCAATGTACGTGTGTATTCAAGCTAGCAGAAGTTCGCCGGTAAAGATTGTCGATTAACAGGTACCTAGATGTCTATCGGTCTGTTGATTCAACTACACTTGTGGTTTATATGCTTCAAGTTCCTACTCCGAATATTCTTCAGACAGCGGGGTTTTTTCCATAATTATAATCATAACATATAGGATCATACCTATTGCTGCGGTAAGCCTCGTCAAAGAAATCAGACTGGTAGGCATATTTATATTCCTATGGAAGCAGGTGGTTTCAACTATTAGTCGTGACACTTAATGAGTAGACTGCTACAATACACTACCAACATTCAAATTCAATTGGTCAGACAGTTCGTACCATTCCCATGTTGTAAGGGAGAGAGCATAGGTAAGAACGAGGGTGGTAAGACAGATAGAGGCGATTATTCTTAAGGCCTTGGCTTCTTGTTCATTGAAAGGTTTATTGGGCAATGTCTGGTTATATTTCTGGGGGGAGCTGATATTGGAGTCCCGGGAGGGTGGGATTGACCACCAGCAAGCGATCGCCCATATGATAATATACCCCCAAGCTGTCATTCAACAAGAGCCATATTATCGATGCCACTCTTTGATGATTTGCCTACACTGTGGCGTGTCCTTGGTCGCGTGCAAGTTACTCATATTATATATACCAGGTACAAAACCGAAAGTCTAAGGGATTGCCTGGCTCGTGATCATTACATTAGGTAGTGTTCACGCTGATACCTCGTACCTCGCCAATCCGATGCGGTTACTTTTGTTGGTTGCTTGCCAGGCCCCGATACTGACCATAACAGATACATAAGAGATATTAGAGCGATATATTCAGAAATGCCGAGGTTTGACTTGAGAAACCGATGTTGCGTTGTCAATGGTTCCTGCGTTGCCCTGCGCTCTGACGAGGTGATACTTGTCGACGGAGCACGGTCGGTCACAACCATGTCTATTTCCTCCGACGAGGTGCTGGAGGCTTGTGTATCCCTTGAGCCAACGATATGTTGATCAAGGCTTGGAGCAGCCCGTCGCTCTGGCGCGGGCGTGTCGGCCTGACCATCACGGGAAGGTGGCAGAGATGTATGCTGTTCTGTTACAGTCATCTGGACAAGTTCAATAGAAGACATTATATAACACAACCTTAGGTAGGTTCACAAGATGAGATTAAGCTGTCGTTCGCGTTATCAGGCCATGGACAGTTCTGGCGCGCAGCACAGCCGCATCTACTAGACAGCCTTATGCATGTCGGATGCGCAGTAGGGCGTTGGGAAGTATGCCTTGCTGCGTAAACTACCTGAACCAACTAGGTACCTATGGCATTGAAAGTTTTATTGTGTAATTACCTAGGTAGTTTTAGGTAATTATTCTGATATCATTTCTTGAAATTCTCAACTTACGCACACCATCAGGACGCTGTATACCTTATGCAGGGAACAGGAGCAAATCTTACTCATGTTGAATTAGGTTAACTACCCTCTAAGTATATTGGAGAAATGCTACTTAGCTAGAAACTCATGAGATAATCGATAACTACTCAGGATGAATGAGTAGTTTTTTCATAAGTTGGAAATTTCTGTTATGAGTACTACTACGTATACCTATTATGTGAGGTACACATCTGGAAGGCTCTCATAGTCTTTTCAAGACCTCAGATCCTGCGTTCTTGAACCAATGCTATCAATATCAATACGCAAATGCGCTACAAATCAAGCCATATTGACTAGAAAGCGTGATTACTCGCCTATTAAACTACCTCACTATACCCCTTACTATACCCAGGTCGATACAGAACCATATGATATTAACCTTAGCTGCATTGCGAGAAGTCTATTATGATCCCCGAGTCGTGCTTCTACGTACTAACTTCCAACGAGATTGTTTTGGATTAACAAGTTTGTGTACCTAACCGTTGCACAGCTAGACAAAGGAGAGGAAATCGCAATAAGAGTCGGTACCTACCTCAGCTAGACTTCTTGACAGTTACAGTAACCCTCGTAATCGGTTGGGATTAGTTAGGGTTTCGCTGCTGTTCGCCCTATTTTGGGTACTATGGTTGCTTATTATCAAAGTGTAATCTAATGAAAATCGTCTTTGACGCTAATCTGTTCCCATGCCCTTGGGAATACTAATACAAAAAACCAATGGCCGTTTATAAAGCTACCTAACCTATAAAGTCTATGCCGACCAACTAGGAGTATGCCTAGTATTGCCTACATGTACCTAACATATATGAATACGACATTGTTGCATAGGTAGTCTACCTAGGTAGTGACATCCAGTAGAATTCACCAGTCATTCATGGGTGATGGCGCAAACTGAAATAATTCAGACGAATGCTATGGCGCGAAAGGGTTTGGCATTGTTCCTATTTGACCTTTAATATCATATCTCACTTCAAACCAACCTTTAAGAACCCATCGAAAATACCATGACTCCTCATTCATGCCAGCGCACGCTTGTCACCTCCGCAAAATTGGACGTGCACATCTCACATAGAAACGCCATTAATACACTATTTAGCTTCGAAAATCTCCGATTATGTCACGACGCGTCTTTAGTCACTAAGAAAGAACATGGAGCTGGGCCCCGTATCTGCAGATCCTGTGAATACAGTGTTGTTATTCCAACTTGGACTGTATGGATACCAATACGTGTCTCCCCGCCAGCCCCAGGATACACAATCTACATCACGATCTTTCGAACCTTTGTTATTGTGAGGCGGGGTTCAAATGCGGATGATAGGTAACCCAGCTCATGCATATGAGCGGGTGCCTGATGTGTATATATAGTACGTCAACGATCTCTTACATACATACATCTTAGAAAACTGGTCTTACTTGTTGTGGTTGAAGTCAAAATACCCTCATCTTGTTATTTTAAATTGTATTATGCTAAAAACAGGAAAAGTGGTCAATGCGTCTGGCGGTAAGTGGGACATCGACTCACCCCCTACCGGAGGCCACTTTGATGCATGACCATTTAAGAAAAAAACATTCGCGATCATAAATACCCTACTTTGTGATTTATCTGGGTCATATTCCGATACTTGCTTAGCCGAATAATCTGGTTTTAATTTAGTTCGAATTTGGTCCGAGTTGATCTACTATTAGAAGGCTATTAGAGGACTAACACGGCCGCGATCGAGAAAAGAAAAGAAAGAAAGAAAAAAAACCTGGGGTTTTACGCGTTAGAATTTTCCCGCAAGCTTTACCTGAACCAAGCAATGCGATAGCGATGGCTTCCCAACCTCGCATATTCGGAGCGAGCCCGCCTACCGCGAACCAGCCAACCTCCTTTGGAACGACAGGCAACCTCTGGGGAAGTTCGACCACGGTGTCGGGTCAATCTACATCGACATTCGCTGTACCTAAGCAGACTACTACTACTAAGCAGACAGCTGGAAATAACACCATATTTCCGACTACAACTCCTCAACACAAGAGGTCTCATAAGACTCTGTTTGGCGGTCCTAAACCAGCCAGTCAAACTCCTCCATCTTTATTTGGAACTACTACTCCTCAAACTACTACCAATGGTTTCGCTAGCTTCACTCCCCAAACCCTTCCGCCTCAAGCGAAAAATGCGGGAAATCCGGTCAACCCACAACTAAGCTACTTCAGCATTGGAAGGTCTACTACACCTTCTAGCCCTTCGCCGATCTCGCGATCTAGGAGTTCAATATCAAGGAGTTCAGTATCAAGCGGCACTGTAACCCCCGCTACTTCATTTACTTCGCAATCACATTCAGCTTCTGAACGAGCGCCGACGCCTCGGCCCTTTAAGACCCATGCTGACCCAAATGGTGATCTGTGCCTCACGGTGGGTCCGCAGGCGGCCGAATTCATAGTCTGCTCTAAAACCTTGGCGAGGTCGTCGCCCTTCTGGAAGAAGATGCTCTACGGCGGGTTCGCCGAGGGCAAAAAGACACAGGCACAACCGGAAAACGGGAAGCCCGGTTGGGTGGTGAAGCTTCCCGAAGACAACGTCGCCGCCATGACTATCATCCTCAACATCATCCACGGTCGCTTTGACAAGGTCCCCGGCTACGAAGATTTCGTCTACACGACGCATTTTTACAACCTCTGCGTCTTGACGGATAAATACGGCATGACCCACGTCTTGCGGCCGTGGGCTAAGGGCTGGTCGCGGTCTACGCATAATCAGTGCGAAAAGCTTGGTCAATCTTTACGGACGAAATTTTGTCACGAACGGTTATGGATTGCGTGGGAGCTTGGGGACCGGGTCGCGTTCGAGAAGATGGCGAGATCGATGCTTATGGATAGTTGCTCTTCGGCAGGTAATAATCTGCGTTACGTGGGCGCTTTGGAGCCACCTGGAATATATGGTATGTCTACCTCTTGTCAAACCCCCTAATCTGTTTCTTATAGCTTATGAATTCTTTTTTACCACAGAGAGGATAGAGAAAGTCCGGCTGGACACAATCGTATCGCTTCTCAAGCCATTAAATGATATTATCGGACGTCTTGTCCGGAATGACGTATCATTCTGCAAGCAATGCGACTCCTTCAACAAAAACAGGTGTCTAGCACTGACGCTTGGGAAAATCATCCAGGCGCTCCACCGCCACGGGCTCTGGCCCATGCCAGAGTCTCTAACCGATCTTCCCTACAGCGTATCGACTCTTACTCAGAAACTCCACCTCATAGAAGTCGAGATCAACAAGGATAGCCATCACAACTCCATGTTCGGCTCGACAGATTGCGTGCGGACGGAGGTCGAAAACACGCTGAACGCTATCCCTTCGCTGCTGACCGAAGCCCATCTCAAACACCTCGCCGCCCAGGCCAAGAAGACCGGATTCGCTACGCCCGAAGCCCTGTTAGCTAAACCATGAGCGAATTTTTCTTTTGTTGGTATTTGCTATCAATACTAAGCCTAGCAAAAGTGAAGCTGGATTATTCGATATCTCATGCTGTTAAGAGCGCATGGAGATTATCAAAGCCAGCTTCCAAAAGCTCGGCAAGTTTCTCAGAGTCGCTCGCTCGCTGGCTGGCTGGCATATGTGGTTTTTCAAACACCCACAGGCGAGAGCTTGTACGCGACCCTAATATACCTACCTCTATTTACCGGCGGTATTGAGAGCCAATATCCACCACCGCTTTTGGCTCTTTTACGCCGCTGAGCACGAACCCCCTCCTCCCCACCCCGACAGATCTGGGGTTATTGGGCCGTAGACAGTACCACGGCGGGGGGGAGGGGGCCAGAAGCGTAACATACCTACATACGCGCATATTATGTACATATAAAAACCACCTAGTCATGATCTAAGCATAATTCGAGACACGTCATTAGTTCCATCTACGAGAAGAAGAATTCTATTACTTACTTCCTGTTGGCTCCCGCCTAGTGGGAAACCTGCCTTAGTGCGTGGGCCGTCGTAATGCGGCCAACCCCCCCCCGTCCTCCCCATAATCGCCCCATCTCGGGCGCTGGGACCATAAACTCGTGATGGACACAAGCATTTATTTAAGAGGCAAAAAAAGTCTTGGACTGACGTGACAAAGTGTCGGACATACGACAATTCATCCCAATATGTAGGGTATGTACATACCACATAGTAGTTACACGATTCAAACTCAACGTTTGTTCACTAAAGCACACAACCCAATAATGCTATGCTATTCTATTTTACACATCCATGCTCCCCGGATCCCGACAAGTAAAGATCTTGTATATCCTCTTGCTCACGGCGGGTCCTATAACGCGATCCGAAAAAGCGCCGTCCCGGTTGGCGCACTTGCGACAGTTCTCCAGCGCGAGCGGCCCGTTCTCCTCGAGCCCGCGCACGAGCTGGCTCACGGTGCCGTACTTGGCGGCGACGCCGTACGCGATGGGCGCCGTCACGCGCGTCACCTCCTGCAGCATGCGGACGTAGGTGTCCTTGGCGTCCTCGCCCGTCCGCACCTGCCCGACCTCCATGCAGAAGCCGGCGTCCGCCGCCGCGTCCCGCGCCTTCCGGTACGGGATCGTGCTGATGTGCTGCGTGAACACGGCGACCCACCCCGCCGTCTCGATCTGCGCGTTCGTGTGGTGGATCAGAGCTCCGTGGACGACCTGGAGGGATAGGAGCGCGTCCTCGATGATATCCTCGTCGATGTACTCCTGCTGGGCGTTGTTCCGGCGCCGAGTCTGGCCGGACGAAGTCGATCCCGCAGCGTTGGTAGTGTCGAGGGCACGAACCGCCGACGCGAACTGCCGATTGAGGATGCTCTTGTTCTTGCGCATCCAGGGCATGAGGCCTTCGATCAGATAGATGAACGTACTGTTCGGGAAGCTCGTCTTCATGTTCAGGACGTGAGCTTCCAGGTCCTGGCCTTCGGGGCCGAGAACGAGCTTCACGAATTCCGAGGCTTCGATGATAACCATGACGTGCGATTCCGGCTTGATGCACATCGGGATCGGCTCCCAGTGGCCTAGCGACTCGTTGTACTTAGAGCTTACTTTCCGCCGCCATTTTACGACGTTGCTAATGTGGCTATGCCAGTACTCGAACTGGACATTGATATCACCGAGTAACTTCTGAATCTGGGCTCTGATGCCGACACTTAGGGATTCAGGGAGGTCCACGATCATCTCCGGTACGGCGGCTTTCCTGTCGGTCTTGAGTTTATTGACTTCAGCTAGGGCTTTCTCCTTTTCCCTGTCGATTGCTCGCTGCTGTTTTGCCTTTTCCTTCTCGACTCGTTTCCGTTCCTTCTCCGCTTCCCTCGCCTCTGCCTTTTCCCTTTTTTCTCGCTCCCTCTCCTCGTCAGTTTTCTTCGGCTCTACCGCCTTTTTGGCTGTTGAAGCTTTCGCCGTGGGCTTGGATTTTTTACGAGGCGGAGAAGGCGATAGACTATACGCGCGCCTCTTTAACTTTGAGAAGCTAATTTCGCTCAATTCCGGCAAATCGGAGTCGGAGTCTGTCAGACTGTCTTGTTTCGGCGCTCTAGTTTCTGGCATCGAGCTGGATATTGGATCCCATGCCCCATTTTGCTTCGATTTTTTAGACGGGCCATCCCCCCCGAAACTTTCGGCATCGTCGTCAGAAAGGTCTATAATTACCGGTGTTTTTGACGCTTTTTTGCTCTTAGTAAAACCGGATGTGTCGTCACCTGACAATTTTTCGAATTTAGAGTTTTTCGATGGCTGACATATGTTACTGTCTCGTTCGGGAGAACTTCGAAATGGGTCACTTGAAAAAATATCTGGTTTACTCTTGTCTTTTCGAGCCGCGAAGATATCGGGAGAGCTGTTTTCTATCGGATCAATTGCGGAGCTCCATCGTTTTAATCCAACTGGAGAAAGCCGGCGTTTGCCCTTGGAAGAAACCGTGGCGGATTTGATCTTCAAAGTTACATCCTCCCTCTTCTTGAGATGCGCTGTAGAAGTTGAGGATCGAGCTTTCTCCGATAAATTTCCATCGAGATCGCCAGTCGTGTCGGATTCATCCGAGAGGAATAGAAAGTCGATATCGTCACGCCTATGTCCGTTACTGGTTCTTCTGGTCCCAGTGACTGGGTCCTGTGATTTTTTGTCTAGTCGTTCGTGGGGTTCTTTCAGCGGCGGCACCACGGTCAGGTCATGAACTCCGTAGTCGAGGGATCTGGAGGGAGCGGCACGGCATATTCGTGGTGAAATCTCGGGGGAGGTAGCGAGAATTGGTTTGGATGGAGCAGCTGGACTCGAGGAAAGTAGACTTATTACTTCGGTTGGCATCTTCGCATTTTTTAAAAAAAATAATAATAATAATAAACCTTGCAATTGGGTACCTAGCTTTGAAACATGCGAATTTAAAACAGCCAAAAGTAGCAAAGCTTGCAGCTGGGACGGCTAGTTAGGTACTTATTGACAAGTTGTGTTTAACTGTGGACGAAATGTTCAATCAATAAATTCAAAAATCTCACTTCAAGCAAACAACGCGTGTTTGTTGAGGCGCGACAGTGACGCGGGGCACGTGACACAAACTGCTAATGTTTGTTTCCAGCCACACAACCCCTCCTGTTGAATTGACCCTTACCCATGCAACCGTATATACATCTATGAGGTACTATATATCTCATTATGCAATATATCAAGTTCGGATCCGATCAATACATAGTATGTGCCGTTGGTTTGGGTCTTTCCACTTACCAATTCCCCTTTTAACGCGTAGCCACTTTTAAAAGTAATATTTCTTGATTGCTGACAAGGAGGTTTTGACAGCCTCACTTGAGTAAAGATCCTACCTAGTCCAAAGTTATCCATCTAGTGTAGTTTGGATGTGATACAAATGAAGATTAATTTTCTGCTGACAGCGCGCCACTGCGGCATTTGCAAAATGTATTTGCAAAGTACGGCTGAGAATATATCTGTCAGATATCCTCGAACATCGATCTGGATTTTGCTGCGCGTAATAGGTTGGGATCCACTGCGAACAATAGGAGAATTTCCCTCAAACCATGAAGTGCCTTCCTTGGTATAGGTATGTATGCGTGTACATTTACGTACATGCATGTCTCCTATTATATATATGTATGTACGCTCAGGCACCTGAGTGGGATCAGTGGAAACCGAAGAAAATGGCAAGAAAAACTGGGTAACTTCCCTTAGCTACGGCATCGTGGGCCTTTGCCGTGCCGCATAGGGTTGCGCACGATCACTTTCTAATGTTTCAACTGTAAGAAGCCTGTTTTTTGGGCCGTGGAGATTGGCGCATCAGATCATGATCAACGGTCATTGCGTTCCGCAGCTGCAGAATCTAGCTAAACTAGATGGTGAGCCGTAGAGAATGAAGTGTAAGGTCAGAACGAAATAGTAGTTGGTTATTGCAAATTTCTCACCCAGTCAAATTTGTAGCGTTGATATGCTAGGAACGCTCATTTATAAATCATTCAAACCAAATTAGCTGAATAAGGCAACATGTAAAAGGTATGTATCACTGTTGACTTGTGCGGGGTGGACTATGGGATGCACCGCAAGATAGAGCGGTGAAGTGTCGTTTCTATTACACCATATCGTAACTCCGTATGCATACGATGTGGTTGTAAGTTATAGTATGGTTGCTTTCGGTTAATAAGTACTAGCCTTAGTTTGCTAGGTTAGTATATTGGTTATTCTATCAAGATGAGGAGAATAGATAGCACTGGAGTTAAACATGGCAGTTATAACTATGTTATCTACCTAACTAAGGTTGTAAAGTGCGTCTATCAGGTAAGTATGTTGGATGTAATCATTAACGAGAATACCTTATAAGGAACAAAATCGATCATAAAAATTATTTAACTCCATCACCGCCTAAGCATATGTTAAAACCCCCAACTTTCCATATCGTGGACGCTAGTTTCACCGGCACTTGGACTCGACAACATGAGCTAATGTAACCTCAGGCTGCTTTGTCTACCTGGGATTTAGGAACTAAGTAGAGTAGTTTGGTTCTTTTCAGCCATCCCCAACTGTCGGGTCAGACTCAGACGAGCGTTAGCTAAAGCATTGACCATGACGATCTAGATGTGTTAAATTAATATTTGATACAAAATCTTTTTTTTAGCATCATTCTTGTTAAGCGTCTGCCGACTTGGCTTAGCTGGAAAGAGGCAAGTTAGACGCTTAAACGCTCAGGGCCAGTCAGTTAAGATCAAAGGGTGACCGGCGAAGGCGTTCCGGCAAGACAACTGAAACATGCGTCTTGACGGTTGAATCATGAGTGGAACAGCGGTTCGAGATTAAGACTGCGACATACACGTGATATCCGCAAGATCAAGGGGTCCGTGAGCCATGGACCAAGCTTATGAGCCATCAAAGACGCCTCGAATTTATGAGCATCACTATGATTGTGACCCGATATGTTTGAATCATAATTAATTGATACCGCTCTATGGCTGTGTACCTTTTTCAACTTTTTTCTTCTTTGTTTTACGATATCGCATAGCATATCGAAGACTGATAAATGATTGCTTTTTGATACGATCACCTATGATAGACGAAAATGGCGTTTTCGGGGAGAGAGAAAAAGGCTATGATTGGCAAGCCAAGCCAGCTGTGTATGATATGATATGTGTGTACGACTTGCCACCCGACGCCATAGTTCATTCTGATTATCTATCGGGGAAGATTTGTATAGCTGTTGAACTACCGTTGATGTATGAAGTAGCAATATTTAACATACATAAAAATATTTCTTTCGTGAGCTTAGATGATCAGTCACTTTTCCCAAAAAAGTTGGCTGGCAGCATCATTTTAGTTAGGTCGATCATAGCAAGCTTACGAAGTACTTGACCCTCTTTTGGATATGAAGCAGTTGGTTGGACAGAGTCGAAACTGACGATGCGAGTGTGGCATTTGTGCCTGCAGTAGATTTCCCCCTTTGGCATGCCATCCCTCTTTAATATTGCTCTAGACTTCGTGAAGAGGAACCGCTCTGGCGCCGTCGGTTTCCTAAAATCAGCTTTCGGAATTCACTTGGACTAATTTGGCCATCCCGGCCCGCTCTCGTGTGCTGCAGTCAGCGCTAGAGCATCTACGCAAGTGGGTATGTGCTCCGTAGGAGCCAAGATACCTCCCTAGTAGCCTGTTTACCTGTACGTGTACGAAGCAGATCATAGGTGCAGGTGGGCTTTGTCTCCCATCTCACATATCTCAACGCTATAACGCTAGGTGACCTTGGCTGCATGTTAAATCCGGTACGTATTGTACAGGTCGAATTTATTAGAGGGACTAAAAAGGACCCCGTCTAAGAAATATCTCTATGCAGTGGAACAAGGGCACAATCCGTGTGGATATTGAAAGACAAACAATTATAAGATTTCTTACGTCCTTATTATGCCTTTCGGTATGCATGGTAAAAAAACGTGGACGTTGAACTGCCATTCTCGGTATCGGGTTATAAAAGACGGGAGCGGAGAGACAGTTTGTCCCGCAACACAATATCTGCCAAGCAGCATCACAGGAATTGTTTGGCTACCTTTAGTACCTGTACCATGGCGACGTGGAACTTTTGGTATGACATGGGGATGACAGCATCGGGTGCCTTAGGTAGGTACTTAGGTAGGCGTCAAGGACCTCACTGCACAAAGTATGCCTCGGGGTTTTATAACTTGCCTTGCATCCACCGAGCGAACTCAAACAAAACCTGCAGGATCTAAGTCAACATCTAATTCCACACAGATTTACACTACATTGGGTACCTAACATATGCAGTGTACGTGGTATAAGCCATGCAGTGTGTATAAAAGTAAAAGTTGTTACTTTCTTGAGGTAGATAGGTATTCTAGGTGGGTGTTAGGTACCTAGTATATATATTTTTTTCATCGAGGATAATGAATATCTAAGGTATGAAAATACATCCTCGTAAAAATTGTGCCAACTGCTCATTATAATCCGAGAACCGCAGCCGTTGAGGTAGTAATACACAGTTATATTGTATTGGCATGTATTTTCTCATTAAGCGACGTGTTTAATTTGCCCTTAACTCTATTGGGTAATCGTGCAGTTCTGATAGGGGAGTGGACCCCCCCTGTAGTTGATTCTGCGCGCGACACCCCTGCGTCCCCTGTTTTTCCCCCTGCTTAGGAGGTACATAAGGTATCCCACGATTAATTCCCACAGCTGCACCCACGCTCTTGCGACTGCCCACTGCGCAAGAAGCAAGCAGCAATAGGTATTTCTACCTGAAATACCAGGTACCTTACCCAGAGGTAATAGGTACATTCCTAGATTAGATGCAAGCCCGTAGTTACCTAGGTAGATAAAGTAATCAACGATGGATTTTTTAGTGCACGTTCCTGGACTAAATAATAAACAAGTGCTACCCCAAATTTTCATTCCACCCCCTAATTCTGATCGCCATTCCCGGTCCACGTTCGAGAGCAGAGTCAGAGAGAACTCTACGACCACGCGCGACAAGAGAAAATGTACTGGGCAATTTAGCGACGACATCGTGTAATACATGCGAACACAAACGAACGGTTACGAATCTATGCGACGCATGACGTTGGTATACAACAAGCAAGTATCTCGACAGCCTTTCTCTTGGGTTGAAGGGTTTCTGTCCATATTAAAAACGCACTTTTTGGGTGTTTAAGACTTTATGAATATTTGACGAACCTATTTGACTTTCTCGCATCAACATCATACGTTCCACTTTCCACTTTCCACGCCTTCCCTCGACCCCGGATCGACCATCTCTTGGGAACTTCACACAGTAATATCGTATAATCTGGATTGGGTTGGTCCACCACACCTATAGGTATTTACCAGGCCGGTTCTCACCGCCGTTATGGCAACATCTCCTCCCGGATCACCAGGCTTACCACGACCATCAAGCGCCATGAAGCCGGTACCGAGAAGTAGCAGCCGCATGAGCATGAATAGCAAAGCAGGCGGGAGCAGGGCTTCGGATGAAGATGGAGGTCGCACTGCCGTGAAAGTTGGTAAGTAACCCTACACCTCTAGGAGGCCCTCTTAGGTTTGTTCAAACGGCGGATCACAACGCTAATGGTTGACGGGTAGCCGTTCGCGTGCGGCCACCGCTGAAACCTACGGATCCCGGCTATGAGCTGATTCCGCAGCGATTCCAACGTTCTATGGTACAGACCACGTCGGATACGAGCATTTCCATCGATTCACCGCAGGGGAAGAAACTATTCGTTTTCGATCGAGTGTTTGGTCCCGATGTTGACCAAGAAGGAATCTGGGAATACCTGCAAGATAGTATTAGCGCCTTTATCCAAGGTTATAACGTCTCCCTTCTCGCATATGGTCAGTCCGGCGCAGGAAAGTCTTATACGATGGGAACATCTGGACCTCTGCAGCAGGGTGATATGGAGTCCATGGGTAAGCGAAGCCTGATATCGCAACATACTTAACTATTGACATATATCTTGCGTAGGTGTGATCCCACGAGCCGCGATGGCTTTATTCGAGAAGTTAGAAGGTTCTTCGCGAAATTCGAATCGCAGTTCTACATCCCAATTGCGAACGCCAGCGCGATACTCATTGCAAACGCCAACGCCGAAGAGCGAGAAGAATTGGCAATTGAAAGCGACATATGTAGAAATTTACAATGAGCAGCTTCGCGACTTGCTTGTGCCAGACCATCTTCAGCAATATGAGCGGAGCAATGTCACGATTCGTGAAGATCAAAAGGGTAACATCATTCTTACCGGCCTGCAACAGATTGACATTAACTCAGTGGATGACCTTATGAATGCTTTAAACTTTGGTTCGACAATCCGACAGACTGATGCGACAGCTATTAACGCTAAATCTTCGCGTTCGCACGCCGTCTTCAGTTTAAATTTAGTCCAGCGCAAAAACAAATCCCAGAGCTCTCAGGGAGCCAATAAGAGGTTCTCGGTTCCACTAGAGGCCATGACGGGAACCGATACATGGGTCACCACAGACAGCAAACTTCACTTCGTTGATTTAGCAGGTAGTGAACGTCTAAAGAATACTGGCGCTCAGGGTGAGCGGGCTAGGGAAGGTATCTCCATCAATGCTGGTCTCGCTGCTTTGGGCAAGGTTATATCGCAGCTTTCATCTCGACAGGCTGGATCGCACGTGTCTTATCGTGATTCAAGGTTAACGAGACTCCTTCAGGATTCCCTCGGTGGGAATGCCATTACCTATATGATTGCCTGTGTGACCCCGCCGGAATTCCACCTAAGCGAAACCCTGAACACAGTACAGTACGCGCAAAGGGCCCGTGCCATTCAGAGTAAGCCGAGGATCCAACAGGTAGAGGAGGGTGATAAGCAGGCAATCATTGAACGACTAAAGGCCGAAGTGGCTTTCTTGCGCGACCAGATTCGAAACACGGAACGTAGTGGGGGTGAGCGTCGCAATGTTACAACAAGCGAGAAGTCCGAGCGGCAAAACGAACGAGAGTCGGAACTGCAAGATCAGCTCTTGGACATCCAGGAAAGTTACAACAGCCTAAGCCAGCGCCATGCTAAGCTCATTGCCGAAATGGCCAAGGCCCGTGACAACGAAGCTGCCGAAAATCAGTCTCTTGATGATCACGTCGGCGATACAGCAACAGAGAGGTTAAATCGGTCTAATTCGTTTGCTCAGGCTGTCGAACAGGTTGTATTGGAATACGAAAAGACAATACAATCACTGGAGCAGCTACTTACTAGCACACGGGCCACACTCTCCAGCACAGAAACAAGCCTTCTTGAGAAGGAAACTAAATGCGCCTACGTTGAAACCATCAATGCTCAGCTGCAAAAGCGTCTGCAAAAACTGATGGATCGCGAGGCCAGCACGGAGAGTTATCTTCACGACTTGGAAGCCAAGCTTGATGGTCACACATCTGGCGAAGAAAAGAATGCCACCATTGTCCTGGAATTACGCAAGGAGATCGCACGAATCCGAGAGAATGAAGCCTCTTGTGAGGAGTATATTTCAACCTTGGAGGAGAGACTTGCGGAGTCTGATCAAGACCAAGAGTTGATGCAGCGCGAGATTGATCGTCTCGAACAGGTTATTGAACGCCAACGAAGCCTCGGCAAACTCGACAATCTCCTTCACGAACTCGACCATATCCAGCAAGACGGCAAGGAACCCGACGCCCAACCCGAACTAGGAAATGGCAACGGACATCGTCGTACCGTTTCAGAGCGATCGACTAAGAGCCATGCTAGTCGACAAAGCTTAGGCATGAGGGGAACTCTTCCGGAAGTCGCCGAAGGTACCGAGGAAGAAGTCAACGACCAAGATCACCCCGATACTGTTCTTGAACATGAATCCCTCGACAAAGTTATCGAAACGCCAGAAAGGGTGCCCACGCCTACGGATTATCTACCTCAAAGCCCGGCACAAAACAAGTACGTCGCTGACAAACTCGAGTCTGTCACCGAAGAACTCGTTGCTCTACGGGTTGAACATGAATCAACTATCAACGAATATGATATGCTTCACGCGAAATACGAAGAGGCTTTGCGTTCCCTAGCAGAGTTACAAGACCAGGTCGATGAGGCAAGGTACCCAACCCGTCCACGCGATTCAATCATATCTATAACATCTCCGAGCGAGACGAGGCCTCGGAGTTTTTTATCCGAGATGAGGTCAAGCGACGCCAGAGATGGGACACACTTATCGCGATCTCTATCCTCGGAATTATCATCAGCTATGGACTCCCCTACTACTCTCGATATTCCGGAGAGCGAAACCTCCAAGTCTTGTGAGTCCCGGGAGACTCTGATAGCCGATACTTCAAGCGCCGACCACAATGAAGCCCTCACAGCTGAATTGAGGAGGCTCAAAGCATTAGCTCAGGAAAAGCAGGCAGCCGAGAAAGAACTCGCCGATAAGTACGCTCAACTGGAGGAACAGCACCAGGAAACGCTAGACATGGTAGAAGAACTCAAAACCGAAGTAGCCAAGGCCAAATACGCAGAGCCGCCTTCTCCAAGGACGGGTACGCCAGTGATTCGCCGAAAGTCCAGCCAGAATGTGATGACCATTGACCGTGCACATCGATCATTCGCAACGCTCAGAAATATGGCAGCTGAACACTTCGAGGGCCAGCCTGCCGTCATGCAAAACTTCGATCGTAACCTGAATTCTGCCATGCACGAGCTCCATGTTAGATCAGAGCGTATCCAAGAATTGGAGGCTGACATTGCTGCTGTGAAGAAAGAAATGGAGAGCAAGATGACAATAATTTCAGGTTTAACACGTGAACGATCTAGCTTGAAGTCTAGCCCGATAGATATTTCCATGGTTGCTGCATTGAGGGAGCAGCTAGAGAGGAACGAACGACAGCTTCTAGACATGAAAGAGAATCATGCTACTCGTGAAAAACAACTCGTTGACCAGTTGGAGGCTCTGCGCGTTTCGGTCAAGGAGGCTGATGAAGTCAAATCGATGTCAGCGGTCCCAGTACCGGATGGAAACGAACAAGAACGTGAGCTATGTGCAGCCCATGAAGCTAAGATTGCTCATCTTGAAGCCGAACTTGCCAATTGGGAAAGTAAGCACGACGCTGCGTTAAATGCTCTGCAGGCAACCGAGCAGCAAATGAAGAAAACCATCAGCGATCTTGAGGCTGAGGTTGCAGCTGCACATGCAAAGGCCGACGAACCCCGCGCCGAGGCAAAGAGCGATGAAGAATCCGACGAAGCGGAAGCTAAGCACCAAAATCTTGTCGCCACGCTGCGCAGTGAGATTGAGAAGTTCAAGTCGATCGTTGATGGCAATGCTGCTAAAGTAACTCAACTGGAGCAGGCACATGCTCTCGCGAAAGATCAACTGGAAGAAGCTTTCAAAGCGCGAGATATTGCTTCTGCAGAATCGCGTGGCTATCAGGAACTTGTTAGCCGGCTCGAAATTCAGATTGCAGAGCATGAGAAAACACTCCGTAATTACGAGCAAAACCTTGCTCAGCTCCACGACGAGCACGCCAAGGAAATTGAGGAAATTCGAACCAGCTCCAAGGAGGAGTACGACGCGCAAATCGATATCCTTATGTCGGAACATGCCGAAAACATAAAATTACTGGAAAGCGATGTCACGGAAGCACGCGATGGGCTAATGAAGATTGCTACTCAAGTTGCTTTTGCCTTGGGCCTTGATATAAGCGTTGACAAGATCAGCGAACGTATTGAGGATTTGATTGCGGATCAAAAGGCCTTGAACATTGAACAACAGAAGTCCGTCGAGCTTGAAAGTCATATCGATGAGCTATCGGCGATTAATAACACGATTATGCGTGACCTTGAGACCGTGAAATCTTCGTTGAATGACATACTCCATCCTGACGGCGAGGATACCAAGAACCCCTACTCCTCTATAACGGAGCAGCTTACAGCCCTGAAGAAACGAATGCATGATCTCGAGAACAAGAATAAGAAACACTCTCGTCTAGTGGAGGAGTTAGAGGACCAACTGCAGACTAACTACGACCAAGCTCAACTCACCAATAACAGATTGTCTACACTCCAGTCTGAGCGCAATATGCAGCTAGAGGAGGCTAATGCAGCTAGAATCAAGGCGCAGACGGAGTTAGAAACTGTCCGGGAGGAAATGGTGGCACTGCAGGTAAGCTTATTTTACATATACCTGATCACTTGTAATAGTAGACTGACACATATCTAGGCCCGTATTGATGAGCTTAGCGCTGCCGAAGGACCAAAGCGGACCGATTCTACGAGCTCGCAGGTCCGCAAGACATCATCTATCATATCTTTGCCGTCACCACCACCCGCCATTCCTCTTCCCCCTCTACCACCCAATGGTACAACTTCGCCAACTCAAGGCGTTCCAGCAACGCCAACAGGTGGCCGGCCAGCTAGCCATGACGTCGCTTTAGCCCAGATCCGAGAAGACCAGGAGGCACGCATACAAAGCATCGAGAGACATTTGAAAGCTGAAAGGCAGCTTACTGCTACATTGGAAGAAGCTTTGACGGATCTTGAAGCCCAGTCTAAGAAGATGAAGGCTGACTGCGAAGCCTGGAGGAAACGCGCCCAGGAACTTGAGGCTGAAGTCAAAGAGCTTAAGGAGCGACCCCAACAAGACAACCGATGGCGTGATAGCCTTCATCAGATCGAGGAAGAGCGTAAGAAGCGCCAAGACGCCGAGAGGGCTAGAACCCATCTGGAAGAGCGTATGAACGCTATCAACAACAAGAAAAAGAAGAAGGGCAGCCTCAACTGCTTTTAGTCGCGAGGTTGGCATAACGTGCCTCTAGCCAGCTTCTGCCAGCTGCGTTTATGTAGGCGTATCTTCATGCTCCCAATCACGCCATTTGATTTGGGAACTTGTTCTGTATTGTTTTTTACCAGGCACATAGTGCACGTCTGGCGAGGCGTTTCGGGAGTTCAATACTTCACTTCTTCACTTCGCGTCATGTTGTACATGTTGTACTTTGTATTTGGAGATGTTTGCGGTGTTTTACCGGCGGAAAAAGAAAACGCCACCATATACCCTTGCGGTCTTCCCTTTCAAGTTTTAATTAGTCAACCCCCGATATTCTCTACGGCAGACAACGAATGATCTGGATGGGATACGAAATGAATCGTTGCTAGGATGTGTTTATGGGATAGTTATTGCTGAAGGAACTGTCGGTCGTTGAATTTTCCCGATTCTAGCAGGCTCCTCTTTGATGCTGTGATGTGTAAAGGGGTTGGACGAGAGATTTATAACTAAGTACAGCAGACCCTCTTGAGAGCTGAAATACCACAGAACTTCCTTTATCTTCGATCTAACGTGCTTGTAGTTATTCTCCGTGGTCAATGTTGTCTTCCTTATGTTGATAACTTATAGTGGGATGTTACTGTAGAGTTAGTTACCTGGAACTAAACGCGATTATGTATTATTGCATCTGTTAGATTTATTATGAAATGTATCCTTTGCGAATACACGAAGAGCCGCTATTATTTTATTACCTTAGGTAGAAATTTTAGACACGACGGTTGCCGTAATATCCGATTCTTGAAATGTAATAAAATTAAGAAGTGTGTATCTCAAAGCTCTATGCGATAGCTGTCATGGATCAGTTAATAGGTGTCGTATTGAAGCTAGAAACTCATCTTACCTTACGCAATAACAACAGCGTAATCTCCGAGAGGTTACACAAGTAGAAAAGAGCTCTCAATCTTTTCCATCCCTTGCGTTTGGTACTAACCGTGAGATGTACCTGAAAAGGGGTGCATTGGACAAGCAAGGAACATTTGGTTGTAGGCCGAGTCTAAGTACCTTAGCTTATTGTGTGATATATTCATGCTCATGTTGCAGATATAGCCTGTATTTTGTTGTATACTTAGCATGGAGTAGAACATATGTGCATGCAATCTTTGACCGGTGGTCGCCCCCTAGGCACCATGTGTCCATTGTGCCCAACAGCTGGGATAGATTCACCAGGAGGAAAGTTACATGTATCACAGTCCGAGTGCTTAGATCTTATACACTTAATTCATACTTGTTCCGCGCAGCCGTCGCGCTCCAGAATAGCTACCTATATCTCCGGATGTAGATGGACTAGGCGTTACACCGTACCTATGATTCTAGTAAGGCCGAAAGAGAGTAGTACTTAACCTTCATTTCACACCGACCAGATATGGAAACAAACCTATCCCTTTTACGATGACGTCGAAGCTAGTGACTTCCCCTACAGCCAGCATAGTGGCAAATCCAACTGGCAGGGAGATATCTCGGCAAACCTATCCCTTCTTTCAAACAGTTGAACATGTGATTTTATAGATTTATTTTTCTTCATGGACCCATAATTCATAACCCTTCACCTGGACGGATCATCAGGAATGTGGACAATTTATTCGTTCCGTAATGTTCCCGTCTATGTGTAGCCCGTTAGAGTTTTCAAGGCTGACAAATCCACTCGACATCTTCATCGATAAACTGTGCCACTTATTCGTGGGGCAGGCTTCGACCTCCGCTGGACCGGTGAGGCGCAGTGTCTTTCGGCAGTGGAATACCTGCATATAGTCTGCCTACAGATACAGCCTCACCTTACAGGGCGAGCCTCTTTACTCTATGGAGCCTAGGTCCCATGCAGTTGAACACTCAAATCTCGAGATAACTAATCGTGTACAATACGAACTATAAGATGTAGTACTTTCAAATACAATCACGTAATAACTCAAGTAAACCCTTTGAAGACGAAAGTGTTCGTTTCAATTGATGTATATAGGTAATTAAATAGGTTTAAGGAGTGACAATCCATCACAACTGCTTGGTCACATCTTCAAAAGCCGCAGCCCAATCCGAGAAACTAGTAAGTCGAATATTGTCGTGAAGGGAAACAGCTTCCATCAGAATGTTGCCTTTTTCCAGAACTCTCGCGTTGCAATCTTCATATCTCTTAGATGCCAATAGGGGTCTGGCAGAGAATGCTCTGGCCAAGCTGTAGAGACTCGTTAGTATGCGAGTAATTGTGAAGCTCGTTAATATTCGGGTACTTACGATAGGGAGAACACAGCAGCGAGCTCGCTGTCCAGCGGCAGCACAGATGCCCTTGAAGTCTTCCGCGCTGTAGGGAACCTTGCCAGCTGTTGTAGAAGCGTGGTTAGTTAAGTGTATATAATCGCTCAGTTGATGTAAAAATTCAAGAAATGGCCTTACGAGAATGGCAGTCCAGATCAGCTACACCAAGGACATCGGTAGCACAGCACTGAAGAGAGTTGTGGAGACCGCTGCAAGCGTCATAGGATCCATCGGGGTATCCGCGCTTGGCAGGACTGGCGGCGGCGGCGGTAGCCAGGACAGCAACGAAGAGAGTAGAGATCTGCATTTTGATGGTGGTTTGGGGTTTCTGGAACTTGAAGGCTCGGTGAATGTGTAAGAAGCAGAAGTGATGGTTGATCTGTTTGTGAAGATGGAACTGGTTGATGATGGTGGAAAACCTTAGATGAGTTGGGAGGATTACGACTTCTTATAGTCGACGGTAGTCTCTCCTTCTTACTTATGACCAGGGCTTCTAATGGTCAAGGCTTTTCGGCGTGGTTTTGCCAACATCGTGACTCCTTGCAACGTAGCGGTGACATGGACAAAACCAGCACAGTGACCCAGAATAATTCACTTGACGCTGATGGGGAACAGTCGTCAGCCTATTAGCCTCAGTCTTGGAAAGTAGCTAACCAAACGATAGAAACAACTCCCGTACAAGCAGATGAAGAGTTGAATGCACAGCACATGGGTATGTGTCGTCGGTTCTTCTTACTCAATAAGGTAAATGATCATCACTAAAACTCTATGGAGTTGATTTGAAGTGTCTCTTACATAGAGCAAACCCTGAATGGTTTAAGGAAAATAACCAATGAGAGACAACTACGACAATGATTCTAGATGTTGCAATCAGATGTTGCAATTTCCTGTACCAGCTTTACCTCCTTAGGATGTATCACTAAACAACTTTATAGATGACGTCGATTGTAGTCTCTATGTTTCATTTAACCCGTTATTTGACCATACTACTAGGTATCAACTAGGTACGCAAGCAGCCAAGACTGTGGCCAATGTACTGGAGCAGTTTAGTTGGAAGGCACATATTTTACCTCGGGTGTATTGAATGTTAGAATAGTCCTTGTATGTAAGTTCAAAGCTACCCAATGCTTATACAGGTGCCTATTCCTGTTCGATGATTTCATGTCATACAATAGAGATTTAGCGGTCAAATCTTCACTACCTATCCAAACTCCTATCTTCCATACCGACCTACTCAAATCCCAGGAGAAAGACCAGTGCATTGTCCATTGCAGACCTCGTATAATAAGCTACCCGTATGAAGACTGTACAATGTAATAGTACCTAATGTATGTACGTGTGCCTGGCTAGACAGGGTTTGTTCAGCTATAATGTCACCCCCGCAAATTCCTAGCCCTATGTACGTGCTTAGGTACCTAATAGTAACTATCTTCATAATAATTGTTAATAATAATCTTATCATCTCCTCCCGGCATAATTATGTTACAAGGTTTCAGCCGCAAAGCCTGTGTTGTCTTTAGTAACTACATAATACACTACTTCCTTGGGGTGTATAAAAGATCTTGGCAGCCGTTCATAGGTTGGTTAATACAATTCTCCACCGACGGATCTGAGCTGAACCAGATCTGACAGGAGCTTGGGTAAAATTTTAGGGTTTGAGCGTGTAGCGAAAATCACGCCAGCCAAACGGATGGCTGATGCGGCCGCGTGAGGCGGAGTGACAGGGCCAGTTGAATCTAGAGCAATCTGCGTACCAGTTCTTCTTTACCTACTTCGAAATTACTCACAAATCAGTAATATGATATTACCCCTATACCTAGTTGGTGAGTTAGCGTATAGGCCGTAAGGAAATAAGATATTTCCGTAGTGAATTTTTTCGTATTTTTTCATGAACCTATTGAGTTTTTTTAAGGCTTCTACTTGTGGGCCTATCCACGTAATCTTCATATCTTGCGTTCTATTCTGGAGAAGTACGCGTACCTAAACACTATGTACGTGTGATGTTAGCGCATCGCGGGCTGCAAGCTGTGCAAGCTATTTCCCCTGTTTTAATATACGCAGCTGATTCCATTGTGGCAAAGGTCTGCCAAACAGGCTCTGAGTGGACAGCTTTGTGCATAGCACTATGGAACGGGACGCTGAAAACCTTCCGGGGAGAAAGTTGGGACGATATGCGGCAATTCATGCCGATGTCATTTTCCTTAGTCTTGGATGCTTGACCGCGGAACTCGGCCGCCGGGAGCCTTAAAGAAAAGATCGGTCTGCCGAATCACCATTGGACACCCAACCTACAAATTAATTTGCGAAAATAAGCTTGGAGGGGACCTTGTTACCGTGCTCTGCTCCAAATCACACAGAAATAGTAGGGTTTCTCCCTCATTTCATCTCTTGGGTGGTAGCGAATCCGGTCACAAGCCCTGTTAGGCTCATCGGTCCAGCGGCAAAGTTCAAAAGACTTTGAAGGTCGTCGCTCTTGAGTTTTCTGTTGAGATGAGTTAGCGTCCGGAAAACCCGCGGCCTGCAGAAGCTGCATTAGTTGCGCAACTAATAAGTTCGGCACCTGACTTTCGTTAAGAAAATAGGAAAAAACAGGAGACAATATGATGAGTTCAACTGTTCACGTGAATCGTGAATCATTTCTTGAAAAATCTCGTGTTTATCTCATAAGTCATCAAGGACATATGCTTTGAAGAAAAAAAAAAGCCGTCTAGATTATACGTGTAGGGAGGTACTATTTACGTGTATTGTTGGGGTATGATTTGGTCTGGACCAGAGAGGAGACCTTCTATGGAGTCGAGCTCACCATCTTGCAGTTATCCGTGTCCTGGGTAATCCTAACATTAATGTGTGGTGACCTCTCGAATGCTCCGAAAATGAAACCTTGCAAGCCATGTCTGCGACAAAAATATTCTAATCCTCTTCCCCCATACCATGAAGATTATGAGAACAAGATTATTCGCTAATAGCACGCCGGCAAAGATCCCGGACATGACAACACCATACCCAGATTCCAATACCCAGGTCAGCACTTTCAGGCCAAACCCGAAAGAGATAATTTGTTTTCCTATGTTCATAGCAATGAGCATCTCAGACGTGTTAGCGTAATAAGAGTCAACTGCATATGCAAGCGTAAAGGAGAAATAAAAATATGCGGCCCAGTAATTCATCGCCCCTCCAATGAAAAAGCATATCCAATGTAAACCTCGCTCTGCCGTTAGTCCGTACAGAACGATTCCTGCAGGTCCAACAATCATTGGAATTGTCATGACGCCCAAGCGCATTTCGGCCTCCCGAATTCCATTGTTTCGTTTCGTAAAGAAAGCAGCAAGCCTGTCTGACGATGAGGTAAAAGGGACAGCAAGTCCGTAACCCACGATAGCAGCAAGGGCGAAGAGTCCCGAGTTGGTCTATCATTATTATACGTGAGTCAAAACCCAAGTGGTTGGATAATTCTTTTACAAAATCAACTTACCACTGTCCAGTTATAAGGTGGCGATGTAATAACAATCGGAAACGTATACGAAAAAGACAGGGCCGATAAGCCAATCTACTGCACGTTAACACGTCGATGTTACCTCGTAATTATAGAACTACTCCTTCAAGGGGATAGATTGTTACTATAAGACGTACTGCAAATAAGTTAGCATTCATAGTAAGCCAAGGGGTATAATACCCAATAAAAACCCGGCTTTCACACTTACCATTGATTCCAAACGTCGTGATAACCCAGAGTGATTGGGGAACAACTTGGATGGTGTCAGTACTTCTTTTGGTAATGCAGCCAGATGCTTCGGAATGGGACGTCGTCGCTCCCGAAACGACTAACAAAGGGAAAAGGGATCCTCATACGAAAATAAGTAAACGAACGGATCATTGTAGTGAAAAATGGAACGTTGGAATCAATCCTTCCCCGCAAACTCAATGTTTCTAGGACGCTTTTACGCGGTGGAACAATAAGGTCAACATGCTGGGTCCCCTTTTCAATCTCATGGGCACGTTCCTTTTCGGGTTCGTTTGGTGGCGTGGAAGGTGTCACGAGGACTCGGCGATCATAGGACGTCTCTTCGACAAGGATGAAAGCTAGTATAAGCAATGCTATGGCGAACGCAAATTCCACGTAGAAGAAAAGTCTCCACTGATGGACAACGTGTTAGTAGTTGCATCTTTTGGTGGCGAGTTGGGAGACGCTCTAATATCCCATGGATATAGGCCCGACAAGGGAGAAGAGAATTTGATATTACATACGCCGTAGCCGCCAGAGAGCATATACCCAGCAGGCAATGAAGCAAGAGTACCGAGACATAGACAGACTGCTAACTTTAGAGATGTACTAAGCAAAAAGGGGATAGATACTATGCTTGATACCTGTATAGTATCCAATACGTTTGCCCCTTTCATGTAGAAAGAAAATATCATTGACTAGCTGTACTGGCAATGCTTCGCATACTATTTTAATATGAAGGCGTTATATTAGTACTCATCTAATTGATAGATTCATGAGGTTTTGGTGTATTCTATAAGCTGATATATTCAAATGTGGACTTAAAAATAGAGAGGGTTATTTTGCTTACTGCTAGATATTAGTTACTGTATAAAAGTATTTCAGGTGAAACTTACCCGCAAGATCCAAAACCGTGAACTACACGAGCTACCATTAAACCGCCGAATGAAGTACATTGTGATGCCCCTATCAAACCAGCAGCAAATGTAACGAGTGAGAACAGCATGACTGGTCGGCGGCCATACTTCAGGTATAAGGGCACAAAAATTAAGGAACCTTCATTGTATTAACGCTGCTTTCTTTCACCTTTCATGGGGACCACATACCAAAGCCAAAAGCGAGGTTGGGATAAGATACAAGTTCGGACGCCATAGCTGGCGAAATATCAAACTCTTCAGCCCAGATATCGATGTATGGTGACGGGCCAATTATAGCTGCGTTTGCAAGAAAAGAATAAAACGAGCAAATAATAAGAATCATCGTCTTCTTAAAACTGGACCACTATGACCACGTTAGAACATGCCCCTATTCACATTTTCGTAGAAACAGACCTGTAAAGGATCATTGGGGTCCTCAGCAGGGACTTTGATAACGTTAGTAAACAGAATAAAGCCAATTAAAGATGTAATGGGCCTGGGGAGCGGAATCACCTGGAAAGAGGGCCATGCCATAGCCCGTATCGTCGCCCTCTACGAAGTGCCACAAGACATCGAGTCAGCGTCAGAACGTCGGAAAAAAAACTATACAGCGACATACCAGCGACTTGTAAATTCACTGTTCCTGGTATACCTTCCTCCTTCGCGTGACTATGCACAAGGTGGCTTCTACTACGGGCAGCAACTTTCGAAGACATCGTAGACCTGTTGGGCGTTACCAGGGCCTTGGAAAGCCAAGATAGGAGGTCAGATTTAAACGCGGGGAAAGACGCGGTTGATGCTAGCGAGTAGTCTGTGATACGTATGTCGTACGGTTTTCTTTCAAGATTGTATCCTTCACGATCTGATCTCTCATCCGCCAGGATCACGGTTCCTAGCCAAAACTGCGGAGGGTCCTCGACCGTCCGTCTATTAAATCGCGGGGAAGCTATCAACATCCAGGGTCGTATCGCTGTCCATAATAGGAATTATTATATCTGGCATCTTAGCGGTGCGGAGAGGCCATATTAATACAGCCGAAATCCTCCAACCGAGGACTTCCACTGGGAATCTGCTTTTTTTTGGCAACGACGTTTGCTATCGCGAGAGATGCCTTGCTGGGTAGAAATAACTCCTATGATTACCCTGCGCCGACCCAAATACTAGGGATAAAGTCTGGATGCTGGGTTCGTCGACATATGCAGTATATTTTGCTATGATTTTAATCACGTTATGGCTACTAGCTTGTTCCATATATACCTACCTGGTACTTATTTGCGTTTAATTCGACTACAATTCGCCTACCTTAGGTACCTGTTATATACCTATATAACACGGCCACTTATTATGTTTCTTTGCTCCATAGGATAGATATAACCTAAGCAAAGCGAATATAGCGTGGAAGATACTCTACATATAAGAGAATTTACACAAAAGAGAATTTCCCGAAGAACTGACAGTAAGTGGCATGGCGCACGGGGCCGCTGTGCCCCGAGCGCTTACAGTGCCTCGGCCGGACGGTTCGGTAAGAAAACGTGACCAGCCAGTCAGGATACTAGGCCGACTTTGGAATAGCACGTATAGATGAGCCCAGGGAGACAGACAGTTCCGAAAATAAGTAAAAAATAAAAGGAAAGTTCTTTGAATCTGACCTTTACGGAAGAGCCGGAGGCCCGTTTCGGAGTGGTGTGTTTAACATACTACCCAAGTAAAATAAGAACGCTTACTTCTATTTGGCTTGACTCCCCGACGGCTTGATGCCCTGTCTCGAGGAGCATGCTTTTTTTTGATCTCGCTTAAGTGGTCTGGTCTGTTATCGTAAGACTGGTAGGTTATTATATCAGCATGTCAGTGTACCTTACATAGAATTCCAATTATGCTGAGGCATAGTTTTTGGAAATTGCGTCCAAAAGACGAAAGTACTTATTCCTGGTCTATAATTCATCCTCTTCTGGTTTATCTGATCCGGTTGTCGGCCGTCGTAGAGGAAGTACAAAGTAGGAATCGGTCGAATAAAATCATCGTGATGCATGTGCTGGTAATGAAGTTCGCCAAGACGTTAATTCTCTGCTGCCAGGTCCCACGAAGCCCGGAATCTAACGGTCATGGTGTTCGCTCATTGGTAGAATTTGATCTTATCACAGCTTTACCATGCCTAAAAGGGTCGACATGGTATTGCTGCGTCCCCGACTCCGAGTTCACAGCGGCCGGCGGTGAGAGGCCCAGGGGTTGGGGAGTTGACCCAACCCCTCCAAATTGGATCCAGAATGGACGAATTGTCCAATGAAATAGCTAGAGTCTGCCTCCCAACCTCGATTAAGTCTTGACCGTAACTCTATCAATAATGAGGGGTGGCGAGATGCATCGTGCCCGCATGCGCAAACTAGGACCGATCTAAGGTAAGAAATATGCATGTGTATGAAGAGAAGCGTATGTGTATAAAAGCTCAAAGACCCTCTCTGGGCAACGAGACGTTTTCTTTGGAGGATCTAGGGGCTTTTTTTTGCCTTACCCAACATCACCAAACCCAACCAACCAACTTCCACCTATTTTTGTCAGCCGTCAAGATGTTCTCCATCATTGTCGCTGTCATGGCCGCCGTGGCCATTGTCTCCGCTACTGCGGAGGTGACTGTGAGTCTCGAGCGTTCTTCTGCCCTACGGAGATCTACGTACTGACTGGAGTTATCAGATGCCGCGGGGCCCAGTCGAGTCTGCTTGACTACTGGTAGGGGTTAGGGATGTATTCCCGACCCCTACCCAGGACAACCCACAGATCCAATCTGTATCCATAAGGCAAGACGAAAGTTTGGGTATTGGATAACAAAGGACTCAGCTGGGACTGAGATGTAGGCGTGTGGAGTGATTATACATATTATGAGCAGGACACGCGTTATGAGAAACGAATCTTAGGCCCAGCAGGTGGAGCAATGTTAAGGATACCCTATGATGAAGATTTATATCTCGAGTGGCTACTGGTACAAGCCATCCATTCCTCAACCATCATGCACTAACTAGGTTAGCAAGTTGTTGCTGGTGTGTTAGCAGCCTCTTCAGGCCAATACAATCCCCTTTGTCGCTTTAAGTACCAACGCCGATCGCCCAATGCATAAGTGAAAACCCTCGTCCAATATCGTTATGCTTGAATACCCATAGCAGATCGATGAGCGGGTCATCAGATCTTCGTAACGTATATGCACAATTCTAGGATGTCCTGTTTAGACCTTTGCGTTATCCAGGATAGCGCTGTCGCCCCAGATATTACGCGTTTCTTCCTCGACAGCTCTCATGGCGATAGCCACTTCTTCTAATTTTTCAACAACATCCCTAACCCCCTGGTCTATCTTGGAAAAATAGCGATCGTTCGCCTCTCTTCTATTTCTCGCTAGAAGGATATCCTTCTCTGTTTCTTCTTCGAGCTTAGCGCCTAGCCGCTCGCGGCCAGTCCCACTACTACCGGGTCGTGCACTGCCTGTACCTACTGTGCTTTTCGCTCCTTCTGTATAGGTACCTTCTACCGCTGCCTTTCCGACGCTCGAGGATATCGTAGGACCAAGGGCTGCCCCGGTAGCGGTCGCGCCAATCTCACCTAAAGCTCCCTTGAGGTTTGGCACCTTGTTAGCCGCTGCGGTTTCGATTGAGTCGTCGGCTTCGCTTCTCGCCCATGCTTGCGCCAGCTTAATTTGGGCGGCGCGCAACTCGGCGAGCTTGCGATCATGTTCCGGTCCGAAAACGTGGGTACCTCCACTCGCTGAAAGTTCCACCTCTTCTAAAGTTGCTTGCATCTCAGCCCACAAGGCGTCGGTTCTATCGGCGGTGCGCGTAGAATCCGCAGTTTGGAGTCGGCCAACGTGGGCGCGATTTCGTGTATTCAATAACGAGCCCGTTCGCGCAAGGGAAGTGGTAGCTTGGGACTGCTGTATAGATGCGCCGCTGGTATTTGCTCGTTTGCTGGACATCGAAGGAACAGCAGCAGTAGGAGGGACTGCCGGGCTGGCAGCCATGGCTCCTGATAGCGAGACATGTGAAGTTGTTGAAGAAGGATGGAGGAATAACCTGGGAGGTTCGCGAGCTTTGGAATTGCTCCGTGTTAACTTGAGGTTATCCATCGCTACATTTTGCCAGAATGACAATGCGATTTACTTATCAACACAATCACTTTCAAATACGAAGTAGCCCTGCTAAGAAGAATGAGCTAGGTAGGTTATTGCAATTGGCGAATATGACTGGTCAGTTTTGAAGTTGCCTATGAAAAGATGCGAAAAGCGCATACCTGAGGTACCTATGGACCTGACGCGTCATGGTTCGACATTAGAAGGTGGCTTTGATGAATTATTCATGTTTGATGTAACCTCAGATAACTCAGCCACCCTGCCACCTTGAGGTTGGTACGTACTTCGTACATGTAGATATGAGGTATGTACCTAGGTATATAAGGTACGTACCTTAGCTGTCTAATGTTCGCAGCTGCTTACTAAGATTAGGTAAACCACAAAATGGACTGGCTAGATTTTTTGAGACCCGCTTTAAATCATTTAGCATTCCCGCCACAGCTGGAGACTAGGGCGAGGAAACCCTTAGCAATTATTTTCGACCTCTGGTCTGTGGAAAAAATTAACCGAAGAAACATCACATCCACGAACCGCTAGCCAATCTATCCATCCATCCAAGCAAGACTTCAAACACCCATTTTCTAGCGATACCACATACAAATCGGTAAGTTTTAATTCCTCATCAATGATCGATCTTCAATAGTTTTTGGTCTTAGCCAATACGTTGCTGCCGATTTTTTAAACCTTGTCATCCCTTCAACGACGATAAACAAAAAATTTTTCACACCTCGAAATCTTGAATTTGCTGACCGTGCGACCTCTCTGCGACAGCAATCATGGGTAAAGGAAAGCCTCGTGGACTCAACGCAGCCCGCAAGCTGCGGATGCACCGAAAGGAGCAGAAGTGGGCTGATCTCGGATACAAGAAGCGTGCTCTCGGTACCGCTTTCAAGTCGTCGCCGTTCGGTGGTTCCTCCCACGCCAAGGGAATCGTCCTCGAGAAGGTCGGTGTCGAAGCCAAGCAGCCTAACTCTGCCATCCGAAAGTGTGTCCGTGTACAACTCATCAAGAACGGAAAGAAGGTTACTGCTTTCGGTACGAAACCCCCTTACTTCAACTGCTCCCTACATATATACTCTACCCGCGATTAGAAAAGTTTAACTAGCCTACCTAAACGGCTAGTCCCACGAGAAAGAATATCTATCTAGGAACGATAATTTTGGGGATCCTCAGTGCGAATTTGCTAACGCCATGTGATTTCTAGTCCCCAACGACGGTTGCTTAAACTTCGTGGACGAGAACGACGAAGTCCTACTTGCCGGTTTCGGTCGTAAGGGCAAGGCCAAGGGTGATATTCCCGGTGTGCGATTCAAGGTCGTCAAGGTTTCCGGTGTTGGTCTGCTAGCTCTGTGGAAGGAGAAGAAGGAGAAGCCGAGATCATAGATGCTCGGTCGGGGACGAAGGAAATTGAGGAAAACGTGCAACGAGAGAAGGTTCATTGGGCATGCGGAGTCGATACGGCTTGCTTTGTTTCATCACGGCATCATAGGTTCGGGCCTTGATACTCTTTCACAGGCGGACGAGATCCATAATAGAGATTCAGCGTCGCCAAAGTAAATACCCGCAATCCTCTTAGTTTTGTGATGCTCGTGATGATTCCATGTGAAAATTCATGGGTTGGATTGGAGTGTACACTTCCTATTATCTAAGGACCCTCTATCCTGGACCTGAAGTCTAACTCTAATATATACAAAAATAAGTATACAACATTGTAGAAGCCTAGTTCTCTAAGGACTTGGTCTCGTTGTCGGCGTATTTTAATAGGTAGTCAATCCCGAGACCGAGACTGATTGCACCTCCAGTGATCCAACATCCATTAACAAACCACCACCAGCAGTCCTTCACGCTCTTAAGATTGACTCTCTTTATCATCCAACCTAAAGTCAGAGCTGCGCCGCCGCAGCTGAACATGTAAAAAGCTGGCCCTGCGCCTGCTGTCATACCCGCAGCTCCGAGGAGGCCTACCTGCACAACGGCTAGCCCGGATAATACCTTCTTTGTATCAGCGTCATGCTTGAGGGCAATGCTTTTGATACCTGCCTTGGCGTCGTCTTTGATATCCATATGTGCGTATATCATGTCGTACAGCACGGTCCAGGACACGTTGCTCGCGTACAGCAGAGCAGCGGCACTCAGGGCGGCGCTGTTCGACAACAGGTCTACCCCCAAAGCCGGAAATCCCATAATAGCGCCCCAGGAGAAAGTCAGACCCAGGACGAACTGCGGATAATACGTCACACGCTTGGCGAGCGGGTATGAAGCCACGAACAGCAAGCTGGGAATGCCATAGAAGAGACATGGAGTCGGGAATTGCAACAGGATCCCGAGACCGGTGAGGAGCTGGGCACCCGTATATGCTAAGGCGTTGAAGGGCGTGATGGCGCCGCGTGCTATAGGCCGGTGCCGCGTGCGAGTTACGTGCGGGTCTAAGTTCCGGTCCCAGAGATCGTTGATGGAGCACCCGGCACCGCGCATGACGAGGGCACCGGCGAAGAAGAGCACGGCGGTCCCGATAACAGACAATGGGGTGGCCGCGGGGGTGGCCAGCGGTGCGGCCATTAGCGTTGAGAACAGGCACGGGAAAAACAGATAATACGTTCCCGTGGGCTTGTCGATCCGGATGAGTTCCGCGTAGGGAACCCACGATCGAGGAAGATGGGAGAGGATGCCCGACGTGGGCGGCGAGTAGGGCTCCGGGATGGCTGCTGAGGATGGCGAGTCAATGGTGTGAGCTCCTCGCTGGCTTGTAAGTTGAGAATGAGGTACTGGGATTAGCTGCCTCGGCTTCAGAAAACTGAGAGCTGCTGAGGCTGATGTCCCCCTTTGAAGGTAGTACGAGACACCTCTGGAGACATGATGAAGTTGTCTCGATAGCCTTGGAATTGGAGTCAATAAGCTATGGGACAGAGGACACTTCGTCCCTCTAGATATAGGGAGCCGGTGCATCCTGCTCGGGGGTGTAGGTATCGACTTCTAGTGACTTGTTAGCTGGGTTTCTTGTAAGAGGTGAAGGCTTCGATTTAGTATTGACTAATGGGACGGAGACGATATAAGTTTGAGAAGCTCTATAATGAGAAGAAATATGATATATGTATGCTACACGGATCAAATTGAATTTCTGGTATAGAATACTGATCTTATACTGTTTAATAAACCCATCTGATTTTTCTTTCTCTTTTCTCTTTTTTTTGACAACGAACTACTTATTTTTCATTATTTTTTCGAGTAGTGAATTACTTTCTATGGGTAAGGTGAAGTAAAGGAATCAACACCCACCTTCGCAAGTGAAACGAAAATACCTGTTACCGCAAGCTCATAATCATTCTATATCCTGAATCAAGTTATGTTGAAATGCTGTTGGATATTTTGAAGAAACCTCTTAAAGTTTCTTATAAGTCCCGGATTTGTACATATCTAACCTAAAGGGCGTGTGCATGTACCGAGTCTACCGTGATGGGTTAGGTTACCTAAAGTACATTTACTATGTACAGAGGTAACTAGGTGGGTCCCGCCTATATCTGCCATCCCTATCTCTTTAACGCCTTCCGTTATCGTCCCTAAATTTATTGTCATAGCTTCCTTATTCTTATTTCCATCCTCATGCTGTCAGGTGGTCGCATTGGACCGAGAACATTTACAACCTGCTCTAGAAAAACAACCTTTTCGCCCTGGTCAACCGTCAACCTCATAAACCATCCTCTGTATTAAAAATGCGTCATCTACCCTAGACCCATTTAAAAGCGTATGGGATACTTCATAGGTTGCGTTGGCTATCCATCAGGGACGCCGTCGCGATTGCGAAAACACTGCGAGGCGCGTCTGAAGGCGATTACCATCTTCACGAACCCCGCTGTCGCCTCACACCTATTTTCCGCCTCTTAGAATCTCGACCTTTTCGCGCAATTTTCCATTATTTACCTAATCTGCTGGAATTTGGCCTAAATCTCAAGTAATAGCAAAAATGCCGACAGCACTACATCCCCAAGCCAAATTCGATCCGATCCCTCCAGATCTCGACCTTCATTCTCTTGTAGATCGCACGCCGAACTTTGACTGGGTTGTACGGATTTCCACCGCGCAGATCAGGCGCCTTGGCCCATCTGGTTTCGAGAAGCTGGTGCAACTTCATGTTATCGAGGGCGGTCGGCCTTTGGTTATAGAAGGATGGAATAAAGTCTTACCAAATGATTTGTTCAGTGCCACTTGGTTGGAGAAGACTTACGACAAGAAACGTGAGTTTTTCGGTTTGCTTATGTATGGTGCTTAATAGTACTGACAAGAGCCTGCAGAGGAAAATGTTCGCGATATAACAGCGCAATCCGATATTCCCATGACCACTGGCCACTACTTGCGATCGATGCGACAGTTGACCAACCAATGGACCCCTACTAATTTCCGCGACGAACGGCGCCAGCGCCTTTACCTAAAAGATATAGACTGTCCTCGAGAATGGTACGACCATCTGAAGAAGGTTATCCCTCCAAACGTTTTTTACATGAACGAGAATATCAGCGAGAATCCAGGAGCAGACACTCGAAATGATGATATTTTTGGCGCGCCGGAAAAAACCCCTGCCACGGCAGGGGATCTCATGAGTAGCTTACCTGAGGAGATGCGTGCGCAAAACTTGATGTGCTATATTGGCCACGAAGGAACGTATACACCTGCGCATCGAGAGATGTGCGCGAGCTTGGGCCAGAATATCATGGTTGAAGCATCAGGAGACGAGAATGGAGAGAAACCGGGTAGCTCGATTTGGTTCATGACCGAAACCAAGGATCGTGAGGTAGTTCGAGAGTACTTCCTTTCTATGCTAGGCCACGACATTGAGATCGAGAAACATTTCGCACAGGTCAACGCTTGGAAGAAAGCCAATTTTCCCGTCTACGTGGTCGAGCAAAAGGCTGGTGACTTCATCCTTATACCTCCTTTAGCTCCCCACCAAGTCTGGAACCGCGGGACACGTACTATGAAAGTTGCATGGAATAGGACAACGGTCGAAACTCTTGACCTAGCTCTTCACGAGGCTTTGCCTAAAGCGCGACTGGTTTGCCGAGACGAGCAATATAAAAATAAGGCCATCATATATTATACCTTGGAGAAGTACTATAGGGAACTCCAAGCCCACGAAGATAATCCTGAAGTTGGTTTGTTAGGTCTTGACCAAGAACTAATCCAAAACTCCTCGCGAATCAAACAGATGGCCAATGACTTCAAACGGTTGTTTGGCTTGTTCACCGAGATCCTTATTGACGAGATGTTCGGTTACAAACAGCCAGACGTTGAATATATCCCCTTCGATTCGAATATCACATGTTCATATTGCCGGTCCAATATTTTCAACCGCTTTCTAACTTGCAAGTGCTGCGTACGGACGCTAATCAACGGCGACGAAGATACATACGATGTTTGCATGGAATGCTATGTTATGGGCCGTTCGTGTGTCTGTATATCAGGCCTTCAATGGTGCGAACAGTGGAAATGGTTCGAGCTTATCGAAAAGCATGAGGCTTGGCGGTCTATGGTTATTCAACAAGATGGATTTGTCGACATCGATTTGTCTCCTCAACCTATCGAAGTTGCGCGGAAAAAGACAGGGAAAAAGTCGGTGGCCCAGATATGTCAAGAACAGCTTCGAAGGCGACCTTGGAATGATATCACAAAACCACATCAACCTGAAGCAGAAGAATCTGATGAACCTGAAGTTGACGATGAAGGCCGCATCAAGAAGAAGCCGAAACCAAAACGCAAGGCTAAGAAAGGCGACGTCTACCGCTGCCATGTCTGTTGCCATAAAGATTACACATACAAACTGAACTTTTGCACGACGTGTCAAAGCGCATATTGTTACGGTGTCTTGTGGCGAGCTTTCGATACGATGCCCCAGATGGCAATGGAGCAGGAACATTGGCGATGTCCTAAATGCCTGAATATTTGCAACTGCGGGTCGTGTAGACAGAGTGGTAACTCACACCCATATGTCCCAAAGAACACCCTTCTTGGGCATGATACACGTCCAATAGCGGATGACCGCAGTGTTGAATCAATTGTCGACTTTAGGCAACATAACCTTGGTTGGCTAAAGGCTACTGGCGATGAAAATCGGGGTAGGGATACGAAGCGGATGCAACGTCTGAAGCAGCAGGCAGATGCCGAAAAGGCCAGAGATCCATTAGCTTCTTTGAGCGGTGCAGATGATGCTCCACACGAGATGGATTCGGCCCTCCAAGATTCAATCATGAACGGTTACGGAGACCAAAGCCATCTCCTAGATCATGCTGAGACGACCAGCTCTGGTCATCAGAACGGCCAAGCATCCGCTGCTGACATGTCAAATCGCGAACACGCGGACGAGGTTGATCATGGGGACATGTCTGCTATACAAAATGGAGAAGGCGATTCTGTTCTTCAGGATCAGTCGCAGTACCCCGACCCCTCTGTGATTGGGCGTGGACGAATGATGGGAATGGGATTTTACGACCAAGATGAAAGTGCAGATAGAATCTTGTTTGACCCGTTCCAGATGCCATCTGCTGATGCCCTAGGTAATGAGCCGGAAGTGTCCGAATACGTTAAAAAGACCCTACGGCTTGCGAAGAGAAAGGCAAGACTTGAGCTGGACGATGACCCCGATTTTAGAGGCCCTAGGAGTCAACCGCGGAAAAAGCCCAAGACCGGAAATATTGATCAGCTCGTCAACTTGGATCCCGCGTTACTTGGCGCCCTTGGTAATGGCACATCTACACCATCTGGGTCAGCTGCCCCAATTGACTCCAATGAACAACCGAGGGACGCCATTACAGAGACGCAACCAGAAGAAGCTCCTGAGCCAATTGCTCAGCCAAAGAAAGCGAGACCATCTCTCCGTATTGATCCCCTACGACCTACATTGCGACATGCTAAGCCAAGAGCATCGTATGTGGAAGCCGAAGAGCCTGCAGAAGACCCGGATGATACTGTCATCATTAAACCCTTGAGGATTTTAGGATCAGAGGGCGAAGATAACGCGATAGAGGATGTAGATCCTGTAGATTTAGCAGCCGATGCAATTCGCGCTCTGACGCAACTTCCCAGTGGCGAAGAGAAGTCACGTATTGCTCAAAGTACACCGCAGCCCGGGGCTAAAAGACGTGGGCGACCACCCCGAAACTCTCTTGGAACGAGTGCTACTCCGTCTATCGCGAAGAAGCGTGGCCGCCCACCAGGACGGCCGAAGAAATCGCTATCTAATGATGCTGAGAATGATGAGGACAGTGTCACAGTTGATGCCGATGATCCAGACAGCTCTCAGAATGAGAATGATGTCACCGTGGATGAGCTTGAAGCCCAATTGGCGCGAGAATTAGATGACACGAATGAGAGCAGAGAACGGTCACAATCTACCCCGGTCCGCGGAGGCTCTGTAAGGAGAAGAGGTCGGCCTCCGGGACGACGAGTAACGCAATCGCCCGCCACAGCCAAACCAGACAACGTAGATCCGCCTCCAGATATCCGTTTCATGTCTATGAGAGAACGAGCGGCTCTAAGAGGCAAAAGAATTAGGATTAGTTCGCGTAGGACGAGAGATGGTGCAACGGGCAGTCCTGCAGCAGCTTCGGCTCAAGGAACTTCAACACCTTCAACTACACAAAAGAAACCAATACCGGATACCGAGAAGATGGAGGAAACTAGCAGACCGAGCTCTAAACATGGTCGTAAGGAACTGGTTGACGATGATTTCGAACCCGCCGACGAGGAAGCTGAATCTTCTTCCTCGTCTAGCTTCGGATCAGAATATCAAGTTCCAGAACAACGCCAACCAGCCAGGAAACTGGGGACTCCAACCGTTGTTAGGCTGTCATTTTCGGATGACAGTAACGATAGCGATTCGTCTTCAAGCAATGACATCGAGCCGGTTAGAAAGTCTTTCGCTAGCGCACGTGGCCGAGGAAGAGGGAGGTGGAGAGGCAGTGTCAGCGGCCGGGGCCGAGGCCGAGGCCGTATGTAATGGATTCAAAAATTAATGAAATTAATATCTATCTTGTAGAGTAACTTAAATCGTCGGTAACTCATCTATGGTGGAGAAGGTTTAGTATGTCAACCAACCATTGCGTATAGTATGTTGCTACCACGTGTAAAGCAATTTCCTCCCCCTCCCCCCTTCTTAGGGGCTGATACTAACTCGAGTATAATGCTGTACCTAATTTAGCTAGCTTAGGTACCTAGGTGCCTGGTATCCTACTTTCACAAAAGGTATGCAAATAGCTTGTCTGCAGCTACCTAGTCTACTTTCGAGATTATTTTTTCTTGCAGGTAATGGCTTGGAGATATGATATACCACGAGGATTGTCCAACAACTTTATCTACGAAGTCCAGAAGGATTACTTTTCTAAGCTATAAATTTGCTAAAGGATTTTTAATATCCTCAGTTACGGCAAGGAAGTGTTCTTTTATAGGGGTACTACTTACGAGTTGAATTAAGCGCTGCCGTTAGTGACTCAGAATTCACTACTGACTCAGAATGTAAGTTGAAGTATTTCACGAGAGCCTTCTCAACTGTGCGCCTCAGGGGACGCTATGAATTAGATTGTTCGTGGTCCTCCCTACCAGGGTGCTCTTGTAAAGACCGAGATGTTGCAACTCTCTTTTTTTTCGGTTATTGTAAGCTGAACTGTGGACACTTTGTATGACCGATCCTCAATGTCTATATCGGGACAGTCCGCTACTTTGAATTCTAGATGTGGCGATTATCCATTAGACCATTCTATTTCAGGTAAGTTTAAACGAATATTCCAATTATCCCGGAAGAAGCCACGCGAGCGGATTGGCGTGGGGAGCTAAGGAGCTGTTGCACTTTGGAAGAGGGACCTGAGAATTCATTACCTGAAAATGGTTAACGGGGTTATAATAGGGATCCATTAGTAAAAGTGTGCAAGTATAAAGAGGCATGCATCATTATGAACAATCGTCTGATATGCGTATTAAGTGTATTACTTGGGGTATGATTATGTGCGGATGATCCTGACCCCCTGAACTATCGTCGTTGAAGGGCTTATAGACTGTCTTTATTCTGTGAACAATTTCCGTTTGGCTTGTCTTAGTGAGAAATATGGTCGGCGATGTTGAAAGAGTACTTGAGTGCCTTAGGTACGTAGGGTAGGTAAAAACTAGTAATAGTCTCTAACGTTTACCTTATTAGATCTGCTAGTGCTGCTATCGCCCTTCATTGGCGTATTTCTCCGATAAGTAGACGACAAAATAAATTGCAAACATAACAACATTAACACTCCTAAATTCAGAGGTAAAACCCCAGTATATGCATGGGGATAATGATCAAGTCTGAATGAACCTTGAGGTCCTTCAAAGTCAAATTCTGAATACTGGTTGGGATGGATCGCTCTTCTGGGAATATAGTATATATTAAGGATGCTGAAAGTCTGCAAATTAGTTTGTCGCCTACTTTACTAGGATCTTACGACGTAACTACGAGAGAGGTAGAGAGGGTCTTTTTAATTACTGAGCCATGTGGTAATCGTAGCTTTCCGTCTCGAACTATTGGGACTAGCTCTTCAGTTTCACCGAACTACGATTGGTGTTCCTGACTAGGTAGAAGCCGTAGTTTTTGCAAGTTAGCGTGAATCAGCTGATGGGGGTAGATACTCTGCCGAAAACTTGTTGTGAATTATCTTGGAATTTGTGAAGTCACTCTGGATCAGAGATGCTTCGAACTTTTCTGTTATTATTTTCTTCAGCTTTTCCCAGACTACCTCCTACCCCTATCTACCTTCCATATCTAATACCTATACATCCGAAATCTGCGAAACTCAACCGTAGAGATTATTGAACAATCCCTTTGCTGTAGCTATTATTATATATGATTATCTAGGTACCTCTCATATGGAACCACTGCTAGATACTTTTGAGTGTGTTGTGCGATCGTCAAAATTAGCCCCTTTCCCGTTTCGTGAATATTCATCCTCATTTGAGACATTGAATTGTGTAGTGCGCATGATTCCTGTCCCTGTAAGAATTTCTTCGTCTGAATCTCGTGTGCACCGAACTTCAGTGTGAGTTCGCCGGCTGTCCAGGTCCTTTAACCCGATATTATTGCTATCCGCTCCATCGGTTGTCCTGACATAATGTGCATGCGAGGTGCCGCCATATTTACGGGGGCCGTAATAAGATTGATCGCCGGTTGACTTGAGACGTGGTATCCAACGACGAATAAGCGGCCAAAGTGCGGGTGCTGATGCAGTCGCAATAGCCAAGTTGCACTCGATAGAAGAGACACAGAAGCCGAGAGAGAAGTTCTTGTCCGGACTTGTATCGTGGAAGTTTTGAGCAAGGAAATAAAGACGAATAATGCTGACAATGGTGACGCTGTTGTAAGGCTTATGTTAGAGCTTTCTCCTTATACGCGTATCTAAATTGTTCTTTGATGTAGATGAGAAGTTGTGCTCAAGTTACTCACATTACACCGAGCATGAAAACCCCAATCAATGCCATCTTCCTATATTTGTTTATCTTCAAGCTCAGAAAGATGTAAAAAGGAAGGACGACTGAAACTATATCAGTCATAATAGTCAGACATGCAGCAGCTACACCGAAGGTGAACTGTTGGATGCAACTTCCGGGTACTAATGGATGCCAGTTCAACTCGATGGGGGTACACTGGAAGATGACGGTGAGGAGAACCGCAATCATCAAAAGCGTGTTGAAGAGGATGGTGCCCCAGACAACGTATCGAACGCCGGGCTTAATGCCTGAAAGACGAAGGAGAAAGACGAGAACAGATTGTTTAACAAGCGTTAAAATCGGTTGGTAAACGGCGCCGATAATATATATCCAAATCAACCCCTCGGTAGGATCAAAGGATGCCGGGACATCATAGTAATGGATTCCTATGTATAATTCTTTCATAACTGAACATGATTTAGTTCGGACCTTGGTAGTAACCGTCTCGCATCCGCTTACCCTTAATCGAGCCAACTGCTAAGGCAATAGCAAAGACCATGGCAGCAATAATAAGGCCATCGTCTGAATGAAATTAAGTTAGTATAGAGGTTATATGACTCTTATCTTTAGATCTCGGGATTCAGAACTCACCCCATCCGAAACATTTCGTGTCGAGCCTGATATACGTCCTCAAGCAAACGACTATTAGCGTAAGCGTCGGAAATACTACTTCTATGGCGATGCCTAGGTTTTGAAGCCAGCTCGTAGGATTAGGGTTCGTCGCCATTGGAAGGGCTTGAGTAGGCTCTGACATGGTAACTGATCATTACTGATATTTGAAGCACCTACGCAGCCCTTTCCAGATAAGTCTAGATAGATCCAAGAGAAGAGTCGGCTTAATTAGTAGAGATCATCGCCGGGATTGCAGGCGATCATTCATATATGTCCTATTCCCCAGAATTGCAGCATATTGAAGATCTTGGTAAGCTAAGGGGGCCCAAGAGCCATGATAATAACGCTGGACAAGGGTAATGAGGCCTCGAAAGATTCACCAGGCTCGTGTCAAACGAACGATCGATACGCGCTACCTAGGTAGCTTCCGAGTATCTTAGCTGTATATCAATAATCGGAGGGGACGTCAAAGCACATACTCTTCTTTTTCTAGCTGGGAACGGGCTGTTACATGGACTCCCCGGCACCCGTCTGATGTTAGCAGAATCTAGGCTCCATCGCCCAAAACTAGATAGTCCCTTAGCCTTGGCGAGGAGAAACCACTGACTACCTAGGTGCATAGTTTAACTCGTACGGGTTTTCTATAGTAGCTACCCAAAGCTTGGGGTGGTCATTATTTAAGCCTGCTAAGTATGGTGATATGAGAATTCGTCTCAAGCGAGGTAGCATAAATTCACCCTTAGTCGGAGTCTTTTCTGCTGTAACTACTGCCATTGGTGCCCAAAGATTCTATATAACAGTATTGACGATACGCATTTACTTGGACACTCCGATTTGGCAGGGATATGGCTTTTCCCTGTGTTAGTGTCCTGTGAGTATGAATTAGCTTCATCACCTCAAACGCCAACTAAAAGACCTCAACTTAGCGTATCAAGTATTTCAAGCGAAAGGCGTCGGTTCTCTTATCCTGGTCTTCTTATACACTACCAGCTTGGCATAAGTTAACAGCTTCACTATGTGCTGCACGACACATCGCCCCTCTCTCCAAACGTTTTTTTTTTTTTCTCTTTTTGGAAGTAATATGGCACAATGTTTTCCCACTCGCTTGACCTCCGAATGCTCCGAAAAATATTGTCGAAAGGGGCACATCGGATTGCTTGCCTCGTTGGGCGTGGGTATTACATACCTACCTCCTAGGTAGTTACCCCTTAGTTGCAACCTTTTGTGCTGTCTTTGCGAGTTGCTGCTATACAAGCTTCGATAATAGCCTATTTCGCTGAACTTCATCGGCCGTTTATCTTTTGCAATTTTTGTTCCTTATACCTATGCGATGCATATTACGACTAAACAAAGACATGAGAGTGTGCTAATGAAAATAACAACTGTGCAGAAAACTAAGATGCAATGTCTGAATTAAAATCCTGCATATTTCCGAGAAATGGACTTGAGTAACGGGAATTGCTGTCAATAAATATCCGAAATTTATACGAGAGTAGCAACGGAACAATCGCGAATCATATCCACAATCCGATACTACGGAACGAAGAGGTAACTCTTTTAAAGGAAAACTGGCGGCAGCTTAACTAATGCTATCGTGGTAAATAGTTCTAGACTAGATAGACGCTAGATCATCGACGGACTCTTGTCCATATTTGGAAGTTTCTAAAAGCCGTATGGAGTAGCTAGATGGACTAGATGGAACTCTTCACCTAGCGCGCTTGTAATGAGTATCCTCCTCGAACGATACGAGATTACAGAGGATTGTCGTCTCATGTGTAGACTCTCGCTAAAGTTCGCCTGGTCCCTTAAAGGTGTACGTTTACACTTGGTCAGCTTTGACTTATTCCCCTGGACTATTGATATCGTGTCACTTATGCATTAGCCTGTTAAAACAACGTGGTCATCAAGGGATATTGACCTTTTTGTCGGTTCGTATAAAGTAACCGCTTAGGGACGATCCTTTGGAATTTTTCTATTACGATTCCTCAGCCTCAGACTGCTACCTCTTAAGCTTGCATATACCTGCATCTCACGTGGGTACCTGCTGCACGAGTAATAATGATGGCGCGCTTTGCTTTGGCTGCGGCTCTGTCGCTAACTAACTTAGCGCTTGCTCAGACAATCCAAGATGGTGTCGGTAAGCTTTAGTCTTGTCCTTCGTATACTCTTTCCGCGTCTTTGCATAATATGCACGCAATAATGATGCAGCCGCTTGCTAACCCCTGAAAATTCAAACAGCCGCAAGTCCGGAGACTGTTGCGCCAGCTGTTGAGACGGTAGATGCTGACGCCTCACCATCCGGCGTCGATTATTTCCCCTTCGAATCGAGCCAACTTACACCCAACGTTATCACCAATTTGACAAATTATAATCTTACTAATGTCAGCGTTTTTAATTTCAGCAATGCCGAAAGTGCGACTCAAAAACGCGCCAACCGCGTATGTAAAGCTTACCCAGGAGAAAAAGGCTGGCCGGCTCGCTTTATGTGGGATCTCCTTAACATTCTGCTAGGAGGCGCTTTAGTTGAAGGCGTGCCTGCTGCGGCACCATGCTACTCTGATTGGCCTCAGTATGACGAGGCCAAATGTGCTTCGATTACCTCTGAGTGGCAGACGCCTCAGTATCAGTCAGTATTCCCCCCCTTATACTCGCTCAAATTGACATCTAATCCCAGAACAGACTATCCCAGCCTCTAGGAATCCAGTACTATGCCTTTGAGGGAGTTAGCTGCTTGCCCCCTAGCCTTACACGGACCGGTGCCAAATGTACGCTGGGCGGCATGCCCTCGTATGTTGTCAAGGCAACAAATGTCGCCCAAATCCAGCTTGCTGTTAATTTCGCGCGGAACCTGAACCTGCGGCTTATTGTCAAGAACAAGGGCCATGACTTCAAAGCTAAGTCCACCGGCGGCGGAGCGCTTTCTATCTGGACAAATGCCCTAGATAGTATCCAGTACTTGGGTTCTACTTACTCCCATGGCCCATCTGGCTACCGTGGACCAGCTTTTAAAATTGGTACTGGTGTTCAAGCTCTTCCCCTTTATCAAGCTGCAGATAATTTGGGTCTTCACATTGTTGGTGGTAACACCCGGGTAAGTAATGTGTTATATTCTGAGATTATATTATGCAAATGAAGGCTAATCGCTCTATCCTAGACTGTCGGTATCGGCGGTGGATACACTGCTGGTGGCGGCCATTCCCCGTTATCATCTGTGCATGGTATGGCGGCTGATCAAGTCTTATCCATGGAAGTCGTGTTGCCGAATGGTCGCTTTGTTTCTGTTGACGAGCACACGTATCCCGATCTTTTCTTTGCCCTCCGTGGTGGAGGTGGCAGCACCTGGGGAATCGTGACCTCCCTTGTTATCCGGGCTTACCCAAAGAAGCCTGTCACTACTCTCACTTATAGCTTCGGTGTTAACGCTAATGTCTCGAATAAGACGTTTTGGAAGGGAGTCGACGCCGTTTTCGCTAAATTCCCTGAATATGCTGACAAGGGAATGTATAACTATTGGTCTATCAGCTGCATGTTTGACTGTTCCTTCTCCATGGCCCCTCAATGGGGAAATGATATGGATTCGGCCAAGCTTAAGACGCTATCTACTCCTTTATTCGACGAGCTTGCGGGGCTAGGAATCACGGTTAGCGATGCTACGTATAAAGAATATGACGGCGTGTTGGGTGGCATTGAAGGTACCTGGTCAGCTGAAAGCGAACAGACTGGTGTCTGGAACTTCAACACGGGATCGAGATTATTCCCCCGCTCTAACTGGGATGATCCTACTAAGCTTGCTGCACAAAATGCGGCTCTTAGACAGAGCGTTGAGAAGGCAGGCTTAATGCTCGGGTACAACATGAAAGCAGCTACAAACCCATCCGCCAACCAAACGAACGCCGTGAACCCGGCATGGCGCCAAACCGTTCTACACGCGCTACTCGGTGCTACTTGGAGCCAGGAAGCAACTGCTGATGATATTGCTGCAGCAAACAAGAATCTCGTCGAGATGATGCAACCATGGCGAGACGCTTCTCCTGCTGCTGGCGCTTATCTGAACGAGGCAGACATCAACGAACCGAACTGGCAGCAAGCCTTTTACGGTTCGAATTACGCGTATCTTTATCAGCTTAAGCAGAAGTACGACCCCTGGGGCCTATTATGGGCGCCGACAGCTGTTGGTTCCGAGGATTGGTACGTGACCAACCAGATTGCTTATTACCCTACCCAGGATGGAAAGTTGTGTCCCAAATAGGCTTTTAAGATTCATCGAAAATTGAATCATTAGGTATTTATTAGTAGTTGTCATAAGTTGGAATTATTATTTGAAAAGGTTTTAGAATAGGTACTATATGTTATACCCATGAAGCACGCAAGCACATACCTAACCTTCCACACCCCTCTTCAAACAACATTTCCCTATTTCGTAAGACTGTTCCAGACTATACAAATAATTATTACATTACATATGTGCCCTAGCAAATAAAATACTAGGTACCTTAGGTAGATATCTACCTAACCCAAGGTATTTTACTCATACATCTCGTATGTGAAGTTTTGAGTTGACCCATGTCCCTTCAACAATGTTACGTACCAGGTAGGTAACTTAACTTATCTGTAAGGATGCTGGCATTGAGCATTCTTATTGTTGTTAGTGAACTAGTAATATAATGAACTTGTCCCTAAGTTACCGCTTCATTGTGCTATGCTTATTTGAAAGTCATTGACAATAAATATGTATTGCCAGTAAACTAGATGTCCAGTAGAGCTATTATTGGGTCTAAAGCTTATAAAGCTATGAACTCTTTCTTTATCAGCAAATTTGAATTGCCTTGCAATCAACATATTGAAGCTATCCGAAAGATACTGATCAAATAGTGTATCATCTATAGCATAGTACTATCTCCCGTAGGAAAGTACACAAAGACCTTAGAATGGCACTGAAGTCGAGAAGAAATGAATTGTTTACTACCTGTCATACTGCTAGTGCTTCACATTGTTGCTCTTCATCACAAAATTCATGTATATTAATTAGGCGTCTCGATGATCATAGGTATTACTACATTCTGTAAAACACGATAGGATTCTACGTGAGCATCCCATCAACTCTAAGCCTCTTGAGTCTACTGATCATATTACAATTTTTCGAAATTTCTACCGAAATGGACCAATCATCTGCTTTACTGCCTCCGCAACAACCTTATGCTAGATCAGGCGGACGACATCCTAATCCAGTTTGTGTATTATGCCGATTGCGGGTGTCGGGTCATAAATCAAGATGTACTCGTCCTATGGAAGGCCACGGGGTAAGTATACACTAACAACCTTCTTAACCTGCGTGCTACGAGGTAAACCTTTCTCCAAAACTATTGACTAACTGTCGATGTTATAGTGCACTGCGTGTAAGCGGTATGGCCTTCCCTGCGTCTTCGGCGGCATCGCGTTACCAACTTATCCCGGCCCAGTAAAGCGACAACTTGGTATGGCAACTTGCAACGGGTGTCGGGAATTAAATGTACGCTGCGATATGAAAAGACCGGTACGTAAAATTGATACCTCCTAGTTCTTTAGACATGTTGCCAGAGCGAAGCCCCTAAGATTAACAGTTGTTTCCGAAATCTCCCCCGACATTAATGCCGCGAGAATTTCATGCTGACTATTTCGCAGTGCGATAGGTGCCATATTGCTGGAAAACAGTGCACAGGAGAGTTCTTTCATTGTTTCCATCGTGGCGTGCCCGGCGATGACATGTACGGTTACTATCTAAATCTTGGATTTGGTCCCGAGGGCGTTAATCACGTCCATAGTCAGCAGATTTTCGCCTGGGAAGTCCCTTATAATTATAATCTAGAGTATCTAGAATGGGAGAGGAGGAAAGCTTTGAACAACCAAGTGGTACAAAAGCGACTAACTCAACCAGTCGTGAAAGAATATAAGCAAACAGGAGAACACCTGCGAAACGCAGTAAATCAAGGAGTCCCCGTGGATTACGACCGGATCCTCGAGGACTTGACCAAGGATGTTAACGATAACGTACCGTTGAATGAATCTCAAGTCGCCCGAGATCTAATATACTATCTTAGCAAAAAGTCTATGAGTATCTCTTCGTTTGAGGAACTCCCAATCCAAAAAAGCGAATTCAATATTCTCTACAATGAGGCAGACCTTCAAAAACTTAATCCGGGCTCGCAGTCGCATTATTCCTACATCGCGCCTCTCAGAAACACGGCATCACGCCCTCTTACCCGCCCTACATCTCCTGGCCCTGCTCGGCCCCAGTACTGGATACCGTGGGCCACGAAAAGTGATGATATACCCGTATATGATAATTCGTTATACTTCAAGCCGGGAAGTCCCGAGAGGATTAACCTTGGTGCTATCCGAAGGAACCCTTTCAAGAGTCACCCGAACGAGAATGCAGAGAGTGTGCTATCGACAATTCCGTTTCGGCGTATGTGGGACGAGGGGCATATGTATTCCACGCGAAGACCCTGTCAGGAAGAGAATCATACCGGAAAATGCAATAAGGACACAGACCGAGGTTGCGAAGATACCTCACACATAGGAGAAGGAGTTCCAATTTGCGACGAGTGTGAGGCAACAAATCGGGAAAAGTTTTACACCGAATTTACAATTCTTGCCCTACAAATGAGGCAGTACTTATGCCATCAATGCTCGAACGGTAATATCTCGATTATGGACCGTCTTGCGGGCACTGGAAGCAAAGTGCATTATATACCCCATCCAGGACGCCCAATACCGGATTTCACAAGTGATTCGCTTGTCGGTACAGGCTTGACTGAGAAGGTGGGTGGATACATGGGTGATCCTTTTGAAATAACAGGCTGTGAATGTGGTGTGAAGTTGCTTGGGAGGCGACTATGTAGTCCGCATCGACTACAACACCTGTTAAATATGCACGAAGCTGTATCAGATATGCGCATATATATTGGTAAGTCTATATCTAAACATTAACCCTCCTATTATGAAGGAAACTAACAAGTAGCAGACAGCGTTTGGGGCAAGCAGGTTTGCCCTATGTGCAAGGTCAATCCCGGCATTCACGATTATAAGTTTCGAGGGGTAGTAGGTGGGGAGAATTGTGATAAAATCTGGGCGTGCTTGGTTTGCCACAGCTTCGTAGTCACTGGCGATACTACCGGCCTAATACCAAGGAAATACACGCTGTCCGAGCAGCCTGCAGACCAGCAAGAAGCGGCACCGCCACCGTATGGTATCAGAAGGGAGGAGAGAGTCAAAGCAGAAGCTGAACTAAAGCAGTGATACGACGTTGAAGCAAAGATATAACGCCAGAACGAGGTTTGTTTATGATATACCTTGTAGACTATATGGATTGCAAGGTACAAATAAGTATGCTACACTTTGATATTTCTTTGATTACTGCCAGGTACTTAAGCAGAGTCAGGTACTCGCCCCCTAATGTAATGTAAGATACTTGTACTATGTAGGTACCAGATAGGTGTCTACCTGGTATCTAAGCATATCAAAGGCCCTATTTCCTTCGTTCATACTGTCGATAGAGAAAGTTAATATATAGATAAAACCCGCCGCTATGTGTTTTAACACTTGCCAAAGTATCACATGGAAGCTATTCTCTTCCTTTATTTTTTCTCGTCAAGTTAATTTCCATCCAGCGCCGCCAGTATGGAGCCAGTATGTCTTCTTTCAGAAATGCATCAAATCGTCGCAACCTGTGAGTGGTAATACCACTCAGGTCAGATAGGCTGTAATAGCAATTGTGCTATTAAAAAGAAATACACTTTTGGCTCAGCGGTGTATCTTTGACACAACTATAGGCAAAAGGCACATCTGTTTCTGATACCTGAACACTGGCGCGAAACTTCTCCGTTGTACTCTCTTTAAAATAGTTCAATTAGTGTCAAGGTAAGTTAGGTACCTAGTATGTTCCCAAATCAAAGTCACTCTGCTAAATGGGTTATTAGGTGACGTTTGATCAAAGACGAACTGTCATGGCATAAATCAGCTGAGTTTACGTGAGTCTAAGATTTCCTCTGGTTGCGTTGGATGTTGGTTCCTCGCATCGGGAACACAACTTGAAAACGGCCCCTAATTTGGAACTTGGAGTTAGGCATAGGAACTACCTACAATTAAAACAATGACTTAAGCCTGTTCATACCTACCTACAGGTAGGTACCTAAGTGTAGCGATAAGAGCTAGGGTGGCATTGGAGGATACCGAATGGTTTTAATATTAGCATACCCAGGAACTCAACTCGGACGAATTGGTAGTTGCTATGATATGATTTTCTATATTGGGGTGTTGGCTAGGCGGTTGCTTGGATGTTACCTTCGCAATATACTAAAAGGTCTATAAGATAAACCATCGGCGGTAAAGTGCAGCAGCACTAATGCAAGACATGGCGATGCTAATGTAGACAAATTTAGTAGCTTAAATGTATGTTGGGTCTATTTAAGGCAGGCTGCACAGGTGTACGATGCAACTATTGGCTTTCCTAGTCAACATGCATCTCGATTTGGGATTATAAGCCATTCATGTCGTTCGACTATATTGCCATCACACCCATTTTCGAAAAACCGCTTTATTGTACTGGGATCAAATTGCCGAATTGTAACCCTGCTGAGGGGTATTATCATATCTCGCCCAAGCCACACCGCTGTATACCGATTTACGGATTATTGCTAGGTAAGACCCTTTAAAGCCTTGCCATCTTGTAGGATTTCAAGAACTCTACTGCAAACTTTGATTCAAGATATGAGGCAAGATAGTTGAAACGCTTTTACCTCCTCAAAGGATGACTGGTGCCCGTCGCGGTGGGTTCACCCCAATTCCACACGAGGAACGTATCAGCGAACAACAACAACAGCAGAAGCGGAGATGGACACCAAGTGATTTTCGCAACCAGGTGCAGCAGGTACTTCGACAGAGCGCCACATCTGAAGATAAAATTCAAGAAATCGTCCGGATCTCCCCTGCCTTTTCGGATACGACACTCGTCGGTGGTGACTATTTAGATGTGCCGCTGAGGCGCCATGAAGAAGCAGACAGTGGACAGTATATGGAGTATTGCAGTGGATATTATGGCCCTGAAGCTGTTGGTCTCTCACCAATATCAAGTGCTAGAGCTGGTGTCGGGCTAGAATTTGATTCCGCACAGGCTGCGCCTTGTCTGGCTTCTGAGGGGCCTCATGTTGATAGTAATTGGCATGATATAAGCTACCGTGGACCTGAAGGAAGGACGGGGGAAGAGGTCAGGCATGAAAATAGGAACTTCAAACCTCTTTCTTTGAAAGGGAAACTTTTAATCATCTTTTTCTTAAGTTTGGCATCCCTCGTGGCGCTAGCTGAACTTGCCATTCAACTTCTTCCGAATGATGCTGGGATTAACCCATTTTCTCAAGAATACAAACACAATACAAACGTTCACCCTCGATTTCAGTTTAATTACGGGGCTGGTGCACTCAACTACTTGGCTCCTTTCAAACGCCAAAACGAAACTGGGCCTCCGATAATCGTTCCTACAACGACTGAAACCACATCTTATACCGTTCCTGAGCCAATACCGCCCCCAAGCTCAACATCGCAGATAACAACAATACCGCCGATAGAAGGAGGGACAACAACGGATCTTAGCACAAAATCAACTGATTTACCAACATCATCAAGTGTACCGGTTATCGTTCCACCGCCAGTACCCCTGCCGTTACCTTCGACATCGACTGTAGAGATACCTTCTCCACCTTTATCATCCTCAGACAGCAGCCCCTTACCATCTACTATCTCCTCATCCAAATCCATATCGTCACCACTTTCGTCGTTACCACTTTCGTCGTCGCCAATGCCACCGGGAACATCGCACACGTTAATCCCTTCAACAACGATTGTATCATCTGAGACACAAGAACCTACCAGGCCTCATGAAAGTTCAACGGGAAATCAGTGGCCGTGGCCTACCTCGAATCATCCAGGTCCAGATCATTCAGGACAACCTCCAATACTGGACCCACCCCATACGAGTTATGAAGTGACTTCAATAACTCCTACATTACTGCCCTCCTCGCAGCCAACGATTCCGGATCCAGACTCTCCTACTAATACCAGGACAGCCCAGCCGGACTCTACCATGGTGGTGCCAACACCACCGCCGCCGCCGCTGCCGCCAACTTCCCCTAGCATAACTAAACCGAGTTCAAGTCCAACTTCAATTTCAACTGTGAGCCCACCATTTTCAACTTCAAGGGAGTCGTCTGAAACCATAATAAAACCACCAGGGACGACTTCACGTCTGTCAGCCAGTTCGTCTAAGGCCCAGTCTTTAAGTACAACTACTATGGTTCAAACTACAGGGGAAAGCTCCGGTGACTCGTTGACAACACCAACCATTGCGCCTTCCAGCAGTTTGAAGAGTGGAAGTACCTCACTCAAAAGCAGCACGGCGGATGAGAGCACCGCATTTTCCTCCCAGTCTCCATCTTCAACCCCTTCTAAATTCGAAACTTTAACGTCACCACCACTTAGCGCAATGCCTGAGATTTTTCCAACTCGTACGAAACAGTCGACACCACCAGCTTCCGAAACACCGGAGACTGAATTGCCTGAGCCGTTCACGACAATTACTCAAATTCCGGATGAACCATCTCCAACTAAAACTACCACAATCACCACCCTGACAAGTCTGAGCGATGTAGCTTTCATTACCACTTTCGTACAAGGGATAAAAATCGGATTGGATGATCAGATTACGAAGTATGTGACTACCTATACGGATTTCCAAGGTAAACCAACTAGAACGGAGAGTGTCTTGGCACAGGCGTCTATGGAAACAACGGTTTATAGAGATGCTCATGGGGTCCCCACGAGTACCGGGACGTATATAATGCTTAGACCTCCAAGACAAACGACTTTAACGGACTACCAAGGCAGGGCAACATTAACTCAAGATTATTATCTTGGTCTAACTACACAAGTCATTTACGACGTAGACGGTCATCCAACCACTACTGCGACTTCAATGGTTACAAAGATAGCTACGCTGACTACTCTTTTTGACGAGCATGGTGTACCAACCCTAACCAAGACTGAGCTTGTCCCCCTTTCCTTGACGACGACAACTATTGTAACGCCAACGCCAGAAGTAGCCCCTAATGTTCAAAGCAAACAGGCGGTAAAAGTTGTTCCCATTTCCAACGGAAAATATTTCTTAGGCCTGATGCTCCCCACGTTTATTGCGATTGTCGTATCGATTTCGGTCAGGATGATCGATCAGAGCGCGAGGCTCTATTATCCATTCCACGCACTAGCGTCAACTCGAGGCGCGCTGGCTTGTGATAGCCTTTGCTTCCAGACGACGGACATGTGGAATTTAAGCGCGCGTTTTCGCTCACTGCTGAGTGGAGACATTCTCCTTACTCTAACCGGGTTGTTGGTGTTGGGAAGTATTATTTTAGTTCCCTTAACTTCCGAAGCTGTTCGCATTATCCTCAAAGGACCGAATTGCGCTACTTCGGGAGGAGACTCTTCTGCTTGTGTCATGGTCCTTGGTGTGAATCCAGTGCAAGCCCAAGCCGTCGTGGCGCTCCTTGTCTTCTTGGTTATCATAGTTTTGATAACTGCAATTGTGCTTCGGAGGTGGGAAACGGGGTTGAGCTGGAATCCTTGGAGTCTATTTCATATGGGCCACCTTGCTGCAAACAACGAAATTCGCACCTTGCTTCTGCGACGCGTGCGCGAAAAGGGGGGCAATGTGTCAAACAAGGATATGAACAAAACCCTAGCGAAGAAAGTCTTCGTCTTAACTAATTGGGAAGAAAATGGGTACTCCAAATACAGTATACTGATTCGGAACGAGACATGCTTGAAGACGAATGGGAGGCCCACAAGGAGGAAAGCGCATCGAAGGAAGACAAAGGGAAGCTCGATGCCGTTCTTTGTTCTCACGTGGACAGGGAGGCTGCTTTTCCTAGCCTTGCTGTGCGGTATGATAATCGGCTTGTTAATATACACCATTACGGGAGATGGACAGGACTATATACGATATATGAACGGCAGGTGGCGTGTTGTGCGAGTTGTATTCACCACAATTGGCGTTTTTATCTCACTAATATGGTGGTCGTTTTTTCAATGTGAGTTCAACAGACTACGACATGCCCCCTTTTCTGACTCGTTCGTACTCATAAAGTTCACTAGCCGTCGCGTTTCTTCTTCCTCATAAATTACTCCATCGAATACGTCTCTACAATGGAGAAGCGGCATACATAACACCACCAACCAACCCGTTCACGGGCGTTTGGTCGTCGCTAACACCCGGACGCCGTGATGTCTATCTTGGCCTTGTCAGTGCCACATCAATCTTATCCGAGATCCTCCCGATGCTCCTGAGCACGTCGCTGGACAAATGTACCGAATCTTTCTGGGCACATACAGTCTGTCTTTGGATGTCGGTGGGCGTGCTAAGCGTGATGGTATTCACGATCACTGGGTTTTCCTTCGTTGATTGGCCTCCGAGTCTACCGATGGACCCAAGCACAATAGCCGGTGGTATGTACTACACTCTGACCAACTTTATATCCATGAGTCCATCGTCAGGACTGCTTTTTGGCAAAGAGAGCCCGGGTATGGTTTAGTTTAGTTTACGTTAAGGAGTCGCTTCGCTTTGGTGGCCTCCGTAAAGTCTTGTATATATTAAATGCTAGTTACATGCTATATTTACTTGCGTACACTTCGGGGAAAGGGAGAGAAGGGGGGTATTTTAATCTCCTTATCATTTATACTTCGCCTGGAATTCTTCAGCACGGTCAATCCCAATCCTCGTAGCCTCATCAAGATCCTCCTTCGGCAGACCCAGAGCATCGTTAGCAACTGACCCATACTTGCCCTCAAAATCGTTGGATCCGTCTCGGAAGACTCTGCTGTAAAGGAATTGAGAATAGGCTAGCATATCTCCACTTAATACCCGCTTCTGGGCGTCTTGGAAACGCTTACTACTCTCTTCATACTCAATCGTCCAGTCTGACTCTTTGGTACCCGTGACACGGAGAACAGAGGCGAACATGTCCTTCTGGCTAATATGGAATGAAGACACGTATACAAACTTGTTCTTGTAAGTTGACAAGATCGGGGCTCCTTCCTTCTCGGGTTCGATCGGCAAAGATAGTAGCTGAGCTACGGCTCTACCTACTTGCGGCAAGGTCTGAGTGCGGACTTGTTAGAGCAGTATACCCAAGTATGAAAATGGTAAGCTATACTCACAGTAGTGTTCATCTTGGTCTCGCCATTATCGAAAAACGTCCAGGTCCGTGTCTTCAATTCCATACCGTATGTGCCTTTTCCAAAGCCAAGGCTGTAATCGTACCAGAAGCCCGTTGCTACAGCTATCCATGAACTTTTACCTAATTCCTCAATCAACTTTCGTGTGGAACGCTCACGTTCTCCTTGGAGGATATCGTTTCCCAAAGCTTCGTCTGTCATGTCGCATCCCCATTCGTTAGGTAGCACGAAGGGTACATTAGCAATAGCAGCAGCGCGAATCAGCTTGGATTGCGTATCTGGGGGAGCCGTGATCCCCACGGTAATAATGAGTACATCTTGACCCTTTAACCCAGCTACTAGTGTTGATTCGTCGTCATAGTCCACCTCGGCAACCTTCACTCCTTGGGGGAGATGACTGGCGGCCGAGCTGCTCTTGCGCGTAATCGCCGTAATTTCGTGCTTCCCTAGCTTCAGGAGCTCTGCCACCATGTACGTCCCAACTGTCCCGGTTGCCTAGAAGTCATTTATTCCCAGTTAATATATGTCATGCAATCTTATTAGAAGAAAAAGGAGCCACTTACGCCAACGATAGCTATGTTCTTAACGTGATTGATCTGAGGCATTATGATTTAGGTCAATAGGAGGTAAGTCTGAAAAAAGGGCTGAGTTTGTTTGATGTGATGGTATCTGTGGGATAAGTGTATTGTCTATGTAAAAGAAAAGAAAAGATTTGTCTTCTTATATAAATTAGGTATCTACCTAGGTTAGGAGGTGCCTATCACTTACACGTCACTCACTCTCAAGAACCAGCAAAAGAGCTATTCCCAGATTATGTGATGCTGATTAATTCAACAGCATTATACATTATCGCATGACATAATGTATTTATACTTCTACTAGGTGGATCTTGACCTTAACCTTTACCTTTACAACATCAACAATAAATGCAATGATTCCATGACATTTATCTTTAAAGATACTTTGCTACGGTACCTAACTATTTTGGGTACTAGTACGCCGGATAATCGAACTTCAACTTGCCCTAGCTTACTTATTAATGTACGGCTTCTCGAGCGCTAGGCTTGCGGCTAGCGGCTAGTTTTGCCCAAACTTGTTCGGGATCGGGATCGGGATATTGGCTCAACCCGACCCCGTCTCGTAAAAGTCTCCGGATTAGAACTTCCGTAAAAAGCCGTACGTGAAAAAGCCGTGGCCAGGGCGCGCCAAGTGAAAGTCCGGGCTTTCGTGCTACCCGAAAGGTGGCCTCATGTTTAACGTATTATATATTTTCGAAAAAGCTATGAAAATATCTACCCAGGGAAGATCTCCTAAACCTACAACGCAAGGGATGCATCTGATAAAACATTTCTTCCTCAGCAATGAGATATCCAGCAAAAAACGCTTAAAATGTTGCACACAGACGACCTTCTTAATCCGGACGACGTCGATACAATATCTTGAACAAGTTCGAGCAAATCCGTACTCATAATTACATTAGGTACCTGGTAGGTACCTACCTACCTCACATACTTAACCAGCAATGGGATCATATTTCGGCGTTCGCTAAGGAAACTTCAAAGATCCAGGGTTCTGGCGTTGAAGCTTCTCTATATATGAACAATGGAAAGGACTGTAATTCCTATTTTGCTCATGTGAGAGACATTGATTTACTGAGTCGTATGATATGTCTACCTTAAGTACCTACCTAGGTAGATACCTATGCTATATGACGCCTTTACTATGGGTACTTCAGCTCTAAAACTTATAACCTTGAGCAACATAAATTCCTTGCCTGCAGAAACATCTTGTTTAGGTCCTAAGAAAACATAGTAGGTTGTATTAAAAAGACAAGGAAGAAGTAATATACAAAAATAAAGAGAGTGATTTGGATTAATGCACAACTAATAATAGTTACCTAGGTAGGTACCTACCTGTAAAACGCGTATATGAGAGCACCTTACAACGCGATACACCATATTGCATCAATATTACCAGAGCCAAGGTGATGTTTAATTCTATTTAGATAGGCCATCAAATCAGCAAACACCAAGAAAGCCCCCCTCTTATTCCAAAAAGAAATCAACTTTGGAAGTTATATGTTATTGTTTTTCAAAACATTCTCTTCAAAACAGTTGCAAAGTCCTTTTAGACTGCTCAAACTGCCAGGTACCTACCTCTTCCTCGGTAGCTTTAGGTCACCTCAACGCCCAACACCGTACTCTAATAATTTTTTTAAACCATGGGTAGCTGTTTGAAGGAATGGCCCGATCGTAATCCCACAAAAATGTTTCGGTTAACCGAGTTCGACGCAGAACTAAACGGCTTACAGTAGGTGCGTATGGATATTCTGACCATCATATACCCTTGTTCCACCAACGTATCTTGACTTCTCATCCGATCGTATAGTAAATTGTAACCTTGCTGGGTTGATTAGGTCTCTGAATACACGTTGGCAGCAGCTATGTCAGACGTGCAATATCAGTACGCAAAAGGATAGCGAGGTGAAGCTGAAAAATTTTAATACCTTGGCATAGTTCGTAGAAGGTAAATTCTCCACGCCAAGATGCAAAAGACTGGGACAGTTGCTCTTCGTGAAAAAGCCAAGATATATAGTATATAAAAACGACCATCAAGGTTCTTTCAACATACTATCAACTGAGCATTACACAGCTGTTCTAAATTCTATTCTCATTAAGTTGGAAATGGATGCAACTTTTCATGAGCTCACAATAACAGACGCCGTTAGCTTGGCATAATCCATACCGGTACTTACCGGCTTAATATCCTTGATAGGATTATATTAGTATATCATTCTGGCTAGGATTGGGTACTCAACAGGATAGTGTAGTTGGATGGGTTAAGAGAAAGAGTTGTGTCATAGGTTGTCTTAGCCAATAGCAATCAGCTTGAAATATACTTGAGCTTGACATATTAAAATATTGAAACCCGGACATGCCCCTACCTGCGTAAACTATATAAGCCGTCTGTCTGCCTTCATAATTGGCCTCAGTATCATCAGTCATCAGCCTCGTTTACTTTCTCAACTTGCCAAATCCACCGAGACTTCAAGTTTTCTGACAAGATGTATAACATCAACGCAATTCTCGCTGCTTTTCTGTTCGGTTCGGCGGCTGTCGCACAGTCGTTGCCCCCTTCTCCCACCGCATCTGTCGGGTGTCATCCTCACGGTGATCATTGGTGAGACTCTCTTTCATTTTATTCGGTAGTATTTGAAGACGGATAGAAAGGGCTTACCGGAGTTATTACATAGGCATTGTGACGGACCAGCATCGGCCACTTCTTTAGTAACTCTGTCCGGCACTGAAAGTAGCGAAGTCTCTCAAACCCTTGCGCCAAGCCCCACGGAGTCTGTCGGTTGCCATCCGCACGGTGATCACTGGCATTGCGATGGACCTGCGTCAGCGACCGCCTCATCCACAAGCTCTGTCACTGACGACCATCACGACGAGGAAACTACAAGCCTGCCACCTAGCCCAACGGAATCTGTGGGCTGCCACCCTCACGGTGATCACTGGCACTGCGATGGGCCTGCCGTGACTGTGAGTACATCGTCTTCAGAGCCTGTAGAAACGGGTGGAGTTGGAAAGGTCGGAGCTGGTAACGCTGTGATTCTAGGAGGACTGCTCGCGGTTGCGGCAATAGGTCTATAATAGCAATCGTTTAATTGTGCTTAGCTAGCTAATATGGTGTTATACTCCTAGTAAAACTCCAAGACAAGTCAACTTTAAGCTTAAATGCACAGCGCCTTTGATTATGGCTATATTTGATGACTGTACGTTGCATCTTCATATGTAACCTTGCATAGTGAATTAAAGTATGCTAAGTAATATTGAAACATTGCTATAACAATTTATATACCTAATATAAGGTTGACAACCTCCCAATAGAGAAACCGGATTATACTCAATCTACGTCATACGTAGTACTTTCCTATAGTTCAGGTATACACATACACCGAACACAAGGCATTTGAAGATGGCGGATAAACGCATGAAGATCAGTGTATCCTGAGTGTATTCCCATCTGCTCGGGTTTTACGAAGTCTTACAATGTCCATCAAGGTCCTTGTTGTCAATTGACAAGACCGACAGGAAGAAAAGTTGATCGTATAAAAGCCTGAAGTAATTGATTCCTGTTTGAGTTCTCATTTTAACTTGCCAAGCGGTTAGAGGAAAGCCAAGGGAAGCTGTGTGGGGGGTGGTAAAAAGGCCAAGAATGTACTTCGTGAGAAGGCGAATTATAACTTCCTAAGTTGTAGAAACGCCGAAACACCTTGATGGCCAAATAGTAACTTCGAAAGTGACAACGTATTAATTAGATAATTATACATATCTTTTTTTTATTTATATTATGTGGTTCTGAAAAAAAAAGTTTGTCTACCTGGTATTCATCCAGTGCACCCGCCACTCGTAGCAAAATCAATTACACCTACTTTGAGACTGACCAGAGACTACGACCGACTTAGCTACCTGACATAAGGTACTAAACGTGGCAGCACAACTACATGTGCTTTTGACAGGATGGGCCAACTCCAAAAGCCATGGATAGCGCTTCCGCTTGCGCTGACACTGTCACTTGACGCGCTTTCCTATGCCGAAGCATTATACCTCTCTCCAACACCGGCGCTGCGAAGTCCATTGATCACATCAGCTCCCATACTACCTCGAGCTACCGAGAGCTTCACTGCCGTATCGGGTTGCCACACACACGGTGATTCAGTGTAGGTTGTTGCATTAACGTCCTAGAATTGTTGTCTAACGCCGTATAGATTCTGTATATATGATTCAACTGAGCTTCAAGTGGTGGTGCCGACAACGGCGATTAGCGCAATTCCGCCAACATATACCGGCTGCCATAAGCACGGGGATGAATCGTATGTCGAGCTAGTTGATCTTGTACACTAGGAATGAAACTAACAAAATTAGATTTTGTTTCGCGCCTGATGGCTCTGAAGTTGAAGTTCTTGGCCTCAATGCCGAGGACTCTGGCAACCACTCAGAAGAAGGCGAGGCACACAGTGAAAGTGGAGGACAAAACTGCCATTTCCATGCGGGTGTTGAGTGAGTAGTTCCGTATCCAGTTGCTAATGGCTCGTGCATCTAAACATCTGTAGACATTGCGTTGGCGGTGGTGAGAGCGAGAGTAGCGTAGCGAACTGCTCGCGACGAGATCGGGAATACAACGTCCCTTTGAGAATCGGACTTCTCTTCGTCATTCTAGTTACTAGTTTCCTAGGTAAGCTCAGTGGCTTCTTTAAAGCTTGGGTAGTAACGATGAACTCATTATGACTTTTAGGGGTTGCGGGACCAATCCTGCTTAAACCAATACTGCCACAGAAATTCCAGTCGATTTTCCTCGTTCTTAAGCAATTTGGTACTGGTGTCATCATATCAACAGCGTTTGTCCATGTGAGTTCCTCGTGTAGAAATATATTGTGTATTAGCTGACCCAAGCCCAGCTTTTCACGCATGCGGAGCTCATGTTCACGAACGAATGTGTTGGGGAGCTCAGTTACGAAGCTACAACAGCTGCGATAGTTATGGCCGGAATGTTTTTCGCATTTATCGTAGAGCACACGAGCCATCGCTTAGCCCATAAGTTTTGGGCAAGGACTCAGTATAATAGCGAAGTGGTTGGGGTTGCAGTACTTGAAGCTGGCATTATATTTCACTCCCTTTGTAAGTAATCACCATACCTATCATTCATCTCACCAATACTAACAATTCTTTAGTGATTGGCCTTACTTTGGTAGTTGCAGGGGACAGTTTCTTCATAACTCTTTTTATCGTCATCCTCTTTCACCAAATGTTCGAGGGCATAGCTCTAGGTACTCGCATTGCATCTATCGGACAAGCCAGCAGAGTCGAGACCGAAAACGTCAATACTCCGCAACTAGCCAGAGATGTATCCTCATCTACGCAGGGTCCCGCAATTACGGACACCGGCGACTCTCTGGAAGAGAGCAAAGAACGAAAGTCGTTACCAGCGATTCATAAGTTTTTAATGGCCGCTGCATTCGCTTTGGTTACGCCAGTTGGCATGGCCATCGGTATTGGCGTTCTGAAACAGTTTAATGGAAACGACCCTAGCACACTAATTGCTCTGGGTACTCTCGATGCTCTATCAGCCGGAATACTCATATGGGTTGGTGTTGTAGAGATGTGGGCGGGAGATTGGATGTTCGGTGGTGAGTTATCAAATGCAGGGGGTATGATAACAGTTCTTGGGGGAATTGGGCTCATTGCTGGAATGGTTTTAATGAGTTTCTTGGGCAAATGGGCATAACGGTGGTGGTATCATGACGAATAGTAGTTTCGAAAGGGATCATGGGGAATAAAAAAGATCGCTTATACCTGTGTTGGTAAGAAAAATGATAGGCACCATCTAGTTAAATAATAGGTAATCAATTATAAGCTTCACTGGTGCAAGTCGATATCTGCGAAATCAAGATTATAATAATTATCTCGTAGCATACCGCAGGTACTTCAGCTTATGATGTAAGTATTTGGATAGGAGGTAACGAATATTGTGCGTTTCGATATTTCCACTCCTTGGACGGTGGATGTTCACATAACGAATCACTATGGCAACATACAGGTGGGCTGGTGGGCAAAAGTAAGGTGCTGTAACAGACATTTGTGACCTCATAAATCGCTAGCCTAGTACATTCTACCAAGCGACCAGTAACCTTGTGTGCACTTCTCGCCTGGTTCGTAAGATCTTACGAGAATCATGGCAACGTCCACTGTGGATGCTGAAATGACTTAAGGCTATTTCCTATTGCGGTACAAAATATATTACCGGAAATGTGTATATGTGTGAGGCCTTATCTTTACCTAGTACGAACAGCCTTGGCTGTCTCAAGTATCTCCTAGGAAAATCTTAATTGCTTACTCAATTTGAAGTATGTATCGAAGCCGTCACATACTTTAACCCTTTATTTACCTGTATCTTCGGTTGTTATGCACTTAATACTGTTCGGCATTTTGTTCTGTATTTGATAACAGTCTAATGACGCTTGTATTATCACCAACACACATATCTTAAAGCTTTGTGATATTTAAACGGTTATAATATAAAGATTATTGAAGGAGCTTTTCAGGAATTATGAGGATGCATCGGAATAGTTCCACTAGATGTCACCCATCTCATATCCCTGCATTAAACGGATCCGGAATTTTCTTGCGAGGTAACATTTTCTTCTAAACCGATAGGAAATTAGCGAAAACAGTTTGTGCAATCTAGTCACGGATATCTGCATTTACATATTCCTACGCAGATAGGATACCTTACATGGACGATTCCTTGGGACGTCGAAGCACCAAGCACATGCAGCTGAAAAGGAACATTCCACCCTCGCCGCGCTATAGATGCATGTCAACTCTTCAGGTTAAATGACCAGCATGGTCGCTTTCTCTCAGCTTCCCCAAGATGTAACGCTTCTAGAGTTATAACATGGTTTCCGATTCGTGCAGGTTGCTCTTGTCTGTCAAACCACGTACGATATTGAGACATGTTAGGTGACTGAAGTGCATGAAGATCGCGATTAACAGTAAACAATTTACCTTTAACATAGGTACGAAAGACGCGAGTTTCTCGGTTTCACCTCATATATAACAATCAGACCATCATAATATGGTCACACGAAGATAGGACCGGCCGTAGGAAACAGGAAATGTCTTGCCACGCAAGGGTGGTAAAGTGGCGTAGAGAGTAACAGCCTAAAGATAGAGGGAAAGTTTAGACAATGCGCCGGATGGTATGCGCCATCTCGAGGCAAAATGACCCAAGTGTCCGGTTAACTAATTTACATACGATCTAGACTTCCATTAGAAGCGTAAATATAGTCTCAATAAGGATCCCTACCGAGGTACCTGACTCGCTATTACCAGATATTATAGGTTGTTTTCGAAATACGAGTAACTGATTTTTGATATGCGCTCAATCACGCAATAATAGGCTTGCCATGGCGCAACGTATTCCACCAAGCTCGTCATGGCGCCTTCCTACTTGAGTAAAGAAAACCCCCTGTAGTTTGCTATGTCTTTGTTTATCCCATCCAATCATCGAGGTCAATTTCAAATGTTATTTCTAAATCATTAAGTTGTATAACATGGGTTATGCAGGTTGGCGCAGATTAAAAAGGGCCACGAGAACCTCTGGTTTATATCTATAATGCTATAGACCTTTTACAAGGCTTCCGATCAATTTCTCAAGTCAAAGGAAAAGGATATTCTATCATGGGTAGGTACACTATGTCATCAATACCAATTACCATGTTTCTCTCTGCTAACGTTGTTTGTAGCGGAGAATACCATAGGCCTCAATGTCCAAAAGGTCGTTGAACCCGACGCGGACCCAGTCCCCATACAGCATAAAATAGTGGGGAAATCGGCAGACTCTCCACATGTCGAGTCGCAGCCCGAATCACTCAACGAAGCCGGCCCTGTTATAGACTATGAGGAATACCCGCCTCCGACTGAGGAAGAACGAAGAACGTTGCGCAAAATCCATCACTCCATTCCTCTAGCCGCTTGGTCCCTTTGCTTCGTGGAGTTGGCTGAGCGAGCTTCTTACTATGGTGTCAAAGCTGTCTTTAACAACTATATGTAAGGGCCTACCTTTCGTAAGGGCTTATATGAAGACCTGAACCTTACGTAATAACTTTTTATAGGCAGTTTCCTCTTCCAGAGGGTGGCCCAGGAACCGGCGCGATAGATCGGTCAAAACCCAACTCACATGCTGGTGCCCTCAACCTTGGTCTTCAAACTGCTTCTGCTTTAGGTCTACTATTCACATTCCTAGCATATGTTATTCCTATCTTTGGTGCTTGGATTGCGGACGTTAAAATAGGCCGTTATAAAGCAATAGTGTAAGTTGTACGCTCTGCATTTATTTTCTTCGCTAAACCGTTTCTGTAGCTGGGGCGTCCTTATAGGTGCCTTCGCTCACGTTATTATGGTCGGAGGTGCTGCTCCAGCCGTGCTTCAGGTAAGTTCCCCAGCGTTTCTAGTAGTCCTTCTCCTGTCGAGATATATATGACTGATCTTGTTATACGAATAGGCCGGGAAAGGAGTCGCTCCTTTCCTTGTTTCCTTCTTTCTTCTCGCCATTGGTGCCGGCGTCTTTAAACCCAATATAGCACCTACAGTCATTGATCAGTCAGTTTTTGCCTCTATAATCTCTTGTAATTCTCTTATATCATCAATTCGTTTAATGTTTTCTCCTTTTTCTTTTCAAGAACTCACTAACACAATGTACCTCCATAGATATAAATACCAACGCGAGTATACGAGGGTCCTTAAATCAGGAGAGAAGGTGCTTGTTGACCCTGAGACAACTGTGAACCATATCATGCTTATATTCTACGCCTTTGTCAATGTTGGTGCGTTTTTCAGCATCGCCGTTGTCTACGTCGAAAAATACCACAGTTTCTGGCTTGCTTTTCTGTTACCAGGCATCATATACTTCCTGTTACCGTTCCTTCTCGCCGCTATGTATAAACGGACAATCAAGAAGGCACCGCAGGGTTCTGATCTAGTCCGTTTTACGAAGATCACGCTTTCCGCCTTAAAAAAGAGCAAAGGAAACATCTTTGCAAAGGACTTCTGGCATAAAGTAAGGCCTCTGGCACTAGCGGAGCAGAATATACACGCCAGCTACTCAGAGAAAGACGTTGCTGATGCCCAACGCACATGGGAAGCTGTCCACATCTTCTTATGTACGTCCGACACCCAAATCCATATTGTCTAAATCATTCAGTGGGTATTGAAGCTAACTTTGATGTGTATAAAAGACATACCTGTATGGCTAATCAATAACGGCGGGGTTGGGAACCTTCAAAGCAATCAAGGGGCAGCGATGACTTCAAATGGTGCCCCCAATGATCTACTAAATCATTTCAATCCCTTGGTTATTCTTGTGGCCTCGCCACTCATGGCCCAAGTTGTGTATCCATTCTTGGAGCGCAGAAAGATTAAAGTCGGCCGAATCACTCGAATGACTTTCGGCTTTGTTCTTGCCACCATTTCTGGAGGTCCGTATCTCTCTCATATGTGGCTTTATATTTATACGCAATAAGCTTGACTATATGCTGACTTGCGCATTTATTCTAGTTATTGGAGCAATCGTGCAGTGGAAAGTCTACGAGACGTCGCCTTGTGGCTATTATGCTTCTGATTGTGATGAGGTGTCGCCAATCTCCATTTGGTGGCAGATTCCAAATGTTGCCCTGGGCGCCATATCCGAAATATTCGTTAACGTAACAGCGTACGAACTTGCATACGCCCGTGCCCCTGAGCATATGAGGGCTACGGTGGTTGCACTCTTCCTGTTCATGACTGCCCTTAGCAGTGCGTTGGGTGAAATTTTGATTCCAGCGATTGCCGACCCAACACTTATATGGGCTTGGGCAGCTCCGGCGATAGCGCTCGCTGTTCAAACCGTTATCTTCTGGTGGAATCATCATGGTGCTAACGAAGATGTTTTCATGACGCATGAGGAGGACTTCCAGCAGTTGGCCGGCGAAAACGAGATATCCGAGAAGGGAGAGAAATAGGACGACACATGGCATTAGACTATATCCATAGTCAAAGCCAGTAAACACTTACTGACAACATATATCTGGAACACAAGGTTCATGCTGCGTAGCACACACTATTTCCTAGGTACCTGTACCCATTATATAGTTGAAAAATATCACCTAAGCCTATAATACAGAGATCCGCTTAAAATTAGTTGCTCTTATATTAAGTGAACTTTGTAGCAAGAGTAGATGCAAGTGTTCATGTTGTTTGTAGATGCATTCATATTATGTAATCCTACCCTCCTGGGATCCGCGAGAGATAGCTCGGTACGGATCCGCTGTACCGGAGTGGGACCCGGCTAAAGTCCGGGAAACGATTAATATGTTGAACTCCTCTGTTCGCAACTTCCTTTGCCATTGCCGCTTATCTCCGTGATTTCCATTTTTGCCACGGCATTGCTAACACTTAACGCAACTTTCGCTGCTGCACTGTCGCAGACAAAAATGTTACTTCTTTGGCTTCTGCCCCATGTCGAAGGTGAAAATGGCTAGAGGCATAGTGTCTCCGTATATCTCCGCTCGATGCTCTCGTTCATTTCTTGCTCTGAGTAGACAACGGAGAAGATACACGACCAAGGCACCTCATTCCTCGGCTAGTGACAGCACCAGCCGCCAGTCTAATGATGCAATCGACGAGAATATTAAATCTGAGCCGGGTCCGATGAGCCGCCGTCTCGAAGAGGCTACGGAAGAAGCATTGCTTACCGGAGGGACAGCCGGCCGACGATCGATAGAACATGCCGGCTTTTCGGACGAACTAAAAGAACGTCTTCTCGCAAAAGTTAAAGATGCCGAATTTAGATCCGAAAACGCCGCCGCTTTCGCCGAAGCCGGAATGCCCTCAGCTGCCAGCGTAGGTACCCGTCTTACGGCAACAAGTCAGTCCTGGACGGGTACTGAAGCTACTGAAGACGCCGTTTTGCGGATGCTCAACGACGCACATAAACCGTTAAAAAGAGAATTGCGGGCTCGTCCGAATAGGCCTGATCTTCAGCCTATCGATATGCGAATTAGGCAAGAACTAAAGATGAAGCCTGGGCACAGGGCTGCCAGCGCCAGGGATAAGGCTTCTATATACGCGGGTATGGGTATGAAAGAGCTACCAGCAGGCCTTAGCGAGGAAGAGAGGGAAGAGTTGAGAAAAGAGTTTCGCGAGCGCTTTAGACCCGCCGCCCGTGCACTACCAAATTCATTGACAGGACTGGCTTCTCTAGCTAATGAGAGGATCGAAGATGCCATCGCAAGGGGGCAGTTTAAGAATATTCCGAGGGGCAAGGGAGTTGAACGCGATACGAGAAGCGACAATCCTTTTGTAGATACGACCGAGTACATTATGAACAAGATGATCAAGCGCCAAGAGATAGTACCACCGTGGATTGAGAAGCAGCAGGAACTAGCCAAGGCCGCACACGTGTTCCGGGCTCGGCTGCGAAGCGAATGGAGACGGCATGCCTCCCGAATGATTGCCAGTAAGGGCGGTTCGCTTGAAGACCAAATAAATCGGGCTAAACAATACGCGAAAGCGGAAGAGTTGCACAACCCCCGAAAGCGCAACGTCGACCAGATAGCAGTACCTACAAACTCAACGGATGACCCGGTCATGGCCAAAATGCGCCAGCAGGCGGCGCTAGAAGCGAATGCCGAACCGGTACCGAAGACTAATGTTAATACGGCGACAGATCAGGAGATCACGTTGCCACCTTTCCGAGATCCCGACTGGTTGGCTACGGAACAGGCTTACATGGACCTTTCCATTCGCAATTTAAATTCGCTTACACGATCTTATAATTTGATGGCTCCTGATCTTGCTAAAAAGCCCTATTTCTCACTCGAACGTGAGTTGAATAATTGCTACGCAGATGTTGCGCCGCAACTAGCAGATACTATAAAGGACAGGGCTAGTGGCCGGGCGAAACCTTTATCGGACGGGGTTGGAAATATACCTGGTGGCATATTAGATCGCTTCGGGAAAGGCGGCCATACTGCGAAGGTATACGAGTCGAAAGCACCTTATTACGGATTCAAGGAGATGTGGCGAGATTTTTGGAGTCGTCAAGCTAGCTAGACTTTTCTATCTACTCCTCTGCGGCGTTCCATAAAGTAAATAGATGCAACAGTTCAGCTTTCAAATTTACTAAAATGGTCGCAATCCCGAGATATGATTTATGTTTATAGTATAATACAATTAATTGCCTAGCCTCTAAATGTACTAACTCGATTTCGCTTTACCCCGGATTGTAAGTATTCAAGGTTATTTAGACGTGGAGGTTACCTGGTACGTCATTGTTAAAAATCCCTGTTGCATCAGGAAATAATAATATAAAGCCAACGTGGGCATTGCTCTTTCATAACAGGTACCTCATATTCCCCCTTATCCGGACCAAAGGGAATTTGATATTGCTCGGGCCGAGCCTAGCTTATCAGGAACGGGCCAACGGCGTCAACGTGTCGTCATAGTCAGCAACGCGCAGTATATGGGTTCGAATCTCACGTCAAAATTAAGTTGTCCAGGACATCCCGGAGGGTGAAAGAGAAAAAAAAAAATGAAAAAATCATTTTGCCTCTCGATCTTGATTTGAACGGGAATTTTCTTTTTAAATAAATAAAAAAGTTAATATCACCTGTATTACCTGTTATATCAGTTTGAAGAAGAAAAGAGAGCTTCCGTAGTGGCACCATTTAAAACTTATGGAGCCTCGGTTTCGGCGGGCATTCGGAGTTCTCCATTTTCCCCAAGCTTCAAAAATTGCTACCTCTTATATATGTATCGCGAACCTCGAACCGTTAGATCATTATAGTGAGGTTTCCCCAGACTCTCCACTCTCCTCTCCTCATTTCTTTCTTTAATTAACCCTCTTTCTTAATTCTGTGATCTGTCCTATTCTTCTCTTCTTATTCTCATTCTCATTCCTGCCCTCCTCCGATTTCGTAGCCAATTGTGCTTTTATGCTTGTATTAGTAGAGAACCGCTGGTGTGCCCCTCGCTGCTGTCTTCGTTGCTTGCCTCTCTAGGCCTCACCTTAGCAGGAGCTTTTGAGCTCGAATCGAGACCAATATGGCTTCGCCTGTAGCGTCCGCAGCTCTGAAAGCTCGAGTTCATCGACCTTCTATGCTAAAGAAGCTATGTCGACCCGAGGACTTGCTTCACCATTTCCCAAATGGTGCCTATATTGGCTGGTCGGGTTTCACTGGCGTAGGCTATCCCAAGTACGTAGCTTATTATCCTACCTTTTTCCCCTGCAAGTTCATCTGGCTAAACTCCAATTGCAGGAAAATGCCCACGTTTCTAGCGGACCATGTCGAAAAGAACAACCTTCAGGGTAAACTCCGATACACATTATTTGTCGGCGCGTCCTCAGGGGCGGAAACGGAGAACCGATGGGCATCACTTGACATGATTGAGAGGCGGAGTCCTCACCAAGTCGGCAAGTCTATCGCGAAGGGTATTAATGAGGGAAAGATCAAGTTCTTCGACAAGCATTTATCTATGTTTCCCGTAGATCTGGTATATGTAAGTGCGGCCATAGATTCAACCCATTGGCCCATAAGTGTATCTATATCTAACATCACCAGGGATTTTACACCATGGACAGGCCGAGCAACAAGTTAGATGTCACGGTGGTTGAAGCTTCGGAAATTAAGGAAGATGGAAGCATCGTCCCTGGCGCATCGGTTGGTGCAACGCCAGAGCTCGTCCAGCTTGCAGACAAGGTGAGCAGTCAGATTATCAATTCAAACGAAAGGGTATTGATTAAACATATTTTGTAATGCCAGATCATTATAGAAGTCAACACGGCCATCCCCAGTTTCGACGGACTCCACGATATCACAATGACCGACTTGCCCCCCAGACGAAAACCTTACTTAATCATGGGAGTTGAAGACCGTATTGGAACCACATCTATCCCTATTGACCCGGAGAAGGTTGTCGGTGTTATCGAGTCTGACTACCAAGACCAAACGACACATAACACGCCTGCTGATGAGAGCTCCCGTGCGATCGCAAACCACCTAATCGAATTCTTTGAACACGAAGTTAAACATGGTCGCATGCCCAAATCTCTTCTTCCCCTGCAATCTGGTATCGGCAACATCGCGAACGCTGTCATCGGTGGGCTCAGCGAGTCTAACTTCTGGAACCTGAAAGTGTGGACTGAGGTTATCCAAGACACATTCCTCGATCTGTTTGACTCTGGCCGCCTTGACTTCGCTACTGCAACCTCGGTCCGTTTCTCCCCTGAAGGTTTCAAGCGCTTCTACGACAACTGGGAGGCGTACCGCAACAAGCTGCTTCTGCGTTCGCAACAGGTTTCCAACTCTCCCGAGATCATCCGCCGATTGGGTGTAATTGGCATGAACACGCCCGTCGAGGTTGATATCTACGCCCACGCTAACAGCACGAACGTGCTGGGAAGCCGAATGTTGAACGGACTAGGCGGTTCCGCTGACTTCCTGCGCTCGGCTAAGTACAGTATCATGCACACTCCTTCGACGCGGCCGTCTAAGACGGACCCCATTGGTGTCAGCTGTATCGTACCCATGTGCACGCACGTAGACCAGACCGAGCATGACTTGGACGTCATAGTGACGGAAACCGGTCTTGCCGATGTTCGGGGCATGAGCCCCCGCGAGCGTGCGCGCGTCATCATCGAGAAGTGCTCCCACGAAGAGTACCGCCCCATCCTCAAGGACTACTTCGAGAAGGCCGAGTTCGAATGCCTGAAGAAGGGCATGGGCCACGAGCCGCACCTGCTTTTCAACAGCTTCGACATGCACAAGGCATTAGTAGAGGAGGGCAGCATGCGCAAGATCAAGAAGTGGTAAAACAAAGAAGGACAGGTTTTACAACGCGTGTAAGAAAGATGATGAATGAGAAGGCGGATGCATATTGAGGGTTGCATATTGGGATTTCGTGCACTAAAAGGTATCTCTATTTCGGCTCAAGTATATACGCGATTCTGGTTACCGTTAGGGCGTACGTTGCCGTTTCCTTGGGCTATGCGTTAACATCGGGGAGAGAAGACCTATGAGACTCAACAGTAGTGTGAGTATAATGCCTAAGTAGATACAAAAGTTTCCAATGACATATTCGTCTTGGACTTTGGATAAATTAAAAAAAAAATAAAAAACTAAATTATAAGTACTGTTTGTCTTAAGAGACTTTCTTGCTTAGGAGGTAGGTACTATGGTATTGTGCAATTTGATGTTGTATTGGACCTTGGTAACCATTTTCTAGTAGTCAATAATATCCATTACTTAGGTACCTCCTAATAACCACCCTGCAATAAGTGTACTAATAGAGTATTCTCCCAAACATTGGGACAAAAGCAAAAGCTTCTCATTAGGTACCTAGGTAGTCTTAGACTACAATGCCGCGTTTACTGACTTGGCAAATTCTCCGCATATTAAACTGCCTTCTCTACGGACGCTAGGGTTAATGGCAAATAGGAGGGACCATCACTTCATCGAACCACAAGCATTATACGACGCAGCTCCTAATCTCGACACTATATATTCCTGTGAAGGACAAGGTTTGTGGTACGCAAGGGAACCTCGACAATTTTTCAATGTCAGAAGACTAGCCATATCGGGTCTTTTCCCTGAATCATTGGGCGATTTGCTACTTCATGGTCCGAAGGTCGAGGAGTTAGAATACTACTTTGAACGTGACAATGATTTCACCATCGATAACCTAGCCTATATGCTAGCGCCTGTTGAGAGAACGCTCAAGAGATTCTGCTTCAGTTACCTACCGGCCCACTCAGGAGAAATGGCCTTCGAACCGTGTCCAGTTTGGATGGAGCATCCTCACTCATTTAATCCTCCGTTCAACAAGACCCTCCAAGATTTCTCTAATCTGGAGGAGTTGATTATTGATTGTCATTTCCTATATAGATGGAGCGATCGCGAACAAGTGGATGGGCTTGTCACGCTTCTCCCGCCCTCAATTCGCAAGCTTCGAATTTTATATCTTTATAAAGGCATATTCACGTCTCTCTCGCGACTTGCGGAAATGGCACCTGGATACTTCCCACTCCTTGAAGATGTTACGCTCAGCCTTGCAGAATGGACAGATCCAATACACAAGTCTAATATCGAGAAAAAATTGCGCGTTGGTCAGTTGTTTCAGCAATCCGGGATAAGATTTTCGGTGGAAGAGGACTTGGTAGGGGCAGACTCTAGAACTATAATCCCTGGTGCTATGCCAGGGTCAAAGTTGATACCTGCGCCCCGAATGATGGACGAAAATTCGAGGATCTGGAACTGAGAAACGGATAAGGATACGATGACATAGGAAGCAAGAGGCAGTTCTAAACATAAATGGGAGGCACTAGTCTCTAATATTTCATTCGGCGGATAACCATGTCACCGACATTTGGTGAGGTCTTCAAACCTCAACAAGTAAATTATGATTTTGCTCGTACTCCCATTCTCGCTTTTCAGTAGGCAATAAATATGAATATAATATCAAAATCTCCCCCCTCATATCTTACATTACTTAATGCTCACAAAATGTCTTATAAATGTTTATGACAAGCCGTAAAAAGTTGTAGCTTTCGCATAGCCATATAAGACTAAAATAGCGGCAATTTGCCACCATCAAGCCCTTATAGCTCAGAGGTAGAGCGTTTCACTCGTATCACGTGATCTATCATCACTGTTATCGAAATGAAGAGGTCCATCGTTCAATCCGGTGTGAGGGCATTGAAATTTCTTTTTTTCTTCGCTTCTTGATATAGGTATTGCTTGTATTGTATTCTTTGAAATTGTCTTGGCGTGTGAAACGCTTCACGCCTGGCTTAGGTTCTAATGGACTCGATCCATCCCACTTGAATCAGTAAATTTTTTTTAAATCCATAACTGTTCGTCGAATTGACATTTTCATTCACCGGTTGGCAAAGGTACGTTCGATCACGGATAATTGATTAAGGGGATCTAATAACTCCTAGACGATATGTATAATTACCAACTTTAGCTGGTAGATACTTTGTCTGTTTGATTTTATGAGACGCACTCTCAGCTAGTTGCTAGGCTTGTGTCGTTAATACAATTCCATCTACTAATCAAAGGATAAGGAAAGTATTCTGGTGTCGCGGATATCAGTATAGGTTAGGTACCTTAGGTACCTAATGAACTTGAAGAGAAGGACAATATATACAAGACACTAACTTCGCTGTGCCATGATGTTGGCTCCAAGAACGTTGTTTTCATATTTCGTCCCTACTGTTGTTTTCGATGCTGTCCTATTCTCAACCCAATCAACCAAAGCAATGAGCGTATTATGCTTAGAATCTAATGGACTCTTATTGTATAGACCAGACGGGAAGAACAGTCGATCGAAACTATGCATATCTTGTAGGGTGCAAGTCAGAACCACTTCAAAACCCTTAGTTAGCTCGTATAAGAGATACATGATCAGTCTTCTGTACCATAGCTTTGTTTTACTTACCTCAGCGTTCCGTCCATAGATCGTATAACTCAGCCTAGCCTTCCCATTATCCTGTTTTGCCGAGAAAATATCGGTTTTAGAGCCCAGCTTGAAGGTAGGGTGGATACCTACCTAGGTACCTAAGGTAATTTGACCGGATCCGCTAACGATAGGCTCGTACGCCCTACGCCCAGATTCGACTTGTTGTGGGTTAAGGGAAAGAGAAGAGTTGAGTAGGCCGAGCTTCATAGGATCAAAACGGTGCTTTGTTAGCTCATCTATGATACCGTCCAGCACCCCATCTAGGGAATCGAAATTCTCGAATCTGCGCCTCGACGATAGCCGGCTATTGCTCCGGACGTATATAAGCTAGCGAACCTAGAGGGGGTCATCCAATACGTCGTGCGAGGATTCCTTTCAATGTCACAATGTGTAACCAGTCGACACCCGGGTTTCCGAGAAATAAGCCATCAAAGTCCTCGGGATACAGATGCGCATTTTGAAAACCTTGATGGCCCCTGTGCTATAGCCCGCGTAATACAATTTTGTTGTCGCGGTTCCATAGTACTGACGCGCCAATTCCTTGTTAACCTCTGCTTCTACGTGGATAGCCCCATAGCCGAAGTCGTTGATAACTTGGGGTTGATTCAAGAAAAGCTCATATCCCACGGATCCAGTATACCCGGCGTTAGTTCCGAAAGACGCGAACCCCAGCCCAGCCCCGTTCTGCATGGTAGCGTAGTCGATACAACCCCCAATACCACCTTTTCCTGTAGCCAGTATCCTGTCATTCCAGGTTGGTCAGTCGGGGAGCCGAGCTTCTAATTCTATCTCGCTTGAAGGAGAAGTGGTAACAGTGAGCACAACCAGACAAAGATTGGCCGTGGCATAGGTTTTGAGACTGGATCCTCACAGGACTCTACGGTCCTAGGAAGGTCAAAGGTTGTCCCGTTGAGCAAGTAGCCATATGTGAGGATCGTACTATTAGGAACTAAGATATTCGATCCAAGCCATGCGCATTTACCTACAAAGGATGCAGCTAAGCGAGCAGACAGCCCAAAAAAAAAGATGACGATGCTCCAGGTAGATAGTGGCATTATTGAAGTCTTTGATTACTTCCCGGTGTCAAAATGTCTTTCACCAGTTTCGCCTTCAGAGAAGGACAGTATTAGACCCTGCTTTCAGCTTACCGTTACTTGCCTTAGGTAGTTAGTCGCCTCTAAGTTCCCGTCTTGTAGCTCTGTCTTACGAACTGGTTAAAATGGAATCCTCGGATGGGCAACTGATGAATTGATAATAGCTCCATCGGCTTTTGGAGTCAATATCGACTGGTAGTACCCCACTTTGAGGCCAAGATCAAAAAGGAACTTTCCACAGCCGATATCACTACCCCAGCTTCTCCGCATTTATGCCTTTATATGCTATGTATACTTCACACAAATTGCATAATAAGGCGAATGCCTGTGGATCCCTGGCAACGCCGAACCCTAGACCCATTTATGTAGAATATTACTTGTACGATAGCTTTCGTAATTGTTCATTATGCTTCATTCTTTCCTTTGGGGGAGGGAGGCGGAGGAGGTGTGTGGAGGCTAGGTTAGGTCTACCCCTATCTCAATTACTCTAGATCGTTACACATGGCACTACAACATATCAACCCTTTCATATGTCGTTTAGTTATATAGATTAGGTACTTTAGGAGGTATGTAACCAATTAGGATTGGGGAGTGTCAAAGATGTCACCCGAACAGACTTTCTAACCCCCAGATATAATCCGTATATTTTATGTTCGAGTATAGGTACCTAGGTAGGTAGACATGATACATGGGTATATCGTCGCAACGAACTGCTGGAGAAGATAATTATTTCCAGCCCCGTTGGCTATATGATGGCAGCGAAGAGCTACCAGGAGAGGACCCGCCGTTTGCTGTTTGTCGTTTATCCTTTCCCTGACAGATATTCTCCGAGCCATTGTCCCATACTAGCCCAGTTCCATTACAACCTTGGCAATCCTTGACCCTAGTATCTCTTTCAGTCAATAAAATTCCTCGTTTGGCTTGTCCAAGGTAGTTATGTATAACTTACAATCTAGGAGTCCCAAGACATGAAGGGCATGAATAGGGCATGCGATAATCGGGCCCAAATCCGTATATTCTTCTGTCCTCGAGAGTTGGATCCAAAGATGTATTCCCGGGCTGTGAAGACATGTTGAAGATATCGCTAAGGTCGAGAAGTATCTTTCAATATTTTTGGTTGATACTTGTCTTCGAAAGGCTTGCCTAAGTCCCCGTTGACTTTTATTGGAGAAGTCACTGCTATAAGTTTTGCAGAGGGCCTTTATATACAAGTATTCTCAGTAGCGTCATTCAAAGGGGTACCTTCTCATACCCGAGGGAGTCGGTATATAGGTGTTGGCGGATCGTGATTCGAAACCACGTCGTCTTTTATACAGTACACACCGCTCTGGACATTAGGTAAAGAAGGGTACTTTTGGAAAGTCCGAATTGAAGGTAGGCATCACTATACAGGTGTTCCCTGCAGCACCGTGAACGAGATGCTAGGCCCAGCCATTGCAATCAATTTTGCGGCGCGTTCATCTAGGACATTTCAAGCCACCAAAAGTTGTATCACTTCAAGATGAATCACGTTCGTAATGTATATCAAGCGCTGGGCAGCAATCGCCCGCCTTTAATAAATTGTACGACTCTTATACCGAAGGACCGTGTTCAACTTAACAGTGTTGCGTGGTTTAACTTTTCGTTCCGTAGAGTTCCTTCTACGCCACTGTTACATATTTATATGAGTCGGCAGCGTTTACTGTTGATGCTTCTCCCACGGCCCGATCCTTTCCTTCCATACACATATTTCTAATGTTCCATTCCTTGTGGTACCACACGGACTGCTACTTTTTCCAAGTCGGCCGACCAGCTGCAGTTAACCGCAGGACAGCTAATTGCTCTAGTGGGCATCCCGTGGTGAAACATAATAGTTTCTATGACTGCGAGTGAGATGAATTGTCCTATAGTTTAGGTGTGGTCTCAAGAACTGCAATTTAATCCATATTGTGGCTTTATGTACTCTTATCTTGCATCGAACCCAAGTTGCATACACGCAGAACAACCACTTGGCGTCGGAAGCATATCAGCAAGCATCATTCTATCATATGTCTTGATGGTCTCACGTCAGCCACATGGCTTTCATGCATAATTATCACGTGTAGTTTCCCGTAGTCAGCAATTTCGCTGTAACCCCTGACTACAATACCTCTTGGCCATGTTATGTGATGTTCAAGGCGAAATGATTTCCGCTTCACTTTAATCGACTAAGGGACTTGATTGGTACGTCGTAACGGAGAAATCAAGTCACTCTATTCAAATTTTCTCGCTACTGATACTCTAAATAGTATCAAGTTGACTTAGTCACCAATACTGTTCAGCTACTACAATTGATACTACTTGGGGCTACCTCTTCTTCTGAACCCTAGCCTACGTACTACATAAGTTAGGTACTAAGCTATCAGTAGGTAGTTTACCAAACGCTTTCAAACAATATCAATCTAGCATGTAAGCAAGCTTTATGCCGAGATGCAACATGAAAAAAATAAAAGCATATCTCCATTACTGCTGCCTCACGGATCTCGGCTACTACATACCTCCTACCTAACCTACCTAAGGTAACTATAGCTTATGCGGTCATAATCAACATCCCTAGGTACGTTCTACTTATAAACGAGTCGTATTAAGCCTTTCCCAACATTACTGAATGATTCTTGTATCATTATATTATTTATTAATCCAGTGTCAGTTTCGATCACCCCCATTGGTACATGCCTTATCTTGATTGTTCAGAGTCTTATCCTTGGCGCAAGAAGTGGTTCAAATGTAAGAGTAGAGGTCGGAGAGCACTGGTGTGGATGTACTCCGTCCATCTTTTATACATTAGCATATACTCCGTACTAGGCTTCCAATCTAGAAATAATTGCGGGAACCTATCTGAGATTTGGCGGGAATAGCAGCCAAATTGAAAGGTCATAGACTTACAGTATTACGCTATAATCTATTTTGTCTACCTCCCTAGGAATGGATACGATTGATGGACTTTTTACTCTTTTTATGTACCCGTGTCTTCGAGTGAATCATCTTGACGCTACCGGCAGCGACGTTAGATATCTGAATAGGAGTAGCCAGCTGAACTTTATCCCCTGGCAAAGGACAGGGGGCGTGCGCGCCGCCGTGTCCTTGTCTCCAGCCTAGAATTAGCATTTATAATTTGTAAAATAGAGGAATTGCGGTCTGTACATGGCTGTGATAGATGTTTCTTACCTTCGGCATCTTTTTCTTCTTGTCGTCGATTCTTCTCCATGACGCGATTGTTCACGACTTGGCGTGGGGACTCGCTGTTCCGTGCATCGGATGACAGAGCTTTCGTGGACTTCAAGCTAGATGTTCTTGGCGGCATTTTATGAAATCAGGTATAATCGTTATACTATGGCCTAATCTAAGCGACAGCTAGAATAGCAGGTGTCGACTCTGCTCCTTTCACATGGAAAGGTGAAAGGGGAAAAGGGGAGATTTACGATGTGGAAAAGTAGGTAGCATCAATACATTGAGAAGATTTAGAAAAGAATTATAAATGAAGGAATAGATCACTGAACATTTTAATTCTCGCCTATGGAGTAGCATCGTCGTTTTGATTTGTCCCTGATTGATCATCTTTTTCCTATGTATGAATTAGTTTATGTGGAATAGGGGTATATGAAGAAGTGCATTCGTACCAAATATTTAACATTCTTTAGTACCGATTCATCGCTAAAAAGTAGATCTACACCCACTAAATTTAAATGACCCGCTCTGACACGAAAATATATTTATGAAAGAGTCCTAATACGAAGGAGCTACACTTTGCATTTCTTCTTGAAATTTCTAAAGTTGTAATTGACATCGGAATGTTGGCGTACCTAAGATATCATCCCGGAAACGCACCAAGATCCTGCCCGGGGTAACTCTTATACTGAGTCCTGTTACAGGTAGGTTAGGTACAATACCTACAGGTACCTACCAGTAATTTTACCCACTAATATCAACAAATCAAAACCTCAAAAAGTCTCAAAACATATCACCTTGGGAATAGTCCAGCCAGTTCCATCAATTAAATTGGAATGTAAAAATGTATTGCAGCGCTTTCGTACTGTACTTTTGAAGGACTCTAGTCGTCGCACGAAATTAGTTCTTCAACATCAAACTATTGATAATAAGACATTTAAACTTCTCTTATTTATGACTATAGGTAAACCTCATGCTTCATATTTTCCATTGAAATCTTATATTTACACCCTGGCTCAGACGTTTCGCTCATATTGATTAGCTTAGCCTTATATTAGGTATTTATTATGAGTAATGATACATACCTGTAAGCCGGACTTTGTGCAACGGATTTAACAAGTTTCCAAGCAAGTATTTCATGTATCAATCCAACGCTTCGCCTTGAATCATATCCTATAAAGCTAGCGACCTAAGAATTTCTTCAAAGGGCGAGAACAATGAAGTTAATTATCTCAGGAGCTTCTGGTTTCGTAGCCAAAGAAATCATACGGCAGAGTTTGAGCAGGAATGAGATTACGTCCATTGTGGCCCTAGCTCGCAAGCCGGTATCCGTTCCTGAGAAACTTTCGCCGGACGCAAATCCTTCCAAGCTTAAAAGTATCGTGATAGATGATTATGAGCATTACCCGGAAGAAGTCAAGAAAGAATTCGCTGGAGCTGCAGCTTGCATATGGTATGAAAACTTCATTGATACCTGTCTATCCCAATGCGGACTTAAGCCTTATATCCTGGTGACATCACTGACAAGGACTAGGACGGTCGCTATCACACCGACGAATGCGAAGGCGTACGACTTTGAAGAAGTCAAGCGTGTTTGCCAAACATCGACTATTGCAGGTTTAAAGGCCATACATGAGTCTGGAATCTCGAAGTCGTTTCGGTTTCTTTATATGAGTGGTATAGCAGCCGAACGTGACCGGGCAAAGCCTGTTCAGTATCAGTCGGAGTATACATACATGCGTGTAAGGGAAGACAAGGAACCGATTAACAGCTCAAAGCTAACTAAATAATTATAGGGAGAGACGGAAAGCGAAGTTCTTCAATTGGCGGCGGAGCTAGACGGAGTCGAAGCCAGTGTCGCTAAGCCTGGCTTCATCACTGCACCAGGATATATCATGAAGTCGATCGCCGCCACCGCGCTTCAATTTGCTCTTGGCCTCCCTAATATTGGTGTTGTAGACCTGACGACAACTATGCTAGATCAAGTCATCAACGGTTTCGAAAAAGAGACGTTGACGCACGAAGACTTGGTCAGGATTGCCAAAGCGCATCAAGTTTCCGGGAAATAGTTTGGTGTCAAGCCATATAGCAAGATAAGCCCGTGTATTTCTTTCATGAGGGGAATATCAAGAATAATACACGAGAAATTGATTCCCAAGTCTATCTCTAGCCCCTTTTTAATAGTAGGTACCTAGGTAGGTAGGTATTGCTGATCTAGTAAAGTCGCATGGTTCTAACCGCAATACGAGGGTACCACTTGATTTGAAGTATACTAACTCAGGTAGAGAACCAAAAATCTGCCAGGTAGGTGACTGGAAGTAATCTTGAAACCATATAGATAGTACTTTTGATTTAAGTATTTTATCAGGAGCTGTCTGTCTCAATAAATGGGACGGAGGAGAGCAAATATTGACCAAAATTGGCAAATATCATTACTGGGTTAGGTGCCTCTAGGTCTAGGTAGGCATAGAGATAATAAACTAAGTATTTCGGGCTTCAGAAAACATACCGCAGCCAAGCCATAAGCTTATAAACATCTCCAAGGAAGAAAGTACGCGCATTGAGGGTAAGCTTTTAGAGGCGGGCACTTATGCTCTTCTATTACCCCTTTTAGGCGGGGTATCCTGATGTCTGGGCCTTCGTGTTGCATTTTAATATATCTGCAAAGAGGTCTGGGGAGGGACTCGAGTGGTGATGGCATCGTGCGATTTTCCCGCTAATTCTTCCGGAGCCGGGAGTGTCTTTGGTCACAAGAGGTCTTGGGGTACTGGCAACGGCACTTCCTCCAGCACACCGATTATAAACGATCTACTTACTGGTGGCAAGACCTATAAACGATGAGTGAGGATCCACAAGATACATTCAGGATATCTGGCCTGGTTTTACAGCCCATCAGCAAGCGTGGTCTACACCTGAAACCCTAAATCCAAGCATGCGTTCCCAACTTTTAAGTGTTGGCGTTGCAGTCCTTGGGGCTTTGCTACCTCGAGCCGCCGCTGAATATGAGTGCAACAGGACATATATTCAGTCCTTCGCAGATAGCTACGTAGAAGCGCACGAGAATGGGCAGCTTAACCGCCTAGAAAACATTGCCGACAATTTCACGTACGTGGAGAACAATAAGACCAGGGAGATCACGAGCGGTATCTTCAACAACGCGCTCAAGATCGCGCACCGCCACACTATCGTCGATACCATCGCGTGCGCCTCCTTCACCGAGCTCATCATCACGCACAACGTCTCTGGCGAGCCAGCACCCTACGTCATCGGCGCCCAGATCCGCCACAGCCCGGGCGATCTGAGCTGCTACCTCATGGACCTGATCGTGTCCACGACCGGGTCGTGGCTCTTCAACTCGACAAAGACGCTCGAGTACGCGTCCAAGGAGAACTGGACGCTCATCGAAGAAGGCAAACGCCCCTCGCGCGAAACCCTCAAGAACGCCGCCGACGCCTACTTGGACATGTGGAGCAACAGCACCGCGGAGGCCGCTGTGCCTTGGGGCCAGCCGTGCGACCGTCTCGAAGGCAGCGTGTACACGGGCAGGGGGCTTCCTACGGATTCGTGCAAAGTGGGGATCCCTACGAACCATAACCAGGCGCCTAATTCGCACCGCCGCTACGTTATCGATCCAACCTACGGCTCCATCAGTGTCTTCTGCATCTTCGAACATCTGAGCAACGCGCCTGACAGCCACGAATTCCGTCTCGAGAACGGTAAACTTCGGTTTATCCACACCATCACGCTGGCTAACAGTGGTGGCTTTGGGTTCAGGGAGTCTAAGCCAAACCCGATCGTACGTCACAGGAAACGGGGAGGGACACGTCGAGCGACAGCGTTAGGCTCTCCGAAACGTACCTAGGGTTAACAGACAGATATTACCTTGGGAATGGGGAGGGTTTGTCGATTAATTTTGGATTGATGAACCCATAGCGTCGTTGTAGCGGTTGTTCCAACCTCTGTGAGATAGGCTTACATACTCCGAGTTGATTCAAAGCAAACTTTTGAAGGAAATTCTTCTTACCTAGCTGCTTCAATTAAGCTTAATAAGTCTCCTAATATTCGTCTTTCACGATTGTATAGGTAATCACTCGTCACATTAGACTGCTAGCTTGCTCGTGCGTGAGTATCTGAGTATCTACCTACCTATGTAGGGATTAATCCATCGCATTATGCTAGTCTCATTAGAAGTTTTGTACAATCACATCGTTCGCCAAACTCCAAAAGGAGAAATGTCTCGGTAATGCGTAAACGGCAGCAGCTCTTCCCGTTCTGGCCTGGGTTCATCTCCCTTCTCGTATTCATCCTTGTTGGTCATCGAAGATATGATCTGGTAATTATCGATGTATTAGTGGAAAGCCCTTTCAGATACTTCGAACTGGGGTTGGCTGTGGGATACTTACCAAGTATCAGAGCTTGCTAGGTCCTCCATCGACGTACGTAAGCTGGGGTTGAAGTTATCTTCGAACCTATCGCGATTACTGCATCTGCTCCAGTCTTATCCATTGGGATCTAGAAGCCTTTCGTGCGAGGAATATCTTATGGATCCTGCCAAAAGTATCTACTGTGCCGACATCATTAGCCAAAGCTTCGTCCTGCTCTTGGCTTAAATGATACTGTCTTATGATTCGCGAATTTCGAACGTTCTCGATCTCCGTCTTGAAGGAACTAACTCTACCAATCGAGTAGAGTAACATCGGTCTCATAGCTCGATTTGTAGACCAGTCCGATCCGAGCTTCAATGGTCTATGATGGCTATTGAGACCCCGGGCCTGTGGATTTGGTTGTGTTCCCGAGTCGCAGATAGCCACTGTGCGACGACGGAGACGAACTTCATCGCCTAATACCTGACTCATCATGGGGATCCAAGGCAGAGATGCGGTTCCTTCTGCGATATTTACCTGTAGCCCGTCTACTGTAAAAAGAGTCAGCAATTGCCCGCCTGGAAAGAAATCCGAAACTGCATACGCTTAGGATCGCTGCACGCCTCGTCTGCGACGGTAACGAGGTGGAAACTACGCTCGAAAAGCCCTTCCACGGTGGTCGCTCCGCGAACCAAAGAACGAAGGTTCCGTCCCGTGAACGCTGAGTCCGATGATTTGAATACTGCAACTGTGTCATTCTCCAAAAGACTGTCAAATTTCATCGAAAAGCTCGATACACCGTCATCGAAAACTTCGATGGTGGTTTTGCTGAGATACTTCTTCGCGAAAAGTTTCTCAATTTCCGCTTTCCAGGATCGACAGATTGAACGAAGCTTAAACCAGGCACACATACTTGTGTCCTCTAGAAGACGTTTGATGATAATGTCATACAGCTCCTGAGGAATATTGTCCAAGAGGATGTCCTGTTCGCTATCGCCTGTTGAGGGCGGTGCCATTGTGGAAGCCGTTTGGGACTGGTTGGAAGACATTGTTTGAAGCTGAAACGAGAAAAATAAACGGACGGGGTACTCGAAACTCGCGGATAATAAGTATCTAGGGACAACTCTAGAGAAATAGAAGATGTGTAGCTGTGGTGTGATTGAATTTCTCTCGATTTCATACCCTGGGTACCTATCTAAGGTACTTAGCAAGTTTGATGAGTGTTGAGAAATTATGGGACTGGTAGGTGCTAGGAGGAAAAAAGTAACAGGTAAAGTACCAAGTAATGTACGGGAGTTAATGAGGTTTGGCTGGGCAGAATGGTTGGGTGGATAAACCGTACCGTCTCGTCAAATCCAACGGCAATCGTGGAGAATTATTAGCTTAGCAGGATTTCCCTTAAGCCTCTAGAATGACTACATCCATAGTTTCCTATATGGCATAGGTTGTTGTAGTAATTGAATCTAGGTGTAGGGGACAACATCTAGGACACTGAAGCTAGAAGCTGCCCATGTGCATGAAAAGATGCCCGAATATTGAGAGAATATATGCCAGAATAGCATAGTATCGCCGATCATTCCCTATATGCCCCTTACAACAAAACATAGTGCTAAATTGTTCGACTATAAACCGGCGAGCTCATAGTTTGGTGACTAAATGTATAGAATGGAGACTATGGAGAGGAAAATGGGGAGCTCGCCGTAACTGAGTACCTAATAGAGGGACGTGTGAGGAAATAACATATACATATAGTAGGAGGATACTTGTCGTTAGTAAAGATATACCAACGTTTAAAAAGGGTTTGATGAAGTGCTTCTTCTCTACTGGAGTGAACGCCCCTATCTCACATCAAAGCACGTTATACAGAATCAATCAACAAGATGCTACGTAAAACCAATAAGAAAAGACAATGGTTAATTAATTAACATCTCAATACAAGCTTTTTCTCTCTCAACGGTGCACTTAGTAAATATATGGAGGCTTGTGGCCTTTATACAAATCTGGGAAGAGAAACTAGTAAGATTTGCAGCACAGAGCTGAATGGTGTAGCTTACGTCGCATATAAGCTATTCTGGGGCCTAAAGGGAATATAGAAAGTTGTATTAAAAGGAAAAAAGGGCCATGTTAGTTAAATATGTAACGAAGGTCGTTTATATAGACAATCAGCTGATTACCTTAGGTAGTCACTGTGGAGGAGTATTGCAACTAGCGTGTGAGACGAAATCTATTATTCAACGTAGCATAACTAGATCAATTCGTTTAACTATACGTTTCAGCAAAGCTTCATGACTTCAATAGACAAGTGGCATTCAATGCTTGACATTCTCATGAATAATAGGTAAAGAGCATGAATAGCTAAGACAAGTTTAGTAATCAATGCTATACGCTTCAGAGCTATCTATAGGAACGTACAGCAAAAGAATCGCAAAAGGCGCTAACTCTCTTACCACCACAGGCGTTAGAAAGTTTGATAACACTATCATATAAGATAAATAAGTGCTAAAGATCTTAATTCGTAGTAATTTGTTGAGCAAGGTTCTGGTTTCGAACTATCGTCGTAAAATAGAACGACATCGTCTTATATAAATATGCAACTGATCACTAAGACTTCACTTCAGCACGAGAAAAGATCAGGGGTAGCAACTATACACCTAGTCCAAACCTATGTAAGTAGTCCAACAGTCGTATAGAATATAGTAATCTTCAAAATATTTGTCCTATGCTGTTCGCATGGTCTTAAAGGTGTGTCACGACTTTTCTACGAAGTTCGTAGTTATGCGGGAAATCGGTTGATCCTTGTAAACGACTTTAAGCTCAACCACCATCAGACTTTCATGAAATAATTCTCAAAAGAATAGGTAATCGCCTTTACATACTGATAAACAGCTTTGATACAAAAAGCGCCCTGCTGTTGACAATTTATTGTTGCTAACATGTTGACTTATGTACACGCAGTGTCATGACATGAGTAAAAAGGTGGTGACAGTATTTGGTGCTAGCTTAGCATCAAATAAGCAACTTTCAATGATCTTTGAAAAATAGACAAACATCTAACTAAACATACATGCCGTGTGAATGCTAAAATTGTTGAAAATAAACGCAGGTTATAAGGTACGTGTTACGAACCAACAGCCCAAGAAACCATACCGAGTATGGAAGCGGGGTTTTGTCAATACAACCGGAAACGGCAAAACCTCGGAAAGGCTAATGGAGGGCAGTGATCTTGGTGATCTTATTGATCTGACAAGATCAACCAGATCACATAGGAGTTATAAGGGAATCAACAGGTCTATTTAAAACTATCATGTATCTAGTCACTCATTTAGGTTTCCTTAGCTATCAATCTAAGTCTTATATCTAACCCATATAAGGGGAAGGACTCCAAGCCTTCCTGACGTACACTTCAACGTTTATTTTGACACTTAACTCGTATCGTTACTGTTTACCTGAAAATCAAGACCCATCGGCATTACACTCTAACGGACCTGAGTGTAGGTTCGTCACAATAAAAATTTACGGGTATAAAACGTATATATCCCAGTTACACACATTTTAACAAAAATATCACCTTAATCTATTGTATTATTATCAATTCAAACGGAATACCTACCTAGGTTAAGGTAAGTATGCTACTATGGTGGATCGAAGACCAACAGCAAATGAAAGTAACGTAGCATTATGCCTCGGAGCTTAGCTTGGTAGGGAACGTTATATCGTGAAACATCGCAACACCCCCTCCTACTCATCTAATCACTTAAGGATTAGATCGATACCGACGCACTAAATCAATCTAGATAATGAGTAGCGTACCAATTTCTGATATAGATGATTAGATCCATTCATCATCTACCTGGGGTAAAAACTGGGGTTGGGACGAAGTTCCGAGATACCAGGTAGGCGGAAGTAACACATGATTTCTCACATCTCGCCTTTACACTTGGCTTCAATACCCTAAAATTAAATATAATAAACATGAGAAGGATTGCCATGCGCCTGCACTACAGTGAGATGAATAAACACCCCACAAATTGAGTCCATGCCAAATACCTAAGCACCTAAGCATCACTAATCCTTCTTACTAAATTTCAAGCAGTATTGATGTTCGAAGAATGCCGAAGCGTGTAGTTGTATGGTTGGATATATTGGTATCTGTATTAATGAGCTCCGTTGACACGGTTCATAATTATGCGTCAACACGTTCAATGCTATCGCGGCTACGCCGAACCTCTAGCCACCCAACCCCTGGCTCCATCATAGACGCGAAACACCTGCTCCCAGGGTTTTGGCTGCTACTAAAACAAAACAATAAAAGAAATACATATTTAGACTTCAGTGTGCTTCTCTTCGGCAGCAGGGGCTGCGGGTGGTACAACATCCGCAGCGGTCTCGTCGCTGAACTTGAGATCCTCGTCGAGCTCTGTAGTGTCCTTAATTTTCGTGAAGATAATTGGGGCAGCGATCAGGAGTGATCCAGCACAAACACCCCACTATTTCAATCGTCAGTTATAAATATTCACAAGTACGCGGAAGGTTGAGGTAGGCTTACAGTAGCGGCGAAGAGGGTGTTGTACTCGGTGTGAATGCCATCTAGACGCCAGAAGATGGCTGCGCCAGCGGATTGCAGACCCTTGTAGAATCCGGCCATGTTTGCAGTCTTTCGGCCAGAGTTTGAGAGAGCGCCCATGTACCTAGAAAATTTGTTAGGACTCAATTGTAAATTCACACAGGTTTCTTTCTAGAGTTCAACATACCAGTAGATGGATGTTTGCCACACAGAGTCATATACTCCGTAGAATATGTAAAGGAACATAGGTGCGAGGAAGTTCTTGTCCGTCCAGTTAATTTTCTGCTCGTCAGGTACTCTACCAGAATCTGCTCGGTTAAGCCGGTCTTTTTGCCACGCGTAGCCACCACCCCAGATGATGAATGTGAGGGAAAAGAGTGCCACAAATGAGAGCTTAGCACGCGTGGATCGTCGAATCGAGGAGATATCAAGAGTGTATCCGACAATAATAGCGCCGAAAATCTGGGCGAGCCAGTACAGAAGGTTGTTCAATGAACGAGCACGAGTGTTGAAGTAGGCAAGGTTGAGAACGTTCTGCTGGTAGGTGTAGAATATATTGGAAGCGAAGAACATGGGGAATAGAGCAACAACCCAAGGGCTGAGGGAGATACACTCCCATAGTCCAATGAGTTCGCTCTGCCACGTAGGGTTCTTCATCAGAATAACCTTAGATCCATCTTCACGAATAACCTTGTCTCCATTGACGAGAACGGTAGCAAGACAGGCTCCGACAAACATCAGAACGATGAAACCAACATACGTGCCATCTGTGACGGTTCCGGTGTTGTTGCTGACGTTCTGCCCGAGAGGAATCAAGCTACCAATAACAGCGCCAAGGTTGAATATGATCCAGAACCAACTGATATATCGACCTTTGGACTCCTCGGGAGGATAAGACATCATGATGGTACCTTGTGCGGTCCACAGCAAGCCTGCGCAAAGACCCAACAGGGCACCAGAGAAGACGACGAAGCCAACATTGGCGGTGTGGCTGTAGCACAACAAGCTAGCCGAGTAAATGCAGTAACCGATACCACCGATGGCTAGAGTAATCTTAACACCGAGTTTATTGGCAATGGAGCCGGAAAAGAAGGCGACCACAGCGAAAACGGAGTAAAGAGCGGTAGAAGCGTGATCCTGAACGGTGGAGTCGACTTGTCCACCACCACCGAGACCTTGGAGTGCATTGTACATTCCAGGACACAGAAAACAGACAAAAGCAACCATCAAAAGCTGAATCTTTGGTGAGGCATACCAGAATTCCTTCTTGCCGAGTTGAAATCCTCGGTACATCCAATTATCAGGACGCGCTTCGGGGCCGTGCGTGCTCGCGGCCAGGTCCGAGTGAGATTTAGGAACGAGTTGTGTATCGGTGTCGACCACCGTTTCTTTCGCGTCTGCCATTTCCTATTTTCTTTAGAATTGGTCGATTGCTAAGTATTTATTTGTTTATTTATTTTTTTCCTTTAATGATTCCAAGACAGCTTTATAGCATGAACCTATAGATATCAAGTGTTAGCTTGTCGCAATAATTGTTGATGTTTACTAGTACCTGAAATAAAAGAGTCTAGGAGAATAAATGACTTGTAAAAGCACTTAAACGCCAGCTACCTACTAACATACCTTCGGTATTATTGATCGCCGTAACGGCTAAATTAATTTGACCCTTTGGAAATTGGCAAGGTAAGAGATGGGGGAATGAAAGCTGCGAAGGAGAGGAAAGGACGTAGACAATATAGTAAAATAAATGCCGTACTACATAGGTACTACTAGCTTAGAGAATCAGGGACCAGGGTACAGGCTTTATGAAAAAAGGTATTCCCCCCGGTTAAGATAAGGCAAAGTCGGGTGAATACGACATGCGGCACGTGCGGAATACTTGAACTGTTATGCATGCATGCGGGAATGTTGCTACTACAACTTAGAGGTACCTAAGGTGACCTAATGCAGGTGTGCTGATCGGTTGGTTCTAGGTATTCTACATACCTACCTACCTAGGTAATAGGGTGTTTGTACCAAAGTCCGGTCTCGATTCACTTTGGTAGCTATGGTAACACGACCTAGGTAAGGTTAGATAGGTACCTATTGTCGCTTCAACCCCAACAAGCTCTCAGCACCCCGAGAAACTCGCTATAAGCTCGTGAATGTTGCTCGGAATGATGGTTACGTGACACATACAAGACCTGACTACATAACCCTCGTATATATCATACATACGGATGTATGCACCTATCTTTAGTAAACGTTAATTGAAGTTGTCAGCGAACCTTGGAAGTCACTCCACTAATAAACTTAGCGCCCTTAAAATTCTGGGGATTTTAGAGCACTGGGGGAACGCTAAGTTTTTTTGTGGTTTGACTTGGTTGACTAAATGGTCAGATCGTAGTTAATCCTTCGCGAGCTCCGTTCCCTCTGTCCCTTATTATTATTAACTTTAGTAAAAGCGCATTAAATTCGTACAATACGTATTCTTGTTTCATACTTCGTGTTGCTAGGTAGGAATGCCGTATTATATTCGATTGCTTCTAGAAATGGAAAAACGTTGGTTTCGCTGAGGGTCATCAGTTAATCAGTCAAATTATGGTATCTGTTCCTATCTTATCTGACGGGGGAAGACCCTTTGAGAAGTCCCTTACCTGGGTTGCATTTGTCTGGACCTTCCCCAATCCTCTAAAAAAAAGTAAAAAGGAAAACATTTGTGAAAGAGCAGGGACGTGACCCAGGTCCAGTCCTATGACAAGCCTAGAAGGACGAACTACCTATGAGATTGCCGATAAGAAAGAAAGATAGCAGCGGGCCGAATATGGAGATTATTCGTTAGTTTTGATTGGATATAAAAAGCCCCAAGGTACGAGACAAGCCCGCTACAAGCTGTCATTGGGTCACTGCCATTGGTCAGGTGGCGTTAGCGTTCTCCGGGGAAGGAAGCTGTCCAATGATCGGTACCGTTTACGTACTTCCACACCTACAAGTTACTTCCACACCTACCTTAGGTAGGTACAACACAGCTTGGAGAATACCGGTAGGATTTCAATTAAATTCAATTAAACCTGAACAACCTACAGGATACCGCCTAATATAAAGCCCCTATTCGTCAGATAGGTATTTTACTTCAGTAGTATGTAACGTTGCCGAGATTCGCTCTTCTTCTTTTTGTACTTGTATTGTACTAACAGGAAGAATCACCGCCAATTAAACAACTTTTCCCAAGAGACATACATCTTCTTCTGCAAAGCCGAGAACACCACTAGCCATTATCTGCCACTATCCGATAGTTTTATTTGCTCTATCTCAGTTAGTGCTTAGGCGGTTGGCTGACTTGCTGCTACGATGCATCTCATTCAATTCCAACTTTCAGAGTAATGTTACAGACGATAGCAATAGTAAAAGTAACAGACGGGCTTCGTATCAAGATCGTCAGCTAAGACATCTAAACTTTGCTTTAGGACCTTACTTCGTTTCTGGGCGTGGAGCTGACTTGTGCGAATCGCGTTCTGGGCGTGGCACAGAGAATTTCGTAACCAATTGCTAGATACACCATGTAACCGCTTTCTTCCAACACGCCGCCATACGAGCGCACGAAGTTACCTGTGGTCAATTCAGCGGATCGGCAACATTAAGCCACGGTCGTACGTCCATCGTTCTAGAATGATATTCTGCACAGTTGCAGCGTTGCAGCTACTCACGCTCTTAGATTATTCCTACCGAGGTGTACACATTCAAATGCAGGTGCTTGGGAAGCTTCCTGATGCTAAGCGTAACGAACGCGGGGAGAAGAAAAAAAAAATTGCAAAGGGAGCAAACCATATCACCTGGAACCCAGACTCCGTAGGACAGGGGATGGCGTCCAGGAATACCTACCATGTCTGCACGCCTATATTATTGCTACCTTAGGGTATGATAGAAAGATATTCGCGTCCAGATACACGATGTTGGTGGGTTATTATTATAACTAAAATCGTGCCATCCGTATAGGTAATCTGGCTGGATATCCAGGTCCATTCAGATACGATGCCAAGTACTAAAATATCAGCCCTAGTCACTTTTTTTTTTTTTCAAAACCACGTGGCTATTACCACTGAGTTCTACTTCGCGGAAGCCAGCTATATAATACATTGCTAAATACATAGGTATTAAATATTGAGGCCAAGTCTGGTTAGTGTCTATAAACTTTATTACGCGCAAGACTGCCTTCGCAAGTGTTACATGGGCAAAGTGTTGGTAGGTAAGCATATAGCTGTGCCGTCGGCGTCTTGCCTAAACTGCCAACGATTATTGGTCCTACACGAAGGAATGTCATCAATGTGAGAAGGATGCTGAGATAGAGGGAAAAGTCTCCAATAGGAGCTAGGCAGTTCGACACCACAATCGCGAAGCACGTATCATCAGATTCTGCTGTTAGCAAAGCTACTGCCAGGTAGGTAACCTTATAGTATATAATCAGCTAACCTGCACTTAGTTTCCAGTGCACGAAACGAAGGTAAACATAAATCTACTGGCAATGAAGGCAAGAAGCTTCCTTATTTCATAGGAACTCTAAACCTATCAGCTACGAAGGCTCAAGTCGTACATATCAGAAGACACAGGTATATCATGTCTTAAATGCCATATGATCAGGAAATAAACCTCATACCTACCTAGGTAACCTACGAATGGCATTATAGTATTGAAAATAGCAGCGTAAAAGAAATCACCAGACTGGCAAATCTACATGCTCAAAGGAGTGTACAGGCCTGGCAACAGTTTAGCACAAGGTAATCTTTTAACGTAACACTAATACGATCAGTAGAAGTAAGATCGTATATCTATATTATCGCAGTTTCGCGGGCGATCAAGAAAAGACTGCATGACGCCCGAATCCCTTGTTGAACAGTGAAATCGCTTCCACGCTGTTTTGCCCTACTCCGTGACGGTTTTTGTTCGGCTACATACAGAGACGTACCTTGTGTCTAAAGGGGAATATGCTTAGCAATATGTTAGATACTGGTAATAGGATAGGTTAAGAGATATGTCGAAGGTGGCAGAAGGCTTGCGCCTAGTACCTATAAGTAAGGCTATAAGGAATGCTATGCAAGAGGTTGCACATATGAAGTATATTAAGCTTCTTAGGTGACGAGCTAATAGCATGGTAAGACTTATGCCTATAACTACATCATGGGGGACAATTTCAAGTCGATGGTACAGAATGTAGGTTTCAGTTCTGTTTCTCAAGGCAAAATGAAAGCAGATTTAAAACGGACTGTAATCTTATTATGCATTGATCAATATGATTACCTCCCGAGCATAGAAAGCTACGGTAGTACATACTCTCAGAGCTCATATCAAGCACCTGTATCTTATACAATAGTTTTTCCCTCCTCATATAACTGGTTGGAATTGGAAATTCGTGTCGTCCCTTAATATCCTGATCGCGCACAACATCCATGTTAATGCCCAAATGCTTTTCCCCGCCCCGTGAATGCTGCTCGAATGCACACCAAACTCCATGGCCTTTTTTTTCCAATGCTTGCAGAGGAATGATTGAGCGTAAACTCATAGGTTATATCCTTGCGGATAGGTCGTCAACCGGTACGTACGTGACCGGGAAATATGCGTCAGAGGTTGTAAGGCTATCCCTGGCTCCTAGCCTGCAAACGCCAGTGCCTGACATAATACATCCCAAATGCTTCATAATTGGGCTAGATAATAAAACAAAAAACGGTAGGGGTATCAATAAGTGTGATAAAAAAAAGTTACGTAAAAAAGAGGAACATGTGACAGTAAACGGCAGTGACCATCTCGTTATATTACGAGCTGCCATTATGTGGAAATTGTTGTGTTGTTGTGTCGATCTCTCGAAATCCATCCAAATAAGTCTGCTCTCTGGCCTGCCGGTGCAGGCGTTGAACTATCAGTTGGCGTTTTCAAGAAAGTTTCTCGAGGTTCAAGTAGTAAACTCTTTCGGTAATAGCTGACTTGAACGTTGCCCTGGTCGGATTCTTTCACGCGGGCGACTTGCGCCTGAATCCATTCTTGCATGTCAGGAACTTCGGTTAGCTTATAAGGGATCTGAAATCGTTGTAGTTCACCAATAATCTTGGCAGTTCGAGTGTGTTTATCAAAGTTAATAACCGTTAAGCCATTCTCATTTGGACCAGAGCCAGGAAGTTGCTTTGTAGCAGGGTTACCAATATCGACAAACGTAAGGTCGGTTAGAAACATGCCGAGAAATGGTAGACATGGGGGGACGTGGCCCTGAAGACGTGCTCGAAGCACCTTATTGTTGTTGGCTGGTTCAACAATGGCTTGCATGGACTTCAGCATGTCGCGTCGTTTGGGGCTTACGAGGTCCCAGGTTTTTCGTAGGCGACTGATGATCGAATTATTCAGACTGCAAACGATGGACATGAGACCATCGTAGTTATTTAGCTCTAGGCACTGGTGGGCAATCTTGATCCACTGTTTGATAACCACAGCACGCTTTTTAACTTCCGAGTATTGAAGAATAGTGTCCGCCACAAGATTTGACAAATCTGTGGAAAAGCTTGACATCGCCTTTACATTAGGTGACGACGCACCGTTCTTTTTCATCCATTGAGAACCTAGTAATTCTTCCGGTAAGATGGAGCAGAAGATGCCCATTTGTTTGAGGGTTAGTTGGCGAGCAATTTCGAGAGGTTCGAAATCAAGAAACGAGGGACAACTGCCGCCGGACTTCCAGTTATTAAGCAGATTCTGCTGACTTTTAGATATGGTAGGGTTAGGCATCGGTGCATCGAGAGGGACGAGTTGAGACGTGGAGGTACTCGTTTTCCCCAATGAGGATACAAGACGGGGTACCAGCGAACCATCTGCCGTTGAAACCCGCTGCGAGAGTTCCATGATTCGCTTGCCCGCAGAAGGAATAAGAGATCCCAGCTTAAATTCAGCAAAATTTTGGATAAGCGGCAGCGCCTCATAGTCAACGGAGTCACGCCAGTGCGATTCCAACCATCCTTTCAACACATTGTAGACACGCAATCTGACGGGGTTTGCTGTATTGGGGTTCTCGCCCACGTAATCGAAGCGTTCAATGAGTGCTTCTACCAGCTTGGTAGGCGTACAAAACAATCGAAAGGTGAGAAAGAAAGTGGAGACAAATAAAGCGTCGGGCGTCGATTCGTGGGTTGTAAGACGCTCAACCAAAGCGGGGAGTGAACCACCAGTAATTTGTCCCTCCTTGTTGAACATTAGTTCATTAGCAAACGTTTTCTCCAATAATTTCGACTCGAGTTCCTCTACTTCCTCGCCTATACTGGAACTTGCTGCCGTACTTAGGTCTGACAGGGATGGCTGAGTCCTCGGTACAAGTGTAATATCGGGTGTAGTGGCACGCGTGGAAGTATCGGAGACCATGCTCAGCTCAGAGCCACGGCTTAGATACGTGTTGTTACTTCCAGAACTAGAAGCCGTACCCGTATCAGAACGGAAGGAGTTCTGATACTCTACGTCTTGCGAGTTCTCCGTTGTAGGACTATACGGCTCATCTGGAGGAATAGAGGTAGTAAGTCTTGGTAGTGCCGGGGGTGAGGGTCGGATAGAGGAGACGGAAGACACCATGCTCGATGCCGTATCATCTATAACCATGGATTGTGGCCTTGATGCTTGTGGGGACATTCGGTTGGCACTTTCTTGTTCTTGCGTACTTTCAACGGGGACCTTGGGGAGTGGTTTGTCGATAGATAAGTGAGTCGAATGACTGGGCCTAGATGATGGCTCAGACGCCGTGGTTTCCGAAATCGTTGTCGCAGTTGGTGTTCGTGGCCGACTATCGGATACGGCTTCAAAAACGCCCAGATCGATACCCAAACTTCCATTCTCGACTTCAAATTCGAAATCACCTATTCGTTCTAGGACCCATTTTGTTTTTGCGACACATTCGCCAGCTGCCTTTACACACCCGGTAGCAGCTAAGAGGAGCCGGCTGTTGTCTTGTGGCATAATAACGTCTTCACCGTTAGGCCCTCGGTTACCTAGAATCTCGCGGGCTAGGTAGACCAAATCTCTGATACGATCGTACATGGCTACACGCGACTGCCCCAACGCGTCCGAAACGGACATATTGTGATCACATATCGTGTCTACCACTGCAAAAAGCTCTCCACCTGAGATTACCGAATGTTTGATGGCGAGGGCAAGTTCCGGTCGGGATTGAGACTGGACGTGCAACCGGCCAATGAAAGAACCAAGATGCGATAAAAATGTATCGTGGCAGGAGTTGAGCCGCTCTGAAACAAGATTTTGGGAATGCGATAAAGGAGAAGGACCGGCTAGAGACACCCTGTGTGATATAGTAGCCGATAATCGATTTCCGTGTAACGAACTGAGTTGAGACATCCGATTACTTGTTACATTAGTGGACGAGGAAATGCCAGATGATAATCGTTTGTTGGTCGATCCATTCGCCTGTACCTCGTCGGCTGCCGGTGGTGCCAATCCTTTACTGGCCACTGCGTCGACATCTGTTCGGGAAGATGCAGCTTCGTCTCTCCGGTGGCTCTCAAACTCCGTAGACTCCAGAGGTGGCGTTGGTGGGACAAGCGACTCCTCGGCCACAGTTGCCATAACTGTTACTGCAGGCGCGCGTAACCGCCTTTCATCGTCCACAAAGTCTAGGAATCGAACGCCTTTCACAACAATCTTGAATGCTTTCAAAACCATCTCATCAATAATGTCGTTGACATCGTTAATAGATCGCGGTATTCCTTTCAGGGTTTCCTGAAGTCGTTTCGCAATCTTTACTAAAGACGAAAGCTCGGATAGCAATGATTTCCTACCGCGTCGTAAGAGGTCGCTCCTCTGTATCGTAGCTGATTCCCTGGTTAAACAATTTGTGCGCTCCTAGGACACAATTAGCTAGCTGTCACGAGAGAAAGTCCATACGATCCTCCTAGCTTACCAATAGATAGCGTACACCTGCAATAATCCCCTTCATAAACTCCTGGTTGCCAAATATGTCTCTATCATTCGTCGATGTGCTCCGTAACAAGTCCCAGAAATTCAATAATGCATTAAGTAGATTCCGCATCTCTTCGGGATCGTAAGCGTCGCAGTAATTCGTCGGTAACCATCCTCTGGCACCAGATATCAACAATGTCCCGTCAGCCCATCCATTGGTGTGGATAGAATGAACCAAGACCACGTCGCCTTCATTCAGAGGCAATGTAACTGTCGAGTCTGCCATAGCATACGTGGGATGAAACGGATATAAGGCTCTTAAAAAATTATGAAAGATAGGGGTTGCCGGTGTAGGTTGCGGAACTAATTCTTCCTGTGAATTATTGGGAGTCGAAGGCGGCGTTATTTGGGACTGAGAGTAGAGATGTGTGGATGTTGCTAGTTCGCCTTCCTGTGAGTTCTCTACTACTTCATCGTAGCGGTTATCGTAGCGGTTCTTGTTGATCGTGAGCGGAGCCACTTGCAGGCTCGCTCGCATAGGATGGTCATCCAGCATCATGATTGCTGCAAAGCTGTTCTATAGAGAACCATGGGAACAATTTTCTGCTGTCACTTTCGTAACAGCTAGTACTTAGAGGAGATACCCGCGCTCCTGGGAATATGGGTATTCCAGTAAACGTGCACCACGCCTTGATTTTTCTTGGAGAATCGAAAGATTCCAAAATCTTCCAATACAATAAATGCCTGCGTAGACTACCTAAGGCAAGTCTAGAAAGTTCGGTGCCAGGTTAATGCGAAAACAAGAACACTCCTTGTTCGGGTTGAAGAGACGTTGTAGGGTACCTAAATCAGAAGAACCTGGGAGAGAAACAGAGAATTCTGTTAGTAAGTGCGATCATTTGTTATTGGTAAACGTTGCGAAAAGGATAACATAAGGGCTTGATGGAATGAAGGGAGATAAAGTTTTTTTTTTAAAAAAAAAAAAAAATATTGTCAGGTTTCTAGACAGGAGGGGTCCAAACTGGGAATGTTGAAGCTATCTTCCCAGGAGGTGAGCTTAGCTGCCTTAAAACAATTTTGAGGTAAAGTCTCAGACCCAATTGCTTTCAAGGCTATGACGACTCTTCGCCTCCTTCAGCTTACAGCATAGTGTACTGCCTAGGTAACTAGGAGTAAGGAAACTTGGAAGATCCATTCCTCCATTTTACCACACGCGACAGGCAAGTCGGAAGAGCACTATGCGCATATGCGTACCTTATGGGTTTTGATGCACCAACCCGGCAAGCACAAAGCCCATATCTTAGATTCCTTTTCCGAGAGAATATTCGCATGACAATATCCAGGCAACCCACATAAAAGAAATAGAAATTCACCTTTTTAGAATCCTCAATCGATGTGCTGATAGACGAAGGTGGTTAAGGATTTCAATCCGAGCTTCTTGTACAGTGACAAGATAGTTGATGGTCGATAACTTCGATTGTCGAAAAAAGGTTCTACCGGTTCGCGGGTAAATCCAATACCGTGTCGATACTTGTTTTCTCGAATAGGCGGTCTCTATAAATCACAAGCTTTCCTTTAATATAAAGCTTTCCCCAGGTCCATAACCAAGCCGGGGAAGTGTGGGATGTATTGAGAAAGGATATTCAGGTGGTGGCCGACTAGTATCGTGCAAGTACCTAGGAATTAACTCGACACGTCAAATGGAGACGTGGGAGATAGATGAATTAGTAGGGGAGGGTGAAAGCGTCGTATTGTCCTCAGACCCGTCTGATCTCTTAGGTTGCGCTCTGTGCTGCTGCAAAGATTTGACTTACAAAGTCAAACTGAGTTTATGTAAGTGTAGGTGGGTGTAAGTGGGTGAAGGAGGTTGTAGGACAAAATGCAAAATGCAGATGCAGATGCGGCAAGATACCTACCTAACCTAAATGTTGGGGAGATGCACGAGAAAAGGCAGCTACTAGGTAGGTTAGGTACCTTAGGTACTCATTGCCATTGCCATTGCGCTTCTGCAGTACCTTACCCTAACAACAACTATTATCTTAATTATCCACGTTATTGGACCTGCCCGCTGTAACCCCCCATGCAGCTATGCCTAACAAAGACTCGGCAGCATTTTTACTAGGCATGATGGACCTACGAGCCGGGAATATGTAAAGTACCTACGTACTAGTTAGAGGAGGGAAAGGGGGAACGGACCCTACGCTAACGCAGCCAGGGGGTATGTTCGGGAACTGCAACCTTGACAAGCTTAAGTGGGCCTGTATCACCACTTTAGGTACACATTGACGGCTTTGACTCCCCAGCACCCAGTAAGGGGTAAGGGTTAGGTAGGAGGTACCTAGTGTACGAAGACGTAGTGGGGGGCGTATCGTACAGGGATATTTTACTGGGTCTCCGGGGCTTCCTCAGGCGCAACACTACCTAACCAGAGTTGTAGTTGCCTTCTGTAGATACGCACAGCACAGTCAAAGCACACGGTATGGAAGCTCTCGAGGCAGGTACAAGAGAAGACGGCTCTTACCTCAAGCCTACCTAGATGCAAAGTTGAACAAATGCATCTTATACCCACAGGGTTGGCCAAGACGCTTGGACCCTCTAGTACATAGGTAGTAAACAATTTAAAGTTTTGTTCGCCGACCTCAAGTCCCCCATTTCTAAAAAGGTTCTAGCCGCTCAGCAGCCATTACAAGTTGCAAGTTGCAACTCTGATATCCCATTCGCGTCTCCTCGCGCCTGCTAGCGCCACGTAGCAATATAAGCAGACGACTTATCTCAACCCCATTCCCAAAACATTATACGATGCAGTATTCGAACCTGTGCACACACATGCGCCTATGAATACTTGGCTTCCATGGCTCATTCGGGGCGTACCGGTGAAAAGGTTAAGGGTCGTATTCATCCTAGAACGAACACGACTCAGCTACTATAGGTCTTAAAGGAGATTCGTCAGAGCGTAGCCAATACCGAGGCAAAGAATTTTGATACGAAGGAAGGCGCCGGATGGCTTAACCTTTAGATTATCGTGATCCAGGCGTCCATCGAAGTACGTACATGACACATTGAAGTTAATTAATCATTGCTACGCGGTCTGCATATTCATTATAGTGAAGATACAATTATTCTCTTAGGTAGGTAGGCAGTTATAATATACTAGGGATTCTGTCAGTTACTATGTATTATTTATACCTAACCAAGCCCCCATGTCTTGATATACTAATATTGTCGATGTTGATAGCTTTAGATCTATCTGTGTAGGTAGTTAGGCATGTATGGAGTCGGGGTGTTTTCCGCTAGTGTACCACGCAGACAGGAAAATTGGACCACTCGATGTTGTAATCAACATGGTGGATCGTACCGACGTTTGTAGGATATCGAGATGATCGATCCCGGTGAGCCATTTGGAGCTATTCCGTGGGAAAATGGAATCTTAGGTGAGGGTCCGGATTAAATATCAGGTGTACGTACTTACTATTATCTCGATCATGTAAATAAAATACAGTACAGTCCCGATACAGCTCTTTCGTACCTAACCCAATAATAGTGAATATAAAGAGTTCCATCACGCCGCCACACAAATCTACCTTCTAGGTTTGTATGTGCCTAGATCTTCGTAAAATAAAAGAAGCATCGTATTGTATGAAAGTCACGCAATACTTAGTCCCGAGTGTGACTATCTCCAATGATCGTACATCGATAATCACACCATCTAGTGGGTATGTACATATAGCTGCCAAACCAATGGAAATTTAAATAATCATATTGCAGCTATCTTTCCTCCTCGGCGCACGCGCCATTGAAGAACGCCATTCTTGCAAGATTTCGTGATATCGACTTTTCAATGGTCTTCAGGCATAGACCATCAGGAATATGGATTTATTCAATAGCATTAGTCCCGGTTGTACGCAGAGCGGCCTAGTCTTGCTTACGCTGATTATATACTTCACTAATAAGTACCTTGGTAAGTTTCCGATACCCACGATGGATTATAATCCGCAAGGCTCTCAGGACCCTCTATGTGTTAGCTTCATGATATTTTCGGGTCTTCTAATCATATATGAGCCTCGGTTGGCCTGTGTTATTGCTAGTCTCGCTGAATGACAGCTCCGTATAATACTTCCGGTCGATAGGTATTCATCACGTCGGGAACTTAGACATGTTGCCACCGAACCTAACGACTTGGTTGTATTTGGCTGCATCCAGCTCAGAAACTATTGCTTTGATAATTGAAGGTACTGCCTACCTAAGGCACTATGCAAGTAACTAAGTAACTTACGAGTGATTCCGTCCCATACAATGCCACGCGAACCACACCCCATAGCTGCCATGCATTAGGGAATCCATACCGTATCCAGGATGGACTGGTACTGTGGGCTAAGGAACGGTAATGCATACATATCACAGTCCTGGGATTCGTCTTGACGCCGTCAGAGCCCTATATACATCATAATACAACATAAGCTCGCGCAGTTTGTTGTTTTTAGTAGAAGTCTTTTCTATTGTTCCCCGCGTAAGCTTATTGTACCGTATGTAGAACTGGGTGTACCCACGTTGACCAAGCTCGGAACCGCCAAAAAAATACCCGTTTTTCCGGATCTTCAATAATAATATATTATGCGAAGAAAATAAAAACCGGCCGATTTACTCGGCTGAGCCACTTCCGAGTTCGATATACCTTGCCTCTGGAGAATCAAAATCAGAAGATAGGTGGTATATGCGGCACTGTAGGTAAGGTATACAACAGTTAAAACTAAAGACATGCCGGGTCATAACCGGAGACAATGCTAATGAAGGCCCATGGAAGCAAGAAAGAAAAAAAAAAAAAAGGCCTACCAGCAACCTAGTCCATGCAGGAAAGCTGTGCCTGTTGTAGATAGGTACCTAGCCTAAGGCAAAATAGAAAAACAACCCTCCGCGGTTGCGGGTACCTAATGCATGGGAGTTATTTTCTCGGCGTCAAGCCACGCTGCGGAGTTTGCAGCAGTCACACAAGCCCGTTGGATCGTATGGATGCAGGAACCGAAAAAGAGGCACCCGCCAAGACTTTGGAGCATTGACCATATTTCCCATGTGAAAAGCGTGGCTGCGTGGGCGCCGAAGGAATTAAAATTGTGATTACGAGCGACCATCTCATTTCCTTGTTGAGATGCCAATCTGGGGAGTAGAGCCGAGTAGCCCTAGTGTCGTCACGAAATCTTTATTATGTACCCTCGACAACGCACGCGCTTCTTGTTTTCGGGAGCGAATGGTACGTAGTAATAACGTCAGATCACTGCGCCAACCGACTCCGACGGTGACCCGAACTGGAAAACAAATATAGCATTGAGCATGGGATCATACACATATTCAGAATTAACTTTTGAACATACCTAACCTAAGATAATTATCTAGCGCATTCTTTTCTCCAGGTATTTATCATTCCAACTACCGGTACTTGAGTTATCTTGTTAGGCAACGTCGGTATTAGGCTAGTGGAATCCTAGGAACCAATCCAGAAACTGCAAGGGTTACGATTGAAGAGCCCCATGCCGCAAGCTCCGCTTCCAGAACTAAGCTTCTTTACATTGGCAGATTGGGCAGTTGTGAATCCTTTATGGGTAAAGTCTAGATACTTGCTTCTCCTAGGGATTTACCTAATAGAGCTATACGTAAGCCAGCCAAAAGCGTAGTTAATAGAAGGTTATAACTACCTCCTAGACTTAAATCAGTGTAAACATTTAACAATTATCTTCTTTACTCGTTATAATATTCAACAATAGAAGGGGGTTTGGTGACACATTTAGGATAGGAACACCAAGCAAAGACACTTTCTGCAGTAAACGTCCTCGACATGTGAGAGCAACGATCTGTGCGCTGCTCTTCCGTCAATAACCCCTGGCTCCCCTAGAAGCTGGAGCCTCCGGTTCCTGAGAAAGAAAAAATAAGAAAAATCGAATCTCCACGCCCATCAACCTGAAACAATCAGCTAACTAGCTCACGATCTAGCGTGTGTGTCTCAATAATCTCGCATCATACGTTAGCGTCGTCCCAAAAGGAGTTCCCGGGGTGCCTAGGTAAGAAGCGAGAGAAGGATGCTAGAAAGAAAAAAGAATTTCCATGCGCCAATTTGAACTTAAGGTTTATCCTTGAAGGTTCAATCCGTCATGAGTTACCCAGTACCCTGGTAAATAAGGGTATTAGCTTGCTTACTATAAACTCGACCCTCGCCATGGCCTTACAACAATGACTTGCCGGTTGATAATGGCCTTTTAAAGTTATCTATTGTGTACTAGTATATCAGGCATCGAGTCAAGCGTCTGAATTGCTCAACTGTGGCTTTATAGATGTATGATGGCATTCAAACCCAACTTGTTCCGAAAAGCTCTTACTCAATTTCATTAGCCTCGTTGATTTACGCCCCTGAAATACCCGGCGTCTTGGTTCAAGTATTCTATCAACTTCCCTAAAGGTTTCGACTACTCGTCTCCTCGGGAATTTAATGTACAATCTTGGAGTTTGGTAAATTTGAAGGAGACCACGTGTGCCGGGGTCATCCGAACTCCCGGGGCTCCAGCGGTGCAGCTCTCGGAATCCTCCCAAGGACTGGAATATAGAGAAACGATTTCTGAATATAGGCGTTGTCAGGTTAACCGAGGGTTTGTCAACCGATTTTCAATATGTAAATAATCTCCTCGCCTCAGATTTCGCAAACCACGAACCTCCCGTCTTTTCAAGTTGTTCGCTGAGTGCAAGCCCGGCCGATTCTAGATTACCGCTTTGATCCTGTTTAACCTTGAACCGTCGGTAGCAAACTACTATATTACATCACTGCCAATGAAATTTGTTGCCGTCCACGCGGCGCACGCCACGCAAGTTATTTAGGGAATACAAAAGGGTTTTCTCAGCCCCGAGCAACTACAATGTGGGGTCATGAAAAGCAAAAACGACAAGGCGGCTTTCCGTCCTTAGTTGAACTAAGAAGACCCCTTGCAAAAGACCCCCCGACGCTATTAGTCTAGGGAGTGGAGTAGAGCCTGGTTGAACTGCTTACATAGTACGCTGATTTAAGTTGCTTAGGCGATAAAAAGAAATCAGAAGAGAACGGTTGGTCTTTGCTCCCGTTTTCTCCATCACTCCTCAACGCCCGCCCAGGACCCTCACACGGAGCTGCCGTCCCAAGCATTTAGCCATCCATTCTCTCATCATCAATGGAACCTTGTACGATTAAATCAGATTAAGTTAGATCTTGCGGATGTGGTTCTAGAAAGCAGTAGGCTACTTGAAGGGCAGCTAATGTAGGTAATGATCGCTCCAAGGGTGCTCCAGTAGAGCTCGGATCCAATATCAGTCCGGGCAACGCATGAACACGAGCACGGTTGCGAGCATACGATAGTCTCGTTTTTATGTAATGAAACGAGACATGATACCGGGTACGAATATTGCACATTGGCCTTCTTTTTAGTTCTCACGTCGGCACCCGGGACAGAATCAAGATTCCTCTCAGCGAGAACTACGGGTTTAGACGCCATGTAAGTCAGTTAGGCATTCTCAGCATGTTTGCAACCGGTTGCCTACGCCGATATTGATGCTGTGAATCTCCATCTCGGCGAGAAGGGGTGGTCGCATACACAATATATTGCAAATCTATCTTGAATATCACGTTGGTTGAAGAGGCACCTAATCCCATTATGCGCAATGTCGCACCGCAATACTTATGAAGGTACTTGACCCTTGGAGCCACGCGAGCAACGGGGATACACGAATAAGCCACGAGGGAATCTCACTTTAATTAGGTACTCAACGCTTGTGCGCCAAAGAAAAACGGAAATGAAACGGCCGCATACTCTGTAACCGCTCCACAACTAGGACCTAGCGATCTGGTATCTTAACACTAGGTCCATGTGCAACGCCGATCCTCTCTCATTCACGTTAGAAATCTCAAGACGTGGAGGTATAGAAGATAAGCTGCAATTCAGGCTAGTTGACTACAACAGCATGATGCAAATTCTACGTAGTCGGAGAATCTAGATTAGCTCGGCAAATAGTCGACAATCAAACCCCCTTTCCTTACTTCGTCAAGTCTACCAGTAATAAGATAGATTTTATATTAGCGTATTATTACAATTAATAAACGGATTTACCATCGCGGTAGAATATCTTCAATCTACTGCGGCGCATACACGAACGCTAGCTGATCTATCTCATCGCCGCTCTGGCCTAGGAAACCGACGATACCCCACCCGTCCGGCGCCGTGAAAGTCGAGCAATCCGAAGTAGACTTTCCGGCCTCCAGAGTCCGACCGGTACTTGTCGTTGCCTTGATATAGAAGTTGCGCGTCTGGCTACTCTTCTGGCCCTGACATAGTTGAGCGCTAGTCCAATATTCGTTGGCATTGAGCGCCAACGTCGCAACATTGCCACCATCACCTCCGTGCGTGAATGTCGTGCCGTCGGTCAACTTCAGGCCCACACTATCCAGCCTGTCCGCACCCCGGAAGGTGAGCGCACTGACTTTTGGTGACGTCTTTCCAGAGAGTGATGTGACATCGCTAAACCAAGTACCGTGCGGGCCACCCCAGAATCCAGATTGCCGCAGATTCGATCCTGCTGACCAGGTGAAATTCACAGTGATTGGATTATGGTCTGACAGGATACTGCCGTCAGACTGCAAGAATTTGGTGCTCTCGTAGTTCCAATATGTGGCGCTCAGTTTGAGCAGCGCGCTGCCGCGGTAGAAGACCTTGTCGACTGTCTCGCACTCGTTGGTGGTGCTTGGGTTATTACAAACGGTCTCGACATTCGGGATGTTGCCACCGTGCACGAGTTCAACCCAAGTGTCCTGAAGCCCATTCTGCTCAGAGAAGATGCGGATACCGTCACCCGTCCGGGTATAGCGGCTGTTGGTGTCGCCATATACGAGCACAGCGTTGCCAGAGCTGCGAGCATCAATAGCGTCCGCCACCTGCTTGAGATTTGCGGCACGTGCCGTTATATCGCCGTCTTCGGTACCCGCATCGGTGTGAAGATTGTATACGTCGACATAAACGCCATCGTCAAGGGCGGCACGCATAAAAGTAAAACCCTTGGGCGTCAAACAATCGCCTGAGCCAATGCTGCATGTTTCCCATTTGACGCGCTCATAGTCAATCCAGTCGAAGTTGGACAAGGTATTAAGCCCAGAGCCGAAGGGTACACCGCCCGAAGTAGCCGTGCGATAAGGGTGCGTATCCTTGTCGTAGAGGTAGGCGTGATAGTTGAAATCCTAAGTTTCGCGTTTAGCTAACGTCCTCCTTATCATGTGCCTCATACGTCGCAGCCCCTTTGTCCTCAGACCTCTGTTTCAACAAGAAATGGCTGCGGCCCAGGAGAGTGGGACAGACAGTTTCGAAACCTAGATAACCAACCATGTTGCTAAACTCTTACGAGTCATGGACTCATAAAGAAGCAAGGGGAAGAAAAAAAAATGTTACACGTACCTCTTGTACGTGAATTATGTCATAATCGTACTGCGCGAGCTTCGTGCCTATCAGCCCTGAGTTAGTAGCCTTGTCTCCCGGAACCTCGTTATTGTTGAGGAAGTCCGGCAAGCCTGCGACATTCATAGTCAGGACGCTGAACTCGCCGCTACCGGCTGCCAGTGCATTGCCGACTAACAGGGCGAATGCGCCCGCCGAGATGGGACGGTTTACGATCCGACTCTTCATCTTTACAATGGCAAGAATCGATGGTATCAGCTTGAGTTTCGTCACTGGTGATGATCGTTGAACACCTTTTATATTGGCCTCACATCTACTTAGGCTATCACTGGTGGACAAACACGCGCAACACGTTACCCATTGAGATAGGTTTTGTCAATAAAGGTCGTATCCATCATCTCGCAATGTCTCCATCCTCTCGGCCTGCGATTACCATAATTGGGCACTTTGCCGGCCCTGCTCCGCACGAATTCAAGGCCAATGCAACGCGTTCCGCTATACAGCTGCTCTTAACAGCTTTTTGCTGTTGTTGAATTCAACAATGCCTCCAGTTCATGTTCTCAGCCGTTATGATGATTGGCTTCACGAACCAAGCTAGTCTACCTACCTACCTGGTAGGTACGCATTTACACCGACTATCGCGTAGCTAGAACGTTAACAGAATTTCTTTCTAATATCAATTGCCTGCCAATCGCCCGCGCACATGTCGGTGAGTAGCGAAATCGTAACTGGGACATATCAACTTCGGTCAACCCGTACGAATGAGTTAGACATCTTATTTGTATTTTACGTATTCAATGTAAGGCCTAGGGTCTTATATTGTTGAGCATTAAGGTAATGGCTACCTACCTTATATTATGGAATACTTTGCACGTTAGACATGCTCCTAGTAGTACGTAGGGGTTCAATGACGGGATAGAGTCAGCCGAGAGCCGACTCAAAACAATCTCTTACGGCTATGCCGGCGCACGTCCCTTATATATGAGGTTATCTTCCATAGTACCTGCCTAAGGTAGATAGGGTTATGGAAAGATCCGTTGCGCTATGACGAGCAGCGCGGGCACCATAAATCTTTAGTAATCAGTCGTAAGGTCTCCCTTCAACATCAGACCATCTCAGTTTCAGGCTCCAAACACTTATGTCTCTGGTCCTCATGCTGCGCCCGGTAGCAAACAGCGACTAGAACTTGAAGAGTCTAGTATCTACGAACATGACATACAACAGACCTACAAAGATAGAATTTGAATCTTGAGGCGGATGGCTGCGTATATATATCCACTCCCGTAGTCAATCGGACTTTTTCTGCAATCCGTTGGTAGTTGTCGCGACCCAGTCTGGTGGTGCTGAGACAATCCCCTCGAACGGACTTCGGACGGTTTCTAGGTAGGAATCGGGTTGTTTTTTTAATAAAATAAAATAAAATAAAACGTCCTCTTCGATGGCTACTTGCATAGAATATAAGACTATATCTCCGTTGCAATCATCGTAACAATATTGAATCTGATTCACCAGATATTTCGGGTAGAATATTTTCCACAGCATAGACACATAGCATCAATTCTCTGATCAACTACCTATGCTGTGTGACCTGATTTCGTTCTTGTGCAGCGTCACATACCTCAAGAGGCTTACCATAGTAGAGATTTTCCCTGTGGGGGCTCGAGAACATCCGTGCCCCCCGCCTTGCTAGTTCAAGAAGAACAAACATGACGAGAACGAGATACCCTTCCAACTCTAGGTAACTGGCAGCCTTGATACGCGTTGGTCCTCGTCTAAACCCCCACTCTGCAAGTTTGCATAACGAAGCCACAATGCAATAATATGACGATTCTGAAATATGATATTATTCCCATGCAGAATCATGCGAATATAGCATCCGTATATTCTCCGAGATATAACGCCTTGCGTTGTGATAGAGGGAATAAAGGAAGATCATAACGGTAAAACGACTAGGTATCCGCTCCTATGACCAAACCTACTACGATATTTGCGGTATCGGTGTGATGTGATGCGGAATAGAAGCTCGGGCTATTATGGATTTTCTAACTAATGTAAGTGCCTACGCCACCATTATGTGCGCCGCTAGTAATCGATCACACAACACTAATGCCTGTATCCCAAGATCTCCGATTGAGAGGTCATGTTATCCCGCCGCTATACCGCTGGCCAGACTTCTGCCGCTTATGTTCCCTCAGCATCAATAGACAAAAGCCTCATCGCAGATATAGGCCAATTCTAAACAGTTCCTACCCTCTCACCCCACCAATTATGTAACTTAGGTAGGTACGTATGTATATGTATGCAGGAGTGGTAGGTAGGTACCTAGTGTCCCTGCATCAAGCATCGCGCACCCGCCTCATTGATACTTGGGATCAGGGCCACCAGTCACAAGAAAGTCTTGGACTCCGAATCCCTGCAAGAGGGTGGTAAGCTAGATGCGGGGAGACTTTCCGGCACGACGCTATGTGTGGCAACTAACTGCTAAGCTCTTTAAAACTTTCCCGACTGGTGGCTCTAGCCCGAATCCTACCGCTCCAAGGGCGTCTTAGAAGAGAGAGAAAGCTGTATTCGTACGTTACGCTAACAAATATGCTAACGGCAATGCTGCAGAACGGCAGCAAACCAGTAAGCCGTCCTCTGCTGTCATCACCATAAATGTGCGGTGGTATCGTCAACCTATGAGTAGAGCCCGCTTATTCTAGGTAGTTTTACCATGTCAATTTCGGGGAAGAGGGGTTTTCTAGGGTATGTACACATTCGAAGATATACACATGCAAGTGGGCAACTATAATTTACACACACTGTATACTCTCCGGTTTTAGAAGATCGATCGATCAAGTACCTTGCCCAGGAGCATAGTTCTAAGATCTTTATCTTTATCACTGTAACTACTAGATAATCCTTGAACTCCCAGGGTAGCAGGTATTGGACATAGTGTACTAAAGATGGGCGTGTGCTTAGACTTAGGTACTTAAATAATCTAAAGGTCGTGAGGTTATCAGCAAATGATGTATCGATTTAGAGTATTGACGGGAATATATTTCCCGTTAAAGCCATGGTCTATTTGCTATACCTAGACACTCCAGCTTATCTAGTAGGAGCGTAGTGAATACCGTTATAGGGAATTGTCAGATAGTGAAGCTAAAAAATACTCAAGATTATATTAAGCATGTGTAGTAGTACTCGTCAAACGCATTAAGATATCGTAACATGCTCAAGAGACTATGCTTATCGAGTGTCTTCTGACATTTCCTTTATAACGGTACCTTATATAATTTAGTTCAGTGAGACTGTTGAGACTAAGTAGTTGGCATGATAGTTTTGAATTGCTATTTACCTAGCCAAACCGTAGTTGCTGGCTGTTCTTTATGAATTTATTTAGAAATGGCTAACTTACGTGTCTCTAGTAAGCAGGACGAGCCGGCTGATTTACAGGCCGTGCTGCGTAGCAAGATCTTCATCGACAATGAACAACATCTTACCCTTCACATCTGTGCCTGATATAAGGGTCTCGTGAGCCTTTACAGCGTCCCTGAGTCGGAATAGCTTCGCAATTGTTGGCGATAGCTCTCCGCTTCGAACCTTTTCAAACACTCTCTGCAAGTCTCCATGCCATAACTTCGGCTGTGCCACCTTGTAGTTGCTAATGACGCTCCAAAATGCCACTCTTGACTGTAACCGCTGCTGGAGTAGAGTGTGAAGATCAGCCTCCTGTTGCCGCACTCCAGATCCATCAACAGCGATCTCCGACATGGCACCGATAACTATGACTTGCCCGACGTCTTTCTTCGTCGCTTGAAGACTCTTCTGGATGCTTTCATCGCTACCCACAGCGTCGTAGGCCACATCTACCCCTTCACCTCCAGTGAGGGCTCTGACTTGGTTTACGAGATCGGGCGCACGGCGATCGACCGGAATCACCCCCAAGGATTTGATATAGTCGAATTTCGACGGCGAACAAGTTCCGATCATCTTAAGGTCCATCTTAAATGCATTCACCAATTCCGCTACCGCTGTGCCTACACCTCCGCTAGCAGAGCCGATCAAGATGCTTGATCCGGGGACGAGGTTGGTTACAGCCCGCTTCAGCATTCCGAATGCCGTGGAATAGTTGAGCGGGATGGCACAGAATTTGACCGGATCATCGGTTTTCTCAACGCGAATGAGCTCAGCCGCGGGTAATATGATATGAGTTGCGTGGGCACCGATTCCATCCATAGCCGTGACGCGATCACCCACGGATAAGGGGTTTCTCTTCGACGCCTCAGAGCCTAGAGCGACAACTTCGCCGATGAAATCATACCCTAACGTAAATCCTGGCTTCGAACAACGAGGGTCAGGATAACCTCCCACGCGTTGAATATTGTCTGTTCCAGCAATACCAGCTGTTATAATTCGCACGATAACATGATCGGCTGGTAGCGTCTCAGCAAATGGATCCCAACTGTCCCATTTCAAGACATCCGGACCACCAAATTTAGAAACGATCCATCGACCGGATTTATCAGGTGTAGAGCTAGTATTTCGAGGCATGTTTATTGAGAGAATAAAATGTCGTTAGTGACATTAGTGGCTTCCAATTTCGAGCATCGCATAAGCACTTATATAAAAAAGATAAGGTAGCTGATTACTTGTTGTCGTTAGATTACCTGCTACCTCGATTTATAATCGTTTTATTGTTACTGATTGATTTCCAACCATTTTAAGGAAAGTCGGTGTTGGGTGCTCACGACGAGTTCGCGTTTCGGACCATACGAACCTTTAGTTGAAGGACGTGAGAATCGCATAGTCAACATTAATAATATTTAAAAGATTGATGTTTTGTAATACTTCGAGGCGTAGCTCTGCTCATGCCGCAGGCTCCTTTTTGTCTAATTACTAACCATTCATTTTATACCCCTTAAGGTTAATGACCACAATAAGAACTCTTATGGCTTTCAAAATGTCACTCCACAGTAATGTCACGGTGACCACCTATCACAAATCTCGACTAAGCTTCTAAGGAAGTAAAATTGCCTGACTTGATATGCATATCTAGAAGAGGTTTCTTCAGCGTTAGTAAACTAGTAAGAACCCACATTCAGTGAGCACTTCTAACAACATATACACTGGGAGCTCTAGTGCTTGACGTTAAGAAATACCTATAATCCTAGCTACCTGTTACAGGAATACAGGTGTCGAATTTAACTAATATCATATTTGGCTCTATTCTTTACTTCTTCATACATAACTTAGACTGCTGTAACTCTAAGATAAGTTAGTTGTCTTATTGCTTTACGGAAGAACTTTCTTAACTTTGACATGTCTTCTTCTAAATTGATAAAACTATTGGTTTACATTTGGACTCTTTGATCATACTCACTATAGCCAATTCAGAAGCTCAATCAATACACTGCTCTTGGGCGTGCTTTTTTGCAAGGAAATATTGTAAGTACCTCGTAGGTAAGTTCGAACCTCGCTGTGGTAGAACCTGTCATGAGGTAGACCTGAGGGTACCTAGATATAGGTAGGTAAACAACTTCTTTGTTCCATAAGGAACTCTAAGATAGATCTGAGAGCCAGAAGCCATTAGACACCTCCCAATAGGCAAACGTAAATGTTCTCATCATCATGATCAGCCAATCTACTGTCACACACACACTGTCTGGTAGGCTCTTACCCTTCATGGATACTACATACGAGTAAATGTCAAAGTGGTATCCTCGACATACGTACTTACCGTATCTATAGTAGTTCTATACAAATGATCGTTTTCCAAGCATGTAATAGTAAGTACCTAATCATGCTCTTTGAACACTTTCACGTGGTTATAGTCTTGATAGTAACTCAATCTTCCTGATCTGGCTTGGTGCAGTCCTTCTAGTGGTGCGCATAAGAAATCTTGGAGACGACGAGTTTGTTCTTAGCCCGCTCGTGTTGTGTGGAGAAAGAGGAGAAAAGCCAAGAAGCCATCCCAATCTCCCACGAGGACGCCCCGTGTACTGGGGAATGAAATGCGACCCTAATATGGCCACTATTCGAGACTTATGGGATAATTTCCATGAATCGGCATTGGCCCGGGCCCGCGACTTTACCGTGTTTGTTGCCGACAGGGTCTCTTGATTGGCTCGACTAAAATCTGGGGTACCATAGGGGGGGAGATCTTGTTTTTGCGGAGCTGTTCGGCGGAGAGAATAGCGAATTGCTCTGAATTTGGTTTAACCGGATACCCCGAACTGCGGGTATAATATATATATAACTTGAATGTCGCGAAGATGGAAGTACTGCGTAGATCCTCGACTGATGAGTTCTGTTGGAGAACTGGGTTGATTCCATCGTACTGAGGATGTTGCTTCGCGATCGCCTGCTGGCCGGCTTGGCCATCTTCTCGCTCCCTGCTAGCGTTCTTGCGGCACCGCAATCGTCCGATATCAAAGAGCTATCGGGGGTCGTGATTTACACTCCGCCCTCTACTTACACGGATCCGAGGGTTCTGTACGCGCGCACGGCACAGCTCCCAAATAATGATATCCTAGCAACGTGGGAGAACTACAGCCCAGAACCTCCTCCGGTATACTTCCCCATCTACCGATCCAGCGACAAAGGCGCTACCTGGACAAAGATTTCTCAAGTCGAAGACCAAGGATACGGGTACGGACTACGATACCAGCCATTCCTCTATGTGCTCCCGGAGGATTTCGCAGGGTATAAGAAGGGAGACGTGCTGCTAGCCGGTTCGTCGATCCCCACGGACCTCTCCAAAACCCAACTGGATATCTACGCATCCACGGACAGCGGCAAGACGTGGAAGTTCCTCAGCCACGTTGCCGCGGGAGGCGAGGCCAGGCCGAACAACGGGTTGACTCCCGTCTGGGAGCCGTTCTTGCTGCTCCACAAGGGCAAGCTGATATACTACTACTCGGACCAGCGCGACCCGAAGCACGGCCAGAAGATGGTCCACCAGACCACGACGGACCTGCGCAACTGGGGCCCCGTCGTGGACGACGTCGCGTATCCCACGTACAGCCAGCGGCCGGGAATGCCGACGGCAGCGCTGCTCCCGAACGGCCAGTACATTTTCACGTACGAGTACGGCGGAGGTCCGAACCCCGCAAACTCGGGTTCGTTCCCAGTGTATTACCGCCTGTCTTCCGACCCGGAGAACTTCAACAGCGCGCCTCACCACGTTCTCAGGACCACGGACGGCACCGTCCCGACGGGCTCGCCGTACGTCGTGTGGTCCTCGGCCGGCGGTGCGAACGGGACGATTATCGTGTCTTCGGGATGCTGCTCGGAGATTTATATCAACAAGGCGCTAGGGGCTGAGAATGCGTGGAAGAAGGTGTCGACGCCGGAGGGAGCTTCGTACACCAGGTCGCTACACGTCTTTCAGGAGGATCCCAGTTCGCTCTTGATTGCGGGAGGGGGCCATTTACCCCCTAGCACAACGAATAAGGTCACTATCAGTGTAATGAATGTCCCGTGATTAGGTAGGTATGTTAGATAATATCATTAGCAAAAAATTATATTTTAAATTTCAAACTCGACCGTCCCTTTAGAAGGCTTAAACGTATTCAAATTGATATTTGCGCTCGGCAATGTTACCTCCAACTCTCATGTGGCAGCTCTACCGGCTGGGACATGCCCGTAATTTCATGCCGATTGTTCTCCGTGACCAGCTCGTGCGTATTGCTCGCAGTTTGCATTTCCTGCTGGTACTGCTCCCACAACTCTGCGCGCGTTTTTGGGGCCCCGGGATCAGAGGGATAATTGATAATAGTATCCCCTTGCTGCTCCCTCTCCTCGGGATGGTTTATCTTCCATAACCAAATACCAATACCAATTGAAAGCATAAGTAAACCTCCCAATCCTACACCGACACCGATCCCTATCTTTGCGCCCAAGGAAAGCCCTGTTTCGGGCGCGTTGCTTGTCGTTGCGTCCTCATCACCTGTCTGGTTGCTGCTAGATGGTAGAACAAAAGTGGCCGAAGAAGTAAATGCCGAAGAAGCAAGTGTCGAAGAAGTAGGTGCATCCGTACGAGACGCTATGAAATCGCCCCTTTGCCATCGTATATTGATCGCTGCGGCGTGAATGATAATCCCACTCATCACCGTCACTTTGCTCAGCTGGTTAGACAAGTCCGGTACTGTTACGGAGACGGATGAAATGGCCGACGATGAACAAGACAAGGTCGACCACGTCTCTGTCGGGTCCGGCTGTTGTATGCACACATATCCTCTGGAAGAAGAGAAAAAAATCAATATTTTCTTTCATTAGAAATAGTCATTACTCTTACGAACGAAAGCGGCTCAGCTTGAAGCATGAATTAGGTAACATACAGCGGACAACACGTCGCTCTGGTCTCGGTGACAGTCGCGATGGCGTCGACAGTCCCGCACGCCGACCACCAACCAGAGGGACAGATCCCCGGGGAATAGAACCCGGATTCGGGCTCGAAGCCTGGCGGGTAGCACTCTGACGTTGCGCTGGGCCCGAGACTATGGTATTTGTGAGTACTCGTGTTGCCGTCTGGTAGGGTCTGTGTGTAAACAATCCCCGAAAGAATGGAGTTGCACCCGGATGCCGGCGTAAATGTCGTCGTTAAAGGCCCGAGATCTGTCATATCTTGCTGGGTTAAATAGAAGGTATTTAGGTAGGTCAGGTAGGTAGGTATGTATTAGATTATTAGATTATCCTTGAACAGGGAAGGGGGTTGGTTGTCATGTGCGTGAGCAAGCTTTGGTCAACTACCTCCTTGCATATAAGACGCTTAGCATAATTAGTATCTTCAAGGGAGAAGAGTGGTATTGGTGTGTCTCCCGGATCACGGATGTTATCTACTATATCATAATTGGGGAAATGTCTTAGATCATGCTGGAGGGTAAGGAAAATTCTGTACGCTGTCAGCACCTCGTCCCTGCATGTATTGATCCTTAATTGACCCAAAAATGAACAGAGGCGCGCGTCGAGATATTCCGATTGGCCTATGTTAGCCACGCCGTCACTATATCCGTAGGTCTCGATCACCTCAAGGTCCATGGCCTATCACCGGTATGAATATATGCTCAGTGGCGGTGGGGTCCAGGGGAATTACATGTTGGAGAAGAGCGCTGTAAAACATGATAGCAATCCCCCAACTCTTTCATATGCGACATTTTATGAAAGACTTACGTAGCACCAGATGACTCTTCTTCCACTTGACCGGAGGAATAGCTAGCCATACCAATATATAATGTCTGGGGTCATGAATAGTGCACGTTTATTTTTCTTGGAAATGTTTATTTTTATCCTCGCTACATCTAGTAACACAAGCATCTAGTAACACAGACATCCTGATCTACCTTCCTCCTTTCTATTTATTGCCCACCTCCCATACATCTAGTTCGGTGAAACATGGACTTGCCAATACCTGCGCCAGTTGTACCAAGACCCGCCGGTCTTCTCATTCTCACCCTGCGCCGGCTTCCACATTCCAAACCCCTTACCCTCGTCGTACTGCGGGAACTCGGCCTTCTCCCTCAACAGGCCACGCTTCTCACCCGTGGATAGGAACCACAAGAAATTCTCCGTGACGTGCATGTACTGCCTTAAACCCTCGTACACATCAATCCGCGCGCCGGTAGTCCAGCTGAGTAGCAACGGCTCCAGCAGCGGCGCGTCCGTGACGGACGGATGGGAAGTACCGAGCGACGTCGCGAACCAGGAGGGCATGCCGCGTAGCACGTTGTTCTCGACGATATCTCGCACCATGTCAAAGTGCGCGCGCCCGTAGAACAGGCTGTACTTGCTGCTCCAGGAGTTGCTGTGGATCACGAGCACGGGGACCCGAATGTCGTCGTTGAGCTGCCCGCTCTGCTTTCCCGGGTCCAGGATTACGCCGCCTTTGAACGGACGCCTCCCGCTGGGCCCGCCTCTCAATGCTTGCATAGCACCTGTGGCGCCGTAACTGTGACCTGCGACGATCATCTCGTCCGTATTGAGGCGGCCTTCCCAGTTCAGGAAATCAACACCTTCATCCCGCATGTTCGATTTGAAGACCTCCTTCCCCTGCCCCTCGTTGATTAACTTTAACACGCGTACGGTCTCCTCGATCTCAGCCTCTCGGAAGTCGAGCTGCGCTCTTTTGAATTCATCCACCGTTAAATCCTTCCCCTTAATAGTCTCCACTTCCGGCACGTCAAAGGTGAGTTTTACCTGGTCTGGTTTGCCATGTTGCATGACAACGGATCCGGGACACGACCCATCCCTATGCTCGAGAAGCGCTACAATATAACCTCGCGATGCCAGTTCACCGGCATAATGTGTATAATCTGTGCGACTGCTTGCCATACCGTGAGAAAACACAATGACCGGGTGGCCGCCCTTTTCAATTTGTATCACCTTCTCAATCTCTGTATTGACATTCTGGATCTCCGGTATCGACATGACTGTGGATGCAAGGCCGGCCAATGGGACATCTACATTGGCTGGAATTGGGATGTGTCCAACAAGAGCCTTGAGTGCTCCTGTGAAGACCTTTTTCATAATGAAATTATTGACGCGCGCAAACTTGGCGTAGCCTTCACCAGTCACAGATATCGGTTTTGGAACCCAGTTGTGTTTCGGCCGACGACTAGTGGCATGCTGTACCGATGGGTAATATAGCGTAAATAATACGGTATTCAACTCGAAGGCATTCGCCTTTGTCTTTTTGAATTGAGCAGTATCGATAATACGTGGTGATGTTAAAGGTATCTCGACATCAACTGCGCCGACAGGATACGGACCACTGTATTTAGGTAATGGTCGAGGGAATGGAGGCAAAGAGAACAAATAGCAAGAGAGAAAGATGAGTACGATTATCCATCGCCATGAGTATCGGGAGCGGAGAATAGGGGGTATCTTTAACCTCCTTAAAGGCGTGGTACTCTTGGCATCTGGGAACGGCTTCATCGTGAGTTTCGAAAGTTTAGTCTCGAAATAACCGAATTAATTACTTTGAGTTAAAACGCATGAGAGAGTTGAATACAAGTAAACTGAATACTACAGTTAGGTATTTAAAAGTACCTAAAGTTGTCGAAATCAAGAAGACGATGATGCAATAGGATATTATATACATAGAGCTCCACACGTTACGCATGTGGCTTGAACATACCAGGTAGGTACATGTAGATACCCCTGTTAACAGGTTGCCTTAGGTACCTGAGGTAGGTACCTAACTCTATTGCTTGTTGTGAAAGCTCCTGATCTCATCTCCTTCCAGCTTACCAGCTCTGGCGACGTGTAAGCAGAACAAGTCGATCTAGCTTATAAATAATACAATAGTCCTCAGATGATTATGTAGAGGGCTACTAGTCAGCTTAGTTCAACCCTCAAGCCAAAAGCGCATTATTGTACCTTAGGTACATATACAAAATCAAACCCTTTCCATGCTTGATACAGCCTCCATCCAACCCCAACCGAGCCAAAATGAACCCATGCTTTTGTACTCCAGCGAACCCTTATACGAAAGAGGTACCTAAATATATATATTACTCCAAACCTTCATTTCTCCAATGTTGCGCCGTAAAGGAAGTGTGATATAAGAGCGACAAGATATGTTTGATACCTCACCCACTTGGAAATATACACCAGTCCTAATGCACCCGCGCCCCCAAGTCGTAAGAAACCGTTTGTCGTAGCACGAGCTAGTTATTCTAAAAGCTGCTAAATTCTGCCTCTATCCACAACTTGTCGCCCGAGAACTTCTATTTCTCCCGACTCTGCGGTGCGGCGTCGTTCCATAATCCACCTTGTTTCTCCGCTGTCTTCTTCTTTCGTGTATGATATGCTATCCGCACTTCCTCTATGTTTGTGGCCCATGCCTGGCCTTTGCTGAGACGGTATACCAATAGTCGGACTCATATTTTCACTAAGAGGTCTTGTCATTGTGCTTGATGTTGATAGGCTTGGGCTCACAATGTCAGTCTTCCTCTCGTCGAACGGACTCGACTCTTCATCCTCAAACACGGGTGGGCAAACTGATGAAGGTTGCAAGGGGGAGAAAATTGGTAAGCTAGAAGAGCATGTTGTGAGAGTCAGGTTAGAGTTAGAAGACGCAGTGATAGGCGGAATAGAGCTGTTAGGTATACCAGGCATGGACATAGTCAGCGTGGGGCTTCCTGAGCCGCTACCTGCTCCGGCTGAGTCCTGACTGAAGATAGAAAAGGCAGAGTTTTTACGTCCATGTGAGCCTGCGATACCATGATCTTGACCCCATGGGCTGGCAGCACCGTTTCTGTCATTGGGTGAGCCCTCACGTGAGCTTACAAGTGACACTTGAGAGCCACCCCAGGCTTTGGAGCGTAGACGAAGTAGAGCTGATAGTGACATATCATCATCATCTGCCATCATAGCTAGCTGAGCTAGGCCGGGACTCTGAAGGGGCCCGTTGGCGTTTGCGCTTTGAGACATGCCTAAGCTCATGAGTGAGTTTCGATTAGAATACTCGGAGCGCTCTGTGATGGGTGTTAAGTTCGGCTCGCGTGAGACAATGCGACCTGAGGTACTTCGATTGATACCGCTAGGACCAAAATAACCCCCGTGAGAATATTGGTATAGGTTCTTTTCGCTAAGCGCATTGGAATTATGATGACTATGCAACGGTGCCGGTGCGGAATAAAATCCAAACTCTTGTCCGTACCAGCCATCCGAGTCGTTAGCAAGAGCGCTGGCGTTCGCTTCCGCAATAATATCGTCATCATCAAGTTCATAGTCATCCAGTCCTGTGGAGAGTCCATCATCGTATTCATAATCATCGAGATTCTCTGCGTGGGTGGATGCGGGTGTCGTTGGAGACGTGATCGTAAGCTCGGTTGGTGGTGGAGGAGACGAATCTCTTCGAAATTTCCCTGAAGCAGCAGCTTGATGAGCAGCGGCTGCCAGGGCGGCCTGATAAGCTGCTACTTGGTCTTGCTCTGTAGCATCCAGGCTAAAAACCGATGATTTACGCTCTTCCGCAAGTTGCTGTGTTTCTAAAATAGGCTCGGATTCTGTCGGTTTCGACTGGAGATCGGTACTGAGCGAGGTATGCGCAGTCGATTGTGAATAATCAGATGGTGCCGACAAACTAGAAGTCATATCAGATTCTCGCTTCTTTGCCTCTTCAGCGGCTTTCCTCTGCGATAGCGCATTGGCGAACAACCCCGGAATTGGTCGACCATATCGATCTGTATCCTCAAGGTCGAATATAGACTCATCAAACGCCGAACCATCTCCCTCCCCATCAAAATCGTGTATAAGACCATCGTTAAAATAAAGCTCGTCGTCTTTAGAGAGCTGCCGTGTCGTTTCTCCTTGTTGCTGTTGTGGAAATGGTAACTGTTCAGACATTTCCTTGACAGTTTCGAGTCCTTGGATGCCCAGTCCCGTCGGTGTATTTTGTTCTGACGCCTCCTTTACGGGAGCTTCCCCTGGACTTTCCATAGAAACACTCAATGGCCGTGGGACACCAGGCAGCTCTTGAGTCATTACATAGCCACTGATACTATTAATTGCATCCCCTGAGGTACGTGAAATGCCGGTGCCATGGGGACTCGCTAACACTGACACAGGATTAGATCTCTGAAAAGTGAAACCCGCAAAATTTTCCTGATCATTATCCGGATCATCTACACCGTCAACGTCTTCTTCGTCCAGGTCAGCATTAACACCCGGTATACGTTCTTCGAGTCCATCATCATAATCCATTGCATCATAGTCAAATGCATCTTCATCAAAATCATCGAAACGAGAATCTCGCTGATGGGGAGGTTCGTCTGTTCTCTTGTCTTGTTGTCGCTGCCGATGTCGTTCTTCCAATAGCTTCTCCTGCTTTGCAGCACCGATCATATCAAAACTAAACCGTGAAGAGGTACTTTTCATATGTTTAGGCACGGATGACAGGACATCCCTGCTGGAAGCCTCTGAAACATTGCGGGATAACGATTTTAACGATTTCAACGAAGGAGGAATCGAATTCGTTCTCCTCTGGCTATATCGTCCATTTTTGGATCCAACATTAGAGCGGCTATCCACCGAGTCTTGGCTCTTCTGTAACGAGGTAGCATCTACCGATACAGTCCGAGAATTTGTTGAGGATGATCGAGTGGACTGAGAATTGCCGTCCTTAGGAGGAACTGGAGGCACTCCTATAACGGGTGAATTATGTTCTGTGGGAGGTGAGACAACATCCTGACGAGGCCGTTCGACTCCCGAATTTACTAGTTCGCTATTCGGTATAACCTTTCTCGGCCGCGGAGCGCTAAAGTCATGGACCCGTGTCCCTCTGATTCGAGGATCGTATAAAGGTTCTTCATCTTGACCACGTAATGGCAGCGTGAGATCTGGTACATTCTGGCTAGTCTTTCTCCGTAGAAGCAACGTCGACATGGGATTTTTCAGAAAAGGGAGGCTCTTTTTCGCCCTTGGGGCATCTTGACCATGGGAAGCCTGTGAATCGGATACCATCCTAGTACCTTGCAGTCGTTTACTTGTCGTATTTGCATTCTGCAGAGAGCCGGGTGGGACGAACGAAGAAGCAGCCTTGACGGGCTTAGTCGGTGGCGCGGGGCGACTCGGAAAATTGGCTGTGCCAGCATAGGTGCCGAACGAAGGAGAATCCGAAGCGCGGTTTGCGTTCCTGTCCAATGAGCCTGGTTTCAGCGCTTCTTGTTCCCGACGGTAATTTTGCAAAGCTAGTCCACCGATAAATCCACTATCCCCGTTGTAAGACGACCGCGATAAATGCTTAAGTTCTTCGCGCGGCTTGTGCTCAAATTTTTCCAAGTCAATCGTTAGGTCTAACTCGGCTGAGGAGATTCCGGTAATTGGTGGCAAAGTTGGTGGTTGCCTATTCTGTAAGGGGTGTTGGGATTGAGGTAGCGCTGGCTGAGACGGAGGCTGGCCATGTCCATGAGTAAAGGGTACAGAGGTAGCGGATCGTGGTCGAATATCGGGAGCCGGAACGCCATCGTCAGGGACCAGCTGGGTTGGTTGAAGGGCAGCAGCATCCCAAGGGCCGGTTTCGGGTACGGGAGATGAGGGATTGGACGGACCCCGTCTATGAAAGCGGAGATGTGAGAGCATTCCGACGGGCTGGATCTAATAAGTTAGATCTTGCAGGCCAAACCCGAACATGACTCGGGCGGAATGGTGTTAGGTTCCTGAAGATAGATGTAGTACGTCGGCTAGCAAATTTGTATTACGCGACAGCTCTCGTTGTATCGGGAAGATTGGATTTGTTTGTTTGTCTGTTTGTTCGTTCGTTCGTGGTGTTGTCGCATAGGTAGAAAAAAAATGGATCGTCACGATTTCGAGTATCGAGGATCGATACGGTCTTTCAGCATAAGGCAGCCACAGCTTTTGTATATATACATTAACGAAGAGATTTAAATAATAATTACGGTAACGTAGGAGAAGATCCAAATCAACGTAACCCCAGGATAATTGAGGTTGAGGGATCAGGTTGAAGAAAAGAAGGTTGCTTAGCTGTTATGTCATTATTGGTTGTGAAGGAGTTAAAGCTTGTTTCTTTTTTCCCTTTTTCTGGGTTTCCAAGTCAAGCTTAAGGCCTTCTATTTCTTTTAATAAAATCGCATATTTAAAATAAGATAACACTTTTACGCGGAAGGTTCTTTCCCAATCTTGTCTTGCCGCGTCACAGCCCCACTGAGATTATTCCACCCTACACCTACAAGCTTTCAAGGTTACAGAGTTCAAGTTATGGCACGTGCGTTCGGGGCATTTCAACGGCCCAACGGCCAACGCTAGCCGTTTCCCATCCCATCGGATCGGTACCTCTCCAGCCCAGTTAAATAACCCTGGAGGTATCATACGAGCCTCGAAATTGGGGTAATTACCTATTACCTTAGCAGCTTAGGTACCTAAAGGTAACACAGCTCATATGCAAGTTGTTAAACGAGAATAAAGAAAATCATACGCCAATGACGATAACACCGTCAATCCTAGCGATATTATTTACATGTTAGGTAATGTGATTTAATCATGACTCTTTACATTACGTACCTAAGGTACCTAAGGTATTCATATCCTTAAAGTGCTTTATATGACAGGTTTCTCTTTTTTTTATATACACCGTTTCTTCATGAATTTTCCTTTTCTTGCGCCTGTCCCGTATAAATACAAATGCAAGCACCATATACCCTCTGGTTAGCTTCTAAAAAAGAGCAAGTATTAAACCCATTCCTTGGGATTCTTAAGAACGTCAAGGAGCCTCTGCTCTCGACTTCTAGGTTCCGGTTCGTACATGTACCGCCAAGACGCCGTCAACGGCAGACTCATTAGGATGCTTTCGACTCTTGATCCGGGAACATTCAACCCGAAAGCTGTGCCACGGTCGTGGACCAGGTTGAATTCGACATACCTGCCTCTGCGCACCTGCTGCCACTCCTTCTCTTTCTCCGTGAAGGGCATGTCTTTTCTTCTCTGGATAATTGGCAAGTAAGAAGGTAAGAAGCTCTTGAGACAATCTTGGATGAATGCAAATGAGTTGTCGGCGTCCGCAACAGTCTCATCTAGGTCATCGAAAAAGATGCCGCCTATACCCCTAGACTCACCTCGGTGCGTGTTGGAAAAGTATTCGTCGCACCACTTCTTGAACTTAGGGTAGTATTCCTTGTTGTGTTTGTCGCAAGCGTCTTTCAAAGTTTTGTGGAAATGCACCGCGTCTTCATCAAACAAGTAGCTTGGTGTTAAGTCGCTTCCACCGCCGAACCACCAGGCTTGGGGGGTACCATCCGGCCGCATCGTTTCGAAGTAGCGGTAGTTCAAGTGCACGGTCGGTGCCATAGGATTGCGAGGGTGCAGCACCATACTTAAGCCGAGAGCGTAGAAGTCAACCTCGTCTTCTTCGGCGATATTTTTATGGTGGACCCTCATCTTTGAGATGGCCGGCTTCGGTAACGTCCCGTAGACAACGCTGATATTCACACCAGCTTTCTCGAATACGTTGCCTTCCTGCAAAACACAGGAGACGCCTCCGCCTCCTTTCTCCCTGGTCCATGTGTCCTCGCGGAAGCTCATACCATCCACCTTCTCAAGCTCGAAGACGATCTCCTTTTGCTGTTCGCGAATAAATTTCTCCATGCGCAAACGCATGGGCGAGTGCTCGTCTATGCCTTTTTCGCGTTTCGTTCGTTCATCAAGGTCGGCGAGCGTGCGAGCATCGAAATTGGTTGGTTTCTGAGTTGCCTATAGTAAAACGTCAATAGGTCGGTTGGGATAGACAAGAAGCAAGAGACACAAGAGCTTGGTTGGGTCAAGTATAATACCATTGTGTAAGCTAGGCCAGATAACGAAATAGCAGCAACGGCAACTCTATTAACCCAACGAGACTTATTAGTCCTATCTGAAGTAGTTGTAAACGTTCGTCGAGGCGGGCGGCTGGCACTTCGAAGTTGCGGCCGTAATATGAACTGGCCTAATTGTCGTTTCGACATTATGTATTACCCTGGGATTAAACGATTTTATATGAATGTAATGGTTTGGGCGCTTCAAGGTACGATCTAGACGATCATAAGATTTGGTATATTGTCGTAAGATTTAATTGGGACCTGGTAGGCCGAATGTCGCAAAGCTATTAACAAGAAACAAGAACAAATCAGCTGAGGAAGATGAGTTTACGATCGGTAAATAGCGGTGGTGTCCGTTAGTACCCGTAGTAGTAGTTAGGTAGTAGTCTAGGTACGCTACCTGCCCCTCTCCAGCTGCCGAACAGCTGCTGCCAAAACCTACAAAAGAATTACATAACCTTATTAAGTACCTAGACCTGGGTAGGTACCTGAAGATGACCTAACTAAACCGTAATCCATAAAACCATTCAGCTCTTATTGAAATAGCGTCCTACTTTACCCCTTTTTTAAACAGTACTATGTAACTCTTAAAAAAGATCAAGGATTTAGTGTTTTCTTATCTCTACCGTCTCACTAGATATTCTCTTTTTCCAATCATGTCCGTCTCTTCTGGCAGTAGTTGGTCAATTAGCTCAGCCATGAACCCCCTCGGTAAATAATATGATGGAATATCGCCGAAGAGGAAAACCTCCTTTCGTAACATATGATGATATCTTACGAGGAATAGCTTATGTCAATTTGTTACGTATATGCCGAGAGACTACTTAGCGATGAATTCCCGAAGGTAGTAGCGGATTGAAAAGTATAGGGAGTAACCCAGAATAGTTAAGCAATAATCAACAACAATGCTCTTCCTGGGTTGTGTGGAAAATAGCTACCTGAGCCATCCTGCTGAAAAGGGGTAGTTGGCATAGTCAAAAGACGCAAACACGCCATGTCGAAGCGTTAATAATTTCCCCCTCACACCAATGGTGAGTAGTTCAACTTACAAGTAATCTGTGCCAGTATCACATTCATGACTATGCACCATTGCCCGCTTTTCATATCGCAAGAGGATGAAGGCTTCGATGAAGAAACTCAAAAGCTTGACACTTCGTAAAAGCAAGTCTTTGGACGATTTCATGGGGCTTCGCAGTGTTTCTGCTGCTTGGTCATACCCTCGACAAACAGTAGTCTGAGATGTGGCATGTCGTCAGCTTTCAAGCATGCCATACATTAAGTGCATACACGACGAAAAATTCGATTAGATTTGACCTACCATTATACAGGGGTGGTGTTGGTGTCTAAGAACGTGCAGGAATGGTGAATCAAGAATTTGCAAGGGCCTTTAATAATATCATTTATAGTATCGAAGCTACTATAATGACTATTTGCATGGTAAGCCCTAGGCCCGAAGTCGACTGCTCGCCATACTTACCTGTATTTATACTAAGCTTTTGGTAGAACAAAATTGGGCAAACCTTGGCCATCAAGCCAGATATACATCATATGCTGCTTGCGCAGTTATAAAAGAGAACCGCCAAATTACCCACTACTTTATAAGCTGGAACTCCTCATGTACTCACCCTCTTGATTGATCACATGGGACCACACGAGAAGTTTGGAGCAGACGGCGGATACATGCGCGAACCTAGGGGGATACTTACCTTAGAACCTTACCGGACAGCTGAATGCGTCTGCTATCGACTGACCTTGCGCTTGAAGTTGATGCAACAATTCAGGGTGGTTACAGTAAGTCGTGCTTAGTGGGTGGGACGTCTTATTCTCCTAGGGGTGCCGTCTGATAGAAGATGGTGAGGAAGCTATCAAGTAGTACCTGAAGAGAAATTGAATTATATCTTAGTTGATTATATGTCTAGGTAGCCTTAGGCAGTTGTCTTGTTGAAACAAGTTCGCAAATTTTCCTATGCAATCGTTGAGTCCTCATAGACCTATCAAAGATAGTCTACCGATGTATGTAATGAAACTTCCCAATATAAAGTACGTAGGTAGAAGCCTCCTAGTAATGGGTACAATATCATATGCCTGGATGCGCAATATCCTCCGTTGTTAAGCGGTTCTAAATGTGATGTAACACTAATAATTATTGCAAAATGTAGTGATCGATCTGGCAACCCGAACCTTCCAGTTGTTTCAGTCTTTGCCAAGTAGTGAGGCAACATCTATTTATGCTCGCATACATTTTCACTCCATTAACTATTACGTCTCGGGTCACATCAGGCCAGACTTCCTTTTACTTATCTTGAGTTTCACAGTGTATCCTCCTAGGCTCTAGTCTTCTCTAGACTAGTCGGTATCTCTACCTAAAGTAGACATCATGGCACCTATACCCTAGGGCCAAATGTCAGCAAGTTAGAAGCTTAAGTCTCTCAAGCCTCTGGTAGGCGTTGTGATGAAGAAGTTTTAGGCGACTTGTGTATGCATGTATTTGTCAGGACTACATATCCTGAATCTGTATTCGTGACCACCGGTAACAGATCCCACATTCTTCGCTACTCATAAACCAATAAGTGTAGAGTATTGCTAGCTTTGACCTTCCCAGGACATGCGAGCCTGATATTGTTCTTGCCGCCGAATCTTTCTTCCCGTTCCCCGAGGGAGAAGGATACAAGGTTATCAATACACTGTACCGGGTTAACCCTAGAGGTAGATACCTGATTCTATGCATCCCAATATAGAATATCTAGAGTACAGTGCCGTACAATATGCGCCCAGTTTAATATATTCTTACTCCTTGGCCGATAATGAATGTTTCTGAAGCCATTTATGACCACTCGGAGTTAATTATTCCCTCGGCCAATTTCTATTTTGGCATTTCTCTTCGGCAGTTGTATAGAGACCAGGGAAGAGCACTTTATCCAAACAAACAACTTTACCCGGTGACCTTGCCACGACAACATTAAAAGTCAATGTTTCCTAGTTTCCAGCAGGTCGTCAAATATATAACGTTTTCGTGGTTCCCTGTCCTGGCTCTCTTGATGCTCCTGATCTACATCTCAGCACCACCTTGTCTTGTGTAGATCACACTCAGGTTGCTTGTCTCCCATCAATATGCAGTGGAAGGCTCTCTTCTTAGCTGCTGCGGCCAGCCCGCTGCAAGTTTCCGCTCAGTATGCCCAAGCTGCTATGATGCGCTTCCAGTGCTCCAGGTGAGTTTACCAGATATGAGACTTAAGGCACGCGAAGGCATATGGAATCTAGGTTCTAAGACTAAAGGCAGGCTTGTCGTTGAACGAGTAGACCCGCTCGTTTCCCCGGGTCTTATCCAGTCGCCCCATATCCACCAAGTCGTTGGCGGAGACTCCTTCAACGCTACAATGACACCTGTTGAATACGACCTCCCATCCCAATCGACTTGCACAACTTGCTCGTTCAGCGAAGATTTCTCCAACTACTGGACCGCAAACTTGTACTTCCGGGCACGAAACGGCACCTACAAGCGAGTGAAGCAGATGGTCAACCTTGTAAGTACAAGTGATGATCTTCCCAACCGAAACCCTGTGCCTTACCTTTGTACCAATAGGGCCTGCAAGGGGAAGAGGGTATGACTGTGTACTATATCCCGCCGTATGATGGTCACACCAAGGTCACAGCCTTCAAGCCTGTAAGTCAACCAACAAGCACATCAACCGCGCACCACTTAACGGAAATTTAGGGCTTCCGCATGCTCGTCGGCGAGGCTATGTTGAGGACAGCTCAAGGCCAGCAGAAGCAGCTATGCCACCGCTGCTACACCAACGTCAACCAGACTCCCTTCGGAGGTGCCCCCTGTGCCGACGCACAGATGGACACGGCCTCCCTCCCGAACAAGGTATGTAATACTTGAAACATTATCCCTTTTCAAAAAAGGGTTCGTCAAAACGATCAAAGAACAATGGCTGACATAGAGCAGCAATGTGCTGGAGGTATTCGCGCGACGATCACTTTCCCAACGTAAGTCTCCCCCCCAAGTCCCCAAATATAGTAGTGTATGGAATAAACAACTAAATCCAACGTCTTCAAGTTGCTGGGACGGCAAGAACCTCGACAGCCCCGACCATAAGAGCCACGTGGCGTACCCCTCGAGCGGTAGCTTCGAGATGTCGAGCGCGTGCCCGGCCAGCCACCCGGTCCGGCTGCCGCAGGTCATGTACGAGGTGATGTGGGACACGCGGGAGTTCAACGACCCCTCCATCTGGCCCGAGGACGGCTCCCAGCCCTTCGTGTACAGCATGAACGACTCGACCGGCTACGGCTGGCACGGCGACTACATGTTCGGTTGGAAGGGAGACGCCCTCCAGCGCGCCCTCGACGCCCGGTGCTCCAACGACAAGTGCTCGCAGCTCAAGACCCAGACCCCGGCCCAGGCGACCGCCTGCAAGAAGCAGCAGACCATCAAGGAGGACGTCGACGGATGTAAGTTGCAACAACCCCCCTGCCAATCTGCCCACAGTCTATCTGAATGAGTGCTAACCATGTGCTTTTTTCTTCCAGGGCTTACCGAGCTCCCGACAGCGACGATGTAAGATATATTAGGTATTTATTTCTACCTAGCTTTGATCATTATAGACACCCCCTATTTCCGAAGATTATTACATCGGACAGGGTTCAAGACGGCTTGGATACCCCTTAGATGCCTAGGTACCTAATCTTAGCTAGTAAACAGATCTCCCTTTCAATAGACTATTATATCTTGAACTCACAAGTAATTCCTATTAGAACTGGTTAATATGAATGTGAAAAGTAAAAACCAGGAAGACTAACAAAATTCATACATATAAAGCTTCGTTCCCGTAGCCATTGTCCACTGACCAGATCTATACAGCTTATTGTTTTTATCGTAGATACGATCAACCACCACAAGTTTCGGGGTCATTCGATGTTCCATAACGCCGCGCCGGCCGCTTTTACCGATTGATACTAACTCCTGCGCACAGATGATACCTAGCTGTTATAGCAGCTACCGCATAAGAACTCCAATTTGTAACAAAGGAATGGCATGAAATAATCATTCCGGTACAACCTCCACGAAACTCTCTTCCAAATTTACATCATCCTGGGCCCCGGATATCTGAGCGGGCTCGTCTTCTCCCCAGTCAAGAAGTCTGCCGCAGACAATTCGCGAATTCCGTCCCACGCGGACTTCAGCTAGCACGTTTCTCTCCGCAGTTTTGAAATCCGTAATATTGAGAACCTGCGGCTTAGGTATCTTGAGGCGGAGGCGAAGCTTGTCCACAGCCTGCATAAGCCACAGGAGGGTAGGGTCAGTCTTGTCAGGGAGAATTGCGTATCCTGCGCCGAGGTGGGAGTTGACAGCCAGGACGCTGTTCATCTCGATGACAGGAAGGACAGACTGGTTGACCATGTGCTTCGTCTCTATTATGAGAATATCCGGATGACGCTGCCAGTGACTTTGAGACCATTTTGGTGCCCAGAACATGCCTTCCAAGTTGCCTCCTCTCTCAAGGGGGAAACTCCATATATCCTCCCTCTCTTGAAGGTTGATAAGGAGAGCTTGTACCCCGGTAGCGTTCTCTTTCGCCTTCTTCTTCCAGGCTTGAACATGGTTACCGATATCCTCAAGCTTAGCAAGGCATTCAGGAAAGGCTCTGAGAAGTTCTTCATGAATAACCCTGACCGTCTTCTTCTCAATGGCGCCAGCTTCTATGAAGTGGCGCTGGTCTTCAGTGAGTTTCCGGTGTTGGACGTGCTCACTCGGATCGCTAGATGGAGGGTGATTATGTTCTGGGACACTAACGGCGAAGTAGCAACCATCTTCGCGGACATTGATATGACAAGAAAAGGGGCAGTTGGTCTTCTTGGTGGTAGTTTTTTTGAGTCCAATAGTAGCCTTGGATTGGAAACTTCCGGACTTATCACATCGTATCAGATATCTGATATACTTGCCAGTACGCTTTGATTTGGCTTTTGCATGCATAACGATAGCGTAGCCTTCTTTGGCGGCATGGTTTTGCACTGTCCTCTCGCAGTCTTCTATGGTAGGAAAGATACCTTCTGCAGGTGGAGCCAAAGGCATCGTTGCTAGTATTATGCGAGGCTATCACGGGTCAATACAAGGATATCATTGGCGAAGAGAAATCGAAAATAAGTTGTAAGTTGATTGATAGCGACGACAAGGAAGCAGGGGCAGCTGTAGAAAGAAGTTAAGGAAGATCTAATTGGGTTGCGATTTGGGAGATTTCCACATAATTTAGCCCCACTATACCTAGGCTACCCCATCAATGCCCCCACTTCGGGCCTTTATTAATTCCGTTATTACGGTCTAGGTACCTAGGTACCTAGGCACACCCTTTAGGCCCACTTCTCCAAAATCTGAAGAGAGGTAAACCGTACAAATTCAATGTACCAATCAATCATCGGCTTTCCCCACATTCAGTCTACCTTAGGTAGGTACCTAGGTACCTAAGGTAACCCCTAAATCTCAACCCCTTTTCAGCACTTGCGCCTCTCAAGAATCAAGATGCTAAAACTACAAGTCAAGAAAGACGATACATCTATTGACGAAGCTAACATAGCCAAATAGATCGTGACATTGTGACATTCTATATCGGTATCAAATAAATAAATACCTCGAGACATTAATTCCACGAATGCTTTTCCTCCGTTGGTTTCCATACAGCCTGACAGCTAGTTACCTCATAAACCAGTCTGTTCATGTCTCAAAACCCTCAGCTTTTAGAGGCGCTCCATTGCTATCCTTGCGCAGAGAGGACGGCGCCTGTTTGCCCTTCCTAGACCACTCTGCTTCTGTTTGGACATGACGTCTTAGCAACTCGGCAGCGCGTCTACCTATCTCAAAAACAGCCTGTCGGCTCACTGTGAAGTCGGTCCAGAATAGGTACTCGTCCGGGGTACTACACACACTCCATCCATCGTGGGGATTGTCTTTGGCATTTTCGCTTGTATCGCCGGAGGGATTATCTCGTTTGATACAAGGCTCCCATACCTCAGAGTAGCCGTCCGCTACGGCTGCCGAGCCGACTCCATCATGATCCACTATGCTGGCGTGCCGCAGTTGACGCTCGACGATGAGGTCCCGTAAGTAGCTCGAAATATCATAAGTAATAGCTTCGCGGCGTGCGGATGGTATGCTGGGTTTACTCGCCCTTGGGGCCTTCTTGCTGAGTAGAAGATCGGCATCCTTGATCTCCGATAAGTCATCCTCATCCCCAACATCTTCCCTCCCTGGAAGCCGCTCCCACTCGTACAACATATCTTGGAACACCTTGTCCCAATGGTTCTCCAAGAACGCCGCATTGCGCATCTGCTCCGCTCTGGTATGAGGCGGTGGGGGTATAGGGCGGGTGTTGACAAACCCCGATGTTAGGGAAATGCTGAACGGTTTCGGTATGAATACGCGGAACGTGGGTCGAGTCGGCGTGATCTTGGTCGTATCTATGTAACTCTCCGAGAAGGCGATCGAATTGTTCTTGTGCGCTTCTTCGTACAGAAGCTCTATATACGAGAACACCTGTTGTGCTTGAGTCTCAACCATATGCGTAGCAAGTTTGCGAGGCAATGCTGCTAGGTACCATATGTCCCAGTACCCAATGTTGAAGACCCATAAAGTGTCTCGGGGTGGATATAGAGGCAGAGGGCTCGTTAGGAAATCGTCTATTTGATGAAATAAGTCTTGATGGGCCGGGGCCGGATAGCTAAGGGCTAGCCAGGAGTAGTCGAGTCCAGAGAGCGTGTTGTTATCTGCAGATAATGTGCGATCCAGCGCAGCTTCGAACAAGGAATTGGATACAATAGATCCGCCATCATAATCGGCAAGTGGAGTAAAAGAGTGGTATGTACCACAGTTCAACTAGAAAAAAAGCCGAGTCAGCGTAACTATTTTCAAGTGAACCACGCTGTTAACTCCAAGACTTGCCTGAAGACAGAGAATATCCGTCCACGATACAGTAGGTCCGTTGACTTGCCACGATACTCGACTTGGAGTAGCAACGTCACCTCCGCCAAACACAACTATCCTCAAACCTTCGCCTATGTCTCCTTCAGGATCATCCCCTTGCCATTTTAAGGCCTTGGTGTAGTTGGAGTTTAAAGCCAGGCTAGCAAAATGCGATGACCACAAATACGATCCAAAGAGCAAAACAGTAACTCCAACAGCAATTTGGGGGAGAAGCCTCGAGCCCCCGCGTAGTATTTTTGATGTCCCTATAGCTATTATGACCTTCAATCTTAACAACTCGAATGTGTTATCAGTAGCAGATGGCTTCTCTCGTGTATACTTCATGGTTGTGCCAGTGTGTCGACTCGTTTTGATAGAGTAACTGTAGCGTATGAGCTAGCGTCTATCGACGTTTAGAACAAGATGTGTAACGGGATAATTCATCTATAGACGAAATAAACTCGGACAGGCTATGTGAAACAATGCCAAAACCACCATGGCATTACGAAGAATGGATTTTCCAATAAATTCAGGTTTAACTCTACAGACACAAAGAACACTAGCTTCTGCTACTTCGTAGAACTGAGTTCATTATAATTAATTATTGTTTAATAGGTACAGTCAGAACGAGTGTAACTACCTAATATCATACCTGTCGCTTTACTTTCCGCTGGTTTCATAATTCGTACATGATCCAAACTCAAAAGGGGAAGCAGTAAAAGTATATCTCAGAGAGGGGGGGCAGGGGGGGCATTGCGGACAGCATGAAGAAAGTATCCGCGCGATATATAATAACTTTCCACACCTTATACCCTTCCTAGGAGACCTTGAGGCGTAAAAGCTTTCGTGGCAAAGGCTATAGCAGTGCCTACCAAGACCATTACGCCGCTGAATATAGAGACTTCGAGGTAGCCTCCCTATTTGCTCACGAATACTCCGTTTATCGGGGGACCTATCAGGGTGGCGATAGAGCTGAGGCCCATACCCATACCTATGTATGTACCCAAGTCTCGGGGATCCTTGGGGACTTCCGTGAAAGCTGCTGAGCCACCCGAAATGACGGTTCCGGTGGTAAACCCGATACCAACAGAGCATGCTATTAGTGCTGGGGTCGATTCAGCCATGTTCCAAAAGAATATAACAAGGCTGGTAATAAATCCCCCGGCCGCGAACATGTTCAGTCGCCCGAATCTGTCGGCTAGCATGCCCAGGATGACACGACCAACTACAGAAGCCGCATTTGCGAAGGCGAGAAGATAGGAAGCGGTGGTTTTACTCATGCCTCTAGAGACCGCGTACGTCGGTATGTAGAACAGGGGCACGAATGCCCCGAGAAACATAAAAAATAGTGCAACTGTCAAAAGAATGAACTTTGGTTCCTTAAAGGCCCCCCAGATGAAGAAGGCAGCCGCCCTTGGCGGTAGGCGAGATGTGATAGCGAAACATGCAAACCCGAGGGGAGGAATGGTAGCGAATCCAATAATCCGCACCGACCAGCCAAAGTCGAGAGAAGTGCCGTAGAGCATCTTGGACAGGGCCATAGGGAAAGCGATTCCGCCAAGAGACGAACCAGCGACTGCGATTCCCATGGCAACTGCTCGCCTTTTATTGAAGAACTGAGACAATGCTGCCATGGCTGGGAATTGCAGGAAACCAGTAACAGTGCCCATAAAGACGCCTTGGGCAAGCATAAACTGCCAATACTCCTGGCATAAGCTCGTCATCATAATGGAGAATACGAATAGAACCGCAGCTGGTCGAAGCACCTAGGCAAGATATTATTAGGTCGGTCTAATGAAGGGGAGTAAGTTAAGGAGAGACGAACCTATGCGCCGAACCGGTCAAACAATGGACCCCCAATGTTACCAGATAGAAATTGGAGGGCTGCAGATAGAGACCCAATCCAAGCCACTTTCTCTGGTGATTGTTCAATGAGCTGATGTGACAAATAGTACTCCTCAAAGACTCCAAATGCATTGGAGAAACCTATAGCCGAAAAGAAAACGCAGAGTGCCCCGGCTATGACGAGCCATGCTCGTATTCCTCCATCAGGGGCTTCGGGAAGATTGGTGGGTACACTCTCTTGTAGTTCTGCCTCAGAAGTAGACATTTTCGTGGCGATTCGCGCTGTGCTTTGTTGTGATTTAGGAGTATTCTTCTAAGTGATGATGATGATATGTTTAACATATATTGGGCTGTGTACACTATAGGTATGATCTACACAAGTTCTGCCCTGGAACTGTATCAATGATGGTGCTGAGATGTCTAGAGTACCTCCTTCAGAGGAAGCAAAGCTAGAATTTCGAGTAAGATAAAAGATCCTCCAATCCTGCCTTTACATTCCTTCCCCACCTGCCTCTAGCACTTCCTACCTCCTAATCCCGAAAGTTGCTAGGCTTAGATAACTGACTTTTTACCAGGAGAAAAACCTGAAAGTTGGACCGTTGGTTTTTAACCCCAGTGGGCACTTATATAGGTGTGTTTTCGTCGGGAAACAGTGCACATTCAGGCGCTAAACCACTGCACCGTGGGGGAGAAGGGGGGGATTATCCTTCTAGGTGACGATAAGGGGTTCTCGTTACTCGCAAGGACTTGCTAGTTCCAATTACAAGTGGTCACTTTTAGAAAAAGAAAAAAGAAATATCATACTTACCATCTAGGAACACAGCGTCTATATATACCTAGGTATTTATCTAGTCTATTATTATTAGATTCTTTACTCGAGCTTTGTCTCGCTGGCGAGCTTTACTATATAATTCCAGAGTATTATAAAGCGAAAGCGGACGGAAATCGGTGTCGGAGATCGGAGTCAGAGGTCGGACTCGGCAAATTCCACCCCGAAAATAGGTGAGGATGATAACCCACAAGTAAATGGAACTTATTCATGTTCATACTTTCCATACTAACCCATCTTTTTTTTAATATATATATTTTTTTTCCAAAAACGGGAGAAAAATAAATAATTAAATTAGGTTAGGTACCTAAGGTAAATACCTATCTCTAAGGTACCTCATCTATAAGTGCCCAGTTATTATGGCCGAGATTGAACGCCGGCGGAGACGTCCACCTATGTATGTTCACTTAGTAGAAAGCCCTTAACCCGGGACTTGGCACTAACAACGCCGCGAACGCGTTTACTCGTATAGATCATGCGTTCTCTGCAGAAGACGCAAGGTTCGATGTAATAGAGAGACTCCTTGCAGTAATTGTTTGCGCTCAAAGAATGCAAGTTGCATTTACGAGAACCAGTTCTCTCAGTCTCAACAGGAGTCTGAGCTTCACAGTTCAACGCCAACCATCGCGGCGGCAGCAGCCCCAAGCCTCACTTCAAAGTCATCCCCTAGGGCGGTTACCGCAGCAACCACTTCAACTCCTGCTAGCTATCAATCATCCAAAGATATTGAATTCTTAAAAGATAAGATTAAACAGCTTGAAGAACAGTTATCACAATCGAATCGGACTGCCCGGTCCCCTATCCAAACACCTGGTTCAAATATAGAGGCTATCTCATCGCGTATCGGTGGAACCTTTTATATTCACCATGAAGATACCTTGGCTGGCCAGCCACCAGGCATCTCCCGCAGCGTTACGCATAAGAGTCGCATGTTCGGCCAGAGTCATTGGATTACCGGAATGTCCTTGGTATGTTTTCCCTGTTACCCATTCCCTTTGATCCGTAAGGGGTTTGACCAGACCTAGGTACGAGACATTTTAGCATTGATCGAGCCTCATATACATGAAGAAGGATGTAGAATTACTACTCTTATGCTGAAGTCCAAGTCTCTGGCAAGGAGTATTAAAGCGAAGCGTAACCCCCCTTGGCCTTTACCTTTAGTAACAGATCTGCCCCCGAAAGACATTGCCGACGAGCTCGTCGACCGCTATTTTCAGACAGCCGAGACTGTATATCGAATACTTCATATTCCAAGCTTCAAAAGAGAGTACGAAGCTCATTGGATCTCGCCTGCTGAATCTAACTCGGCATTTCTAGTTCAATTGAAGTTAGTCCTAGCAATCGGAGCTACCACTTACGATGAAAAATTCACTTTGCGAGCTTCTGCAATGCGATGGGTTTACGAAGCCCAAACTTGGGTATCTGAACCTGGATTTAAACATAGACTGAATATTCAGTACCTCCAGAATAACATCCTTCTTTTGCTGGCCCGAGAGTTTGTTGACGTTGGTCCGGACTTAGTATGGATCTCGGCCGGTACGCTCGTTAGAATTGCAGTGTATATGGGATTGCACAAAGACCCCACACGCCTTCCGAAGATGTCAACGTTTATTGCCGAGATGCGCAGGAGGCTTTGGAATACGATATTGGAACTATCTCTACAATTAAGCGTGATTTCGGGGGGTCCGCCATTTATCTCCTTGGACATGTTTAGCACCGAGCCCCCTGGAAATTTCGACGACGAACAACTCACAGTTGAGGATCCACCACCACAGCCAGAGAGCCATTTCACTCAGACATCTGTAGCAATAATCCTTAGAAAGATATTTCCCGCTCGCCTTGCTGTTGTGAAGTTCCTAAACGACCACGGTTCTTCCGGCACGTACAAGGAGACGCTCCAGCTAGACTCGGAACTGAGGGCATCCTATAAATCCGCACTTCGAATTCTTCAAGGATACAAGTCGGCCACTGGGTCTCGGCCCTCGGAGTATGCCATGGATGCGCTGAATTTGCTGATGAATCGTTACTGCTTATCGCTTCATATTCCCTTTTTCGCGCCCGCGATGGATGAGGCCGCGTACGCATTTTCTCGGAGAGTAGTAGTTGAAACTTCGCTCAAAATTTGGCGTGGGATATTTCCTTCGCCACTTGCCTTATCTTCTCAATCAGGCCAAAGCGTAGGTTCACCAAGTCAACTCTCCTTAGTCCGACTTGCAGTCTGTGCTTCCGGATTTTTTCGCATTAGCCCCCTCCAGGCGAGCGTCCTAATTGCATCAGAGCTTATCGGCCAATTGAGGGAAGAAGAAACTTTGGGACCAGGGCTGATTCGGCAAGACCTTCTATCTGTAGTTCGCGAAGCCAAGAACTGGGCGTGGAAGTGCATCGAAGCTGGAGAGACCAGCATCAAGGGCTACTTTCTTGCAAGCTTACATGTCGCACATATCGAGGGGCTCATGCAGGGTCTCGAAGGGGAGGAGCTTTCACGATATGTAGTTAGGGAAGGCGAAAAGGCTGAAGAGATGTGCTTGCCAGTGTTAGAGGAAATGCTCGCCAACGGAAAAGACGAGGGTTCTACCAGAGGGCTCGAGCAAAACACGCCTTCTCAGCTAGTAGAAGATTGGGACTTAACTGTAAGTGGACACCCCTACCACGTCTATTTTCATTACTAAAAGTTTTTATTTTATTTTATATATATATAGATGTCGGGTGCTCTGTTTGATTTTGGTGAAATGGAACTTGTAAACTGGGGCTTCGATGAAAACGACCAAGAACTATCATTTGGTTAAGCTACGGTACGTGAAACTTTGGCTCGATGAAGTTGGGTAGTGGGAGAAGGAAGAAATAAATGGGTAGTAATATAGGGATATAGTGATGATGCAAGAGCGCAACCTAGCTGACACGACAGAGCATTTCCCAACATAACCGATTAAGTTAGAGGTCAGAAACTAAATCGCGCCCTGCGTAATATGCAGAGTTTATTCGGCCTCAGAGACAGGCGACAGCGCAACTAATGATTTCGCTAAAGTTGTCAAGGCGACCTATGCGATAGCTCAAGCCTTCGATTTGAAAATCTAGCTTCAACTCACACGCCGCCTTGTACTTAGATTTCATCATCAAAGGACTAAACGTAGCTCATCCGAAACTTTCGCAGAATGGCCAGGGCTTCCCCAACGCTGTATAAATACAGGAGAAATCCTCTTCACTTGCAGCGTTCCTTTAACACTATTCATCGAGTAGCAATACCCTCAATAGCTAAGAATCCTCCCAGATTCGAACAGAAATTCAGGATAAGTGTCTTTCCGTGATTCTATCTCATTCACTATGCATTTTCTAAGCTTAGTCACAGCTCTCTCGTTAGCTGGCACTTCTCATTCCGCACCGGTGATATCGCCCCCGGGCACCTCGTTGGAGCCAGCTCGTCCATCCTCAGGTCCTTCTAACAACTCGTCACCCCATGCTCTTGATGGCAATCAGGACGACTGGCCGCCCCATGATCCGTTCACTGACGACAGCTACTGCCATATCCAAATCGCGCCGGGCCCCAACTTGACGGAAGATGAGAAGGCGCCCTTAATGGAATGCTACAACACGATACTCAGAGGCGCGTGGCTCGACCAGTGGTACCATTGCGACAATACCTACCGTTACTTTAAGAGCTTCGGCGCCTCGTGGAATAGCCCCGACGATTGCTACAACGCTGTACGTAATATAAGGACTTACTCCTCCTCTCCTTTTTTTTTTCTTTCTTTCTTCCTTTCTCTCTCGTCTCTCTACAGGCAATTGCCTTCTTTTCACTACGGGAGCTAGTACTACGGCCTCTAAGACATTTCTGCCCACCAGAATGGATGATATGATTGCTGACAGGTGGTTATCATACAGTGCAAGAGATGCTTCATCAGCGCGCTCCACGCGAACGCCGCCAACTGGTACTGTTTCCAGATTGCCGGGTTTCTGGCTCAGTGCAACGTCAGATACATGCAGTAAAGCTGCGAACACTTGTTCCATATACGCCTTAGCTTTCGTTAGGGTTTTAGGATGAGGGGATCGGGGACGAATAATGCATTAGCGATAGATACCTAGGCGTTGATGGACGTGGTTTACGCAGACGATGGTGTCGTGTGGCATAGCGAGCGGGTTGGAAGAATCTTGTTGGGACTGGTGATGACGCGTCTCGCGTCCTTTTGGGTATATGCTTTAGTTAAAAGCTAATTTGATCGCATTCAGTTTTATTCATATACTTCTATTGCTTGGGAAGAAATTCACGCTACAGAAGATCCTTTGCCACACGGAGAATACATATCTGTTTGTAACCAGTCTGGCAGATTCTCACATTTGATATTGAAATTAACCACGAAAAAAAAAAAAAAAAAAAAAAAGAGAGAGAGAGAAACATAGCAATATTTATAGAGAAACTTTTAGAAACTTTTATAATATATATCTCGATTGATTTACTAGTATGTGTTGTGCGAATAAATCCCAATTATCTTAGAAGCTGGTAAAAGGAGTATGCCAAAACCCGGCCATTCATTTTCGATTCTGCCAGCCAGGAGGGGGGAGTGGACTTTATTCATGGAGCATCAGTCCTCAAGTCGCCATCGTGTAGCATGACCACGTCCATCCCTAGAAGTGACCCTTACCTCATGGTAGTTCTTCCCGTTATAAATAAGGCATACATGTTCTAAGTTTCTGCTCATTTTGCGCCTAATTGATTCAAATGGGTTGAACTCGCTTCATCTTGCTATTTTAAGTCCCGGCCTACCAAAACCGAAAAATAATGCCATCTGGATTCATACCTTGGGTACCTTAGGTTAGGTATGCTTGAACTCCATCTATCGCGTGTGCTTAATTCTAAAGGGTAGGCTTATAAAGATAGTGTCCTCAGGTATAAATATACCAACGATTCCTTTCTTTATTATCATGTAATTAATAACGTACGGTGGATGACAATCAGGTAACTACTACTACTTGTCCAAAAGTAGGTTGCTCTCATGAAGAGATAATAGGTAACTATGATAAGTTGATTATTACGCGCCTGTACACAAACTTGATAGAGTTGACCAGGTGTGTAAAGATCATGCACGAATGCTTTATTAACGGGTTTGGTTTTACCCTCGATTCATTGGGTTCTAATTCATTTAGCATAGTGCAGCGGCAATAGTTACAATAACTTGTACCAAGCTAAACGAGCCACTCGGTGCGAAGGTTTTATTCCGCCTCAAATCAACGTCAACTCAACGTCAACTCAACTACGACCAACCTAACCAGTCTAGCAGTAATGCTAAGAACCGGCGGTAGAACCTCCAAAGTAGGCTGTGGTCTTGAGGGAATGATAATCCTACAATACAAGTTTTTTTTCCTTCTTCTCTTAAAAGCAGTTACTAATAGGTAGTACCCTTTCTCAGTGATAGGCTCAGGGGTAACTGAGCTAAGCACGCAAGCCAAGCTACTCAAAGGATCACAAAACGTTAGTTATGCCCCTGGAAATATTCTGAGGGCTAAGATTTCTGAAATAGGTGGGGTATTCATCCTGCTTTATTCCTCTTCTGAGTCGCTTTCCTCCTCACTTGATTCCATGGGTCTGTTGTTATCAACTTCTCCAGGAAGAGGCTCTTGGCTTCCACTACCGTGACGTTGAAGTTGAGCTTTAAGCTCACGGAGTTGTTCGATTTTACGCTCCTGCTCATGTTTGTTCATCGGCTTGTTCTTCTTAGCTTTAGTAGGCGCACTAGACTTTGACTTGGGCTCCGGCTCGACTGCACGGCTAAATTCCGGCTTCTTCTCCAGTGCGACCCGAATTTCTGGGTTCGTCTTGTTGATCAAGTCGTAGAGTCTTCGAAGAGCTTCATCAGACAGAGCATCAATATCTAGCTCCATCTCACCGTCATCGTTCTCCTATCATGATCGTGAGCACGGGGTTCTGACAAAGCATAATAGCAACCAGCATAATAGACAAAAGAACAAAACTACAGGGTAAAGATTTAGCACTTACATTCTGACCGGTATCCTTCTTGATTATATCCACAGCCTTTGTCAAGGTAGTTCCATCGAGCTCATTGATTCCTTCCGCAATAACTGCTTTCTCTAGCGCACCAACTGGTCGGCTTTTGGGAGCCGCTTTCTTATGGCTGGTATGGGTGCTGGTATTTTTTTTGCTCGTATGAACATTTCCAGATGCTGCCTTTTTGTGGCCTGAAGTTGCTGGACCACTGCCCCCAGATTTCGGCTTGCTTTTGGTGTTCTTCTTCTTTGGCTTCGGCTTCTTTTCATCATGGAACTTGGTTCTTTCTTCTACAAGCTTGCGTTGGAGCATCGAAACCATCGACTGTTGAATCTCAATCATTGTGAGGTCTGGTTTCTTAGATCCAAGTAGAGTGTTCAACTTGTCCTGCTCCTCGTCTAAGCGAGCCTGCAAGTTACGAATCACTTCGCTACTTTGCTCATCCTCACCATCGGCTTCACTTTCATCTTCAGAGTCATGAGCACTTCTCTCTGGACTATGAGCAGAAGCATTTGTCGCAGATGGTACCTCCGGAGGATAATGACGCTTCATCCACTGATCTCGTTTCGACATTTCAGACTTGAACAGCTCCTCTAAACGTCTTGCAAGGATGGTCACATCATGATGTTGACCATTGAAGAGCTCAGAATTGTGGACGATTAGTTTCATGTCCTTTTCTATATCTTTCGCTGACTTATAGTCGCCGTCGTAATTCTTTTGTGTCATAGTGGTAAGATCCATTGGCTTCTTGACGACGCTGAAATACGTCGGGATATTCAATGCTACAGGGTCCACAGGAGTGAGAAACCATTGATTTAACGCATAATGCTTTCCTTTTTTGATCTCATCGAGGACGACTTCGAAGAAGCGTTGCTCAGGTTCTAGTTTCTTACGGCTGGCTGAACCGTAGTCAAGGTCGCGATTTTTGGGAGGATGTATGGGGCGTTTGGGTCTGTCACTATCTTCTCTGGTAGAATCGCGACGGATTTGGGGGATACCGTTCGGGGGGATCGCAAAGGCTGGCGCTGAAGAAGCAGAGGCTGGTTGGGCAGCTTGTATAGTCTGCGTAGGCGTAGATTTCGGTTTTGGGCTTGCGGCAGGTGGTTGTGATGGCTGTGACTGTGATTGTCGTCGTGGCTGGGTTGCTGCGCGAGGTTCTGGGTGCCGGGTTGCGTGAGCTTTGCCCTTCTCGGGTTTGGCAGGTTCTTCTAATCTAGAAATGTCTGGAAGGCGTGAAAGTATCTGATCTCTGACTATGCCTGCCGCTAAGGTGATAGGATTGTTTTCGCCGTTGAACGTCAAAGAATTCTCGTATAGTAGTTGTATGTCAGCTTTCAATGCGCCGTAGTTGGCGTATTTGTCCTCGCGGAGCTTCGCCTCAAAGAGTGAAATGTCCACAGGATTCTCAATTTTAGACTTGTAGTCATCCCATAAGACCGGCCATAGCCGTTCTACAGGTTGTCGAAAATTGAGACCATTTTTGGTCTTCTTGACACCAGCCAAAACTTGTCTGATCTGTCGATTCTGAAAAGGGGTAATGACTTGGCCATCTCGGTCTCGGTCAACGCTGTTGCTCGACTGTGGAGCGGGAGGAGGCCCACTCGCGACAACCATCGAATCTGCGGTCGGTTCACTCCGATCTTCTGTTTTTGCCCGCTTTGCCGCTCGCTCGTTATCGCCATCTTCCTCGCGCTCTCGGGAGACTTTGCTTGCGGCCGCGGGTTGGTCGGTCATAGGTGTGTCGGGTTGAGAAACAGCACTATCAGGCTGGGTACCCTTGATGTCCAATTTAGCGAGACTTGCCGATGGTTGATTAGAGTCTTGAGATGACGTAGGCACTGCTGCGTCATTTGAAGACTTCTCTTCTGTGCTATTTGCGAGTTTATCACTTGACTCCCCGTCAGCGTGTTGTTCTGTAACATCCACATCCATCGAATCGGCAGGCTTCTGGGGTGCTTTTTCGTCCAGCGCCGAATCTTGGTTAGCAGAATCCTGCTCTGTCTTGTCAATATTCTTTGACGTCGAACTGGGGACAACTTCTGTCTCGGCTTCTGCCTTAGCTTCTGTCTTGGGTTCAGCATTGGGTTCGGTCTTGGATTCGGTCTTGGATTCGGTCTTGGATTCGTCCTTAGATTCTGCCGTTGAAGATGAGTCCTTCACGGCTGAAGTGCCATTAACATCGGGCATGTCAATGTCATCGGTGGACGAAGGGTTAGGATGCGGTTCCTCTTGCGTTTCTTGAGGAAGACTACTGTTTGCAGCAAAGGCCTTTTGATTTAAAGACTCATCTGCTCTAGGAGTTGTCGAATCTGTTGATTCAGTATTACCATTAACAGTAGGTTTATCATCAGATTTGGACTCTTCTTGATCAGATTGAGGATGCCTGTTCAAACACCATTCAGTATCCCGATACGAGGAGCACAAGATTGCACTTACCCATTAACTGCTCCTGCATCTGATGCATCATCAATCGCCATCTTATCCTCTGGTACAAGACTGGCGGCCTTCTTATCCACCGGTAACGTTTGAGGTTGTTCAGTCGCCATTATTGCCATCCAGCTACCCCAAGAGGTAAAATTGAATTCGGTCAAGGCAACTTTGATACTGTAAGTCTAGGAATCCGAATCGCTCGCATAAACGTAAGGATTGGGTCTGATACAAAAACACCTGATTAGATATAGGTTCTAGAACCCGACTTGTATGATATAGGTTGAAAGATGGTAAATAGGGTCGCAATGTTGCGATTGTTCCCTGAAAGTGGACTCGACCAAAACGTCGAAATGACGCGATTGTAATGTGCGAAACCTGGAGTGGACTCACCTCTTGGTGTCGTGACCGCAAAGATCCCTTAGTAATTATGACTGCGACTTCCAGTCAGTAATGAACATAGTCAAAAACAATGCCTAAACGAAACGACGGTTAGGCACGCGAGGCTACAAATGTAAATGTGCAGGGTGGGCAAAAGAGATAGCGATGGAAGGGAAATGATTGTAACATTAAAACTGTAAAGGCCAGAGAAAACAAAACGACATCGAGATGATGCTCTTGTTTGGTTTGCGCCTGCGATGCGCTTCATAGCCTTGCGATATGCGCCAGCTGTGTAGGTAGAGAAGGCAATTTCGGGGTGGCTGGCCAATGAGAAAGAGGTTGGGAAAGAATGGGGCTTTTTGTGTTGCAAGGATGAGGTGTAAGTGTTTACTGGTACGATATGATATGCCTGATATCGAGATTCCTATAAATCTGCCTATCTTCTCTTATTTGTGTTAGGTCGTGAAACCAGCTAAACTCTGGACTCCCAAGTGATCAGTGTGGTCAGACCGCGCCAGGCAACCAATGATATTACCAGTAATTCATTGTCTGAATATTGGGAAGATAGTCTATATAAGGGTCTGGAATCGCGATCCATAACTCCTCTAAATCCAAGACTAGTAGAGGTGTCGACGAACGTTGACTTGAGGGGCGCAGACAAACAGCACGGGTTTGCTGCGTATATTCAGGCAGTCCAAAAGTAGGAGGGACCGATAGATTTGATGATAACCAGGTAAACAATGGTAAGGATGGAAATAGTGGTGTAGTGCAAAATGATGGGTAAGAGACAAATAGAATAAGAAATATTTCATACACTTACCTTAGACTTCGTGAGTATTGAAGACGCGCCGATACGCGTCAGATCCCGGACCCAGATCTTGAAGGATTGCGGGTGACAAGAGAAGAGAGGAACGGGTAACCCACGTGGCGATTACGATCTAAAGATATAGTAGTAAAGCGACAGTGAACCCAGAGTCACTCTTGCACTCTTGCACTCTTGCACTACTAGACGATACTAGAAAGGTGAGGTGCGATGCGCATTGGATGCGGTATTAAAAAAAAGCAGTAAACGTTTGTTTGGTACGTTGAAATGAATCAGACCAAACAAATAGTAGTGTTACGGCAATAACCTAATGTCGTTGATAATTAACGACGACGAGGTTCACGAAGTGCCGATAAACTTGAATTTGCGACAACAACGGGGTGTCCAGGTGGTCAAAGCGGTAGTGGTCGCGATAGTGGCCTCGATAGTAACTTGATACTACCGTTTTGGGGGAAGGATTGGAATGAATAAAAACTTAAACTTAAAATATTAAACAACGAATCGATGAGCAGCGCGCACGGGGGAAATAAGAAAAGACAGATTTGGGGGGAAAAGGTACCTCGGTACTTTCTGTCGCGTGGTGCGCGTGCAGCGGTGGTGGTGAAGAGGTAAAAGGTATGAGATCAATTTCTCAAGATGCGAGGCGGTGTCGGTGCTCGGAATATTAGAGAGGGGGGGTTGGGGTTGGGCAGAAATGGAAAAATAGGAGGAAGGGTTGTAAAAAAAATCTCAGGAATCAGAGGTCTCTTTTTTTCTTCGTCGCGAAAATTTCTGGTTTGGGGCCACTTTCCTATTTGTAGAACGCGCTTTCCCGGGCTGCGAAATCACGGTTCGCCATTACTAGGGAATTACAACAGGGGTTATGCTGAAGGCAACGCCTGCCGTGAGTTTATCAAACCAGCTGGAAGCCAATCACGATATTTAGATATCAACAAGTGGGGCTCTTTGATACAGTGAACAAGGTGGCACACTCTCAAGAGTGATCAAGTACCCATTTTGTTACTGCATTATGTGTATGTACGCAGGTACACGTAGATACTGTGGATGAATGGTGGGAAACAGTTACCTGGCATCGCTGCTGCATTAACGCTGCATTAACAGAGGGACTCGGTTCTAGGCCGCAATTGTCCGGCACCGCGTTATTCCATGCTTGTTGCTTCACGGAGAGCTGGAAGAGGACCGTCAAATTGCGACTGAAATAAATCACATCGAAGGATGTGATAAATTTGTTGGATGAACGGACAAGCAAGACCTGCGTGCTTCGAAGATTTGACGAGGGAAGTATTGTTTGACGGGCTAGATAAAATAGCCAATCAGGTTTAGATCGCAATAATGACCTTCTGCCCACTGCCCAATCATGACGCGTAGGGTTTTGGGATCCCTGCTTGTACGAAATGATGGAAGCCACCAGTGCTCTCTGTGTCGATACTATATTAGCCCCGGGGCGTGTATAAGTGTAAAAGTACTGCTTCATTGTTGATTCATCAAGGTCAGTATTCTGCTTTGGCAATTCGGTGCATCATCCATCATCACATGATCCGGGGAGGACTGATGTGAGAATGTCGTTACCCAAGGTTTTCTTTATCGGGCCTTGAAGGGAAATAGTTTTATAGGTAAGAAATGCTTTCAAGCTCTGTGCCACGTCATTGATACAATTAAAGCGCTTGATGGATAAAGATTAGGGCCCTTGAATTTTTCGTCATTTTTGAAGCATCGTAGTCGTAGGGTCAGGTTAAATAGGAAAGGTGCGTGGTAAAGGAGAAATTTTGTGCTTTTTATTAGGTCAGGAAAGGCGTTGGGGCAATTTGCATTGTACATGTCAATGCCCAGGTGAGCACAGTAAAAATCAGAGCATGTATGGTAGGTACTATGTACATAAATTATCAGCAATTAGGTACCTAGGTACCTCCGAGCAATGAAACTTCCCGAGGTCTACATTAATGGTGGGCTAAATTCCATTAGGTACCTAGGTATCTACCTAGATCCACATATCGGCCTCGGAAATACCAAACACCTATCATCCTGAGCCAATTCGTTATCGGGGAAAAAAAAACCAATTCGCGAAGTACCTTCCCTCTTACCAGACATACATGTATAACTCTCGTACAAAGTATTCCGTACAAGAATTTTTGATACTTTTGCGCTCACCCTCTTCTGCCTGAAGAGGTGTCACCCGGTCCTCCTCTAAATCAGCCATACACCTCTAATCCTTTTTTTTTTTACTAAACTTCCTGCTGTTATACAATATTCTTCTCAAGGCAAAATGTCTACCAAACGAAAACCGCTGAGCAAGATTGCCCAGCCGGTTGTTAAGCAGAGCGCAAAGAAGCCACTTAAAACTACCATTAACGAGTCAGAGACAGCTGTCTCAGTTCCTGATATTTCAAAGGATGCCGGAATTACGGAAGAGAAAGTAATAGAGATTTCAAGCGACGAAGGCAGTAGCGAGTACGAATTCACAGACGAGGAACAAGACGATAGCAAAGCCAAAACAGAGACCAATTCATCCCAAACCAAATCCCTACGGAAGAAGGCGCATGAACAGCAAGAAAATACCGAGGATGTTGATGTGGACATGCCCTCACCAAACCTGCCAACAGATGGCGAGTCTGACCAAGAACCCGCTCAGCCGACGTTTGGTGAACTTGCGCGCGCGCACGATACCATCGATGTTCCAAATGCAACTTCTGCCCAGTCTAATGCTGTCACTACTCCCGGGCGGTCTCTAGCTCCTCCTAGCCTCTCCTCCTTAGGAACTGTTCTGTCTCAGGCACTCCGTACTGATGACGCAGATCTCTTGGAGTCCTGTCTTCACGTCACCGATCTCACTACTGTCCGACATACCATTCAGAGATTAGACTCTACGCTCGCAGGGGTATTACTTACCAAACTTGCGACTCGAATGCACAGACGTCCGGGAAGGGCCGGTAGTTTGATGAGCTGGGTGCAATGGACGCTAGTTGTACACGGAGGCGCATTAGCAACCCAGCCGGGTTTGGCTAAGAAGTTAAGCGAACTGCACAGAGTATTAGAAGAGCGATCAAGGGGCCTCAACTCCCTTCTCGTCCTAAAGGGAAAGCTTGATCTGCTGGAAGCGCAAATGGAGTTCCGTAGATCTGCGCAACAGCACAGGGGGGCGGATGAAAGCGATGATGAAGAAGCCGTCGTCTATGTGGAAGGGGAAGAAAGTGATGCTGATATTGTTAATGGAGGTATGGACCTTGATGACGACGACGATGGGCTACCTGTTACAAATGGTGTGGTCAACGATGACTCGGAAGACGATGAAGAATCAAGTGAGGACGAAGAAGATGAAGAAGACTTGGAGGGCCAGGAGGATCTAGATGAGAATGATGTCAACCACGAAGATGTCGAATCAGAGGAAGAAGATAGCGAAGCTGAAGTGACCGAAGCTCAGCGACCAGCAAAACGATCGAGGACGAAAAGAAGATGAAAGATCGTCACTGGGAAGCATTAAACAGTCATTTTCGATTCAGTCTAAACGATACCCGTTACCCTCTGAATCGCTTACTATATCCGGTGCTTGTATTGGTGCTGCGCAACCCGTAGAGACATGGAACTTCTGTGGTATAATCGAATTCAGCCGGTTTGAAGTTGCTCAGCTTCTGTTTAGGAATATAAGCACGTTGTAATCAACGTTGTCTGTATACGCGTAACTTGATATGCGATTCTGATTCTACCTAATTCATTTGGTTAACCGTTAGGTAGGTACCTTAGGTAGGCTCAATAGGTTAGGTTAGGTGTAGGAGGTACCTACCATAGTCAGGGTAGTCCGTGACTTGAACCCCTAATGATTTAGGGGTGACGTAAGCATGACAGGCAGCGGCCGTTAGCCACCCTCGTTTTGTACATATGCAGGTACCCCCTAAGCTTGAAAATGGTTGTCAGCTAATTGGTTGACAAACCCGTATCGATAAATTCTCATTGGGGACTTAGGTATCTGCTCTATCAGCATTCAGCATTCAACTCTCATTTAGCTAGGCGCGTCTTCTCCAAACCCCGAGTTATTTCGCGTCAAGGTTCCTTACCGAAGGCGAATGAAAGCTTGGATTGGTCTTTTTGTTTATAATTTCTATATATATTTTGAACCCTCAATGCATTTTATGAATCATTTTGGTTCCCTTCTCGTACCACACCCGACGCCATAATGGTAGAATGTCCAATTTGTACCAAGCAAGTCCAATCCGCTAAAATCAACGATCATATCGATTCAGGATGCCAAACCTTCCTTATTGACACCTCTGCCACCTCGACCACTTCGTCCTCATCTCAGATACCTTCCGCTACCCAATCAAATGGTACCTCGTCTTCGTCGCAGAAGCGACCGGCGTCCAGCTTCTTCCATACCCCTTCCGCCAAAAGACAATTGACACCCGTCAAAGCCAGCACTTCCTCGATTAACAATGTTAATGGGACAGGTGGAGGAACGAAGCTAAATGGCGGGGTTAAGCGTTCCTTCGACGAAGGCCCCGGAGAAGATTTGCCTATGCAAGATGCAGAGACCAGGGCAGAAGAGGTAGCGCCGGTCGAGACTGGCCGGGTATTGAAAAGGACGAAGACACTTAGAGCAGCTCCCCTGGCTGAGCGCATGCGGCCTAAGAACCTCGATGAAGTCTTTGGACAGGATCTCGTCGGCCCACACGGTGTTTTGCGATCACTAATAGAATCCGACCGGGTACCGTCAATGATATTATGGGGTGCATCTGGTACAGGCAAAACTACAATTGCGCGTTGTATATCAAATATGGTTGGCTCTCGTTTCGTTGAGATGAACGCTACAAGCTCTGGCGTGGCAGAATGCAAGAAGATATTCAACGACGCGGCGAACGAGTTGGCATTGACTGGAAGGAAGACGATAATATTCTGCGACGAAATACACCGTTTCTCTAAATCCCAGCAGGACGTATTTCTTAAACCTGTCGAAGCGGGCACGATAACGCTCATCGGCGCCACGACGGAGAACCCAAGCTTCAAAGTCGTCAACGCGCTTCTATCAAGATGTCGAACTTTTACACTACAGAAGCTAACGACAACAGACATCCAGCTCATCTTGTCACGAGCATTACAAGCTGAGGTTTCGGCTACTTCATCGCCGCTTTCTCCTCTCCTTGATGAAGAACTTATGAGCTATCTTGCCAATTTTGCCGATGGCGACGCGCGGACAGCACTCAACCTACTAGAGCTGGCCATGTCTTTAGCGAATAGAGAGGGTATGACAAAGGAAACAATTAAGCAATCGCTTACCAAGACTTTGGTATACGATCGAGCTGGCGATCAACATTACGATACGATCTCTGCATTCCACAAGTCCGTCCGCGGTTCTGACCCAGACGCTGCGCTATATTATCTAGCTCGCATGCTTCAGTCGGGCGAAGATCCCTTGTTTATAGCTCGGCGAATGGTTGTGATAGCATCCGAAGACGTTGGGTTAGCAGATAATTCACTTCTGAATCTTGCAACCTCAACATACACCGCAACGCAACAGATCGGCATGCCGGAAGCCCGTATACCTTTAGCCCATTGCGCCGTAGCGCTCTCTCTTGCGCCCAAGAGCACACGTGCTTACAGAGGATTGAATAACGCCTTTGCGGCTCTCAAAGAACCCGGGGTAGCGTCTTTACCGGTGCCGATCCATCTACGGAACGCGCCGACAAGGTTGATGCGGGAGCTCGGCTATGGAAGAGAGTATAAGTATAACCCCAACTATAAAGACGGCAAAGTGAAGCAAGACTATCTTCCTGATGCGCTGATTGGGCGCTCGTTTTTGGAAGACCGAGATTTAGGTACTGAGATCGATCCAGACCTGGTTGTGGATGACTCTTGATTTCCGGAGTATAAAACAGATGTATATAATCCCTTTTTCGGGACTTGAATACAAGGTATCATGGGCTTAAGTAGTATATGGCGAGTTCGATACATTAGGAAGACCTCAAAATTGAGGGAACAGGAAGATAGAAAATGCCTCAAAAGACGATGCAAAAGCGGTGGCAGCAACAGGATATCCGCCTATGTAATTATGGCATCGTCCATGAATGAGTGTATTTAAACACTTGTAAATACACATTCAGAAAACCAAATAAAACTAGTACTCCTAAGCTGTACAGCTTCTATTTATGTTTTATCTCCTCAACGATAAGTTGCCACATTGTATGAGCATGTTAAGGGCATCGCATCATGTCTTGACCAACTAGTTGAATAAAATTAACCAGATACTGCTGCATCCCGTATAAGTACTGGGTCAAAGTCAGTCTCGGTGGGAACAAGTTCTCAATGTCAAGCAAAAACGCATTCTTACTCCAAACAAACTAGCCGCTAAGGAAGAACTTGGCTATGATTGGCCAAAATGCCGTAGATATGTCCAAATTCGGCAATTCCACATATAGGCAGGTTACGAAAGTTTGATCTGGCTCTCAAAAAGGAGGTACCTACCTAGGTAGCCTTGGCTACTCTGGATTCGGTAGAACGATGCTGTTAACGCATGGTTGTATAATTTGGTGCCATCTAGTACGAATCAAAGCATGTTACCCATCCGTTCCCTCATTCCTTCTTAGGGACATCGTAAATCATGAAATACGTCCCGTACTCCCCCTTCCCGCCATACTCCGTGTCGTCCTGTATCACCCTCTCGACCTCCCTGAAGCCCAGCCGCGCGTACACGCCCCGACCCGCCTTATACGACATGGTAAACAGGGGCACGCCAATCTCCTCGGCGTGTCGGATGCCGCTCTCCACGAGCGCCGTGGCTATCCCTTTGCCCTTGTTGTCCGGGTGGACAGCTAGATAGTCGAGCTCTGCCGCACGGTAGGTTAGGTAGGCACCTAGGTATCAGACAACTGCAACGAGAAACTCGACTCGATGCGCTAGGTTAGGGGGGCGGCGCTTACTGATATACGTCCCCTGCGCGAGCAGCCGATCCATCACCTCGTCGTTCTTATCGTCGATGCGGCCGACCTCCCTCCTGGCGCCCCACCACGCCGCCTCAGCCAGCTCCTCGAACTTCCTCTTCTCCTCGTCGCCGACGGCGGGCACCTGCGCCTCGGGCCACGCCGGACGGCCATCTTCCGCCGCGAAGTGGCCGGGCGGCAGGATCCAGCGCGCGTAGCCGACGAGCTGCCCCGTCGCCGGGTCCACGGCCTTCTCGTGCCGCTTCTCCTCCCGCCCGGACGCCAGCGTCCGCGGGTACCGCTGCGTCGCGCTGTCGATCAGCCGCGCCAGCGTGGTGCCCTCGGACCACAGGAGGATCCACGTCGGGTCTTCCCAGAAGGCGCTCATGTTGTTGCGCGCCAAGGCCGGGGCGTCGGCGACCGTGCAGCCCTCGATTTTCCAGGCTGTCATTTTTTATTTCCTTTTTATTTCTTTGCGATAATTCTAATTGGGAGATGCTTATAGTTAAGATGCGACGTGGGAGTTGTGTGGAAGACACGTATTAATAACTGTCAAAGACTTGACTAGGTACCTCTAAGGTAAGGTAAGGTATTTTCAAGTCAATTGGGGTTCAGACAATGAGATAAATAGAAAAGAAAAAAAAGGTTAAACTGGCGCGAAATTGACACTTGACATTTATGTTGGAAGGTAATGTAAGGGCTTGACGCTTATGTATTAGCAGGGACTGTTAAGCTTCCTCATCAGGAAGATAATACGTCGTATCATTGATTCCATTGGACACCACGCTTATGTCTATGACTCTCTATGGAGCCAAAGTAACACATACCCGACTTATCATGTCGGGAAATAGGTACTTGTCCCAATTTACGGAGTCGAGCTCACCCGTTCTTTACTAGGATCTTCTATAAGTACCTAACCTAGGTAGGTACCTAACCTATTGAATCTAGAGTTTTATATCCCGGGGAAGTAGACGTAGTAACTCAATTTTCATTCGTCATTCGTCATTCGTATCTACAAAGTAATAACTTACTCGATACATACTACTCAAATGAGTGAGTGTCCCTAGGAGACTTCGAACTCGTGCGACCTCTCTGCTTGTCCTACCCAGCATTCCCTCTCAAGATCCCTAATACTTGAATACCCTAGCTCGTAACCAAAGCCAATGCCCCCTCAGCGCATAGCTACTCTGCCGGGTTCCCTAGAAGCTTATCGTGCGAAGATCGACAGAAGTAGCAACAGCCTAATCTACACGATAACTACGGGGTTATTCTTCGCTTACGCCTGCTGAGCAGCATCGTATGTGTCGTACTTCTGCTTAGAAGGCTCACGCTTCTCAGTTTCCAAAGCAGCGTCGTAAGTGTCATACTTCTGCTTAGATCGCTTCTCAGCGGTTAAGGCAGCATCATAAGTGTCGTACTTTTGCTTGGAGCGCTTGTCATGCTCATGCTCGTGTTCGATAGCAGCATCGTACGTATCGTACTTCTGCTTGGAGCGCTTGTCGTGCTCAAGAGCAGCATCGTAGGTATCGTACTTCTGCTTCGAACGCTTTTCGTGGTCGTGCTCAAGAGCAGCGTCATAGGTATCGTACTTCTGCTTGGAGCGCTTGTCGTGGTTGTGCTCAAGAGCAGCATCGTAGGTGTCATACTTCTGCTTGGAGCGCTTGTCGTGGTCGTGCTCAAGGGCAGCATCGTACGTATCGTACTTCTGCTTAGAGGGCTCTCGCTTCTCTACGGCTAGGGCAGCATCGTAGGTGTCGTACTTTTGCTTGGAAGGCTCACGGCTAATCTATAATATTAGTAAACTACCTCCTAACAAACGTAAATGGAAGGATAGATGGCGTGACCTACGCCGCGACTGAGTTCTCCTGAACGGGGAGGGCTGCTGCGGTGGAGGCAAGGGCTCCGAGGAGAGCAATGGAAGTCTTGATGAAGTGCATTCTGATTTGATTATTGGTAGCTGGGTGGTGAGCTAGAGAAGATATAGATGAGGGGATGGCTTTGGATTCTTGTAGAGGATGAGTGATATGAGTACTAGGTAGATATTCTGCGGTAGGGAGATGCCTTTTTATGTCTTCCTTTCTGAAAGCCACATATCTATCACAGTCTGTTTGTGTGATTGTCTATGGGGATGACGACAAGTTGTCCATCATCCTCGGTTGATGTCCTCCAAGATTCTACTCCTTTCCAAAGCCGTAGGATTTCCCTTGCGAACCGCCCGAGAGACTGAATGTCTTATCATCCCCACAGCTAGTCAGAAGGACTCGGGCATATGCAGTGTTTGCACATATCACCCTTGCTAGGGAGGATACCCAGATGCAAGTAGGAATTGGTATTATGACATGGCATCAGCATCTCGGCAGTTATCGTGATTTCCACTAGAGCTATTATGTTGATCACGACCATTAGCAACGGTATAAAGACAAGCAAAGTAAGAACCACTACTAGGAGGCAAGGAGTATGTAAGATGTAAGATTTTAGGACGGTGTTGATGTCAACAACCTCTGAGATCCAAATGGTCTCCAAATGGTCTACTGGTAAGCACGATTTGAAAGTCTAGAGGAAGTAGGCTATTGATCGAGTCGATCTTCAGAGACCTTGGATAATATGAGTGAATTATTGTATTATCCAAGTAACTACCTACCTCTTACTCTGTTGTATATTAGTTCTGATGTAAGTGTGATAGACCTATAAGGCCCCAAAGCTATAGTCGTATAAGTCGTATAGTCGTATCACTTGAACGGGCTAGGTATAATTATCTTGGGTACCTTAGTTACAGGTAGGTAGATAGAAACAGATCATCCGTTTAAAAAGGTGAATACCGTTTTTGCTCTTATCACGCAATTATAGTGCTGATTTCCTCACTGATTTGCACGCTGTGCCTACCTAGGTACCTAGGTAGTTGCGAGACGCGGCTAGGCGGCGCGGTAGGCCACCTAGCTGGCCTGTAGACTGGCCTATAGGTCCGTACCTAACCTAGCCTTCGGCTTCCATCTGCATGCCCAGCTAAGCCCAGAAAGCTTATCCGTCTTAGAAAGCTTATCCCCCCGCATTTGCATTCCCTTGTGGGTCCCGTTATTCCGGCATATCTAGCGCCGCAGTGCGTATGCGTAGCCAATCAAGATTTTGTATTGCGGTTCTAGCTCTGGCTCGTAACGGATAGACTATACAATGTACATAGATTTATCAGAGGCACATCACATCCTACAGGTAAGTTTCGATCCTAAAATCTTACCACTTATACTATCTCCACGATATGCAACTTATAGCCATACAAGAGAGGTGATTCAGCATCACAATACGAATGGCACCACTCTCACAATTGACTACGCTCAATAAACATGCATGCATTAGTAAGAAGTTATATGCATGCAAAAGAATCCTCAAGTATTGCTAAACAAGACATGTGAAAGCGAACTTGATTTGGAACTTCATGATCGGCATGATTATCGGCGACTTTGTAAGAGGGGAAGAGACATCATTGCTTAGCGCCGCCATGATGAGGATGAGACTCTACCTCGAGTCTTCCCGGTCGATAGTTGTCATTCGATAGACAAATGGGGTCCGTGATTGATCTTACGACTCATACCTACCTAATCGTATACCCCTATAAGCTTAAGCTCTAAGGGAAATCAGGACTTAAACCTTTCCACCCGGCGCATTCTTCTCCTGCCTTACTCCAACCTTTTTCAACTCTGTCTTACACCCTTTCTTCATGTCCTAGATCTTGTTATTCCAGAGACCTGTCTATAATCAAGATGGGTTTCAAATCGAAGGAAACAACATATGAGCCACTGGTCTCAGACGAGATCCGTTTCTCCCAAAGCTCTGATAGTCTCGAGAGCCAAGAGAACAAGCCTATGCTAAGAAGACGCTTCCAGAGAACAACTTCTCGGTTCGCTTCTTGGGCCAGAACAGGCGGCGCGGTTCTAGCACTTATCAATACGATTCTCCTCGTAACTATTGTTGTCATACTGTCACTTTATCAACACGAGAAAGAATGCTCAGAGATCCAGTGTGCTGCTAAGACCTCATACTATTGTAAGCACTTATCATGACATCTAGACGGGACTTTTCGACAACTAACTATAGGTATTGTCTAGCTCCACTCCTAGAAGAGGACTCCGGTGCCATCGAATATGAAGTTCGTAGGTTCAAGGGTGCTCTTGAACATACAAGCATCTATAAGGGAACACCAAACAAGGAGCTTGACGCAGCATGGGAAGCGCTCACGCACAGTAAGTCATTATCATCCGAGAACTCAGCAGCTGTTTACTTTTACTTACTAAATTACCCAGTGAACAACTCCGGTGTAAGCGGAGACGTTATAGACCGCATCGGAAAGTCTCGTGATGCTGTGAAGTATCCTGACTCCCAGGGCGGCCAGTATGATGTCGGTATCGAGGTCTTCCATCACATGCACTGTCTGGTACGCTTAAGAAAACAAGGTCTTCTTGACGGATTAATGCTAACTACCTAACTAATGTGAATAGAACATCATCCGCCAATACACATACAAGGAATACTATTTCCGTGCTGAGAACAGGCCAATGAGTTTCACAGATTCTGAGCCCGTCATTCGTGCTCATCTTGACCACTGTATTGAGATGTTGCGCGAGGCTCTGCTCTGCCATGGCGACGTTGGCATTATCACTTACAACTGGGTTAAGCCGTGGGGAATCTACCCCGACTTCAGCACTCAGCACAAGTGCCGCAAGCTCGACAAGATTGTCGCTTGGGCTGATAAGAATGCATTGCCAGCAGCGGACCCAGAGCCTGATGAGAACACAGTATGGCTCCCGGGGCCACCTCAGTAGATAGACCGTTCCAGAATCTACCTACAATCTATAGATTGTAGGTGGAGTGGAGATCGTGGGGAGCAATGGATTTGACATGTCCAATATGGGCCGTTTTTGGCTTGGACCATGCTGTATATCTCTACGTGAATAGGATAACAAGATAAGACTCCATTGATTCAAAGAATAAGAAATGCTATTAAGGTTGACCGAGAAAGTGTTCGACTATGTAATCACTCGTTAAAAAAAACTGGAATGGACTTTAGTAGGTTCGATACTTTCGTAGAAACAAAATGGATTGCAGCAATTCCATGTTCCAGGTTCTATGTTGCACACTTGAGATTTTCTTCAATATACACGCTAAGCATATCAAGTTCCATCACTCGACATACGATTAAGATTTGATTAGGATGTAAGTAGGCTGTTGAGAGCGGCACTACTTGAACACAAGCTGCAGTGTATGTGGGTAGGAAAATTAGTTGATGGACATCGCTGGTACTGCACTTTGGACGAGTAGCACACACTCTAAAGCTGGAGTTGCAAAGTTACACGATGGTCACGGCATTGGCCGCGGTCAATGGTGTATGCAAAGTCCCGGAATATGCAATATTGATCTTCAAATAAGCTCATCCTCTAGCCGGGGTTTTTTTTTCTACATGACTTCATTGCTCACGGGCGTGCCACATAGTATAGCGTAGGAGCAGGCGGTCAAGATAGCTGAAGAATCACGCGATATGCTATTCGCAGGATCAAGAAAGTCTGGACTCACTCCAAACCGTATAAAACGTTTTTTACCTCATCCACCAATCAACACCTGTAGACAGGGGTTTGGATTTCCATTCTCGATTCTGGTGTTGTATCGGGACTGGGGTTAAGCTTTTCTGTAACCCTGATCTGCGTTGGTGCTGTGCCTTACGACGACCTTGCAGCAGAATTGCTTGCTATCCACATGGCTCTTAGTCATATCGCTAGAGTCATGACGCTATGTCTACCTGGGAGGTATACATGTAAGCTATACACATGTAACCTAAGTAGGTAGGTAGGTATACTATCAAGCAATTAGGTATGATTCCGTGCCTCACGGCTGCCGACGTCGCCGCCTGCGCTCCTCAAAACATCATCGGGAATTGCCGTTTGGAGCCGCCAGGTAGCAAGCTATCGATCGAAAGATCAACACCTTAGCGTGATGGCACACTTTGGAACAAATATTAAGTCATCAACGATTTGTCGAATATACGATGAACCACGGAGGTCGGGATGTGATAATAAGATCATAGCAAATACCTAGGTAGGTAAACCTATGCTGCAGGTTGATGGACTGGAAACTCGCCCTTAACACTGCGGCGGATTTGTTCCGCCTCTCTCCTCTCTCCTCACGAGGACCATGGTGGGCAGAAAATAACCCCGGCTCACTTGACGAATGAGAACTCTCTTTGATTCATCCAGCTTCTTTATACGCCAAGTATGCCAGCTCTGCCGGGCTGTGTCTCCCTTTCTCAGAAATCTTCACTTTACCTACTCCAGAAGCATCCATGACGTGAAAGTTTCACCTTCTCGATACCTAGATGGCAAGCACAATTAACATGTCGAGCGGCGTGCCTGAGAGGAGTCAGAGCACGCCGCAGATACAGCACAAAGAGCAGTATCAGAGTCTCTTGAGCGAGAGCGACACGCAGTCGCTAGACCGCGAAGACCTCCGCGCCTACTCCAAGAGCCGCCGACCCTGGAGATCGCCTTTCTTCTATATTCCTACCATCTTGTCCGTCTTCCTCGGGATGGCCCTCGTTGCCGTCTGTTCTACCAACGCAGCCCGGCTGGACTCCATCCTCAGCCAAATACAAGAGAAAGTCGCGAGCATCGAGAGCGCCTCCTCGACATTAGCTCCCGCGACGCACGCAAGGCCATCCAGGCCGACGGGCGAAGAGTTCGGCCACTGCGGGCACTCGATCAAAGAGGCCGAGTCGCTCGGCTGCATCTTCGACCCCATGTCGTGGGCGTGGCAGCGGCCCGAGTGCTACAACGCCGAGCTCATCAACGACTTCCTGGGCATCTTCGACTGGCACTTCTTCCCCAACAACCACACGCGGCCGGAGGAGGAGCTGTCGCGGGATACCTGGGTCAACGGCCACTATAACGGGGCTTGGGGGCCCTGGGCGTGGCACATGTACCACTGCTCGTACTCGTGGCGCAAGTTCGACGCCGCTTTCCACGCCCAGAAGCCGCTGGACGACGATATCCTCGACCCCTTGCACACCGAGCACTGCTCGATCGATATCATCTTGCGGGATACGGATCCGACGCTCCATGAGCCGTGTCTTGCGAACCCTGAGGCTTGCAAGATCACGCAGATGTGGATGAAGTTCAATAAGTGTGGTTATTACTGAGGACCAATGTTGTCGGTCATCAATGTCTATGTATAGCCTACCTACCTAAACTAAGGCATGGGACATAGGAAAGTTGAATTGGGAAATTCACATCTTGTAATGAAAGTATCAATTTAGGGCCAGTCTACAAAGCATAGTTGTCTTGCACCAATATCCCAACTGGGGAAGTAGGCCCATGTTAACCCTTCCAAGTACCTATATCAGGTGTACATATAAGTGATATAAATTTGTGCGAGTCCGCGGGATTTGCGTCCAGTTAGTCAGCGCCATCGTCAACTGCCAATTATCAAGGGGCGTAATCCGTAAGTGGCGTTCTAATAAGTTACACGGCATGATTTAATTCCACATCATGCAGCGCGCCCTTTTGTGGCAGAGGTAGCTGGGCCATGTCGTTTCGAGGCTATAGATTAGAATCATTGAGAAATTCGACTTGAAGAATGACAAATGCAAGATCACTGCATAAGATGAAAGATGAGTGATAAGTCATATCTGAACTAGGTAATTAGAGATTCTATCATGTGTTTACCGAGCTGTCTACACAGATTGATATATATATGCAGGAGATACACTTATGAGTTGAATGAAGCCTTGATCGATAAGACATTCTATCCTACCAACCAACAAAGCAATCAAGACCGGTCCTTGAAATCCCTTAAATCCGGACATAACAACCATAGGTACTCCCAAATACCTACCTGCCTAAGGTAGTGAGTGTAGTTTAGCATGTCCGAAACCATGAATGCGATAGTCATATCCTCCTTCGGCGGCCCCGAAGTCCTCACGTACCAAACCGTCCCCAAGCCCGCCCCATCCCCCGGCGAGGCGCTAATCCGCGTGCGCGCCTTCGGCGTCAACCACGCGGAGACGCACATGCGGCGCGGGGAGTGGGACGAGCACCACCCGATCACGGGGCTCGAGTGCGTCGGCACGGTGGCGTCGTGCCCCGGGGGCGAGCTGCCCCTCGGCGCCAAGGTCGTCGGCGTGATGGGCGGGCTCGGCCGGACGCGGCCGGGCGGGTACGGGGAGTTCGCCAGCGTGCCCGTGGCCAACGTCGTCCCCGTCGAGACGGGCCTGGCCTGGGAAGACCTCGCGGCGCTGCCGGAGGTCTACTGCACGGCTTGGACGTGCTTGTTCGCCGTGCTCGACCTGAAGCCCCGGGACACGCTGCTGGTTCGCGGCGCGACAAGCACAGTGGGGCAGGCCGCGCTGCACCTGGCTGTTGACACGGGAGCTGTCGTTACGGCGACGACGAGGCGGGAGGAACGGTTTGGGTGGCTGAAAGGATTGGGTGCTGCGGAGACCGTGCTCGAACAAGAGAATCTGGACGAGTTTCTCCTAGGAAAGGGGCACCCGCGCTTCGACAAGACACTGAACCTGGTCGGGAATCGCGTGTTGCTAGAATCCATCCGCCTAACGCGCACCGGCGGACGGATGCTACAAGCAGGGTGGTTAGGCGGACTAGCACCCGTAGAGGGCTTTAATCCCATGGTTCAGATGGAATCTGGGGTTCACTTCAGCTTGTTCCACAGCAAGGTACTAGGCACACCCGAGTTCCCCTTATCAGCTATTCCCCTGCAGGACATCATAAAGAAAATTGAGAATGGCGCGTGGGACGCTAAACCTGCGAAGGTGTTCGAGTACCAGGATATTCAGAGCGCGCATGGGATGCTTGATACGCATGATGCTGGGGGTAAACTCGTCGTCAAGCATCAATTTTAAGAATGTACCTAGGTATTCATTGTATCGTAACCCTATTCAATAGCTTTGGAGTTCTGTCCGCAGTGCAGGGGTAGCTAAATGCTAAAAGAATTCATTCTCGTCCTCGCTCTTAGCTGTGCTACTACGGTATTCTAAGTAATACCTACCTCTAGTTAGAAATCTACCTACAGTACGGTACCTAAGTTTAAGATGCAATCATGGTTATACTACCTAATAAGGACCAGTGGACACGATATTTTCCTCACAAAAAGTTTGATCAAGAAGCAATTTCCAAGTTGAAGTGGAACAAGCACAAAAGGTAGTATGAGCATCGACGCAAGGCCGTTATATGTAAACTGTTAAGCTCACAATTTTGAATTTGGTCATGAAAGAAGGTGGATATTTGAATTTGCTGACACACATATCCCTGAAAAGAGTGAATAGCTATTGTGATAAACTAAGAAACAACTTGATAAGCGATAGGTAGTAAGAGTCGGCATAGGGGAAAGACCGTAAGATGAGAATACACGAGAAAACAATCTGACTGAAGTGCCTTGTTGACAGAAGTGGCTAACATGAAAGGTAAAGAAATAATCGTGCAGATTTCCCCGAACTTATCCACCCAACACGAAAGAAAAATGATAAACAATAGTTGCTGGTATGTTATACCCAAGTATATCTCCATTCTGTGGTGTGTAAACGAATACCCCGAGATCGTAAAATCAGATAACTGATACAACAATTGCTATGGTGATAGCAGTATCGCAGTCTCAGAATAGGTTGTTGGCAATATGGTCATAAAGACCAATCGAAAAGCACACAACAATATTGGCTCTTTTAATAGCTAGCCTCTCCTTCCACCGAAGCTCTCCTAATCACATTAAGGCTGCGTGGGGGGTTACAATAGTGTATACCAAGGTCAAACAAATCTTCGAAAGAATGCTCACAATGAGGGCAGTTGTACTGCTCTCTCCTTCGGGGAGCTGGCGAATACTCTGGGGCATCTGGGTGCTGAGTAGCTAGATGCTTCTTCAAGTCCATCTGACGCAAATAGCCTTTGGTCCCAACTCGTTCGCATCCATGCACATAGCAGGGAAATGGTATTTTGCCGTGGGCATCTTTGAGATGTTTGTTGTAGTGAGATATCCTCTTGAAAGGACTTTGTTCTCTTTGGTCAGATATGCTAAGTCTTCGAAACTCTTCGCCGCGATGATGTTCACATCCAACAAAAGGACATACTAAAACCAGGTAGGACCACGGTACGCGAGATACATTTGTAGGATAATGTTTGCGTATTTCTCCTTCGTCGAGCAAATGGTAACCTCTCAGGTGCTGAACAAGATGATCCCGCCGGTGGAAGGCCTTCCTACCGCGATGACGCTTGCAGAGTTTACAGGGGTAGGATGGGGAGCCTTTGCGAAAGGAGCTGATGTGACGGCTCCGAGCATCGAGGCGTGAAAACTTTTCACCACATGAGCATGCGAACAAGTAATGCATTGTTTGCCCCGCATGAACGTTCAGCTGCCCCCGAGTTTGGAACGATTCGTTGCACTCAATGCATGAATGCTCAGTGAGCCCAAGAACTGGATGATGATCAAGTGTACCCAAGTCATGATTATTTTCTAATGTGGTTGGTTGGTTGGGCAGGCTCGAAGAAGATTTGAGGCGAGCCTTATCATTCATAGGTCTAATAAAGGTTGCATAGATGCATAAACTGCCCACACCCTTTTTGTTAGCAAGTGCTAAAAAAAAAGCCCTCACGGTTCCACGGGAGCTGCAGGAGCATCAGGCAGCAGGGCAAGGTCGACGTCAGAAGCAGGCTCCTGCTGCTCTTGGCCAATTGGAGGCATGTTGACCAGGTCATCAAAGTCGAAGGCGTATTCTTCGTTGTCCGACAAAACGTCCGGGTCGAAGTATCTGAGGTAGTCGGACATCTTGGCGACGTAGCTTTGTTGAAGCGGCAAGAGGTTTGGAAGAGCAGTAAGATGATTTGATTGGAGAGATAGGGGCAGATGCTGAAGGAAGCAGGGTCGACATAGGCGTGGGGGAAGTGGTATATTTCTCTCGAGCACTGGAAAAATACGGTGCCGCTTTAAGATGCCACGCAAGAGGTACATGCGTGAATAGGGTGGAAGCCCGTGTCAAAAAGCAAAAGTCGGGTGGTCAAGATGTAAGTTGATAGGTTGGCTTATGGCCCCCAAGTTGCCCAGCTTATCTGACAGATGGCAAAATAGGGTGGAGGAAAAGACTTGGAGATGAGGCTGCGTCTGGGGTCACACAAAATTCAAGGTCTAGATTACCCATTACCAATAAAGTGATCGAAGCCACGAATACTATTGCCGCTCTTAAAAAATTGGCGAAGGGGCCACAAGATGAGAGGGATTGAAATGGAAAGTCCCTTGGAAAAGGGATGGTTAAGCTGAATGACGGAAAAGGGGGCATAAAACACAAAGACTTTGAGCAATCCAATATACCCACTACTACCAGGTAGTTACCATAGCCTATCGGCCAATACATCGATTCCTCGCAAGGTCAGTATAAGGTATGATCTAATACATAGGCGAAAGCCCAACCTAGCCTGCCCCGATCCGGCCAGGCCTATGCGGGAACCTAGGTACGTACAAGTGATCAAGCAATTCCCAGCCATTTCTACCTAACCCGACCTAACCTACCCTACCCTACCTAAACCCTACTTCCCACTCCTAACCCTAGCCTCCTGTGCATCCACCGCCTCCGGGGTCACTCCGAACCCAATACCCTTACGCCTGCGGCGCTGCGCGGCCCCGCCGTCCCCGTACTTCTCGTCGAACTTGCGGATCGCCGTCAGCGTCGTCATGTCCTCCGACACGCTGGCCCCGATCTCCTGGAGCGCCTTGTCGAAGTGCCGCGCCGCGAGCACGCGCCTCTTCCGGCCTTCATACTCGTTGCTCTTCCCGGCTTGCTTTTGCTCTTGTCCTTGCTCTTGCTGCTCTTGCTGCTCTTGCTGTTGTTGCTGTTGTTGTTTTTGCTCCAGCTCCAGCTCCTCCTTGACCGCCGCCATGGCCGCCGCCACGCAAACGTTCTTCAGGTCCGATCCCGAGTACAGGGGCGTGCGCTTGGCGAGGTCTTCGATCGAGACCGACTTCTCGTCGAGAACCTCGTCCTTGAGGTGGATTCGGAGGATTGCCGCGCGGTCCGCCTCGAGCGGGAGGTCGATTAGTAGCTTACGGGGCAGCCGACGCAGCACAGCCTCGTCTAGGTCGAACGGTCTGTTAGTCGCTACCATGATGAACGCCTTAGTCTTATCCATCCCGTCCCACTCGCGTAGGAATTGGTTGATTGTCTCGCGCCGGGAGCCTTGGTCACGTCTGCCCCGCGTTCCGAGTAGAGCATCCCCCTCGTCAATAAAGATCACTAACGGCTCCTTCTTCTTGGCTAAACGGAACAAGGCCCGCACATTCTTTTCGCTCTCGCCAACGTATTTGTTGTTAATAGACGCACCCGATATCTCGATCATGTTTGCCCCGCTTTCCTTAGCCACCGCCTTTGCCAACAGTGTCTTACCTGTACCGGGAGGTCCGTATAAAAGACACCCGGGAATTCTATCCGTGGCGAGGACACCGTAGGAAAAGGCTTCAGGACGGATCAGAGAAAGTGTGGTAAGCATTTTAACCGACTCAATCGTCTCCTTTGGCGCATGAATATCCTTAAAAGTTGTGCGAATGTCTTGTGCATTGATGAGACCAGACTCAATCCTCTCCTCCTGATCGTCTTCGGTGGGGACAAGTTTGCGCGTGTCAAGGGAATCCCTCGAATCTAGTCTCTGATTCCTTTCTTCAGCCGTCATCATCTTGGCGCCTTGGTCCTTTAGCCTCTGACGCCTTTCGATTATGTCAATAACGTGTTCAGGCGACTCAGCCTTGAATATATCACTTGGGTCCTTGGAGTAACCAATCATCATGGTTGCGATGCGATATACCTCGTTAAGGGGCAAAACTTCTTTGGTCCACGAGTCTGGTAGCTTTCTGTAGTCTATTTGGCTTAATTTCATCTCCCCGGTGGTCGCCATCGGGGATTCGGAGGGAGGCTCCACCATCGATGATAGTATTCTCACAAGGTTCTCTTCGTTTTCCCTTATGAAATCCCTTGCTTCCAGATATTGACACTTGGTATTGAACATGACTCGTTTTGCCATTGCGCTGCTAATCTCGGATATCCTTCCTCTTGTCAACGCCCCTCTGGCTACATACTCTTCCATGGCTAAGCGGAGAGTAATCACTCGTTCTGATGATTCAAGCTCTCTTAATGCGCTAAGATAAGCCTTCGGTGCCTCCTTAGTCGAACAAGACCCAACTAGCACAATCTTTCGACCATCCGCCCATAGTCCATCGATAGCTTTTCGAAGTTTGCTTATAATCATGGTGCCGCATGCTGTATCCATATTGATTGCATTGAAGTCGTTGATGTGAACGATAAGCGGCCGCTGTTCGGGAGACTCGGAATCAGCGCAGTGAAGAATCTCGTCTAAAACCGTGTTTATTTTGAGGTCCCTCCAGAGATCATCATCTTTTCCTCGGTTCGTCGTATTCGTATTCAGGTATTCATCCATCAGTAGCAAATAATTCTTGGGATCTTTTCTACGGGTTGGATCTTCGGGTTGGCTGATTAATTTTAATCTTCCGTTATTTTCAGCAGCTTTGTATCCAAGCTGTGATATAGCGCCAGGTGTTCTCGCTGCGTCTTGCCCAAGGTATCTACCGACGATGTACGCGATGTCCGAGGCTTTCAAATGTAGGACATCAGCTTCTAGCTTGGTAGCAACATGACACAGGACGTCATGGGGTATAAAATAGCCTGAACTTTCTGGCGTGTTGAGGATAGTGATAGGCCGTCGTAGATCTGCGACCTTAACATTGTGAGGAACTTGGATTCGCAAATCGGCGTTAATAGAGGCTACAATATCCTCAATCAGGTCCTGCTCAAACCAGCTAACCGTCGATGCTTCTAGAGGGGAGTCGTTTAACGCGTTGGCAATTATTTGCTTAGCATTACTTAGCTGCGGCAATCCTTTACCCGAAGACGATAGTATCCCGTATGTGAGGGCAGTAAGTAGATCGCCCGAATTCGAAACCGGTGCCTTCTCGTGCAGTTGTTCGGCTGCTTTTTCCCCGTGAGCGTCCCGGGTGGATATTACAGCGGCCCAGAAGGCGGCAGCAACCAAGATATTTCCCTTCCTTTGTATAAAATCCGCATCTAGATTTGACCCTAGAATTTGTCGAGCTTCAGCTATCGTCTCATCGGACCACGCCGTAGCTTCGACTAGATAGGCAAGATGCTCATCTACCACACTTTCATTTTGCGGATGGAATAAGGCCTCCTCTAGCATGATGTGCGCATCCCTCTCGCTAATTCTGCTAGGTGAGAAGTGCGTCTCCGTATCCGAAGGGCGACTGATGGCCTTGGAGAGAAAGGACTTTGGCACATGAACAGGGGGTAGCTCCTCGGGTTTACGATTACGAAGGATACGAGACTTCAAGGAGCTATTGCTAGGCTTCTTTCGGCCTTGAGTCTTCCCTTCAGCGGCAGATAAATTCTCTCCAAACAGGTTTTCATCCCCATTGTCATTGTCTCCAGCTCCGCTTTCCTTCTCGGGCTTATTTCCGTCATCGCGGGGCCCGGTGTTGCCATTGCCATTGCCATTGCCGGCAGCATTAACAGGGGCTGAAGAGTGAAAAAGTCGAGTGGGATAAGTGGCTAATGGTGGCTTCTGTAAGCTAAGTGCCGCCGAGCGAAAGGCACGTAGCGACCGAGTATGCATCCGGAAAATTGGCGCTCTTTGCGAGCAGGCGAATGCATAGCTTGCGATATTGTAAGAAGGACGATAGGAAATTCCATGTTTTGGCTGACGTCGAAAACTTCGGTACTTGCCGTGGTCCGAGCGCCGACCCCACAAAATACCTCCTAGGTAGCCTACCTCCTACCTTATCTGATTACTCATCATACCGCCTAGTACAGTACCTAGGTACAGGTACCTAAGGTACCTATTATCTCTTTTACATACACCACAGAAGATGTTATTTGACAACATCATGAAAATTCAGGTAATTTTATCAGATAATTCATTTTCTTTAGTGTCCGAGGTTATTCTCCTCCCCCCTCCCTCCCCCCCCTAACGCCACGCTAGATGCAGTTACATATATTAAAATAAAAATTCGTCAAGCGGTAATTCAGCGAGCCTCGAAGTCGCAGTCGCCAAATCGTTGGCATAATTCCACTCTTGAAGCTCTCTATTAAGAGCTTGGATCAACCTTCTCGGGTCCCACCTCGGCACCAGAGTCCCTTGCCCAGACTGCGTCGATGTTTGCCCCTGCACCCTAGATGGCCCCCTTATACTGATAGTCGACCCGTTCGACACCCAATTCTCATTAATGTCTCGTATCATGTGGTTTGCGAATCTAGTAATATGTTCGTCCGGTTCTAATGGGAGGCTGGCTCTCTGTCCTCCAAGCCCTTGAAAGAGTCTATTCGAATCTATAGTAGGTAGCGCCTCTATATTGGACGATGTCCTGTGCCCTAAGTTGTTGAGAAGGTTGGAAAGATATTTTTCCGCTTCCCGTGTAAAATTTGTAAAAGCCTCACCTACTCTCGTGATATCGATTGCTTCTTGAGAAGCTGGCTCATTTATCAGATATGCTGTTAATGACGGCGACAGCAAATTGAGAAGCTGTATGATCCGGATGAGTGTATAAACATGTTCTTCATGCAAAGAAGCAGCGCCGAGGGTCTGGAGCTGTCCAATTCCAGCTAACGTGATCTTGAGAAAGACCAGGAACCCCTTTGCGTCCTCCCTGCCCATTTCCCTGCAGATGCAGGGTGCTGCAAGTAGTACTTCAAACGCACTAACGTAAGTGTCCAGTATAATCCACCCTGTAGGGACCTGAAGTGCTGCTTTGCTGATTGCCGGGAGCATTTTACTGAGCATAAAGGAATATACATGAAAGTTCCCCATCCCCTGTTGAAGGATAGCTCTTTCATTGCCAAGCTTACCATTGGCGAGTGCCAACTTAAAGTTGGGGAAAAGGAGATAGAAAAGCCCGGGTACTGCTTTGCTATCCCCTTCCTCCAATTTGAGACCCCACGACAATATGCCTGCTATTTGTAGGCGAGGGTCTTGACTGGAGGGAGAATATTCCCGGCTGATTTGGTAAAAATACGAATCCACAGGACAGAGATCTTGCGATCGAATCACAGTGACGATCGACCGAACAAACTCAATATAATCAGCATGCTCGGGAGAGTCTAGCGTGATAGACTTCAAATCAAGTTTCATCTGGTCCATCGTGCTCTTCAGAGCCTTCGAGAACTGCGACTGTAATTGTTGTTTCCGGCTTGCTTCTGCAAATCGTAACGTCTTACGCATCACGGCAACTACATCTGGCTAGACATTAATAACGAAATCTTCCAGTTGCTCGAATAATACTTACGGCCAAATAACGCCCGGTTTGAATTGTAGTCGGGGTTATTTCCACTCTCTATGATCGCATCCTTCAAGCTTGGATCATGGTGACGTTTTACCGCGAGCGCGAGACGGTTTTCATAAGCCAGAAACCTCCAAGGTTTTACGAGTTCTCCTAAGAGGAGATCGAGGATCGAGCTACCCAAATCCTTGAACCAAGTTAGCAAAGCCTGATTGCAACATGCATAAGATGCCTACCTTAAAATCATCTACGCCCTGCTCAATTAGTGTGGCGAGGAAGAGAGCGCGATATTTCCTTGACGGAGAGTCGACAGCCTTTGCCACATTTGGGAATAAGCTATATTTTCCAGTAGTAAAAAACTGGGAAACACGCTAGGACCGTCAGCTTGCAACGCATATATTATATTCAAGACAGGAACCTACCGAAAGACGGGCGTGGATTAGCCGAGCTGCCAGTCGTCCGGAAAGTAATACAGCTTGTTCCATGCAGATGGAGCGATCGCTCGTTGGGCCGAGTCCAATGTCTTTGAAATCCATACCAATGATAGCATGAGTCATTGTGACGAAAGGGGTGGCCATTTTTCGTTCAAGAAGCTACGCACGCGTTAATAAAGTGAACCCAGATTTCAAGAAGACAAGAGTTTACCATAATAGCGTCTTCTCCATGCCAGGTGTGTTCAACTTGGACGGGGCCTTGACCGAAGAACTCTTCGATTCGAGTGACATAGTATTCAATGATATCTGTAGCAACCCGCAAGCTGCTCCAATCAAAGTTTGCTGACGAGAACGGGAACCGAGTGAAAACCTGGTCCAATTGATCTAAACAAAGTTAGCAAAATTTCCTCAAGCATATAATATGTATTAGCATACAATGATTTAACGCAAAGGAAGCGGCACCGAGAGTTGGGGCGAGCCGAATGACATTTAGGAATCCCTTCATCGAGGAGTGTATTACATCCATTGCACCCTTCCTGTTCAGCTTCACGACCGCATTGACCATCTCTCGACTTATATTTCTCGAAGCATCTTTGGACATATTCAGGAGTTGCTGTTGGATATCTGATTCGGCTGACAAGTATTGTTCCATTACTTGTTGAAATATGTTCTTCTGCCAGTCAGCAAAGGGCTTGTATCCGTTATTGTTTTCTTCCGAAGATATCACATATCGCGATAGTTGGCTCCAAGCTCGCAAGCTAATCAAGCAGGCTTCTTTATGAGAACTACCAGGTATCACCAGTTTTTCGATCGTTTGTACGGAAGGTCGCAAACCGGATGGCGCAGCCCAGTAAAGCGTGCAGAGAAGATCATGATGATTCCTCAGAGCAGCTAATTCGCTCTCGTGTATATCTTTCTCCTTTTCATATTGCCGATTGTGATTTGGTAAAACTCTTGCCAGCATATTTCTAGCATCCTTAATCAGGCCATGATCCTCGAGGCGCTTGATGGACAATGCCAGAAGCTTTAGAAAGATATGAAAGCATCGATCTTCCGGTACGATAGCAAGCGACGGAGACTCTGCGAGATGCTCTAGGAACTCTGGTGATTTATACACTTCTTCATTCCTCAGATGCGAAAGACCTCGAGCAGCAAAAAAGTCGAATATCGTCCCTATTATACCATTGGATTTTCGCCAGCCCCATTGTTCCACGAGGTAGTGGCAACGACTTACTACTCCTCGACAATAATCATTGAAACTAGGTGCCTGTCGGGAATTACTTTCATATAGCTGGAAGACACGTTTGAGTAATTTTTGCGGCAGCACCCAACCCTCCAAGGGAATGGTGTGCCTAATACCTGGAACAATGACGCCGGAGTTGTCAAACTCCCCTAGAGGAAGTAAAGTGAATAGATTATACCATATTTGTTCGAAAGTATGCGCGTCGCTGATAGAGTTTAGGTCTGTGTTTAAGATGACGGAAGAGACAATATCCCAAAATCCGGATCTTGGGGTACGGGATTCTTCAAGCACTCGAATGAGCATAACCCAACAGATTACTGAATATTGCTCATTCCGAATACCTTTTTCACGGAAGGGTATACGTTGTAGGTCATGGTACAAGTTCCGTATATCTGCCAGCTCCCTCGCAAGCAATTCACGAGCTGTCCTTTTGGCGATTTTGCCTAGTACTTCTTCAAGTTGGAACGTCTCTGATAGCTGGCTAAGGCTATGACATATCCGCAAGACTTGGAATGAAATAACCAGACCACGACTCATCACGTCTGTAAGTGGTCGGCCCAGATCCCGAGGTTGGAGCGGTAGAGTCTCTAGGCGTTGTGTAAAGGTTTGCAGTACTTCTAAAGCCCGACCCGCAAAATATTTCTCACTCTCATCGTCTGAGAAGCTTATGTTGTCTTGAAGGTATTCCAGTACAAAGTCTGCGGCCTGTACTGGACTTATGCCCCAACTAAGGTCAGGAGACTCTGAATGAAGATATTCCACTATCCAGTCCAAAACGATGCCTATTTCTGATGAAACCTGGGCATCCCACAGACCCCACCGTAGTGTTTTCTCTCCAAGGACAAATATAGCATGGCCTCTTGGTTGACGAAAACTATTTCGAGACCTTTCGTTCGTCGCCTTGCGTAGACGACCGCTCCCGAGAATTGTACTTTCATGAAAAAAAACACCAAGATCTAGTGGGAATATCTCAAAGTGCTGAGTATAATGCGTGCCGAATGGACCAAGCCCTAATAACTTGCCTGAGGATTCTGAGGCGTGAGCCGCTTCAAAAATAGGACTTACTGGACTCGCTTCACGAGGTAGGGGATCATTAGCATGCACATACTGAGGCGCCGTAGTATCCACATGTCGAGGACGAAAATGTTTCCGAAACTTTAAACGTTTTTGTCCCACAACGGGTTGAGGCCTTTCGAGACCATTGCTAGACGCCGAATCCCCAGTAGGTTTATCAGAACTTCCAGGAGATGCGCTATGATCTATAACTCGTTCGAGCCCAATACGTGCTGGTATAGGTAAATCCTTACGCGACTTTCTGTATAATGCGTCAAGAGCTCTCTTCCGCGCATCGAAGGCATGCCGCCCAATCTCTTCGCCAACTGCTTCGAGTTGCGCAGGCCGCGGATTTGCATTAAAGGACTTGATTCTGCCAAATTGAGAACGTTTCGATAAAGAGACTTCATTGCCCAGTTGACTGGATGTGGATGATGTCCCCGCTTCAATAGTCATGAAGTTCTCAATGCTCGCTTGCTTAACCATTCGCCGAGGTTGCGAAAAGCGACTCAAAAGCACGGGGGCAGTAGGGGGTTTAGTAACTTCCCTTGGATGTTGGGTAACGGAATTGTGACATAGAGAACCAAGAGGTTTCGGTAATTTAACTTGAGACTTGGTCAAGCCCTTGGTAGAAGTCTTGGGTTTGATACGACCCCTTTTCCAATCTCTTAAGACACTAGTAGCGTCAATATTATCCTCGCGCGTCCCAAGCGCAATCTGTTTCTTCGAAGGGCTGGATCTGCCCTGGTCTAATCTTCTATTCGCTGATCGAGCAGCTATACGAATAAAAGGAGGTGCATCTGGTTCGACAACATCTAAGATACTAAGCCGGGGCGGGGGTGTAGGTCTGTTTACTGGTTTGCTTAGACCGTTTGTGCGACGCCTTCCACTCGAACTGTTCCCCATATGGCGTCTCTTGATACTCGGTTCGGTCACCGCACTCTTTGCCCTACTTAGCAGTCCTGTAATCCTCTGCTGCCGCTTCTGTTGGCCTAGATTCCCTTTAAATGTTGGCTGCTGATTTTTTCTCCGTTTCTTAGGCCGTTCTAATCCAGTGGTATCCATGCTAGCTCTTTTATTTCCCGAAAGCATGTAGTCAATCGAGTTATCTTCGATAACAGAGCCAGCGTCGTCTTCGAAGATACGTATGTTATTATTTTCGCTTTGAAAATCAAGATCATCAGTTCGTAAAGTCGTATTATCATCATCCGAATCATCAAGAAATAGTGCCGTATCAACACCAGGTCGAGGAGACACCTGCCGCCGCTGAGCTACACCTTTCCTCTGGGCCCGTTCGGGCGAGTGGTCGGGGCTTCGTCGCAAAACATCCGGAGAATTCTTCCGGGGCATGCTTTGCCGGTCGAGTCGGAGCCAAGAAGCAGGTAATACGCCGCGCATCTTCCTCCTCATTGCGGCTCGCACAATTTCAGTGTCGCTCTCGGAATCGCCACTAGATTCCGCATCTTGCCCATCATCAATCTCGTCATCATCTTCCCCTATAGTAAGGTCAATCATACTAGTGCTCTCGTTTGCAGGTGCAGGGCTTTGGCTCCTAGATGAGATTGTACTACTTGGTCTTGGTGTCAGCGCCGTGACTAGTCGAGAACGTTCCATGCTAGTGGCTGGTGTACGAGCCAGGAAGTTTGGGCTTGTTTGCGGTGGTGATGGTGGAATATCGAATATACTGGCAGGTTGCGCTCGTGGAGAGACGGCGCTCGCAAACCTAACTGGCTGATGCAATTTTGGCAGCTTCCGTTTCAATGAGGCCTTGGGCGAGGCATGTCTTTTAGCTGTCGTAATCGATGCCTTTCCTAACTTCCATTTATCTACATCAGCCGGATCAGGAAATTCGTCATCATCCTGTGAACTCCGAAGCAAAACACCTTGTTCAACAACATCTTTATGCCCGGAGAAAGGGGATGAACTTTTGGCTATTGATAACTCTTCGACATCGACAATCTCCAGTAGATCAGGTTCTTGAACAACTTGGCTGTCCCCTGACTCTTCTTGAGCCAATTCTCTAAGAGTTGATTGACTTTCATCTTCATATTCTTGTTCTTGGGAATCCTCTTCCTCTCTTCTTTTTCTTGCTGCCTCCTCAATTAGCACACGCAAGGGTCTGACGCCATGCGATTTAAGGGTCTTGCTATATTGTGCACTCTCGAGTAAATAAGGATGCTCTTGGATTGGTTTGCGTGGTCTTAACGATCGCGCAGGCCGGATCGTTTCTTGTACCAAGCCCTCTTCGCTGTCGTCCGGGGTATCTACCTCAAAGATTGCATTGACGAACTGGTTATGCGAAGTAGGAGAGGCTACTCTTGACGCTTGGGTTTCGTTTAACTCAGTGCTACTAGTCTCGGCGGGTTGGGCTGAGTTCTCCGGATTGCTCCTAGGCTCAAGGGGTGGTAACGACGAAAGAGGGGACGAGTCAGGATGATGAGTAGTCGGTAACTCGGAGGGTGCTTGTGATAATTGTGGTCGAGGTGAGCTGTTGTTTACGTTACGTTCCTTTTTGGAGGGTTGAGATGATAGTGGGATATCCCAAATATTTTGTTCCTTAGATACGGGATCTTCAAGAACAGGCCCATCTGGTATATCGGCGCCACTCTGCTGCAGTGGGAAGTCATGTTCGGATTCTTGACTGGTGTCGAAGCCACTTTCGTCGTCCGAATCTGGCACCTCTCCAAGCTCCTTCCATTTCGCCATTGAGTCCCAGATGCATTTCCTTACATTGGAGCGAAGAGAAATCCACTTATGTTACGCGGATATATAAATTAGGCAGACGTTGTCGATAACGAAGTCGATAACGAAGACCTCAACGCGTCAAAAAGCACTTTAAGACGCGTCAAGGTACATGTAAAGGTACATGTACTATGTAAAGGGCGATGTGGTGGGGCTGGCTAAAGACATGGATCTTACATGTAATGTACGAAATACCTAACGTAGTTGAAGCACCGATACTAAATATATTACGCATAAATACATACATACATTTTCTACTCCAGCATTCATACGTATCTACCTCTGTAATAAGTATAACTATGCGCTAACCAAACTTAATTCCTTTTTCTTTTACAAAAGAGGTAGGTACCTTGTTAGTATTCCCTCAAGATCAAGCTACATATCATTATACCAATTATCACTTTGGATCTCCTCCTACCTTTCGTATCTCCAAAAATATTTTTTACACATACACTCAGTAGAGAATGAGTTCGTTTACTCGCACCGCTCTTCCCATAGGTCTCGCCGCAGCCTTTGGAGCTTGGAATGGTATGGACCGGGCATAGCTCCTCTGCATTGTACGTGTGATTATACTGAACCTCTTATTTAGCTTACTATGTGCTGGGTCCCGCTTTGAAGGAGGAACGAGACAAGAGACAACAGCGCATGGCAAAACAAGACCAGCAGCTAGATAAAGTCCACAAGGTCGAGGACCACGCACAGCAGAAAGCGCTCGGGACAGACAACCCATACAACCGCTAGCTGTGCTCTGTCACCAGCCTATCCGGTATCAAATAGCCTCTATTGTTTCTTTTAAGGACCAATACGGGTCCTATTTCAGGAATCCGACCTGGAGATTATTTATATTAGAGGTAGAGGTCACTATAAGAAGCTTGGTATCCAGCCCTGTCCTGGCGCTTGATATGAAGACTTTCAAGCTTTTAAATTATCATTATTATATGGCCAAAAGCTAAATGGTAGCGACATATTGGAGAAAACCAACAGTAACATTGCCTCAGAGAAACCGTCGAAAATAGTATACTTAATCCAGGACGTTGGGTGATGACAATTAATTAACTCTAATAAAGATAAGATACATCCCATGGGAAAAGCAGTGTGCCTCTTCGTTACCTGGTATGTATCAATGGCTTGAATCAGGTAGCTACCTGTCATGACCTGCAATATCCATTCTTACAAATTACAATTATTTGAAGGATAGAGGCCTCTCAAAGAGTTCTCGGATTATTCTCGTAACTTGTTTCATATGTTTCCAACGCATATAAGAGAACCGACTTCGTAGACAAATTGAAATTCGACAGTTGCCAGTAATAATGCATCTTATCGTCTTACCTATACCATTAGGTACCTATAGGCTGTAACTGCTGCAGTAGACCTATCAAAATCCTGGTTCCTCTTGTGTGACGTCGTACCTTATCCTTCCAACCTTAGAAGCTTCTACTTATCACTTGTTTTTACCTTGGTCCGAACTTTAGCCGTAGGTACTCTATGCCTGTAGCTTGTGGAGCTAGCACAGTTTCCCAGGTGGCAACCATGAAATTGCAAGTGTAAAAGCTTGACAGCTCCTCTGTCGGCTCCACCACAATCATACGACTTACTGACCTCAATCCGAAAAAAAGACTCTGTCAATTGAAAGACCGGCCCAAAAAATAAGAAAGCTCTAACAGCATCTTGTCGTCAAAACTTCCCGCGAATCCCACTCTATCGTCTAGCAGGCCTCGCGACCGCCTCAATTGGTCCACATCTCCGCTCTCCCAACCGAACTCGAACGGCATTACTTAATCTTTTTTTTTTCTTGTTGGCTTGTTTTTAATTTTTCCCTCCTCCTTCAACAAAAAAAAACCACGAGTCACAATGATGCGCACACCCGCAACGTCTCTCCTGCGCGGCGCCCTCCGGGCCAGCAGAACGACCACTCCTCTCGTTCCCCGCGCCGCCGCCTCCACGCACGCCATTTCGAACCCGACCCTAGCCAACATCGAGAAGCGATGGGAAGGCTTGCCTCAGACTGAGCAGGCCGAGCTCTGGATGGCCCTGCGAGACCGCATGAAGGAGAACTGGGCCGATCTTACCTTCCAGGAGAAGAAAGCCGGTACGTAATATTTTGCGATTTCTTCCATACATTAGCACCCATTTGAGTCTCGAGTTGCGCTCGAGAAAAAAGAAGCATCGTTACTCCGCGTTTGGGCTGTCGAGATTGGGATATTGGGGGAGAGGTGGGACGTTTTCGTTGCGACATTATGGAATGAAGAGTGGATCCGCAAGGCCTGATTCTAGCCATTCACGAATCACATATTTGAAGAGATCACGACACTGATACCAATACCCCTCAACAGCCTACTGGATCGCCTTCGGCAACCACGGTCCTCGCGCCGTCCCCCCTCCGGATGAGGGACGCAAGATCGCTCTATACACCGCGATGGGCTTGTTCGCCAGTTTCGTCATCTTCGCCACGGCGCGGGCATTCGGCGGTCCCCCTCCTAGCACCATGAACAGGGAATGGCAGGAGGCTTCGAACGAGTACCTCAAGGTAAGAACGGAATTGGGGAATTTATTTGTTTATTTCGAAAGCTTTCATGTGCTGATAGATAACAGAAACAACGTGCCGAGCCCATCACCGGTATCTCGTCCGAAGGCTACAACGGCAAGGGTATGGTCCAGTCGCTGCCCAAGAAGCTATAGACAAATGAAACATAGCCTCCCTAATACGAAAAACCTACTCTGGTCTCTCCGATTTTTGTTAAACCGTTTGTCAAAATAGAGCCGCAGTGCAAGGTATCGACTTTCCATGTACAAAATAAAACAAGCAACTACTAGAGTGGGGATGGAGTAGTAGTAGTAGGCCGGAGGCGCATATTGGCTATCCGAAGCAGAGAACAGTTTGACAATTGAAAACATTGCAGACTCAAATAACAAGAACCAGCAGCAACATCAGAGACGCCAATTCTATTTTCCTCGCCAGCTGGGGAAGCGATCCCTGTGCCTAGAAGAAAGCAGGGGGCTGGTTGACACAGATCACGCCTAGCTGTTGTAAATATGTACAAGAGGAAACAAACCTTCTATGCCGTTCTATAAAGCCTCTTTCGTATCAAGTGCTACTACTGTCTAATGCTCCCTAGAATACCTAGGAGGTAGCTAAATGGTGCCATTTCATCCTTTATTCGTCATGTCTACAAGAAGTGACATGTAGTTATTACCGAAACTCTATAAAAAAAAAAAGCAACGTATTATAATTCATGCCTGCCTGCCTACTATCCATGCGCTATCCATATAAATTCGTAACCGAGATGTGAAATTACTTCAGTATCTCTTGAGTTAATATATATACCTTACATGCCTCTTATACCCACTTCGTACCCTATCATCCCTCAATGCCTTCCCAACACCAAACCGCTCCATGTAAAACGGCCATGCTGAATATGCTGAATATGCCCTTAGTAGTAGTAATAGTAGTTAAAAAAGACACCTTTCCCATATCAACACCGCGCCGAATACTGTATCCCAAAACAAAAACACCATGGTGTACGGTAAAACAATGGTTAATGCGGACTCGATTCCAGAGGTGCTACATGTTTCTAAGCACCGCTCTGGCCAGCCTCCCGGTAGTCGCCGAAGCTACTCACGATCTCCCTCTTGCGAGCATCCTGCCCCGGGACGCCGGCTAGACCATCCTCCTCGCGTATCAGCCTCTCGACTTCGAGTCGACCATCCTTACCCCAATAGCCGACCTTCTCCTCGCCGCGCACGGCTTTCTCGGTGACTAATACGTAGTGCGTAGGAGCGTCAAACATGGCTTCGGCCAGCACGCGCTCCATCTCCATCTTCAGTCCCCGAGCGCCCGTCTGCGCTTTCTCCGCGCGCTCTGCGATGGCTTGCAAGGCTTTCTGCGTGAAGAAGAGGTTGGAAGGATAGGTCTCGAATAGTGCCGTGTATTGCGCGACTAGCGAGTTGCGCGGTTCGATCAGGATTCTTAATAAATCGTTCCTCGACAACGGTGATAGCGCCACGATATTATGCACACGTCCGATAAGTTCCGGAATAAATCCGAAGCTTTGCAAGTCCTCGGGCGTCGCGAGGTCCAGTGCGGTAAGGGTTGACGTATCCTCGGCGTTCGGGGGTCTGTGAGGAAGGTGATTGAATAGTGCTGGTGGAAGATCTGCTTTGTTTCCGGACACATGTCGACTCCGGAGCTCAGAGCCAAAGCCCATACTAGACTTAGATACCCGATTCAATATCGTTTTGTCGAGTCCGACAAAGGCTCCGCACATGACGAATAATATGTTGCTCGTATCGATAGTATATTGATCCACCTTTCCGGAAGCCGGCGGCGTCGGTTGAGGCCCTGAGGTAGAGCTCGTAGATCCCGGACCAGTATAATTCGTGGTAATTGGACTTGCCGTACGTGACGAAGATGATGAGCGATTCTCCTTGACATTAATTGTAACCTTGGTCCCTTCAACCAGCTTTAACAACGCCTGCTGTACCCCTTCGCCACCCACATCCCTCCCGTTTGTTGTTTCGCGTTTCGCAATCTTATCGAATTCGTCAAGGACTACTATTCCTTGTTCCGTAGCCGTCACGTCGTAGTTAGACTCTATTAATAACCTTTCGATGCACGTCTCGACATCTTGGCCTATGTAGCCGGCTTGGGTGAAGGAGTTGCAATCGCATATCGCAAAAGGAACGTTAATCTTCTTGCTCAATGTCCTGCCGAGGTTTAGCTAAGGCGTACATGTATATTGGTAGCGAGTAAACTCTTACTCGAGTATGTAGGTTTTCCCAACACCGGTTGGGCCTATTAGTAGTAAATTACTTTTATCGATCTTAACTGGTGGCGTTCGACTAGTATCTTCGGGTATGTAGAAATCGATCTTCTCTTCAGCATGTTGCCATGCCTGATGCATATTCTGTGTAGAATCATGGTGGCCCGGATATTCATCTTTGGATACGTCGTCAGTGCGATACCGTCGAGTCATTGATGCCAGGTGATGCCAACCTTCAACTGGGCGAGGCTCCCTCTCCCTCGCATTACGACCGCGGGCTATGGCCTGCCGCATAAGCTTTTCATCTTGCTTCCTCTCTTGTTCCTCTTGATGCTGCCGCCGCCGTAAGTTCTGGTAGTGGTTAAAGATAACGGAAGATATCGTCTTTTTCGCTCGGTCTTGTCCGACTACGTATTCGTCGACTCGTTTCTTGAGGTCTCGAGGGTAAAATTGAGGTACTCCGAAGGTATTCTTCGAGAACATAGGGCCGCGCCCTTCTTCGTTTGGATCGTAGCTGCTCGTAAACCCGGAATTGAATTCCGAGCTACGTCTCGCAACACGAAAGGCGGTGGAGGTCGACAAGGCTCGACAATGGGTTCTAAGATGGACGGATCTTGGCAATATTCTACGCCTTGCGAGGACCAACCTCATATTGACACTGTTAGAGGTGGTCCTCCGACAAATAGCAGCAATTTTCTAGAAGTTTAACGTTGTAGTCCGCATGAACACGTACATGCGTGAGTATATGCGTTAGGTATGAGTGCAGCTGGATGGATGGGATAGGCTGCTATGTTCCGAATATTCCAAGCTAATAGAATGGAAGTAGGATTGACTTGACTATCACGTGTATTTATCGCTATAGGTACTGATTTACCTTGCAAGAACAAAATATCGAGTGTTGTGTTTTCAATGTTGCTTAGAGATTATTAAGTCTCACTCTTTCCTGCCAGTACCTATAGGTAGGTAATCTTAGGTAATGGTAGGTACTGGCAAAAGACGTTGATGCTCCTTTATCGGACGTGTAGGTATGTATTAAACCGAGATCTCGTAGGGATGATCCAACTTTAGGTACCTTGTCTTGAAAGGACGCAATTAGGTAATGCGGGGCTCCATTTTGGCGGGGGAACACCTAAGGTTCTCCATCCGGGTACAAGTCTTAGGTACCTCCTAAGAGCGGATGCCCAGCTTAGAGCTTTGGTGTTTTACATCACCTCTATGCGAGTAATGCCCCGCAAGAGCTTCCAATTTATTAAATTCCATACCTAATCTCTTCTTTTAATGGAAGTCTTTTAGAAGAATCAAACTGAGCCATTTGTAAACACCTATCAATTTTTTAAAATAGACTTTTATTCGATAGACGTGGTTGGCATAATCTTGACGCCTCATTTTTTGACGTAGCCCATATTTTCAGCCTAACATACTACCTCATTTATATTAAAAATGCCAATTGTCTGTTATCTTGTAAACTGGGCAGAAAAGAAAAGCGGAGAGCTGGAAGTTCTAGACATGGACTGATGGGTCCATATAACAGAGATATATCCACAACTGATGTGGTACAGGTTATCTACTGGTGTCCAAGTTGGCCCCTCGATGTCCCTCGATGTGCCTCGACGTCATTCGACATGATTTTTTGGCCTCTAGCTTCTTTTTTTCTCCTCACCTCGAGAAGAAATTTTGCGACAACAATTACATTAGGTATTAAAATGATACGAGCGGGTTGGGAATTTTAAATTGAGCCCTTCTGTTTGGGCCTCTTAGGTAGTATTTATATAATTTGTACTATTTGTACTATTCATTAGGTACTATTTCATTATTCTAATTATACTAGAGAGGAATAGATAAGAACAAACAATATAAAGAAACAAGTACGACCGAGACTTTCCCACAAGAAAAAGAAGACAAGAAAAAAAAAACCTTTCTCGCGTCTCATCAAGCAAGCACACAACTTACCCGACCTCAATGTACCACACTACCTAAGGTACCTCCTACCTCCTAACCTAGCTCCCTTTCATCATAGCTCCCAGATTTAGCGTTTAGCGTTTAGCGGGGAGCTTAATATACCACCCTAACCTCGACTGACCTTCACAGCTTTACTAATTTCGCACCTTCTCTATGTTCTCCAAGTTTAAATTCAAATCTATCTTTCCGTTTCTTAAGAAAAAATCCAAGTTCAAGTTACGGTCAGAAAAGACAGATTTAGAACCAAACAAGGACACAACAACAGACACAACAACGGACACAAACACAGACACAAGTAAAGAGGCAAAGATGGCTGCTGTTGCCGTTGCCGATAATTCTGCCAATACCATCGGCTCTGGCGCTGCCCCAGGAATAGCCAACGACGGCACTGGTGCGACTTCGACTTCTTCCTAATCCTATTTCCTATCACTTCTATAAGATCTCAAGTTAACGAGCATGATTCATAGGTGTTATCCAGTTGGATCCTTGGCTAGAACCCTTCAAGGATGCTTTCAAGCGAAGATACGCAAAAGCTCAAGAATGGATCAAAAAGATTGACGAAACCGAGGGCGGCCTTAACAAGTTCTCAAAGGTGAGTTGATTTATTTTCCTGCAACATTGGGCACCAACCCTCTTTCGGAACTCAGAATTAATATGCACCTTTCTCTCCCTCGAATCTAGGGTACCGAGATCTTTGGCTTCAATGTTGACAAGGATAACAATATCATATATCGAGAATGGGCGCCCAACGCCATTGAAGCTTTCTTGATTGGAGACTTCAGTGAGTATCATCCCAACTAGACTATATTGTAAACTGTCGACACTAACTGAATTTGTTAGACGGATGGAACAGAGGCTCCCACCCCATGAAGAAGAACAATTTTGGAGTATGGGAAATCACCGTACCAGCCGTGGACGGACAACCAGCTATCCCACACAACTCCAAGATAAAGGTATACAAGCTTTTATTCAGGTGCCATAACTCTACTATACTTACTAAAGATGAGCAATAGATATCCATGACAACCCCCTCCCACGAGCGAATTGATCGACTGCCGGCTTGGATTAAATATGTCACTCAGGATCTCTCCGTCTCGCCCGCTTACGATGCTCGCTTCTGGAATCCTCCCGAGTCTGAGAAGTATGTATTTAAGAATCCGAGGCCGAAGAGGCCGTTGAGTGCTCGCGTTTACGAAGCGCATGTTGGTATCTCCTCGCCCGAGCAGCGAGTCACGACTTTCAAAGAGTTCACCAAGAACATGCTTCCCAGAATAAAAAGTTTGGGATACAACGTTATCCAACTCATGGCCATCATGGAGCATGCCTATTATGCTAGCTTTGGCTACCAGGTAAACAACTTCTTCGCTGCTAGCAGTCGGTATGGCACGCCCGAGGATCTCAAGGAACTGCTCGATACCGCCCACGGCCTCGGCTTAGTTGTCCTTCTTGACGTCGTGCACAGCCACGCTTCCAAGAACGTGCTTGATGGCCTGAACGAATTTGACGGCTCAGATCACCTTTACTTCCATGAAGGTGGGAAGGGTAGACATGAGCTGTGGGATTCAAGGCTTTTCAACTATGGCAGTCATGAGGTCTTGAGATTCCTGCTCAGTAATCTGAGATTTTGGATGGACGAATACCAGTTCGATGGTTTCCGTTTTGACGGAGTCACGAGCATGTTATACCATCACCATGGTATTGGAACGTAAGATTGTACTCGACATGACTATCATAACCATTCAATACTGACAACTGATTTACAGGGGATTCTCTGGTGGATATCATGAGTATTTTGGCCCCGACGTTGACGAGGAAGCCGTGGTCTATCTAATGATTGCGAATGAGATGCTTCACGACCTTTACCCTGAGACCATTACTATTGCAGAAGACGTCTCTGGCATGCCAGCTCTTTGCTTGCCGTTGTCGCTCGGTGGCGTCGGGTTCGACTACCGATTAGCGATGGCTATCCCAGATATGTGGATCAAGATCCTAAAAGAGAAGAAGGACGAAGACTGGGACATATCCAACATCTGCTGGACTCTAACTAACAGAAGACATGGCGAGAAGACCATCGCCTATTGTGAAAGTCATGATCAAGCGTAAGTAGGGATATCCTCTTAACAAGAAATAGTTTGCTAACCCCTAACCATCTCCTAGTCTCGTGGGCGACAAGACCTTAATGATGCATCTTTGCGACGCGGAGTTGTACACTAACATGTCAACGCTCTCGCCTCTGACTCCTGTCATCTCCCGGGGCATGGCGTTACATAAGATGATCAGACTGTTAACTCATGGCTTGGGCGGTGAGGGTTACCTTAACTTTGAGGGCAATGAATTTGGTCACCCAGAATGGCTCGACTTCCCTCGTGAAGGTAACCAGAACTCATTCTGGTACGCGCGGCGCCAACTTAATCTGACCGAAGACCATCTTCTCCGTTACAAGGCCCTCAATGAGTTTGATCGTCAGATGAACTTGACGGAGGATCATTACGGGTGGCTACACGCACCGCAGGCGTACATCAGCCTTAAGAACGAGAGTGATAAGGTCATTGTATTTGAGCGTGCCGGCTGCGTTTTTATCTTCAACTTCCACCCCACCCAGAGCTTTGCCGACTATAGAATCGGTATAGATGTTCCGGGTACATACAAGATTGTACTCGACACGGATACCAAGGAGGTCGGCGGCTTCGAGCGGAATGACCACAATGCCCGGTTCTTCACTACCCCGATGGAGTGGAATGGCCGCCCGAATTGGACTCATATATACATTCCCAGTCGCACCGCTCTGGTAAGTCACCTCCCTATATAAGCATTGGCACAAATGAAGATAGGGTGGAAGCTAATTAGCATAATAGGTCCTAGCTTTGGAGGATTCTTGAATAGAAGGGAACGTGAAGTCAGTATTTAGGATATGGTTATAAAAGCGAAGCGAACTAGTAGTTTGAGTGGAAGCGCAGCATTGTTATCAAGTTATTGAGACGACATATAGTGAGGAGGATATTTAAATTCTCGATTGATACATCATAGCCATAGCCATAGCCATATACTGTAGTTAGATGAAAATTACTATTATTTCGAAAGAGCCGCAATACTGTATATAACATACAACACATGGGTATCGCGACGCGTATAATATTCCGACTTGGTCAAATCTTCTGATCGTAGACCTCTCTCGTCCGCTACTCTTATCAGGTAGGCACCTATTCGACGAGCCACTCCTCAACTTCAACCCCCATACTCCGCCCAACGCCCCGTATGACTTCCCACCCAACTCCTACCCTCCACTTCCCACCGCGATCCATCGTATCCCCCGCTCCGCCGGCCCCCCCGACACGAACAAGCAGGCGCAAGCTCGCCAGCGTCGCAATGGCCATGCCGACGTCTCCGTCCACAGTGGGTTGTTGGCCATCACCGGCGTCGTTATCGTCGCTGAGCCACTCCCGGCGCGTCGCGGCGTAGATGGCAACCATGCGCTCCAGCACAAAAGCGCCGGGGCCTAACAACTTGCGGGCGATCTTCCTGTGTTTTGCTTTCTTGGTAATGTGGTGCGCCACACCCATACCGCCGCCCCCCCGCCGCCTCCGTCCCGAGTGCCAGGTGCTGAAGATGGTCTGGTCGTGGCGCGGCGCGTTGTGCGAGGCGAGGTACGCGGCGATGAGGAGGAGGCGGGCTGTGGGGGGGAGGAGGACGGCTAGGTCTTTGCTACTGCTGTTACTGCTGCGTGCTTCTTTCTCCCCCGCCTTAGCGACGGCAGACACGGGCCCCTTGTTGGCGAGCGTGATGCCGGGTTCGAGAACGGATTCGTCCTGGAAGTAGGCGCGCGCGGCGACGAGCAGCTTCGTGAACTCGCGGGCGCGGTGGGTGCCCGCGGCGACGGGGGCGGTGAACCTGGGCCAGAGGGCGGCGCAGGCGCGGGCGAGGCCGGGGAGGGAGCGGGAGGCGGGCTTGGCGAGGGCGTCGTGGACGGCGGCGGCGAAGCGGGCCCAGAGGTCGGCTGTCTCCTGGGGGGTGGTGTTCGGGAGGGAGGGCCGGGGGGCGTAGGGCGGGCGCGAGAGGATCGTTACGTACTCGGGTTTCGTGTAGGGCGGGAAGTAGAGCTGCGGGGCGGAGGAGAGGCGGAGGAGGGACGGGGACGGGGCGGTGAGGATGAATATCGTTGTTAGGTTGGGGATCTGGCGAGAGGAGTTTTGTTAGCTTAGGTACCTCCTAGGTAGGTAGGTAGGTAGAGGTGCAGATCTGTGAATACAGGAGGTGAGCGTACAATCTCGGAGAGCCTGGCCAAAGCCGGTAATAAGGTTGGCGGCGCCTCCCTCTGGCGGTCGATGTCGTCGAATACCAACACGAACCTCGAGTCTCTCTCACGAGGCTGGTCGTATTTCAGCATCCTCGTAAGCTCCACCGTTAGAGCGGCAACCGTCTCGCAACGGCCGAGCGCTCCCCTGCCCTCCTTCTCCCTCTCCTCCTCCCACCGCAGGGCGTTGGCTACCTGCCCGACGACCCGCTCGTACAGATGCCGAGCTGTGACGCATTCGACCGACTTCACGATGGCGTAGCTGAGAAGGGGGGGGGCATCGCCGGTAGCAGAAGCAGAAGCAGCAGCAGGTGAAGATAGGGCTTCGAGAAGACGCGCGGTAACAGCGCTTTTGCCCGTGGCCTCCGTGCCGTGGATGACGATGTTACGGCATGGCGCGGCCCGGGGGTAGAGCAGCGTTGCTAGGGCTCTGATCTGGGCATCGCGACAGGGGAAGCTCTCGAGGAGGGACGCGAGGAGATCGTCGGGGAGCTCGAAGATGCTCGGCATTCTTTATTTTTTTCTTAGTTGCACTTTTATAGACGCGTCTCTCGTCGCATCGGTATAAGTGTAGTGTGTATGTTAGTTTGGATGTACGAAGTACCTCCTAAAGTGGTACACGTAAAAAAGGTACCTAGGTAGTAGAAGATGGGGAAGATTGAGTTTTAGCGCGCCAAGGCTGCATCCGGGGATGGCCTGTCAGCATGGCAGCATGGTAGCCATGGCTGAGGCTAGGTATCTATCTCATAGTAGGTTCCAATACACTGGCTTGGGTATCTAATAACAGGGTCCAACACCAACACCAACACCAACACCAACATCAAATGGAATTCTACTAGTCTAGGTACCTCCCTTATTACGTATATCGTTCTCGATAACGTCAGTTTTCTATCATTTAATTGACCGTCAATATATCTCGTACCATTTAGATTCACAACCCGATTTTAATTAAAAATAGATTGTGCCATGCGATACGTATATTAGGTATGTACTACAACGGAATATACTACCTATGTAAGCCATACCTATCTAACCTAGGTACCTAATGTATAGTAGATAGAATAGAGGGGTACAGAGATGTTATACAAGACTAGCTACCTAGGTACATATTTGTGTAACTGGACATCATCCGTGCGCCTACCAAGGGGGTTCCTGTTTGGCTTACGTAGAAGTTGACTAATCCTCTACTTCCTGGTCAGCCCTGTTTCCTTAATACGAGTTTATTTTATGCGCTCACTCAGTGTGAAAGGTAGGACCTGCGCTCAATCAAGATTTGTAAGAATCTTATAGTCAGTATTTGCAACTTGCAATCTCCGTAAGTAGAAACATACCTCCTACCTTACCTATACGCCAATGTAAGTAATAAGCAGTAGCCACTGCCACACCAAACTAGGGAAAGTGATAGGGGATCTTACCTATGTACATACAGGTAGTAAAGCCCAGTTAATTACGCGACCTTTCTCCACCATCTTTTTTGTAAGTCCTCCGTACATGATTTATTGCTTTTTCCCAAGTACATCTTCCCCCCGCGTATTTTCTGCAAGCTTGAGAATAAGGCGCTTCTATAAACACCAATACGGTTACACGCATACTAGAAAAAAAAAAGAACGCTTTATTAACTATCTGATAATCATGTTGAGCTGACTTTGGCGCAAATCGAATCATCAGACGAAAAAATGGACGGAGTAGACGCTGAGAGTCCAGATACCGATGCTGGCCTAAACGCCGAGCTAGGTATAAGCTTCGCCGTCGACGATGTCAGCCTGTCACATCTTGAATCTGCTCCTGAGATCGACTCATATAGTAGTAAGCCTTCGGGGGACAGCCCTGATTCTAATAGGCCTTACCATACAAAACGGCCTCATAAGAAATCTCGAGCTGGATGCCAACAGTGCAAAAGGAGAAAAGTAAAGGTAATAGAGTACCACATATAAAATAAAAGTCTTGAAACACTAATACGTAGTCTAAGTGCGACGAGATCAGACCGACATGCAAAGCATGTAGGCTTCGAAAAGAGAAATGCATATATCCGACCACCTCGACGGTTCAACCTGCAACCTTAATCACCAGGCCTACTCCCACCTCTAAATCATCATCTTCTTTTTCACCTAGATCCTCCTCTCAATCCTCTTTTGAAAGCGATGCCGGTACCGTGGTTGTTTCCGAACCCATGTATCGGCCATCTATGATGACTGACGCCTTAGACATGAAAATGCTGTGGTTCTATACCACCCGAGCGTATCAGTTCTTCTCAATTCAGACCGGTCGTTCCCCAGCGGTGGACCATGTCTTACAGGTCAAAGTTGTCCAACATGCTTTCCAGTCTCCCTTTCTTATGGACTGTTTGATGGCAGTTTCGTCACTGCATCTCCGAACAATGAACCAGCCCGTCCCACTCCATCGTACAGCAGCTTATTGCAGCAGGGCCTTTGAGGGCTACCGAAAGGCTATTGAAGCAGCAAACCCGCCAGACTTCCCCGCTCTAATAGCATGCTCGCTTTTAATGGTGGCTGTGAGCAGTCATCCGTTCCGGGAACCAGATGCGAAGCCGCTATATGTGGCTGACTGGATGCATGTCTGGCGGGGAATCAGCCTCATTTTTGAAATCGTGACACCGCGGGTCCTCCAAGACTCGGGGATGGCGATGCTATTCTACCGACCACCAGTAGATTTGGAGAAGGCCGCCTCATACATACCAAACAACTTATTGTTCATGGTGGCCTCCATCAAGCCTGGTGACGCAGACGATGAACATCAGCAAACATATTATGACATGCTCAAATACCTGGGCTCGCTTTACCAAGAGGTTAGGGAGCATGGCTTCAGTCCTATCCTCGATCTTCGCATCGTCACTTTCCTCAGTATGTATCCACAGGAAGGAATATTTTACGCCCAACACAAAACCGTAGTCATTTAGGTCGCTGAAGCGTTGTTTGCTAACTTTGGTTCTTGATAGCATTCGTTCCAAAGGAATTTATCCCACTTGCTAGGGAGCATCGACCTCGAGCCCTAGTCCTCTTAGCTCATTATTTATGTTTCTCTAAAATACCTAAATATGTGTGGTGGATGGAAGGTATTGCAAATAGAGAAATAGTACATATCTGCAAATCCGTTGGCAAAGAATGGGAGCACTTATTACGCGTACCTCAGATGGTTCTCAGAACAGAAGACAAAGTCGAAACCGCGCAGTTAATTATCAACAATCGAAATTGGACGCCTGCTGAGATGGATCGATACGAACAAGACAGAGATCCCAGGCTAATAACCGATCTCAGACTAGTAGATAATCAGGGCTCCGAAATCGATATTTCCGGGGGGAAGTGGGTGATAAAATCGGCTATGCCAATTCCAATCACCACAAACGTTACCGCTATACCGAAATATCTAGATCCGTGTCCTGAACTCGCTAGTTCAGTTGCGGAATTAATGTCTAATTCATCATAGTCAAAAATCTCGATGACTTCAATATCATCTGAATGGAAAGACTGAATTCAACCATACCTCGATAGAATACGGGTTTCGACACTAGGAACAAAATGGCAAATATATGATGAACCTAGGCTGGGGAAAATGCAATCTAACACATGGAAGTCGAGTGAAAAGGGGAATTTTTGATTATGCTCAAAATGATACCTGATGTTGGAGGCTACCTTAAAGCACTCCTATGCGATTGAGCCAAGATATTTGATTTGTATGTGCAACAAGAGCTTCGCCCCACCTCACAAAATACATGCTAACGTCGACAGTAACAATACCCGGTGCTCCTACCACATCACAAGCCGAACCATATCTCACTAGCTGTCAGGTTGGACGGTACACTGTGGCCTACGCCTTGTGCGTAAATGCCTTGAACAAACTCGCCGAAATTATTTGTCGTGTATCCTTGTTTGGGGTTGTTCTGCACAGAGCTCGTAGGTTCCTGGCTCACGTTGAAGACAGCAGTCCATTGCTTGATTTCCTCCTGGTAGTTCTGCGGCGCCAACGTGCTGTCGGCACTACCGTGCCAGATCTGCATCTTAGGCCTCGGTCCTTCGTATCCGGGATACATATCCAACACTACCTGCTTCCACTTTTCGGGGGTAGCCCGTGATTGTCCGCCGCTGCAGCTATTGTTCCATTGGTCAACGCCACCAGACGAGCTAACAAAGCAGCCGGCAGCTACACCACTGTACAGAGATACGGCTTTGATGAGCTCCGGGTACGTGGCAGCAAGTACATTTGACATCATAGCACCGCTGCTTCCGCCGGTGACGTAGACCCGTTCAGGGTCAACCTTATACTCAGAGATGGCATATAGGATCATATTTGCGATGGCTTGGGAGTCACCACCGCCTAGATGCGTCAGAGATCTCTTGGATGACACGTCCCAACAGGTACCACTGTTAGGCGAAGACGGCCAAACTGTGATATAACCCTTTTTGTCTGAACCCTGGCGCCACGGAATCGCGCTGTTCTGGAAATACGCCTGCGCCGAGGACTGACACGAGTGGATGACAACCACTAATGGTGGATTCTCGACTACGTTATCCGGTTTGTACACGTACCTGTCTATCTATCAGTACCGAGTAAGAAGCGAAGAGAGTCATTTTCTCACATCTGTGCTTTGGACGTCGCATTGTTGTTGTAGTTCGGAACCTGGGTAAGCGAGGCCGCTATGGCCGCACTGGACATAAGGCCCGTCGAGATGACAGCACCGAACAACATTGTCTCTTAATCAAGGAAGGGGGGAGAACGGTCTACTCGAAGTTAACATAATTTCATTGCCTTTCCAATACACGGCAGACAGCAGTATATATATAAGAGCCGGCAATTCTTCCCCGTCGTGACGAAAGCCACGATCAACAAGCTTTTCTCGGTTCACTTCCCCGCATCCAGTAAATTGCCCCTAGATCTGCAGCGTCTACCGTCACCAGGATAGGGGGCATATTTGTCGTCAGATGGAGATGGGGTAAAGTAACAATAACGTCTATCCAGCGGTGAGAACGAGAAAGAGACGATTCCCTAAAGGGAAAGTACTTGTATGAAGTACATAGAGTGCCGGGGGACAAAAACATGTTAAGCACCCCCGACTAAATTGCCGTTTATACAAGCTTTGCGATCGTCATCCCGTGTGTCTCGGCTAAAGAGGCGGCTACAATGCCACTTGAGTGTTGTTACGCGGGCACTGCTCATATCCCTAGACGCTCTCCCTTTTCCGCCGCGGAACTGATAATTGGAGCCAAAGGAAAAGGGAAGGGAGGGGGGGGAGCTTGTCAAAGCTTTTAGGCGTGTAGGATAGCAATGTGTACACATATAGGCCCAGCATGATATGTGTATATTTCCCCTTTTTTCTTCTCATGTACCTTTTCAGGATTGGGATTAGATTAAGTACCTACCTCCTAGATACCCCTTAACCATAATTAGCATATATAAAGTTCCACGAATCGGAACAACAGACGAAACACGAAGATCAAGCAGCCCGTCGACTTACATGTGAATGGCATAGCTGTTTCTATAGATTGCTACTCCAAACCGCCCACCTGACAGACCGAACAAGTCCTCTGAGCACTTACCGAGATAGCTACCTTAGGTAGGTACCTTAGGGAGGTAGATAGGTACCTAGGTAAATACTAGTCCCATAAGACACCATAATGAGTAGTGGCCACTGGTATATTTAATTTTCAATTCATACACGACAAAACCTATCCGGGTAGATACGTATCCCTAAACGACTATAGAACTTTCTTTTCTCGGTAAAGACATCCAAGCAGATATCATTTCACCATAGGCCAACGTTTTATCAGAAATGGTACCCTGTCACATTACTATGCCGTAAACCAAGTCCGTAACCAAGGCAGCGTATCGCAAGAGATCAACCCGCCAAAGACTATTCACTTATTTGTGAAAAGTCCGTCATTTTACAGTGGTCTCGGCGGAATCCGTACTTCATGCAAAGCTAACCCTACCGATGAAGTATCTCGGCAGGTATTTCCCTCTTCGTCTGTTCGGAACTATCTCAGCATAGCTTTTCACCGAGCCCTTTCGAGTTCTGAACCAAACAGTTGAGTGATAAATTTCGAAATGCCCTTTTATCTGAAGTAAAACTTGATTGCTTTCTTTTCCTCATTCTTTCTTCTTGTCAGTTCTCGAGGTATGAGCGCATAAATGGGACAGCCTCCCAACATGTTAGGGACAGACGAGAAGGCAGAGCCGCAAGCCATATGGCTACAAGTTCTGATCTTCGTATTCGTCGTCAAAGATGATGTCCTTAACTTCGTTCTTCGGTCTCGGACCTCTGAACGCCGTTCCAGGAGGATGCTCATTTAAACGGAATTTGCAATGCGGGTGTACGCACACGCCATCTTTCACGAAGGGACACTAGATACTTAGCTCTTATCCGCACAGCCTAACCCCGAAATGAACTTACATGGTGACCGTAAATACAATCAGAGATTGTGCAGTTCTGCCCCAAAGCGCAGGGGTTTGAGCGGGAAAAGAGTGCGATGACTTTCTTCTCCTCATTCGTGGGGTTATAGTCATGCGTAAAATGGCATTCCTTACCCCTGGTGCAAGGGCCTCGAAGAAAGTGGTTGTTACATAACCTATCCGTATCCCTCCTCTTTCTAAGGCGATCCATGACGGCCCGATCAACTCGGATAACTGGATCTAAACCTCGGGGTCCGGGGTTCCATGGCACTGGGGGTTGCTGGTTTGCTCGCGATGGTGGTGCTGTGGTTTTAAGAGGAATAGGTAGAGTAATTTTAGGGAGCGGGCTGGCCGGTGTCCGAGCTACAGACGCCCACGATGCGGCATTGGATGGGATAGGAGGACTTTGGCTTGTTATGTTCTGTGGCTTGACTGATAACTTCTCGTGTCGGAAAAGCCTTGGGATATTGAAGGTGTGGAGCCCCAGAGCGACAAGTTCTGGAACAGTCGGGGTCCCCTCAAGAATGGTTATACGGTCCTTGGTATCGTCGGTGATCATTTTTGCCAAAATCGGGGCATAGTCAGCGTCGTGAGAGATGCCCAGAACGGCTTTCTTACAGTTGAAGTTTCGCAGATGGAATTTAAGAGAATCTATTAATAGTTTAGACAAAGGCCTTTTCTTCAAGGAATAAATAGCAAGTTGGTAACGATCAAGTGGACGTACCTAGGATCTTCGCATCAGCCAGCTCCTTACCAAGCCGAACGTCTACGAAGGTGGAGGATACGTTGGCCTGGTTGAAGCCTATCACGAAGTCGTGCAAAGTATTGCTGTCAGAAAGACAACCATCGCGTATCATAGCTTTTCCCAAGCCAATAACGTCGGCATAAATGGTAACAAAGACTGTAACCGAAGTAGTTTCGGTAAGGGTAAGGCTTAACCTTTCATTTATAGCTTTGATTAGCTCATCAGCTGCCTTCTTTCCACCTTCGACACCCTTATTGACGGAGCTATTCTTAAACTTGAGTTGAAAGAATGTTAGTGAATTACTTGGAAGATGTTGTATGGAAGTAAACGCTTACGATTAGTCCATCGCCATCGATGAGAACGACAATATAAGGGTTGTGATCCTAAATTGAAACTTAGTTACTATTGCTCTTCAAGATAAGCAAGAAAAAAAGCATGCAAAATACCGGAGCGTAACCCAATTTAGTTTCCAAAACATTAAGCTTTGCCTGAATATCTCTTCGGGTTCTCTCTGAGCTATCGAGGTCCAGCTGCAGATCTCTAAGTTTCTTTTCCAAAACATTGACTTCGTGTTGGAAATGCGACTCAACACTATCAATATACAGAATGAGGTCCTATGTATGGCAAGTTAGTAAATGATGGTGTCTTGTTTAGTTCCCGGTCGGGGATGCTAGATAAGTACCCTGATCAGGAGTTCATCACTCGCGTGATGTTGACAAGACTCATGGTAGCGGTCAGCGAAAGCCCTGAGTTTGTCCGGCCTCGAGGGGTCGTATTTGATAGGGTCGTTTTGGCTCATTTTTCCAAAGCCCGAAGCAAAGCACCTAAAGTACCTAGCCTAGGTAAACAGAGAGGCTTAAAAATACTTGGTATAAGTTTGATATAAGTTGTTGTTGCAAGATTCCTGTGTTTACTATGATAGCCACCTCCTAGGTCAAATACCTTAGGTTAGGAGGTACCAAGGTATAGGTAAACTAGTAGAAAGATGTTGAGGGCCTTAAAAAATAAATTGCCGAAGGAGAAGAATATGGGAGATTTGTTATGTTTTTATGCTTTTATGTTAAAAGAATTGTCGTTTGCTGAAGGAAGTTGCGAGTCATAAAGTTGGCGTGGCTTCCAAATAACACTATGTAAATGGGGCAAGAGCCAACCGGTCAAGTGTAAGTACCTAACCTAAGGCAATCACGACAGGATGCACTAGGGTTTTAAAGATACATGATACATGCAGCAAGTGACCTGAGAAACATCCATACATCTCTGGTTGAGTGAATTTGCCAGCTTTTTATTAGCTTAAGAGAAGAGCTGTAACCTAAAATTCCTTGCAAGAAACCAGTGTGAAGATTAATGAAGCTATTAACATAGATGATTTCCAAGAAATAATGAAGTTTAAGATACATATAACAGGTAACTACCTAGGTACCTAACATACCTTAGTAGGCCATCAAAATAACGTGGATCTTCAGATCTGCCGCCTATGCAGGGACCCGAACAGTCTGGGGTAATGGAGTTCTGACAGCTATGATTGGCTTAGCGTCTTTTCTGTGCCTTATGATCTCTCCCGTCATCTATGAGCTAACAGCCCTACGGCCAGGTATAGTACACTAAACACTTATGCATGCCCACCACCTCCGATGTTCTAACCGTTGAATCTTATGCATCTTCTTTTTATGCTTCCACTTTTCTTGATTCAGCTTCCACACCCGTTTCTCATCACTTATATGTTCTCATTCTCAGGCAAAGCAACGAAAACTACGAGGTACCTAATCAAAGTGACTCCTTTGACATCAATGGTTATAATGATACACACTGCTTTTCAAGGTTCTTGAGCAATGTATGACTTTGACTAGTGCAACGTCTAGAATCATCACAAAAGTTTTAGCGTACATATGAGTACATATGAGACCGGGCAAACAAGCTTGCTACGACTACCTTATGCATAACCGAAGTACACTTTATCCAAGATTTATGTTGAAAAGCCTTAGGTAATCTAATGCCTCTCGAACTGTCAATCTTTCGTAGACCACGGAGATTTTACTTACTAACAGTAACGATATCAATAAAGGACTTACTCATGTTGCTTCAATTATTTATCCTTACGTAGGTATATTTTAGAATAGATGTGTTAGATTATCCCGTGCAGAGATCCTATAGTAAACTCAGTGTTGTCTTCCACCTCACGTAGACCACACCGCCAATACACTGGCACACAACAAGAGAAAGCTATTGTTACTGCGGCTTTTTTTGCTTTCTCCGGTGATAAGCCAGATCTTTAATAGTCTTCTAGTCATCGTATATGCCCATAAACACGGCTAAAGCGGTTAAATGCCATAATATGTGTAGCCCATTCTTCAGGTAGATGATTATATCCAATGATAATAGTAGGTAAGTTTAGTATACTACACTTGATGGACATGAAGAAATCCATTAGTTTAGGTAGGTATTCTTGATGGAGAAATCGAGTAAGTGCTCGCTACAACAGAAGTATGGTTACGCACGGCCGACGAGCTATCATATAAAAAGCAGGACACATCCCATTTCGATACCCATCAACATTCCTCTCCTCTTCTCTTCTTCTTCTTCTTCCCGTAAGCTGAGCTGGCCTCGCCATGTGCCCCCCGGACTTATGCCAGGATATATACACGGTAACCGCCCGTCTTTCCCCGCGACACATATACAGCGCAGCGGCCTATCGTAACAGTGCCAGTTAGTAATAGACAATGGATCTAGCCAGCCAGCCAGCCACGATAGCAGCAAAGCTTTGTATATATTACACAACACCCTACCTCTAGGCACTTTCTCTCACATATCACATACGCATACATACAAAGGTACCTACGGCACAGAATATCCCCTCCCCTCCTCTCCTCCCCCCCGGCTCACGATCCACTCCTTCCTCGCCTATCTCCGTGGACCAGAAACGCTCGGTCCCCATCTCCCATGTCCAGCCCACTCCCGCCGCCGCCGTCGTCGAATAGGAACGTAAACCATCGGTTCCGTAACGTAGGTAGGTAGGTACCTAATATTAGGTACCTAAGGTGTGTATGTATGCGGGTGATCTTAGTGCGGCGATTACAGCGGCAAGGGGGTCGACAACTGTATGTCTACCTAACCTAACCTAGCCTAAGCTGACCTGAATATGAGGCGGTTACAGTACGTCGTTACCCGGCAGCTAACGTTGGAGCACGTCGGAGCACGAAGGGGGGGGAGAGAGTAACGCCCGCGGGAAAAAGAGATAAAGCCCGGAAGGCAGGTCCCAGCGATGCAATGCGATACGATCCGAAGTACGAGACCCGAACAAGCGAGGCAAGACAATGCGTTTACCATATTCTGCTTCAACGACAGCATACGTAGGTACCTACCTGAACCTAGACATGCGTTACAATACAAAATCAAGTCCTACCCAAACCCAAACCCAACAGACCACCGATCCGAAGCACAAACATAAAAATATACTGTCCCACGATCCCACAATGTCCTCTCCTCGATACCACGTCTACGCATACCTACCTACCTAAGGTAGATATACCTTACCTGACGTAGGTATTTTGCCTCACGGCCCGTTCGCGAGACTCAAAAAAGCGAAGCCATCACTGATTGATTCATCCGGTCGTATCACGTACCAAACCTGCGTGATAAACCCGAGACACTGATAACCAACTAACAAGGTAGTCAGTCCGGTGCGGTTACAGAAACATATAAACCCCTTACGGCTGCAGAGAGAGAGAGAGTAGCACGGCTCGTTTAACGTATAGGGGGACCTCGCGCGAACCCTTAAAGCCGCCATCGGCCTTAAGAAAATACTTACTCCATCGGCCGCGCCACCAATATTTCGGACTTAAAAGTTGCAACATTATAAAGGGATCGGCTTGGGAGCCTGGGCGGCTCCCTTGTAGGAAAGGACACACTCTTAATATCATTTTTTTGTTTTGTTTTTTGGCACAAAACCAAACTAAAAGTCTTCTTCTTTATCTTATTTGAATCACCGCAAGATTGAAGGATATCATAAACCCGGAACCCATTTCGTCTGCATACAAGAAAACGCCTAGCTTTGTTCGGGGTCTCCGTTCATGTCGTATTTCATCGTTTCATCCACAACGTCGCATATCAATCAGCTCGTTTTCAGTAAGTAGGAAATTGGTTTAGTATATTCCACAATGTGTCGTTTCCAAATTCACCACCGAATTGCCATGCTGCTTGCCCTTCTCCTACGGGACCATCTGCTAAGGTAGGCGCGATGCTAGCACTGTTTGTCGTCCCAGGGAAACTTTCCGGCCAGGTCGTTGGCGGTCCATCGCTACTCCGGACGGCTGTTAAATCGTTATAGGCAATGTCCCCCATGGGATACATCGGCATGATCGCGCTGAAGTCAAAATTAGTTGGCAACGTCCATTCCACGTTCGCGAAGATATTGTCCGAAGTCCCAGACGGGGGCGTTAGGCCGGCGCTGGAGCTAATACTTCCGTCCCGCTCCCCCGCCGACGGTTGTGCTACAGTAGTACTGGTATTTGACGCACTACTCGTGTTCTGAGACGAGGGCTCTGATATCGAGTTAGGCGTATGCATATGGGAAGAGCTACTCGATGTTCCACTAATGCTCGTAGAACTACCACCTGCTTCGCTAGTTGTCTTGACTGACAATCCGAAACCCACAGCCTTCTTAAAACGAATGTAAATAGCACGCAATACACTTAAGGCGGCCTGGGCAAGCCGATTTCGAGTAGCCATCTTCTCGAAACGTTCAATTGCCCATTCGAAATGTTGTCGCGCCCCCGGCAACATTGCTTGATGCTCCTTCGGAAACAAAATATAAATGGATGCTATCATAATAACAGCGTCGAAGGTACCAAAAAAGAGTGTGAAAGTCTTATGCTGTTGCGGCTTCAAAAGAGCAAAATAAATCTTCTGCGCTTCCAGCATATCTAGACTTGCCTTGAGTGCTTCGTGACGACTGTTTGGTCGTGTGAAAACGTACGGACGGTGTAAGGCCATGATGTTGAAAGATATGAGCTGGGGTAAAGTCGGCCGCACGTACGGTAGCCACCAACACTCCGGAAGATTGTCAAATCGGGTGTCCGGGTTCTCCATGCGGAAGGGTGGCGGGGTGCGGGTATAAAGTTCTAGCAGTTCTTGGTGGATCTTTTCGACCCTGGAGAAATCCTTTGGAAACGGGCCTTCTTTCTCTAGGTCTAGAATATCCCGTAGTGGTCGCATAACCTCCCATGACCATATCGCTCGTGTTAAAGGCGTAGGTGGGTCATTCTCGCCGCGCAATATTATGGGAGACTTTCTCGTATCCTTGGGGATAATCGAGTCTATAGGAAGACTTCGATTCATAAGGCGGTAATCCACACTGGTAGGTCTGCCCAGAACGGCACCGGTGTGTAAATCCCAGCCGAGTAAAGTCATCCAGACTCTCCGGCGGCTTTGAGCATCCCACATCTTTTCTAAAGCCTCTTCGGTAGAGTCGTCTGGCGTTGGTTGAGGATCCATCTGGTCTCGATGCAGGCCAATCTCTTGTGCATCTCGAATACATGTCCCCACTTGATGCCACTACCAAGACATTAGAATGATTAGGCAATTTTATATGAAATTAGGAACTTACAGCTTCAGTGACCATACCGGTATACTTGAGAAAGGCGGCCCTCACCCAACCAGCTAATACAGTCATAATAGACATTTGACGTTTCCCGAGGAGTGATAAAATAGAAATACCCGATTCACTATACTCAAATGCTAAATCGTCGAAGGTCATGTTGCTTGTATACTTTAACAGCTCAAACGTCTCTTCCATACCTTCGGGAAGATATAGGAGAGAAGAGGCCAGCATTTGGAAGATAAGGGCCGGGAAGGCTCTTAGAATCGGATCCAAGGCTTGCAAGCCTGATGTCGACAGGACACTGAACGGCACGCTATACCATCTCTCCATCAACTGGTAAAAGACAGGCTCATCAATGCTGAAGTACTGCCAATTGATATCTCTGAAGTATATGGCTGCTAGCTTTTCAACGTAAGTCCTGGCCGGTAGCAGGCGGATCAACGTCTTATATCGTTCGCGCATGCCATAATTATCGCCCTCAAACCTCTCCGACGGCATTCCCGCCAATGGCTCCCCATTACTTTCGATTTTGCGCAATATCCCAAGAGTCGATACGCTGTTAGAGGAGTACCCAAAGTCTGCTGTCTTGACGGGCACCGATATACTCTCGAGCGATTCGGATGGGCGGTCGTGAGTAATTTGAGAAGGGCCTTTTCGATCAGACTTAATATGCGGCGTGCCGGTTTCGTACCGACAGACTGTTGCCTTGTTTCGCGACATGCAATTCGTACATGGCATCTTCCGGTCGCACTAGAAAACGGCGTTAACAGTTTAGGCGGTGTTTGATTGTTAGGCCGACAAGGGATAAGGGAGGGTGGTAATCACCTTCTGCTTTCTCCTATGACATTCGGTACAGCTGATGACAATTCTTCTCCGCTTGCGAGGCGGCGCTTTAGGATGAGGCTCTTGATTTGTTTTGGTATCCATCTGAACAACACTTTCAGCCACTTGTGCGGCAGACATGGCGATAAGAATGTGGTCAAATCCGAAAGTTTTTTTCTTCTTTTTTTTATTGTAACGATGTGACCCGACAAGATGATTGTGGGTTGAGGGGAAATTGAGTAGATGTATGGTAGATGCGGACGGGAAAGATTGGGCTCTGCTCCCACGGGATTGCGCGGTGTAAATCGTATGGATGGATGGCTAAAGATGGAGGTACCTAGAAGGCAAGGTTCAAGGTAGGTATGTAAAAAGAGACAGAGCGGGCAGAGGGTTGTTCCTTAACTTCAATGCTTACTCGCCCATGTACCTGCCTACATACCTAATGTAGGGCATGTAAGGTAAGTAGGGTATGGAAATGTGGAAGGAAGTATGTACAATCTTACGTTTATAGTATAAGGTACCCAGCATACCCAGCATAAAATCATCCAAGGCCCCGCTCTACAAAGGTGCGCGCATACGTGTGTGATGTCTACAGTCGACCCCATCCCGACGTTCTTTCCTTAGAGTAGCCATCACCACCCTCACCTAATAACTTACCTAGGTATATCCTAGAATATATACAACTACATTGAAACAAACTCTACTCTAGCACACTTTATGTTATGCAACTAAGTGCCCAGTTATTCTAAACGCTATTTTAGATTAGGCACATATTTAGTTTATTAGTATATCAATAACTCCCGTAGTAAGACTTATTATATTAAAGTTGCCAGCTAAATGGAGTTTTTACCCCTACCTTAAGTTTAGGTAGTTATATCAGCAGATCAATCCTTAATCATCATCCACTTAGTTATACCATTCTAGGACTGGTGTAGAAGTTAGAACCAATCATATTTAAAGAACAATTCTTCTTTACATTCGGAACGGTGGCTTTTCCCCGCTAAGACCGTTGTCTCCGTGCTTAGATGATTATGTAACGAGGAAGTTTAATCATCCGCAAAGGAAGGTTTTTTTCTTCAATCCTCTTTTTTATCTTTTATCTGAAGTACCTAACTTAAGGGACACACACCTAATATTATTAGACCTATATGATACACGCATATATGCATTATAATTCCTAGCAACCTAGCAACCTGCATTGCTAGTCTCCCACAGAAGCATAAGATGAACTAATGTATGCGTTAGAAAAGCCGCTTACACTTATAAAGTGCGAGATGCCCTTTTTTCCCCCTTCTCTCTTTAGTGGAAACTGTAGAAGAAAAGTTGCGGTACATGTCGTGCCAAGACCCGCCTCTTCGCGCCTGACAGATAATATGGATGAAGGACGCGAAGGCGCGTGTAAGGAGCGAGCTCCAATACGCACCACGATGAGTTGGAACTTGTTGGCCCATCATTGACAAAATGAAGACGAAACCCAACAAGGTATCCCTTCTTCCAGTTCATATCTCATACAAACCGTAGATGTACGCATTCAGTATAGGAAAAACTCATAGAGACCATTCGCAAGGAAGAACTCCGCCGTGATATGCTTATTAACTTGGAAAACAGTTGGACATCATTTGGTTATGACTTGACTCTCTTATATTCCTTTTCAATTTTTGAGTTGACCAGGTCCCCGAATAACAATGACAACTATCTTGTATAAAGCCGAAAGAACTCCAGGCTCCGGGACGAAACGATCGTCCATGCTCGATATAGATCCGCCTAATGCGAAACATCTTGTTTCTCTCACGCTTGCTGCCCTATCCTGCTCAGATAAGCTTTCCATGCCTTTCTTCGATATCGTTCAGCTTCCAACTGCGGAGAAGCCGCCTTGATAATACCCCGCCCAACGATGACGATATCACTACCACACTCTCCCACAAGTTTTGTGGGCGTGTTATATTGCTGACCAAGGCCATCGCCCGCAACACTGACGTCTTCTTCGTCTCCGTCGGGAGGTAGTTGGCAACCTGGAGTCATGGAGATGAAGGCATCTGTGCTTTCACTGTTAAGGGTTTCCTGGGAGATGAAACCCATCACGAACCCCTTGTGCTCTCTAGCAGCTTCGACGCAGGCCTGCGTGTACTCTCTGGTCATCAAATTCCCCTCGCTGGACATTTGTGCTAATATCAGAAGTCCTCGTTCCCATGGGGGTTCCTCAATCCCTGGGAATAAGAACTCGTCGCCTTCCGCAATAGAATTGCCAAAACGCGGTGAATCCACGGGCTCAAACGATTGAGTGAGAGTAGTAATTGACACGATACTTCCCTTTCTACCGTTGTGCTCAGGACGGACACTTGATGATGGCGGGGGGTCCTTCGAAGGTGACAGCGCAGTCGTAGGATGTCCGTCCGCCTCGTCGCTACTATTTTCGTCAAACTCATCCGAAACCGGGGTTCCGACGGAGACAGACGTCCTTACTTCGTAATTGACACGGGAACGCCACCGGGCGGCTGCTTGGTGGAGCGCAGCCACGGCAGCCTTACCAGGAATCATGTTAACATTTACGATGTGAGCCCAATCGATGATCCGCGCAGTTCCAGCCGTATACTGTTGCTGAACCGTGCTGCCGATATCCCCAAACTTCCTATCCTCGAAGATGAGGAAGCCATGCTTCCTCGCGAGGGCACCCAGCTTAGGACCGGTGCCAGTTTGCGGGTGGTAGTCCCATCCAGCGACGAGGTCATAATGCGTCTTGAGTACGACGATGGACGGACCCATTCGATCGGCTAAGGTGAGGAGTTCGCGAGCGGAGGTAACATCGGCACTAAGACATAGATTCGACTTCTTTAGTTCCATGAGTCGAAACAGATAGTTGAGTAGCGGGTGAGAGGCATTCTTGGCTCTTTCGGCGAAGCTCGCCTTGAACGTAGGATGGCGATCCTGATCTGCACACATAGCAAAATAATTATCGATAGGCCGGCAACTAAGTTTATCTGTTTTCCTCCTTTCTTCAAGCGCAACCAAGGTACAGGACTCTAGATGGTCGAGAGATGCGATCGCAAATAATTGTGGGCTAGCAGAGTTCCGGCGAACACGTTCACCCGATCAGGTTCTGCCGAAAAGGGTCTTTCGTCTATCGGGGGGCGATCGGCGGTTGAGCGAGAACCCTGGACTTAGTGGAGCTAAATGATGTCAATTTACTGCGGCAGATGGGATAAATCTAAATAAGAAATAGACGAGATGGCCGCGAAATAAGCCAAACGGTGCAAATGCTGCGGCTAGACCTCTTAATATATAAGAAGAATATATCACTTGCTGCAACTATATAGGTGGGCAGGACAAGGTAAGGTGTAGAAATGGATAACGGCTAACGGGTACATGGGAAATTTGTCCCACTGAGGAGAAAGCGATCATACCTGAAAGCTGGAGACGCAGAGGCGCAATGCCGTTCTTCTACTCGGTAGACCGCCTTGGCTGCTTGGTTGATGTGGTAGCTGACCGACAATCCCGTGCATATGCTGTTCTCCCCTTAGATTTTGAAGAACCCGGTGTCTTTGGGCCTATTGGTTCCCTCTGGTATGCTTGTTTGCTACTGGAGGAGAGAGACGGGTAAAAGATATGCGGGTTCGGGTTGGGAATCAGACCAAAAGATCGGACACACCGTGCAGGAACCAACTCCAGATGAGGGCACCACCTAGGTAGGCAAGACCAAACACGACCCGTCCCGAGATGAGCTTCAGGAGACTCGGAAGCGGTAATCGAGGAAATAAAAGAGGCCCTGAAAGGGGGTAAAACGAGAATGGAGCAAAGGTTTGAAAGGAGATAGTTGTGAAGGCTACGTCGTAGTTCTTCTCAACGCCAGCTTGTTAACATCTAATAGATGTCAGAAATCTAAATTAGTAGGTCAATTGGCGTCCTGGAATATATTTGATCAAGACTTGAGAATTCAAGTCGAGACTTTTAAGTGTCTTGTGCTGTTGGTTATCAATAAGAAACTTGCATAGAGGAATGCACATGTAGGTATTTTTACGACGAAGCAGTTCAGGGTGGGGGAGCGGCAGCACAGGTAGAGTAGCAAAGTGGGATTTTGGATGCGAGAAGGTATGTGGTGGGTTTTGTACAAAAGTAGGTACCTTAGGTAGGTACCTAGGTAGGCTGCTAAGTAGAATGGGTGTTCAAATGGGGAAACGCCCACCTGCAGTTACACAAAGAATTAGGCGAATGACCAGCCGTATTGCGGTGGACGTCGGTAAGGTAGGAGGTACCCAATTCTTAAGACTGCAGGTGCAAATGCACTGGACATACATTCCATCCCGGCCTGCAGCCAACTTTATTATGAACAGGCTAGGTACATGATGAATAAACTACTATGTATTAGGTAACTATCCTGTTTCTTCTGAAGATTGTCCGAGGATGAGACTCGGTGGCGTCGAGTGGTTGCAGTCAAAGAAGGCCCCACGTACCAAAACTAGCCAATACCACGTTGAGATGTTGAGATGTATGCGACGAGGGGACTTGATGCGTTGGCTATAATATACCTAGGTAAGTAGGAGTGGTTCTCAAAAAGTAATAAGCCGCCTTGTTTAGAGGTACCTAAAAAGGTTGATATATCCATGGATACGATTTACAGTAGTTAAGGACTTATTACTTGTACCCTACATATGCATGCATCAATTGATACTCACATGTATAAATAGTTATGTTAGATATATATGATTACCCCTAAGCTAGGTACCTAATAATAGGATGTAGGTGGGAAATACAAAGCTGAACTTGAAGCTATTGTGTGTACCTACCTGTGTAAATCCCATCGGCTTTTGGGGGATGGGGATGTGGTTTGTAAAGTCTGACCAAGTTTACGCTGATACAACAAAAACAAAAACTATGGCTGTCTCTATTATAGGAAAAGAAACAGGCGTGAAGTAGGTACCCAATCAACTCGGTCACAAGCGTCTTCTACCTGCATCCTTCTTCCTGTAGAGGCAGACTCGACGAATCCTTTACAATTTTCATGCCAACCTTCTGAAGCAAAGAGACGCGATGGAATTATTTTATTACATACGACATACCAGACTTGATAAAACACTATACAACAGGTAAAGAATACCTTGCTCGAGTCATTCTAACTCGGCTTACAGGATCGCTATAAAACGCAACTACGTAAAGTACCTAACCTAAAGGAATGCTTAGAATAGGTACTGGGCACAGTTGCGTTAGCAATGTACACTACCTACATGTACATGTACCAGGTAGTGTATGAGTGTATGAAGAGGGCACCTGCAGCCTTATCTCTTTCTAACATTACCTAGCATTTGATCTACGTAATCACTGCTACTTCATTTCATTTTATTTTTTACTTTTTTTAATAAAAAAAAAGAATTGCGGGTCTGACAGCCTCAGACAAGCCTTTCCCATTTTCACAGGTGCGAGCCCCGAGCAGAACCTTGACAGCCCTGGCAGCTGGCAAGATTTCTAGAAGTTCTTCCCGACGCAGCCGAAACGGTGTCTCATGTCTGTCTTCTCATCACTATCACATCATCTCCTCACCTTCGCCCTTTGATATTCTTGCTTGATTAGTTTTCACCTGACTTTTTTATTCTTGTGATAGCTATCTTCTATTTCGCGAGCGCATCCTTTCTTTCACTTTTATAGCTCCCCCGCTTCCCCTCCTCTTCCGCCTTCTTTCGCGGGAGAGAGCTGTTGTATTCATATCACACCACCCGAGCGAGCATCACCTCAGCACGCCAGTGCGGCTCAGCTGAGCGCCAAACCCGATCATCCTTTCAGCTACCGAAAAAATAATATCGCGTCACATACTTTCTTCGCTGACACTTTTGTCGCACTTAAAGGGAAGCCATCATGTCTGAAAGGCGAACCAGGCGGCAGGCCGCTTTGGCAGCAGCAGCAGCTTCAGCCCCCACGGCTGGCGATGCCGACAACACTCTTACCAACAATAATCAGGACGAGGTTGTTATGAACGACAATAATAAAGAGGCTAAAAATATCAATAAAGTTGGGAGCAATGGCAACGGCGACGCCATTACATCGTTAGATCCTAAGGTGAATAGCCTGCCGAAGGAAAATATATTCCTATTTTGGCCTAATATTATAGGTATGCGCTTACCAAGTTCATTCAACACCACCATTCGATTACACAGCCTCGTGATGCCCTCCTCTATATAGTACCTAGTTACCAGTGTTGGTGCCTTGTATTAACCCGGAAACTCGAAAATTATAGGCTACTCTCGTATCGTCCTAGCTATCGCATCTCTCTACTACATGCCCCTCCATCCGCGCACATGTTCCATACTTTATAGTATCTCGTGTCTCCTTGACGCCCTCGATGGCTACGCAGCCCGTCATTTTCAGCAGTCAACCAAGTTTGGCGCCGTTCTGGACATGGTAACCGATCGATGCACTACCTCATGCCTACTTGTGTTCCTGTCCTCCGCCTTCCCGCGTTGGGCGATCGTATTCCAGGGGTTGATTTCGATCGACTTTGCGAGTCACTATATGCATATGTATGCCACATTGGCTATGGGCGGTTCGGAGACCAGCCATAAGAATGTAGACAAGTCACGAAGTTGGCTATTAAACCTGTACTACACCAATAAGGTCGGTTTCTCCTCTTGGCAAAAGCCCTGTCATCTGTTTTAGCTTACCATGTCCTAGACTGTGCTCTTCATTTGCTGCGCCCTTAACGAAGTCTTCTTTATTGCCTTGTATCTGCTATCCTTCTCCTCGCCACTTTTGTCGCCTCAGCTCCTCGAACCCCTTGGCGAGTCAAGAGCTGCTGCCATCCAGACTGGAGCACAGGTTAACAGTTCAGTCCTTCGCCAGCTCTTCACCAACCCTTATAGTGCTGGTGCTTTAGAGATGGCGCGCGCAAACAAGATGGATTCTACTTTTCCTTGGATCCTTGCTGGAGTCAGCGCTCCTATCATGGCCTTAAAACAATTCCTTAATGTTCTTCAGCTCGTCAAGGCAAGCAGGTGGCTAGCCGAAGGCGATGTCCAGTCGAGAAGAGCGGCTGGTTTGCCGAGACCAAAGGACGATAAGCATGCCTAAGAGAAAATGTTTCTTAAGTAGAGGTTTAGCGACCGTATACGATCAAGTAGTCATATGTGGATCAGCATAAACCTGAACGGGGCAAAGCCATGGGGATGGTGTGTACGAAAAAGTACGATTTCATTAAAAGGAGCGTCGGGCATCGGGGAGCCGGCATGGTTCTTATTCAACGGTTGCATAGGATCGGTCATGGAAAGCATGGATAGGGATCTGGCTTGATAACCGGGTATGTTCCTCGCAAGTCGATTAAAGGGGCAGAGGGAGGCTAAACAGGTTAATTAGGTGCATGTCCCTAGGGCACCAAGGGGATTGATTGTCTTCGTTGTAAATATGTAATCCTAATAATGAGTTTCGTTAAACTCACATGTGCGATATAGAAGGGGGTCAGTCGGTAGGTGCAAAATCTGATACCTTAGGTACCTCTATCTTTATGACGAGAATTATATAGAAGAGAGTTGATCTCGTACCGCGCATGTATGATGCCTGTTCTGTTTCACTTTGACAGCTACCGAAGGTCTATTTATCTGCGACGGCCTGCATTGGCGGGAATAGCCGTCTCCACACGTATACTTTGAAATAGGGGGAAGGGGGGGAAGAAATTCACGAACGGTGAGGATGGTGCAGGATTTAGCTTTACTCCGAGGTAAGTACAGGTACCTACCTACCTACCTAACATAATAGTAATACGCCCCATTGAGGACGAGGATTGAACCATGAATCTTCAAAATAGCCTTGTTAATCACGTTGTTTCGACTCAATGTCATACTATTATCCATAAGGATTAAACGATATAGTTCAGGTAATTAAGCCGTCCAAGACAACTACCTAAGGTACCCGTATGCATGCATCGGTCATGTGTAGGGCTGCATCGGAAATGTTCCAGACGATCGAGTTTCGAGGCTTTCTTCTCGTTGTGCTTCTCCGCGGTAAACTGGAATGAGGAATAAAAAAGCATGTGTAGGTACCTTAGGTTAAGTTAGGTACCTGGTATAGAGAATGGTGCTTGGTCTAGCTTGCGTTATGTGTGGTGTCTTAGCAGGGTAAAAGCAAAAGATGTCTCGACTCTATTCTACGATCAACGCGGCATGCTACATTTTGTCTTGGGAGAAGTAGGAGGCTGAAGAAGTGCCTAATCTCCTTTGCCTTAACCCCACACCGCTTGTATGATATGCTATAGGTAGTCCTCCTGTATTCGAGATGCTAGTAGACGTATGGTCTATAGACTTGCCTTGGAACCCACGATCTCACTCCGAAGGGGGTTAAATATAGCTGGCATACACTAGTTAGAGTAGATAAAAAACACAATGGACACATCCCAGTACCTAATTACCGAAAGTAAACTGTCGGGTAGGTAGAAGATATCAATATCATCAGATCAAGATTTGAATGAATCTATGGAACAGGAGTCTCCCCAAAGAAGTGGATATGAAGCGCATCACAATTCACACTCCTCTTCCCCTCTATCCCCATCTCATACTAGGTACGGACTACCTCAACATCTTCCCCATTAACTACACCGCAGGTGGGATGCTGCTATACACGCATATACATACATACATTCATGCATACCTCGTATCTTAACGCCCGAAGACAGCCCTCAAAGCCACACGGTCACCCATTCATCTATCTATCTAGTAGCTATCTATCTATGTACGCCATTTGCTAGCAAAGAAGCAGACCCAGACGGCACAGACCGGAGATGCTCAGCAACCGCCCAACTACCTAGGTACCTGGACGGGTGAAGAATAAATATCGCGCCTCATGCGGGCTTGACGTTCGGGGGGCCTAGATACAGTAGTAAGGTCTGGGATTGGTATTGTACCGAGCGCTGCAGAGGAAGTCGTACAGATCACATCAGATGACCTCCCACACCCTACATAATGCTCCCGGTAGGCGGCAGCCCGTGCTGCATGGAGACAGGGCCGATACCACGGGAAGGGGAATCGAGGGAGGGAGGCAGCGGGCAGCGGGTTGGTGCTGCCAATTTGTGTCTCACCTCCCACTTGGGGTCTCGACTCTCCGTTGACTTGCTGGCAAACGTCATTGTTTGTTCATGGGAGCTTGGTTTGGTTTTAATCGGAAAGAGAGAAGGGATCAATTGCCTGGTGGTTAAATATGAAAGTTTACACATGTGCACACGGTAGGTGCCTAGTGACTAGTCAAGCTAGGTTAAAACACGAGTTGCTCTTCGTGAAGGATAAGTTAGATACAGGTACCTAACTTAAGGTAGGGTAAGGTAGGTAGGTACCTAATCTACTAATGGAGCATGTGGCGTCGAGATCGTCCACGATTCGACATATGCACGCCGCCGAAGACAGCAGTATACGGTATGGTCTTGGGTACACATGCTTCATTGATACCGGTCATGTAACCAAAAAAAAAAAAAAAAAAAAAAAAAAGAAACCGTCCGCCAACCTTGCCGCTAGGTATCAATCCTGCGTTCACTCACTCATTATGCCGCAGTCAACTTTACCATCAGAGGAGGCTTATGCCAAGCGATATAGTTCTTCTGATTATCGAGCCAGTTTCTGCACTCGGGCATTAATTCGATATCGAAGCTGTAAATAAGCTTGGCGAGTATAACCCGAGTCTCCATGCGTCCCATCGTGAGCCCGAGGCAGTTCAATGGTCCGGAGCTAAATGGCTGTGGATAGGTTAGCATTTGATCCATCTCAGGCTGTGTTACGTATCTTAGGTTCTGAATGCGTATTGCATCTGAGCCATCGGCATCCATGAAGTTAAGCCAGCTGATGGTAATGTGTGAAGAGGGAATCGTGCATACCTGGAAGACTTCTCTCACGTCATTGGCATACCTCTCGTCGCCTAGCCAACGTTCAGGGACAAAGCTTTTCGCGTCTTTGAAATATCTCTCCAGGCGACCAATAGCATGGTTATGGATGCCAATCATAGAGCTTTGAGGTATGAAATATCCATCTACAACGCACCCCCCAGAGAACACCTCTCGCGGGTGGAAAGATGTCGCGACTGGCGGCCAGACTCGCATGGATTCGTCAATTGCAGCGATGAGATATGGTAGAGCGACCACGGAAGCGGCGGTAATATCCTGATCCGATCTGAACGTAGACCGGATCTCGCGTTTGGCTCGATCCATGTCCTCCGGGTGGGTGAGCAGGAGGAAGAGCGTAGTAGCAGAGGCTGTTGCTACCGTCTCCGATCCGGCTGTGACTAGCATTTGCGCATTAGCATACATCTGTTCTTTCGTGAGCACTTCGCCGGCTTTGCTTTCGCTGGTAATGAACGACATATAATCCGGGTGGCCTGTTTCCTTGGTATCCATCCTCTTGTCCACTAAGTCTAGAGTAGTCCTAAGATGATACTCCTGCGCATCTGCAAAGCTTTTTGGAATAAAGAACTTCTGCCAGATCCAAAGTGCCCAAGGCGATATGTCGTTGAGCGCGTGGGTATAAACCCCTGATGTGAAGTAGGCCATGCTAATTTTGATCCACGGGTGGTATTGCTCCTTCTCAACGCACTTGAAAACATCCTCGCCAAATACCAGGTCTCCTTGGATATCAAAAGTTGCCCACATGGTATACTTTTCTATGTCCACAGCATCTCCTCCGGCCGAGGCGTTGCGTAACTTCTGTATCATAGCGTTGATGTATCCCATGACGAGGGGCTCTTGTTCCCGGGAGGCCTTTTCAGAGAATGCCGGGTTGAGCTGACGACGTATTTGAGCGTGCTCTTGCACCCCAGCTTGAAACATGCCTACGGCGCCAAACTTCTCTTTCACCGTTGCGGCCCGCGAATCGCGGGTCAAGGGGCCACCTTTACCATAGCGCGGACCGTACAAGTCTTTGAAAGACGTCGGGCCAGCACAGGATACCTCGCCGGGGCCGACACGTACAATGGGGCCATACTTCTCATGTAGCTCAGCAAACTTGTAGGGTAGCGTTCCTTGCGCTCTGGACCAGCTTATAGGAAGAGGGGAGATGGCGTATAGCTTTGGACCCGGTATAGGGGCTAGTGGGTGGAAGAAGGCATTATAAAGCGCGTTGGCAATTCCTAGTCCTAAAGACTTATACAAATTTTAGTAAATATAAACTGTAGTTATACAATTCGATTAGGTAGTTAGCCTTACCAATAGGATAGAAAAGACGAAAAGCTCTATAAAAGAAGCTCTTTGAAACTGTTCCACGAATGTGATGTATCCGGACGACATTGTAACTTCGTGTTAAATATTGGTTGATTGATCCCGACTTTTCATAAACACACGCAAGCTATATTTCCTGGTTTTTTTTCTAAACTATCATGTTTATATATGTATAACGAGGACTTTCCATCGTCTCTGATTTTGTTTCATTTATTTCTCTGGTTTCAGAACAATCCTCGAGAGTGGGGAGCTACTTACACCACATCATTATCAATATATGGATCAATGGATTACAGATGTACTGACAGTTCACATCTCCACGCATGATGGTGGTAGTAATCGGTTATAATATAAACTACCTATCCAGTCACCTCGGTTGAAATAATTACCACGATATCGGCACTTGAGTGGCACAAGGACTGGCTGTGGATGTATGAAGAGGGGTGACGATAATACAACTACGGCGGTTGACGAGAATTGGCAAGACATAACCTTAACCACTCAACCGTGGCGGATGTTGATCGAATGAACCGTTCTGACATAGCTGCTAAAGACTACCAATAACGGATGTACGCCCTCTCAATCTTGGTGTCCTCTTGTAGAATATTGGAGAATATAGGGGGGCTGCTCTCGCCGTTATCTCTTCCAAATTCGACGAGCCCAGACTCGAGATATATAAATAGAATCGAGAAGCGATGAAGCTAGTGCGAGCCGGTAGTTCTTTAACGATGTATTTCGAATAAAACCATTGGCTCTGTTTAAGATGCTGATGAGAACCTTATGCGATAAGCCAAGCATCTCGAAAGTGATGACCTATGACTTATACATTTTTCTGTATTGGTACGGTTGGAGTCGGCGATGCGACTTACAAAGCTTACATACCTACCTAGGTACCTAGAAAAGGTACCTTTTAAAGGTAGTACAGATTACGGTGATGGAAGATCTCAGAGAAGAAGAATCATTGTAATTGTTGTTGATGTTGTAAAGGTTAGGTTACTATACAAGATCCACTGATGGTGGAAGTACATATACATTATGTCATGTGACAGAAGAGCATTTCTCCACTGAGCTGCAGCACGGGAACTCCCTAACCAATGGAGGACTAGGGGGTTTACCCCACTACGTACCGGGTAGGTATCGACCTAAGGTATTACGATGTATTGTACCTATATTCGATTCAATACCGTACCTAATCCATCCACCCAAAAGGACACAGCTACTATCCCTAGTTACATGCTACCCCACATATCAAAATTCAAGGTTCGATATCGCAAACATAAACGAATTAATCTGAAATAACAAGTACCTGTCATAATAAGAAACAAAACAGAAACAAAACAGCAACTAAATACTTTACATCCCGCAAAACGCAAACCACACCTAACATCACCATACTCCCAACGGACCTATTACGGGGGGTAGCTTCCACCATGTCGCATCCCCGAGTAGAAGAAGTATCCGACAGCGATCTCTCGGACCCTAGCGAGGGCGACATTGAAGACTTCCTCGAATCCGACATCCTACGACAAAAAGCCCCCGCGGCCTCCTCCTCCTCCTCCTCCCGCGTCCCTCCCCCTCCCACCAGCAGCAGCGGTAGCGGCAGCGGCCCTTCTCTCCAACACCCCTCCTCCGCCCCGCAAGCCCAGCAGATCCAAGCCAGCGACATAAAGGACTACCAGATGCTGTACCCGGTGTACTTCGACGCGACGCGCTCCCGCGCCGAGGGCCGCCGCGTGTCCAAGGCCCTCGCGGTCAAGAACCCGCTGGCGCGCGAGATCGCCGCGGCCTGCGCGGCGCTGCGGCTGAGCCCCGTGTTCGAGGCGCACCGGGTGCACCCGAAGGACTGGGCGAACCCGGGGCGGGTGCGGGTAAAGCTCGCCAAGAGCACGGCGGCGACGGCGAACGTTAAGAACAAGCACCACCTGTACGTGCTCGTGGCGCGCCACCTCCAGGCGCACCCGACGACGGACCAGAGCGACGCCCTGCGCCGCGTGCGCGTCCCCGGGCTCGGCGCCCCCGCCGACGACGAGCCCTGGCCTCGCCCCGCCGTGCCCCGCGGCTGGAAGATGGGCGAGCTGCTGCCGGCGTACAGCGCCGCGATGACGGGCGGCGGGGTTAGCGAGAACGCGTTCAAGGACATGATGCGCGAGATGCAAGGTGGTGGTGGTGGTGGTGGGGGTATGGGCGGCGGCCCGGCCGATATGATGAGTATGCTTGGGCAGGGACTCGGAGGATTTGGAGGACCGGGAGGTGCGGGGCCGAGTGGGAGCGAGGCGGGCGGAGGAGGTGGGAAGAAGGGCAAGAAAGGGAAGGGGAAAGCATGAGTGAGTGAGTGAGTGAATGAACTTTGAGGGGCTGGGGAGGGACAGGTCTGCGAGTACGAAGAAATGAGAGATGTTATTACTCTTAAAGTTAGAATAAGAAAGAAGCAAGAACTCTCAAGGAGTAGAAGTAGAATTCCTATCATCATGGAATATACTGTATCTTTTAATGAGCTAATCTATCTTTACTTTTCACTCGTTTAATGAGTGAAAATGTAACCGTATTCCCATTTTATTTGGCTTAAAGCCTCAGTTTCATTTATATTCGAAAGTAATTGTAATGAAACTTTTAATCGTAACTATCAGGCGTTGATTTAACTCATATTTCAATATTTTGGATAAATATATACACTACACATCGAATAGTGATTGGCCCCTTTCCCCAAAGCTAAATCTCATGCTCAGACAGCTCTCTTAGCAAGTACCCGCAATCGCTTTACTCCACCATCGGGGATAATAGTAAGTTTGACATGCGTAAACCGACGGTCCTTAACCTTAGACTCGAAGCTATGCTCCTGATCAGGACCGCACTTACTCGGCTCGAGGACCTCTGTCCAGCCCTCAGCATCCGCCGGTGGTTCCCCGGCCCCCGTCCACTCTATAGCGTCGATCTTGGCCTTCTGAGGGAAGTTTCCCCGGAAGAAGGCCGTGTCTACCACGAAGCTCTGGATCAGCGCCGGGGCGCCCAGGCGGATGATGGCCCAGTCGACGTGCCCCTTGGTCCGGGATCGCGCCGTCTCCCACCCGTCGCCCATGTCCTTGCCCCGCCCCGGCAGGATCAGGTTGTCCTTCGTGCCGAAGTGCTGGTCGCTGCAGGAGACGGCCACCCCGCCGTTCTGCGCGGCGGCCAGGTCGAAAACCGCGTCGACGTCATCCGGGAAGACCGGCACCGCGTGGCCGAACAGGCGGAACCTCGCGATGCCGCCGTCCGGGTACATGTTGAGCCGAACGTGGGTGTACTGTTTCGAGGTGGAGGGGTTATCCAGCTTCCAGGCGAACCGCTGGGAGGGACCGCACTCCCGGATATCCAGGATGGTTTCCCATTTCCCGTGCTGCCCCTTCCACGAGAGGACCTCGTCGTCATCGGCAGAGAAGCACCCCTCAACTGAGATCGCGGGCGCATGGTTCCCCGAGAAGAAGGCCGTGTCGATCTCGACTCCCTCGATGGTCCCGGACGCTACGCCGAGCCGGATGACGACCCAGTCGAAGGGCTCCGGGTTGTGCCGCCGCGTCTCCCAGCCATCGTACCAGGCGCCCGTATATACCATCTTACCGGGCTGCCTGATGGGAGGCGTGGGCGTCAGCAGGTTGGCGGCATCGGCGAACCATTGGTCGGAGAAACCTAGGACCTTGCCTCCCAACGTTCCGGAAATCAAGTCTAAGGGGATTTGCGAGTTAGCCGGAAGGAAGTTCTGACTGATTCATATATTTCTTTCTTTCTTTCTTTTCTTCCGACACTAAACATCCTCACGCGCTCAACGTCCCACGTACCGATGCTGGAAGATCGGAAAGTCTTATCGATGTCGTCCGAGGCGATAGGCGTAGCCTTGACGGCGTCTAATTTGTACTCGATGTCTTCAGCCATGCTTTTTGATTTTTGATTCAAAACACCAGCTGCGGGTTTTCTACCTCTACGTAATGTGGCGTTCCTTAACGGGGATATTTCAAAGAACGTAATACCTATAACTAACATAAAAAAGCAAAATAGAGTTTAATACCAGGTAGGTAGGTTAGATACCTGTTTTCTTTTACATTAATTGTCTACCCAAACCCCGTTCTGACCTCGAAATCGCAATACGCTAATCTGGTGGGGCAAGCTCCGGATTACGGCCAACGGGTGATAGATAGATACCTCTGGTAATGATGTTAGTAAATTGCATGTGTATTAAATGCGTCTCAAGATCGGACGTCAAATCTGCGGGTTGCCGACCAATTGTGTAACTGGATGGTAGGCGGCCTAGGACATGTGTAATATCGTTTACATGTACTTGTGTATGTGTATACCTATCAGCCCCGCAATGTCTTTCTCTCGTTTGTCTCTAATGTACGGTTTAGTATAATATCAATAATCTTTCTATTTTTCGTATTCAGGTTAAATAATGCATAAGGCTCCGAGGTAGATACAAATTCTCGACCTGACCTCATACGTAATGCATTGAACTCACATAAAATTATGAAATATTGTACTACTTACATGTATACCTTACAAATAGTTAGACCTTCCCGAACTAAGTGTCATCTGTGTAACTCCCCCGCACTAGCTTAGGCATGTACATACGTAGTCCGCCCTACGATACAGCAATTGCTTGGGAATCGCAGGGTTCTGATAGGTCAAAGCTTCCCTTCAGCAGCAGCCCGTCATGTCCGCTGTCGATGATGTGAGCACCTGGGCAGTGAGCTAGATCCTTTTAGAAACTTCCCTACCTTCCCTTAGGTATTGTATTGTATTGCACCTTACCTCATGCCCAGCCATCTTATTGTCCAGCGGAGTTTCCATTGTAGAAAAAAAGACAATATGAAACAACTTCCACCTTCCATCCGCAAATACTGTGAGAGAGTAATTTCTTATTCTTTCCTACTACCTACCTACCTAAGAGGTACCTAGTAAAAATCAACTCTCTCTACCTAACATACGTCAAAATAACCCAACAACTCTGGAATCCTCGATCTACCCTGTCTTATTTATATACCTAATCCTAAGCTGATAACATTATCGTAATACACTACACAAACCCCCCCTAAACAGTGCGGCGGTGGATCCCTAAAGCAAAAACGCTATCTGGACAATTAAAAATAGCCAGAATGGCTTCGGCGACGGGAATACCCCAACATCCCCCGATCGACTCGGACAATGACGGACAACACAACGACGGACACCAAGGTGGTGATCTAGAACCTCTACTCGGCCGCACGGGCGATGCTTCTCAAAGAGAGAATGCTCCCATAATCAAAAACCTCGTCATCGGTACGATTTTGTCTTTCTTTTTCTTTTCTATTGTAGACCTAGACCTAGCATTATATGCTACTTAAATTATATATACTTGTTTATCCCATAGATACTACTCAATACCTTACCTATATCTGTCCAATCCACCGTTACTTTACTTTACCTTCCACTACTGCTTTTACACTATGCCAAAGCTCATACAATCCTCAGGCACCGGCGTGCTCGCCGAGGCTGGCGCCATCCTCCTCGTGGTCTCGGTCTGGGCCGCTGTCTTCCTCCACGGGCCGCTGATCCTGTTCTCCGTGCACCCGCTCGCGCAGTCGTTCGGCCTGCTCGTGCTCATCCAGTCGATCCTCGTCCTGCAGCCCACGCACACCGGCGCCCAGAAGCAGGTCGGCCAGAAGATCCACGCCGGCCTCAACTTCCTCGGCATCATCTCCTTCGCCGTCGGCGTCATTAGCATCGAGGTCAATAAGTCCATAAATAACGGCCCTCATTTTCACTCCGTCCACGCCTACCTCGGCGTCATCGCCTCCTTCTGGATCCTCTTCCAGTACCTCGTCGGGTTCACCATGTTCGCTACCCCGAAGCTGTACGGCAGCGAGGCGAAAGCTAAGAGCATCTGGAAGTACCACCGTTCCAGCGGCTACGTTCTTCTCTTGTTCCTCGCGGCCACCGTCATCAGCGCGACGCAGACCGACTACAACCTTGCTGTTCTCGGGTTGAGGTTGTGGGCTATGATCGTGATCGCCGTGCTGATTATTCTTGGCGTGTTCCCGCGCATCAGGAAGCAGAAGCTCGGTTTTTAAGAATGCCGCAATGGGAAAAGAGAATTTATATTGGAGAGTATACAGCGCACTGCATAAAAACACCAAGGTTGGGGTTTGCGTTTAAGAGGCCATATGCTAAGCATATTCGGTCAGTTTATGTGCGGTTTTGGATCCCCCCTTCTATTTCTTTTATGAGGTACTTGGCTGTGGCGTCAAATATTGTTCTCGGCTCGGTCGGTTTGGTACCGGAGCCTTCGTCTTAGGCGGGGTCAAAGGCGAATTTTTGATTTATTTTAGGTTAGGTTAGGTAGGTTCGGCATAACCATAGTGGGCATCTAAAAATGGATGGCAGGTTGTTATGAGCAGATAGTTTGTTTACGTTGGGATTCGGAAGGGCAAAGCAGTAATAAAACATGACGTGATATCCTATCTATTTCTCATTTACATTCGCATTCACATTTGCATTGCCCATCTCATCAAATAAATTGCTTCGACAGAATCTCCCAATGGGATTATTCTATTCGTGACTTGGCATTAGAGTTAGGTAGTTATATTGAAGTTCGTTATGGCATGACCTACTTCGCCCCGACTGCCCCCCGGTCAGTGGTAATTCGAAGTTTAGGACTTGTCACAAAGCCGTAATTGCGGCGAAAACTCATTTCATTGCAAGAGCATTGATTTCCCTAGGACAATTTATCGAAGACAAGATATACCAATTTCTGCGTAAACCAACCAACCAACCAACCCGGACCCAACCCAACCTAATCAACACACATTATTTGTTACCAAGTTATCACCAGTACCGCAAACCCCGTCACACTAAATACCATAGCTTCACGCGTTTACACGTTTACACACGTCCCAAATAAAACGGGAAAGATATCATCGCCAACATCATCACCATCATTACCACAGCTCGCACATCGGCTCCTTAATCGGGCACTTGAAGCTCTCCCTGAAAGCCTTGGAGTTCGCCGTGGTGCCCAGGATGCGGGCGAAGGCGGGCGAGTGCGGGTCGGTGTAGATGCGGCGGAGGGCCTCTTCCCGGCGGTTCATGCCGCACCACCAGTTGGCGTAGAAGACGAAGAAGAGCTGGTCGTGCGTGAAGAAGTCGAGCCCGGGGAGGTCCTGGTCGGACGATTCCTCCGTGCGGCTCTTCCACGCCGCGAACGCCGCCGACACGCCGCCCGCGTCCGCGATGTTCTCCCCCAGCGTGAGCCGGCCGTTGACGTGTAGGGACTCGCCGTTGCTGCCCTCGACGGTGAAGTTGGCGTACTGCTCCACGAAGCAGTCGGCGCGCGTCTCGAACTCCCGCACCGTGTGGTCCGTCCACCAGTCCGTGAAGTTCCCGTGCTCATCGTAGTGTCGGCCTGAGTTGTCGAACGCGTGCGAGAGCTCGTGGCCGGCGACCGACGCGAAAGCGCCGTAAGACACGTAGCTTGGAAGCTCCAGCTGGAAGACGGGGAATTGCATGATGCCGGCCGGGAAGACGATTTCGTTCCCTACCGGATTGTAATAGGCGTTGACAATATCAGCTTGCATGCCCCACTCGCCATGGTCAACTGGTTTCCCAAGGGTTGACCAGGTCCTGTTAATTTCCAAAGTGTTGCTCGATAGAGTATTGTTGAAGAAAGATGTGGAAATATTTAATCCGTTGTAGTAAGCTTGTAGCATCTTTGGATTCGTTATATTCGGAGAGGTAGTTGGGAAACCGATTTTCTGGTCGATATTGTTTACCTTGTTCACGGCCAACTTCTTAACTGAGTCATCCATCCAGCTAAGATCATTCAACTTCGAAATAAACTGCTTCTTGATGTCAAGAATGATCTGGTCGCCGAACTGCTTCGCCTCATCCGAGAATGTCGCCTCGATATAAAATCGACTCAAAATCCAGCCCACAGTAGAATCAACATAACTAACACACGTCTTCCATCGCTCAGTCTTCGTATCGGGGTTCTATAAACTGTCAGGTGCCTGCTAGATTTGAACATAGATAGGTAATAAATGCGTACCCTTCCAAATAGAGTGTTAGAAAAGCGAAGAATTGGTTGGACTTCTGGACCTTCGACGTAAGAAGAATATTGGTTTATTAATTGCCAAATCAAATAGCTTTGCACAGTTGACTTGGAAGTCTTAGAGAGAATGTCAGAGACTTTGCCTAGGAATTCCGGGAAAGCTAATAGCATGCTGTTTGTCGTGTAATTATGCGGAGCTAAAGATTTGACGATAGAGTCCAATCCGATGGCTGGAGCAATTTTGCCAACATCATCAATATTGACGATAGTGTAGTATTTCTAATCCGATTAGCTTTGTCCATAAACTTGAATATTAAATATAGTCTTGCTTACGGTGACGTCGGATTGATCCTCGGGAGACGGTGTTGCCGCTGCAATCTTCTTCTCAAAGTCAATAACAGATTGTGCAAGCTGCTTGGCTGAGGATCTCGACGAGTTTGTCGGAAGGAGACTAGCGAAGACTTCTCCTAGCATCGTTTCGTACGTGCTCACTGTGTCTTTATCATGATAGTACTCTGGCGAAGGTAAGGTAAGTCCAGCTGGGTATCCCTGAATAATGACCACATCAGGGTTCTTATCATCAGCGCCAGCAGTAATGCCTATGAAGGAAGGAACCCCAATTCTCTCGAGAAGCAGAATGGTATTGCTAAGAGCAGCATAGTCAGCTTCTCCAAGTGAAGCGTCACTTCCGGAAGCACCATCGACAGGGAAAGATGCAGCAACTTGGTTTATCAACCTAACCAACGGCTCAACACCTATTTCTTGAAGGGTTGCTTCATCTAGGCATGAGTTATAAGCATCTTGTACCATACGGAAATTCTCTTCGTCGGTAGAGGCAGCAATCTCGATGAGATTTTGAGGGGAAAATGAAGAATGCTAGAAAGTGATTAGCCAGATGTAACCCAAATTCCAATAGGAGCCAGCGTGGTTCTATCTCCATATACCCTTCGGCCTATGCTCTTAGGTCGAGAGACTAGGATGTTTAATGGTACTAGAAACACGCTTACCTTTGAAATAGTCGGGTAAGGGGACTCTAGAATATGCCTGAGAGTGGTTTGGCCATTTTCTAACATTATAGTCGCTGTCGAATAACTAGATTTATCCTGCGGAATATCATGACGATTGATGAATCCATCACAGACGAGAGTATCGAAGTCTGTACATGGATCAATTTTCTTATATTCCGGGGATAGATTACCTAGTAGTACAGTAAGCTCTTGTTCATTGATTGGGGATTCCAGAAGTTTACTAACGGAGAATTTCGGACGATGCATGTATGCACTAAGGCAGATAAAAGTTAATGACTTCCTTTTGCATAATTCTGTTTTAAACCACTTCTGAGTGAAATTACTCTCCAAGGAGCTTGATTACGGGGTTCTGCTCTCTAGGACAAGCTATACGGAAGAGGATAGACTGGAGGTACTACATACGGCCGGTGACAAACACAACGATGGAGTCTTATCAGGCGCCTGACCAACATGTGAGAAGACTATAATGCTATTAGAAACGGCTTCTTCTAGGTGAAGGCAAGGATGCAAGTAGGAAGGATGAATTCGCGGTTGAATGTAAGTTTCTTTCCTTTTCCAATCCAAGCATTACGTCAAGGCATGGCATCGGTCTAATCTAACTAATAGCAATGGGATAAAGATTGAAAGCGTAGTTATATAATGTCAAAACCAGATAATGTTGTCGATTATCCACGATGGTGTATCCCGAGGGACGATAAGACTTACTACCAGAGAAAATTAAGATAAGGATGAAAGCGACGATGAGCAAAGCGCTGACGACCAACGATATCCAACGGCGATGTCTCAAGGTTTTGACCTCGCTGTTAATGTTGAGGTTTTCTGTAGCCGAATCTAGCCGGTTCTCGTCGGTACGGCCATTAGGTGCATCGCGAAGTAAGGGTGTCCGCTCGCTATTTGGAGGTTGACTTTGAGTAGCCATGGTTGTTGATTAATGACGAGAGAGATTTTGAGCTAAGCGACGATGGTAACGTGCGCGCAACTGCTTATGGGAGTACCCGAATCCGATCTCCGTAGTTCGTAGATGTCTCCGTAGATGTGACCTACCACAAGCATAGCACAACTAGCTTAGGTAGGTACGGATGAGATGATGAAGTGACGTTCAGGCGAACTTGGCTCTACTATGTAAGGTAGTTGAGGTGGCAAATGAGAAAGATGAGGCGAAATCCATGGCGGGCTTATGGGCTTGTGGGCTTGTTGACGGAGCAGCAGAGAAGAAACTGGCAGAGAACTGACAGAGAACCTCTATACGCTAATCCTGAATGGGACATGAACTGCCTAATTTCTGGGGTAGCTGAGTTATTCATCGCCAATATCGGCATTTGATTGGTTCAATGGTGCTACTAACGGTCAGCACGCCGGCACGCGGAAGCTTAATCTTAGCATGCCTAGAACTGCTAGACTGTCAGAAAGGGGTAAGTGGAGCCAGCTTGACAATGGAATTATGGAATCATTGTATTCATTGTTGATGTTGTAAAGGTAAAGGTTACCTAAGTACTGTATAAGATCCACCTAGTTAGTACGTAGGAGAAGTATAAATAAATACATTATGTCATGTGACACAGCTGATGGGCTGACAATGCAGCCACATCTTTCCCCATTATCCCCAATCACCTTCTACCTTAGGTACCTGGGTAACTAGACTAAAATACCTGTATATTATTAGTCCCATATAAAAACAACTCTATTCAAGAGGGAGAATCTCCAAAGTCTATCCAACGCACTTATCTCTTAAGTCCTGACTTAAGTTCAAGATTCTTACCCTAATAATTAGCTAAGGTAGGTTCCTATTATCTAGGCAATTTTCAACAGAGGTCAAAATACAAGCAACTACCAGATACCTGCCTAATCTTAGAAGAACGTTATACCTGGTAACTCGGGGGATATACAAAACGAAAGTCATCAAGTTCCGGGTCTTTAACTTGTTGCTCTTTGGGAAGTTTCCGACCCCGAGCCCAAGTTGATGTTAATCCCGCCGATGTGATATCCAGCTTAACAGACATACGCCGCGTTGAGATGCATTTTTAACCATAAGCTTTTCTGAGTCGTCTAGTTACGCTTCTCCTCCGGTAAAAAATTGATAATAGGTATCCAGATTTACTCTATCAATCCCTGATAGCAGTTTAGACGTTAAGAACATATAACATGAAGGGAGTAAATCGAAACGTGTCCCAAAAGGAAGCTTCCATGCAAGGGCACAGCATGCCTTAGTAAAACATACTTGATTAGCTGGTGTATCTAATTATGTTTGACACTACTTATGGGTCCTATAGGTTTATCCTTTGGCCCTGCTCTACCATCCTTTCATCATTTTCACGCTACGGCGATGTTGCATGATAGGTACGTATAATCTGTGTATATGGACCCGATATGGGTCCGATAGATATACCCTGTCTCCTAAAACCCGATAGCCTCACTTCGTCTTGAGATGTTATTTCGTACCGCTGAAAAGCCGAAGCAAACACTGCCTACACTACCGAAGCCTTCCCCTTGTTCCTGGAGACCCGTCCGCCTCAATTACAGGGAAGGTGACCTCACTCAGGGGCCGGGGTGCCACGGCTCCTAAGAAGCCAGGGTCATATACCTTAGATAGCCTCGCCGACCTTGTACAGCAACTCTCGACACCTGTAGCCTTGTGTAGTCGGACTGAGACAGCATACTTACCGTGAAAACGCCGACGGGACACACACAAACCGTCCTGCGGGTCAAGTCATGCTGTGCTATTGACTTTCTGCCGGAGCTATTTTGACGTCGGGGAGCACCTGACGTGGAATAGCATGTGGTATCAGTCCACTCCTACAATCCTCCCATGTCGAGGCAACCCTACTTCGTAGGCTTTCGAGCCCATGGCACACACGGTTCGTAGCGCGCACACTTGGGGGAGTTTTAAGAGGTTCTCAATATGGACTCTCTACCGACTTCGTCCTGACTGCCCGACTGCCCGACTGCTCGACACGGTTTGGTCACTACGGGGAGGAGAAACTTCCCGACTGGTGACTGAACAGTTGAAGTAGAAGGCTTACGTATACGTCAATGGCTTGCCTAGAAGGTTCTACGAGGGGTAGACTACCTCATATTACAATCCGGACATCTTACCCTAATAATGGGCTCGCTAAGCTATGAAGCCAGTGTTAACTTGTTGGGCTGCTGAATATTCTCCCCCAGGTCACCGGTATGGATATAGTGAGACCTTGGAGGATCAATCTTTAGCTGGAGGGTATTGGATATGCAGCTACACCTCGGGCTATGTACGGCCCAAGAGTACAATCTCGACTGATAAGGGGCAAGCCACTCAATCATGATGCTATTATGTCGTGCAAGATTGGTGACAGCTTTTTCGGCCTCCACATGCGCTGCAGATGCAGTCTAACTATCTCGGAAGGACAAGTGCGGATCGGAATGGGTAGGAGCGAATAAAAGCTCATGTATTCCCGTTAGCTTTTCATCTCCCAATCTATCATGACGGGAAACGATCGGTGTGGAATTATCAGTAACACCGCGAGAAGCCGGCGTGAGACACGTAGATCGTATGTAACGCCTCTGGGTAATGGAAGGGGAAAAAAAACGCACACACATACAGAACACAACGGCGAGGATTTACGCTATGTCCACTTTCCCCTTAGCCTACCGATTTGATCGAATATCGACGAAGCAGATCGTGGAAGAGCTAATGGTCACGCGAAAGACAGCGTAGCGGCAAGCCTAAGGCGCTTTCTCTAAACTGCATTTAGTATTGTCCGTGTACTATGTAGGTAGAAGAAAAGAAAATCCTATTTTAGTGCCCCGTGGTAAGTGGATAATGACCTGATTCATACGGTACCCTCTTGTCCCTACACTACTATCCCAGGTGGCTGGGATGTAGGTAGAAGAGAACAGGTACACTATGTAAAGGTTGAAAAGACTTGCCGGGGCGTAAGGGCGTAAGCGAGAAAAAAGGGAAAGGGTAACTTCGCCGGCAAGTTTTCCGTGAAGGGAGCAAATTCGTAGTGCACTAATAAGAGCCAACAACAACACCCTTCCCATCCCATACCTCCCCCATCCCACCTACACGTACATACAACCCAGCATTATATCACTTCCTCGACTAAGCCACGATTCTCGTTATTTCGAGGGTGTACAGACTGCCTTACCAAAAATAAATATTAATATCGGCTCTCGTATTTTCTGTCATATTTTCTTGATGCTTCCGTGTCTTGGCTTGGTCGTTTAATGTTTCCCGCATGAATACACTTATTGGAGACGCTAAACGATCTTCGAATGATTTTAACCAAGAAATGTCAACCCCAAATTAAATTTTCAAGGCTCAATATCTTACCTGCTTGTTAGTGGGCGTCATGGGTTCGGCGCCGAATTACGCGGGGTTCTTTGTATGAGATGTCTGAGACAGCGGTTTATCAGCTTTTCGCCAATGTTTCTAGTCTTAGGTTAGGAAGCTGAGATAACATTTTGGACCATGTCGACCCATTAAACATGTACATGGAAGGCGGGAAGACCCCTAATCTCCGGGGACGGATTATCGTATACCACATAAACTCCGGATTTATAAGTACCCAGACTGGAACCTGAAAGCCGTCAAGGAGGTAAGCTGTGTTCTGTAATTGCCTTCCAAGGTTGACGGTTAGTATGTATCTTTTATTGACCCAGAGCAATGAGAATCGCTTCGGCCCACTGCATTATTGATAGGCCAAGGAGTCATGTGCGATGTCACGCGAACTGAGACACATTTCGTCATCTTGAAACAGTTTCCCGTTGGCTGGGAGTTATGCTCTTACCGTAGATGTTGTATAACAACCTTGCTGCGTGTGTTGAAGGTATGAAACAGATATAGAGTCTGAGACGTTGATCGAATTCTCTTTCAAGCCGCATAGACATATCTACCTTACACTTTAGGTACTTAGCTTAGGTACCTACCTAAAGGAGATATGTAGTAAGCTGCATTTGAAGATTTAAGTTGTTATTATGGGAGTGAAGCAACTTTTCGCGATGGGGCAATAAAGGAACACGGTGTTCTCATACGAAGTAATTTGTTTTCGAGCCGTCGTCATTTCTAGTATTAACGCCAATGGTTCGCCATTTTTATTTTTTATTTTTTCCACTAGACCATTTCACCGACCTGCACTATATTATAGCACCGGCACGGTACATAGAATCTCAAAGTCTGGGTTAGGAAATTTGTGATTGTTAAGCGCCTTTCTTCATCGGGACCGGCGGTAGCGGTAGCGGTAGTGATGGCGGCTGTACCTATCGTAACGAGCTTAATAATGATGGTGTGGTATATAATGTCAACAATAAAGAAAGTCAACGTTATTTTAAGAATAACTCTTAATGAGTAACTTTCATCCATTCGTGTCCTAAAATACCATGTAAATAAATGAAGATAGTGTAAATTCTAGCACAGATTCCTGACGAACAATCTTATCCGGCAACTAGTAACCCGTGTAACAAATTATACATAGTAAAAATTCCATGCAGGTGAGATGACGTACACAATGCAATGACGCACTTGGCTCATGTTTGTACTACCATAGGTACCTAGATACTTACCCAGGTAGGTAAGTACCTCTTAGGTATGTACTTGCAACAGACCTGCATTGCATTTGCCATTTGGAGAAATGTATGTAAGCTCCAAATATCCCATCCCTTTTTTGAACTTTACCTTATTGACTCTCGGGAATCAGTATTGCTCGGGAATGGGTAACTTGATCTGAAAACATGGGAGAATTCTCAAATATAGGTACCTATGTACTTACATTAGGTACCTTTAATTGCTTAGGTGACAAATTATCGGAACCTTCCACCCCCTCTTCTTTCACCTCACCTCTTTAAGAGAAAAAAAGAAGAAGAAGAAGACTAGCAGAACTACTTGCATGGCTCCGTGCGTAGTAGTTATTAATAGTTGCGTTTACTATAACTAGAAGGTTGGGTCAACGAGGGCTAGGGTCGGGAAGATCGTGACAGTATTCGTCCGGTCAAGACTCCAACCCCCACCCCCTATTTACGTAGTGTATGTGAGTTTTCTTTATACCATAGCATACCTCTCCTATGTACTCGCGCTTGACCGCTCATTATTTCCTCTCGACAAAAGGACGAATTATCGAGCCTTCAATGACACAATCTTGCGTCGGTACGTAAGATATCGAGGTCACGTTAGCTTAATACCCTTAAAAGGTATTTGCGATATTGATGATAAGAGAGATCAAATATGTGATTCCTTCCATGCATATCACGATACCTCTTCAATTTACTTCAAGTATCATACCTAACAGCAGGTACATACCTAAAGAGGTACCTAACATAACCGATGTAATAAGAAATTTACTCACGTGTGCGGGTTATAAAAACAAAATAGTCTTTTTAATATCCGCCACCTCGCTCGGACGTATTCTGGCAGCGCAACTTAGGAAACCTCGCGAATTCATACAATAGCGAGGTGAGGCGAGGTCACATGAGGGGAGGGAATGACGGGCTAGTCAACCGCGGAGCTGAGAGGGTAGATTGGTTTTTTTTCTCTTCAGGGTTCGGGGCTGTGGGCTGTAAATGAAGAGTTGAAGGTCCAACTTATGCGAGAGTTGGAAGAATTGGCTCCCTCGGCTGGACGGGAAAACAGATTACCATTGCGCTGTAACCCTGCTAAAAGGTTAGGTACATCCTCAGGTACCTAAGGCCTTGTACAGCACGCCTACCGCTGCTAAGTACCTTTTTCGTAGCATCCTAGGTAAACCCTGATTGGCTAGAAAAAGTCCAAGAGATACTATGTACATATTATGAACATGGACATACCTAAACAACCCACCTGCTTTGTCCACCCCCCTAACGGACCTAACCAAGTCAATAACCAGTTAAAATCCTCATGCCTGCAGGTGCATTTTAAATTTTCAATGTACCCGCTGGATGGATGTATGGATGTACCAATGCAACTTTCAAGCTCTCTCCCTTCCCCCCCTTCCGCCTGATGTTGCTGCCAGTCCAGCCAGTTTTAGCCAGTGGGAATGTCGAGCATAATCATCCTTCGATTTTTGGCTGCTAATTACAATGTATTTTCCATCTCAACCGAGCTGAGCTGAAGTTAGAACCAAAAAAAGAATTCAATCGAAAAACCCAAAAACAAACCCGTTCTTAGGCCGGTGTCGCCTCCCTTAGCCAATATTTAGATAACTTTAGCATCTTTAGCATCTTATTTGATATAGGTACCTACGTACCTAACGCTATATTCAGCTTATACGCCACGAACGTCAGTTCCCGAATCGAAGATAGTCCGTATTAATTGTTAGCGAGAAACACTGTCTGACGTAGATAGTGACCCAACCGGCCGCTGACTAGCGATGAGCCTTGTAATCGACACAAGGCAATGCCACTTACCGGTTTTGATCTGTCCTAGCCGAAAAAGAATCACATCCTTATTCCTCACTATCACTGTCACCCAACCAACATACGGCAATTCAAACACACGTTCTCCGTCGTATGCTACTGTCTAAGAAAACTCCTTGACCCCGGCGAATACCTTTTGAATTAGACGGAGCGAATGCCGAGATCACGAGTACGTAGTGAGACCCGTCCCCGATACTGCCGCATGGGGGCGCCGTGAAAGAGGAATGCCATCTCATCACCACTACTCAACTTTGGACGAACCACTTAACAGTAACCTCCACACGCTGTCGCCCTCCTCTTCCCCTGGCTATGACACTCATATTTTCCAACCATTGAATATCGAGAAACAGAGTAGTCCTACCGGGACTAGTTTCTCTGAAGATATTTCCGATTCCATGCGAAACTCGCCACGCAGCGCGGTAGGGCCAACGAATCCCGATGCACCCTGGCTAACACTCGCTTCTTCAAGTGTGGACCACATTAGTTTGCGAGGTAGTAGTCCCGAATTGGATGCGGTCGGCATAGAGAAATCCCAGTCTGTCGATGGAGACGTGCAATTGGAAAATGATGAACCACGGCAAGGAACCGCTGGAGTCGAGATGGGTGCTAGGAGCCAAGATAGGGATGCCAGCAATGCAGAGAATTCACCCAAAATCTTCGAGAATAAACGGTCTATTAACGAGTACCGGGCGCGGCTAGCGAGGGAGATGGAACGTCGGGAATATGCCATTCGAGGCTCTCCTTCGCCTTCGAGAACTATATCGGAAAAGACACGCATCTCACCCATCAAGGAAGAGTCCAGCGCCACACCCTCGCCAACAACCAGTTCTGACCTCCCGACTGCTTCTAGCGAATCTAACAGGACAGTCCGCGGTGGCATGACTCCTGGCTTTACCGCTCGGACGCCATCGTACCCATTTCCACGTATGGGTACCCCTAGTTTTACTTCGACTTACCTACAGAATATTTTCGGTCACCAGTCTCAAGCTGGCGTCGTGAATGCGGCTGGCGCGCAGTTCGGTAGTTTTGTACTACATGATCAGCTAAGATCAGACCCCTCATCCCCGGCATCTGCTATGACTTTTTTACCCACCGGAGTTACCACTAAGTCCTCAAATCTTGACTTCCCCACGCCTAATCTTTATGATTTAACGTTGATGCTCTCGGCCGAACCTGGCTTGGAGGCTTGGTGGAATACTGTTGTTCAGATTATGACTGGATTTTATAAGGCTGAGAGGGTAACGCTCTCCGTCCCAGCTGACCCGACAGACGTTGAGAATGTACCGTGGGGGCAAAAGGCCAGTTATAATGCTTCAGAGGAAGACGACTTGAGCATGGCATATATTGCGAAGGGTGGAGGCGATCAGTCTGGACCTGTGCCGAGTAACGAGGCGCCGCCCAAGGATAATAAGCCTACACGACCTGTGATCCAAAACCGGCATTCTTTTACAGCTTACGAAGATAAAAGGGACACTGGGGATGTAGAGAAGGACTACACCTCTGGTTCTGGTTCTCAGCGACCAGGTCAGATGAGAAGGAGTAAAAGTTATTATCCAGGTGTTGACAAGCAAAATCCGACCTCGCCTCATCCTACACTGAATAAACAGGCACTCGAGGAGCATGATTCGATCGAAGAGCAAATGCCCGTCCCGACATGGGAAGCGAAGCTAGACTCTAAGCGAGAAGTGAAGGGGCGACTTCTCCCGGTGTTGCAAAGTCTTGATTTGGAAGCAGATCCGCTTATTGATCATAACGGTATAACTCGAGTTGTTGAACGAGGCAAAGTGATTGCTTTAACTCGCACATACCCCTATCTCGATCCAACTTCCGAAGAGAAGCAACAGGAACCTAAGACCAGCAAGCCTATCCCACCGGAAGAATCTCGAAAGTCAGCGAGAAAACCTATCAGGAGCGAATCCCAAACGAAACTGTCTTCGTTACTAGCAAATGCGAGCGTACCCCGACCTCTAAATCGAAATATTAAATCGTTGTCGACGGCAAGTTTGTTCTCAGCTTTGGATGAAGTTCCACCACGGCCTCCTACTCCGAAGTACGAAGAATATGAGCAAGCGCCTCCTTCACCGTGGTCTCAATCGCCTGCACCTTCACCCGCTGTCCGAGCCGATCCTTCGGAGAATCCTTTCTTCACAGATGCTGTAGTTGACGAAGAGTCGTTTAATCCCGGGCCGAGCCCGCAGGACTATACCTCGATGCAACCTCTCGAGACCATCGGTGTCGATAACTCTTGGACCGTTCTCCATGTCCCACTTAACCATATTCTTCTTTCAAAGCCTCCTCAAAAGTTTAAGTTAGACCCCTCCGCATTAGAACAAAAGGCTTCCCAGAGGGGTCATGTTGAACCGAGTGTAAGTTCTATGTTACATGAGGGCCCATCTACCGAGGAGTTAGCCAAGAAGAATAAACATCTGCCTATTGCGATTTTGTCGATCTTAACCCCTATAATACCCTATCCCTCCAACTTGCGCCACTCACTCGAACACCTGGCACCTCATTTAGCAGCGACTTTCTCCCTTTGCCGACACTATTCAACTCTCGAGACAGAAGTAATGGGTCTTCACCGGAAAAGACCTTCTACTAGTGGATTTGGTGCTATCGGCCCTGATGGTCGACCAGTAGCGGACCCAGCCATGCTTTCTCATCTTAATGCTGCGACACCTGGAGACACGTCTCAGCGTTCGGTTACCGGAAGTCTTACCAGTCCTAGCGAATATTCGGGTCCATCCCGAAGTATTAATGCTTCGCCTAGTGGAACACCGCTCTGGGACACTAGCTCTTTCGGATTAGTCGTCGAGAGGCGCACTGCCGGTGCCAGTCCTGGCCAACTAGGAGGTGATAGCTATTTTAGTTCCGTCCCTAAGAATGGAGGCGCTCCCGTAGATTCACCAACTCTAGGATCGTTAACTCAGCGGATCACTAGAGTGGCTAATAAGGAAGGTGGCCTTACCTTTGGTAAGCAGCTCAGACGGTCAGGAAGCCTTCTGCAACACCAGCAAGACTCGAGCTCTATTGAGAAGGAAGCAGAAAGCTCAGATATCATTACCCGCAATGCTGATCCTTTCGATGAGGTGGCGATTAATCAAATATCAAAACCGCGGCCGGCATCGAGGGACTCTTCTGATATAAATATCAGCACAGAAGACCAACTATCGCAGCCAGATACTGATGATAGTCGGAAGGGGCTACCAGGGAGTCAAAGCATAACATCCGGCGGCCACAAGCATACCATGCTACATTCGTATGGCGGCGATTTTTCGGCAACCTTTCAGTCCTTACCACCCAGCACTTCCCTACTCACGAAACCGACATCGCAGTGCACAACGCCAATCCGATCCGCATCTACGTCTGCGCCGCATGTAACTATGCTTCCCCCTTCTGACCGACTAAAGGGGCTTATGTTGGACTTGTTACCGGTGCATGTATTTGTTGCATTACCGGTGCACGGAGAAATCGTTTGGGTTAATAGTAGGTATTTAACTTACAGAGGCCAGACTCTTTCAGATTTGGTAGCAGATCCTTGGGGGAGTTTGCACCCAGAAGATCGTGAGGAATACATGCGTGCGTGGACTCATTCCCTTCGGTCGGGTGATCAGTTCGCTCATACTGTTCGTCTTCGTCGCTTCGATGGTGCGTATCGATGGCACCAAGCCCGTGCGGTGGCCTCTCGAGACAGGCGAGGGGTTATAGTACAGTTCATCGGCTCCTACATGGATATTCATGACCAGAAAGTTGCGGAGTTAATGGCACTTCGTCAAGAGGAGATCGAGGCCTCTGAAGCAAAACACCGTCTTCTTGCGAATTTGATCCCGCAGATAATATTCACCGCAACTGAATATGATGGGATTACATTTGCGAACGAACAGTGGCTATCTTATACCGGTCAAAGCGAGGAAGATGCATTAGGGCTAGGTTTTATAGATTTCGTACATCCGGAAGATTTGGCGAAATGTCGACTACCGGTAGAGCGCTCAACATCGCAATCTCCTGTTGGAGAGAGCAAATCCGGCTCATCTTCTAAGAATCCCAAGCCGACGGAGCAAAAGCCGACACCGACGAGCACATCGGCAGGTAGCCTCGGCTTGTCTCGTGCCAGCAGTGTCAATTCGGCTCGTGAATTTGTTACGGCAGATTTAGGTGATCTTTTCAAGCAGGGCATTCTCAAAGTTGCGACAGATAGCAACGGGCGACTCTCTTATACGACCGAGGTGCGACTTAGATCTAAGTCTGGCGAATACCGATGGCACCTGATTCGATGTGTGGAAATCGACGACGTTGGTTTTGGCAGCGCCGCCAGTTCCTACTTCGGCTCGGCGACCGATATTAACGATCATAAACTGTTAGAAGAGAAACTGAAGGAAGCCATGGAATCTAAAGGCAGATTCCTAAGCAATATGTCCCACGAGATCCGTACGCCGTTGATTGGTATATCTGGAATGGTGAGCTTTTTACAGGATACGACACTCAACGAGGAGCAGAGAGATTATACAAATACAATACAAACCAGCGCCAATAGTCTACTCATGATTATAAACGACATACTGGATTTATCCAAGGTCGATGCCGGCATGATGAAGCTAAACTTCGAATGGTTTCACACTAGATCCCTCATTGAAGATGTTAACGAACTCGTGTCAACAATGGCGATTGCTAAGCGGCTCGAACTTAACTATATTGTCGAGGAAAACGTGCCTTCTTGGGTTAAAGGTGACCGGGTTCGAGTACGACAAGTTCTTCTTAACGTTATAGGCAATGCTATCAAGTTTACCAGTGTTGGAGAGGTCTTCAGCCGGTGCAGGGTCTTCGCGAGCGATGCAGCCGACCTTTCCGAGAACCAAATTATGCTTGAGTTTTCGATCATTGATACCGGGCGAGGCTTTACCAAAGAAGAAGCGGAGCTCATATTCAAGCCCTTTAGTCAGATCGACGGAAGCAGTACCCGGCAACACGGTGGTAGCGGGCTAGGCCTCGTAATTTCAAGGCAGCTTGTAGAGCTTCACGGAGGGAAAATGAATGGCAGCGCTGTGCTAGGGAAGGGATCAACATTCACGTTCACGGCCAAGTTTGGCCTGCCGAGCGCCGATGACCATCCTAACTTGACCGGCACTCCACCAATGACCGCATCTATACGATCTCCGGCAGAAGAAAAACCAACGCATTTAATCAAGCCCCTTCGGTTACAGAGGACGATGGACTCCGCTTCGGCCCCAAGCCCTAGCTCAGATACGGATGTTACTTCGCCTGTTGCCGAATCATCTGCCAGCTCGGATCCTTCGATTCGTTCCGCCCCTAGTCTGAACACTACAAGATCTTCGATGTCCTCAATGAATGCCGGTCTCTCACATTTCAGCGAAGCCGCCAAGGCTAGTGGGCAAGACCTTTCTCAAATGAAACTGGAAATGCCTTTAGGAAAGATATCGCCTCAAATGATGCCTACGCCTGATGGGTCTAAATTCCCCATAGGATTGGCGCAATTCCGGCCGCCAATGTATTCAATCCTTGTCATCTGCCCTCAAAAGTATAGCAGAGAAGCTACAACAAACCACATCGAGATGACGCTACCGAAAGACGTTCCGCATCAGATAACTGCAATGGCAAACGTAGCGGAGGCTGAAGAAGTAATTGGCGGACATGAATCTGTCACTTTTACCCATGTTGTTTTAAATCTCCCCTCAGCAGAAGAAATTATAGGAGTTATTGATAAAATGATAGCAAGCTCTTGTGGCAAGACATCGGTTCTAGTCTTGACAGACTCTGTGCAGAGACAGGCAGTTCTCAAGTTAGCATCAGATGCCGAGCACCAAAAGCTTTTGGAAGAAAAGCGAATGATGTTTGTATATAAACCCGTGAAGCCATCCAGGTTTGCGGTAATTTTCGATCCAGGGAGAGAACGGGACCTGAGTGTGGATTTGAACCGCTCCAGTGCCGCACAGATGGTGGAGAGTCAGAAGCAAAGCTATTTGGACGTGGAGAAGCGAATTGGTAACAAGGGATACAAGGTCCTTCTTGTCGAAGACAACCCGGTCAACCAAAAAGTACTGGTCAGATATCTCAACAAAGTGGGCATCGAGGCGGAAATTGCCGCGGATGGTGTTGAGTGTACCGAGAAGGTGTTCGCACGCCCGCCAAATCACTATTCTCTAATATTGGTAAGTTTCGATACTCGGAATATATGATGATGATGGATGTATATGTGACAACAAGCTGACTGTTGTGTGACAGTGCGACCTTCATATGCCGCGTAAAGATGGCTACCAGGCTTGCCGGGAGATTCGACAATGGGAAGCGCAAACCAACTATCCAAGGTTACCTATCATTGCACTGTCGGCAAATGTGATGTCTGACGTACAGGAGAAGTGTGCGGCAGCAGGTTTTAGCGATTACGTTACGAAGCCGGTTGACTTTGTTGACTTGAGTACAGCGATGTCGAAGTTCTTCTAATCAGCTAGCTGCTTTCAACGAGGGGTAGCTAATGCTTAGCAATCGCTGTTTAAAAGACATTGTGGATGCATCTGCATGGCGTTCCCAGGAGATAGAGTTTTTTTTTTTTTTTTTTTTATAAAGAAAAAGGGACAGCGTTGTATACCACGATTGCATCGTCGGGCGGTCGAGGTTGGAGATTTTTTATTTATTTTTCTTTTTGAAAGAAAAAAGATGTTTGTATTTTCTGCTGAACGGGGGCGTGTACCACTAGGATAGGGTCCGGGTAGAGAGCATAGGCTAAGACCCAAGGTTCACATACGGTTACGGGATCTGCGACGCTCTACTAGGAGGAATTTGTACAAACGCAGGCCATAAGTCGAGACGACGGCCACAAAGCCCGTGCGGTAGCATTCATCATTCATGACTTTAACGGCTTCACAACGGTATGCTTGATAGAGGAGGAAAAGCGGCTTCATTGGTTTAGCTTAGAAATGGCTTTCTAGGAATGGCTGGCAGAAAGGGAAACCTTTTTTTTTTCTTTCTTTTCCGGCCGCTCGTTGTTTTTCTCAACGAGATATTCATCCGATAAAGGAGTTCAGGATTTGCATGTCTTCATTTTTATTTATTTATGGGTAGGGAAAGCCTGATGAGAGCGATATCACTTTTATTTTTTCAACATGTGGGCATTAGGTAGTGATCAAATTCGATACCAATCATGATACCGAGCATCTATATTACTTTTTTCTTCTCCTCTCTCCCTGTAACACGTTTAAACCGTTACAATCGATGGTACAATGCTAGAATACAATTATACTTTAAGCATGCGTAGGTCTCTAGTACCAGTTTCCAAAGCGACGTAGACCCTATCTCCTCCCCCCTAAGCGTGGCCCCGTACTTTTTTGCCTCCTTTCTCACTTGAAATTATTTTGATTGGTGTTGGGTATCTATACGTATTAATTCCAATCGGTCTCTTTAATCCCCCCTTAATCCTCCTCGATAACTATCCCCTTTGGCTCTTCCACCGGCACATCACCGTTTTCTTTCGCGGGCGTTTCGCCATCCACCTTCTTCTCCGCATCTTCAGCATTATCATCTTTCTTCACGTCGGCCCTAGCCTTAACACCTTTTGGCGGCGGCGGCGGCGCAGTAGCACTCGCAGCTGCAGGTTTATTAGTATCCGATTTTCCCGTACTGCCATCATCATTCCCTTCTCCTCCTTCTCCTTCTCCTCCTGCACCTCCCTCCCCTCCTCCAGTATTATTATTCTTAGCCTTGGCCTTCCTCGCCTTGGCCTTCTCCCTCTTCTCCCTGTTCCTCCTCGTCTTCTCGTCGTCGCGCCGCTCCCTCTCCTCCCGCTTGCGCTCGAACTCCAGCCTCGCGCGCTCCTGCGCCACCTCCTCGTCCATGCGCCGCAGCCGCTCATACTCGCGCCGCCGGCTCGCCTTATAGACGTGGAACTCGCCCGAGCCCGCGCCCGCGCTCGACCCCTGCACGTTCGTCACGATCTCCGGCGGCGGCGGCAGCTCGCGCTTTCGCATCCCCGAGGACGACGCGTCCGGGATCCGGATCTCCTGCTCCGGTTTGGAGAACAGCGCTTCGACGACGTGCGCTTGCGCCGACACGGGCGTTAGCGCGCGCTTTTTCGTCGGCCGCTTCGAGCGCGGGTCCGCGGATGTAGGGATGCTTTCGGGGCCTTCGCCTGACATTTTCGTTTCTTTTCTTTTCTTTCCTTTTCTCTCGACCAATACGATTTCTCTTCTACCTCCTTTTTCTGGGCGCGAAGACAGAGTATTGGCAGGTTACCGGCTATCGGCCCAGGGCGCGTTTCCTGGCTAAACTAGCCAACCGTGTTAGATAGGTACCTATTCAATTGGACCCTGTACCTGAGCTGAGCCTCCACCTTTCCCTATCTTCTACCGTCGTTGGATCCGAAGGGAAGGCAGGCTCTGGCGATTCGGGGAGCGGCGTCGTACGTTGGTGGCGTGACACGGACGTCTTTTTCTGGAAATGATGAGAAGAGGAATAGGAGATCTTAGGGTGTGTGTGTGTGTCGGCAAGTTGATCTAGGAAGTGGTAGATTAGGGATTCGCCGGCGCAAAGTGACGTGTTTAAAAAAAGAAAAAGTAAAGTGATAAGAATTGACGAGGCTGAAATTGCAACAGATGATTGTAAGATGCTTTTTTTTTAACCCTATGATGGAAGATGCCGATGAGGCTACAAGGTACCTAAAGACTGGAGAAAAGTGGATTTATTGTGTACCTACCTACACCCATTAGTCATTACACTGTTACAGAGCCAAGCGCAGCCCAATACTGGAGCGGAAATCGGGTTCATTGGTCAGGCAAAGTTAGATGGAGGGGTTAGAGTTTAAACCAATTAGATGCTCTCTTTTTCCTGATAAATCGAGAATTTAGACTTTAGCTTACAGGGGAGTCCCGACAGCTTGTTTCAAAGGCTTTCTTCCCCTCCAACCAAAACCCATACAGGGGTCTTTTATGTGACATACCTCGTAGTACATAGAAGTACAGACTCCAGCCCACGGCAAGTGTTAAGGCCCTACCTGCAGGCTGCGGCATCTTTAACTTTCCCGTCCCTCCCTCCAGACTTTCCCATGGTATTTTTAAGCCTAATAAATCTCATATTATACCTTTTACAACCTTAACACATACACACACCCCAAGCTTTTGTACAGCAACCAACGCATATACGCGGCCACCTATCACTCACTTTACATCTCGCTCCCTTAACTCAGCCTGATACTACAAAGAGAGCGACAGAATTAAATTAAAATACGAGACAGTGTATATTATTCATCATTTCAAATCATTTGACTTTAAGTCTAAGAATCTGATCCAAAAACCTGTCCCTCTTGTCTGCTCAATAGAGTGACTTGCCACCATCTATCTTTAAGAGGATAGCGCCGGTGCCGTTGTAGGAGCCTTGTAGGAAACCTACCTGAACATATATATACACCTTATATATATATATATATATATTTTAAAAAAAACTACAATCACAGGATCCAATATCAGCAATCATGGGTCGCCCAAGACTCATTATATTGATCAGACATGCCCAGTCTGAGGGCAACAGTATGTCGCCACCTCCACCCTAAACGCTCGATAACCCAAGACTAACAAGCCTCAACTCTAGAAAACCGCGAGATCCACCAGACGATTCCCGACCATAGAGTGAAGTTAACCCCGGAAGGATGGCAGCAAGCCCGCGACGCCGGTCGTCGATTACGAGCCATGCTGCGCCCAGACGACACCCTCCAGTTCTACACCTCCCCGTACCGGCGGACGAGAGAGACGACCGAGGGTATTCTCGAAACCCTGACCTCGGACGATCCCGACCCTTCGCCCTTTAAGAGAGCCAATATGAAAGTCTACGAGGAGCCGCGGCTGCGCGAGCAGGACTTTGGAAACTTCCAGCCCTGCAGCGCCGAGATGGAACGCATGTGGCAAGAGCGTGCCGACTACGGCCATTTCTTCTACCGTATTCCTAACGGCGAGAGCGCTGCCGATGCTTACGATCGCGTATCAGGTTTCAACGAGAGTTTGTGGCGTCAGTTCGGAGAAGACGACTTCGCCAGCGTCTGCGTCTTAGGTACTAGATATGGATATCCCCACAAGTATTCCTGGCCAACTGCTAACCTTTTAAAAATCAAGTCACCCACGGTCTCATGTCTCGCGTATTCTTGATGAAATGGTATCATTTCTCCGTCGAGTATTTTGAAGACCTACGTAACGTGAACCACTGCGAGTTTCTCATTATGAAGAAGCAGGAAGACAGCGGCAAGTATGACCTCCAGACCAAACTACGGACTTGGTCTGAGCTACGTCGGGAACGAGCTGCTATCAAAGCCAAGGAGGATAAGGAACTAGGCGATACCGGGAAGGAGAAGGAACCCGGCAAGGCTCAGAAACAAAATTCCACTCCCGCTCCGCCACGCCAGTGGGGTGGTTGTCCTCAAGGCTGTAATCACGGCAAGAATTTCAAGATACGGGGTGACTTGGCTGAGCTACGGCAACACGACGAAATCAGCGCTAAGCATGCTTTCAATTATATTACTGCTGAGGTTAATGGCACTATAGCCAGCCGCAGAAGCCCAGCTAAGAGAATTCAAGGCCCAAACAATTCCGATGACGACTCGGATGATCCTCGCGGTAGAGCCCTTCCGCATATCGACGTGACAAAGGCTCAAGAAGAGGTTGTATCCTCACCAGATGGAACGCCATCATTTATAACCATCGATGATCGATTGCGCAACGCGCTAAAGACTCCTCAGAAGTCCACCTTCCTTTACCTTGGTCGCGACTTCGGGGGTACTTACTCGGGACATGCTAGCGAGGAGGAGGTTTCGGAGAATGATGCTCGCGAACGGCTCGCCGCTAAGGCCGCGCGTGTTAAGAATGGCGAAAGGAGTGGACTAACAACTAATGGCAGAGAGACCTCGAGTAGCCGTCATTCCCATGCCCACGCAAATAGGCTCGGTGACGTGCCCAACAACTCTGACCAGGGGTCGGACGGCGGGGACGAGGCGGAGGACCTGGATAAGGCTGAGAAGGAAGATAGGAGCATTCGAGGAAGCGTATATTAGGCTCTGAAGGAGCCTTTGATTGGGTTTCATAGCATGTGCTATTCATTTTTTTCCACGTTGGCAATACCCTTTACGACTAGCGCATATATCGAATAGAATGGACCAATGAAGCGTACAAAACAGACAATACAATGCCCTTGTTCTTTATGTTCTTCTCACTATGCGTCTTGAAAGAAGCATCTAGGTAGGTGCCGCCACCTTTTCTATCCTCAACACGGCCATTGTCGTTAGTTGGAGCTAAGTAACTTGCAGTCATTGATATCCCTTCTTTGTAATGCACGTTCTACAAGCTCTCAGGATGTAGAGAACAAAGCTACAAACACGAATGCCTTCTCATATAGTCCATAGTTTTTGGATATTTTTTTTAAAAAAAATTAAAAAAAAAGGTATCTGGAAGGTGATGTTTTTTTCCTTTTCCTTTTCTTTTCTTTTCGTAGAACCCCCTAGTTTCCACCACGACTCTCGTACTCTCGTCTAGTTTCATCGATAATTGACTTATCGCTTCTATCTCTATCTCTCTCTGTCTTTTACTCTTGGAAAACCATGGCCGATCACTGGTGGGATGTGGTACATAATAAGCTGTACGGTGGCCACCCGTGGAAATACCACAGCTTCGTAGGTACCGAGCCCAACACCTGGGAAGAGTACATCAGGCCCGTCATGGTAGACAAATCGGCGGCACTAGGAAACGAGGGCAGCACGCAGTCCGGACGGCCGCAGAACGCGAATCACGATGCAGCAACAACGGCTAGTCAGTTCGGAGAGAAACAGGGGAGGAATTATGAATCCGACGGGCTGTTGTCAGAGGGGCTGGGGAGCGACAAGGAGAACATCCGCGGGGGCACACGCTCGACTGCTGCAGCTCGCCGGAGCGTGCAGAGGCCTAGGCCTAGGGCCAGGAGCGCGCCGCAGACGAGGCAGCGGCAGCGGCGGAACACGCTGGACCGTTTACTCGATCTCAGCATCGGCCCCGAGGCGCCCGGATCTCCTCCGGCGGGACGCGGAGACGAGGCGCAGATTAGCGACGTCCTGGGCCCGATGGGTTTCTGGCGAAACCGGGCGTACCGCGTGCAGAAGCGGGTCGGGGATTTCTTGGGGCGCACGGGGTCCATTTTCTACCCGGCGTACAGCGTAGACGAGTCGCAGCTGGATGCTCTCACCGTCGAAATCGACCGCAAGGAGAACCCGCTGCCGTCGCCGGAGCAAGTTAGTGAAGGCGAGCCCGTCTCGTACCCCGACATAAGCGGTCAGGTAGTTGGATCAGCAGCCGCCGCAGCCGCGGCTTCTTCTCCTCCTTCTCCTCCTCCCCCTGACGCCCAGGCTCAAGTAACCGACAGCGACAGCGACGGCGACGACGCAACACCCACAGTCCCGCAGGGCACCACACTCAGCGAAGTCCTCGGCGAGCAGGAAGCGCGAGAGCTAGAAGAAAGACTCCAAAAGCTCAGGGAAGACTCCGCTGTTCCTATAGAGCCTGACAACCCCGGGCCGCAGGAAGCCGTCCCGGGAAAAGCTATCGCGCTAGCCGCGTTGACGCCCCCCTCGCCGTCGTCCTCCATCCCGAGGTCCTTCCACATCAGCCAGACGGCGCACCTCGCGCCCTCGTTCGTCGCGGCACGGCATCATTTGCGGCAGACTACGGTCCGACGGCGACCTTCTCCTCCCGTATCACCACAACCAACACAGCGGTATCTTCCTACTCCTTCCCCTCCCCCTCCTTCTTCTTCTCCCACCCCTACCCCCTCGCCACGATCTTCCCGGCGCCGCAGCTCCGGGGACACTTCCACTGGTACCAGTACCACGACTGCGACTACCACCGCCACAAACTACAACAGCAGCAGCAGCAGCGGTAGCAATTCCCAAACCGAAACCTATCAGGCCAAGTCCACGCAGCTGCTGTGGGACAGCGCGAAGAGGACTCGGGAGATATGGTTCGGCGTTGGACCCGGGACGGGGAGGGACGTGGGCGGGCGGAAGGGCCAGGGGAGGAGAGTTTAGGTACCTAATCTTGGGTAGGTAAGTACCTTAGGGAAGCGAGTTTAAAGGTTATGGGTTAGTTAGAGCGGGCTTGGGATTTTTTTTTTTTAAAAAAAAAAAGAATTTTACTTTTGGCTGAAATAAGAAGAAGTACCTGTTTAGCTCGGTAGGAATGAAGACGGCGGCTACTTACCTGATAGTAAGATATACCTACTTAAAATATACCTACCTAGGTACCTAGGTAATGTTAGAGAGACATGTATCTTGTCTATGTTAGGCACCTGGGAAGTAGAGCGCGAAGTCTATTGTCGATCATATTTCTATAAAGTGAAAACCTATAGTAATAATAAGCACTTGAAGAAATGTTATTTGAGAACGGAAGTACGAAGCTATCAGGTATACCCTGCGATGGCTTCCATATACAGAATTTCAGTGTCATGTATGCAGTACATGGTATATTGTAGTAGTCTAGTAACGTCTAGCCTTCTATCCTTTTACAAGGGTGCCTCTTCTTCGCGATCATGTTGTTGTCTCATGTTGTTGTCTCTTTGCAGCTCCAGCTTGTCTAGCTTGCCTGGCCTTCATTGCGTTATTTGCTCGGGCTAATTTGGCGTCGGGTTTGGCGGGACTTTCCTTGGCCTTTTGCAGAGCTTGGGTGTATGCCACCCAGAATTCGGGCATAATATAGTTGGTTCCAACCGCTAGCCAAACAAGGCCTGTTACTTCCAGCAGGTGACGAATAGCTGTGGGAAGCCGGCTACCCTTTGTATATAGACAGTACAGCTTCATACTAGCCGGTACCCCTGCTATATCCACATATCCCCGGCAGAAGTCTTTCGCTGTAGGTAAATCCTCTTAGCCGATCGTGTAAAGTCATAACTGTGAATAAACCCCCACCTTACGAGGCTCCGTCTCATAATGTAGCCAACGTCTCTCCGACGAGGGAACCCTTATATGCTGTTCCTAATACTATGTCGCTCTCCATCAGAGCGCGGTATATTCTATCGCAGGTCTGGCCGCTATCCCCTAATTTAGCATGATGCTAATGAAACGGAATGAAGCTACCAATTGTCATGGATTCTTCATATATATTTGTTATCGGTTAGTGTTAGCAATATCAGGCTTGTCTCTTCGCATTATAGCGCCCAATCTTCCAACTCAGAACTCCCTATCGATGAGTTTTCTCCAACTTGGAATATCTAGCCTAGCTCCGTTGCCTCAGCCTCAGCTCCATAGCTTATATCGATGTCTCTCCGGTGTATTTAGTTGGTAATTGGATATTGATTGAGTAGAGTTTGTAATTGTTGGTCAAGACCCAGTAATCCCCAGTATAGCTCAATGATTGCATGATACCACCGCAGATGCTTATCAAATAGGTCTCAGTTGGAAAAGGTATACTCGTTCAACACGAGGAGGCGAGACCCTCGTGGCTTTATGCGCCGGGGGTATAAGAAAAAAGAATTGCTCTGACTTGTGCCAGTTCAGCAGCTGTTATGGCTGGTAACACACGCCATAAAAGCAATTCCTACCCGTAAACATCGCCTATTCCGAGAGCTCCGCTAATTGGTAAGTTCTTGGAAGAATCTGTGGATATTTGATGATGGTAAACGATGTTGTATTGGGAAAGGTTTCTAAATGTGGGGCCAAGCCCTGAGATCCCAAGTAATAGGCAATGTTTATGTAACACACCATAGATCCAGGCCGAATCTATGACTGCTCGGCATGGAAGGTAGGTGACGTTACTGCCTCGAGTATATGGGCAGTCTCTAAGGGCGGCGCATCCGATTGCCGTCCTTTCAGTTTATCTAAACCAGTACCCTGGCGCGGCGATAGATGTGCCGAGAAGTGATGCAAAGTCAGATCCACCGTCATACTATCTTCATGTCCTCGCACCATAGGCCAGTACTCGCCATACCCGTCGATCTCAAGTCGGCCAGTCCGGAAGGTTCCACGATGAATAGCCTCAAATAGGGCATCGTAGTCGAATGTGTCATCCGCAATATAATTACCAGGCTCGCGAATGTCTCCACGTCCTGGTACCTGGCTAACACCATTGTTAATAGCCCATCGTACCCATTGTCTCGGTAGCGGGATTTGAGCCGTCAAATACTGATACACCGACTGCAATTGCCCATTGGGATGAAAGAAGCGCGTGTCCAAAGGCGGTGCCGCTGGTCTTATCCATATGGGCTCTTTTCTAGTCTCGACTATATTCGTTTCCTTGTCTTGGACGTCGGTAGTTTCCTATTCTCTCCCCAAGCTTGCCTCCTTGTCTACAAGCCTTAGCCGTGGATGAGCATTCTGGCCTTCCTCTTGTATAATTTCCCAATCTGTAGTGGGATTCTCCAATATTGAAGCGGCGCGATTTAATAGACGAGCCACGGCGTGGCGAGCGGTGCGAACTGCTCTGGGAACAATTCTTTAATCAGCAACAGGAACCAAGAGCTGTTCGTCCATCAGGGGCCCTGCTGCAATATGACGGCGCGTATTTCGTTCTGGAATCGGCGTTTTTGGGAGAACGTTAGGGTGTATAGCGTTATCTCTTTCTTTCTGGGCCTGAATGAAGGTATCTTTATTTTCTTCTAACCAAGCATCAAGGGCCTCCTTAGTGGGTAACGCGGAAATACCATATTTGCTATTTTCGACACTGTCAGCTCGCTTCATAACCACGGAGCTGCATACACTACCTAAGGCAGGTAGTTTATTGCAAGATGATATGTTGCAAAATGATACTGGAAAGAGTCTTGAATGTAGGGGAGGGGGATAGAATAAAATGACCGGAGAACTTACTCTACATGCTCGAATAAAGACTTGGTTAGCATTATCGTGTTCGCATTATTGCTGCTTTGGCCCTTGGCAGAAATCTGGTTAGAAGGGTTGGTTGTGGGTTAGGTAAAAAATACTACTGGCAAAGGTTGCTTCGGTTTACTAGTTAGCCTGCGGCGGCGAATAACGATCTTAGGAGGGGTAGAATGGGGACGGAAGGGATCTGTCCTCTTCAATGGGTCAGTTAGTTTATGGTGTTTCAGAGAAGGTTCTTCGGTAGGTTGCTCAGTCTTAGGTTCTCTCTGTATTGGGACCGTCTTTGCTGCAGTTTCAAGTTCAGCCTTGCGTTTCCTGGTAAGAACAGGCATCTTGAATAAGTGGTTACTAGGTAATTGATAGTTACGGGTTTGGAAATTCTAAACGAAGCTTAGTATTTATGAAAAGTAGAATGTGTTTAGAAGTAAGGATAGTAGAGTTGTGCTAGCCAGTGTTGGTTTGTCTTGTTGTTGTTAACGAGGATGAAGGTCAGGTTGTTCCGTAGGTTGCAGGAGGAAGAGGAAGAAAAAAGGGAGAAGAAACTCAACTAGTGGTGGAAAGGTGCCTTTAAATAATAGTCTGTAGGAAAAGTAGGAAAGTACGACTGCAGTGAGTACATCGTGACATCCTTCGTAGTTTGGGTAGTTGCGTGGCAACAGAGACTAAAGTTTGTATTCATCGCAACTGCCTACTTAACCTAAACTACTTGTAACCAACTACATATGTACCTGCTAGCACGTACATATACGTATCGAAATACTTCCGAGGTTGTAATTATTGCTCCCTTATGTACCTCAGTATTTAATACAGAATATAAAATACGCTTGATAGCCATGGACCTTTCTAAGGGTTCTGTGTCTGTGCAGCCGAAGTGATAGTTGGATCATATTCAACATGAGGGATACCTTCATTGAATTCAACATCAATATCGGGTACATCAGATCATGCCTCTTGTAAGACCTACCGTACTTGGCGATAGAGTGACTTAGGGGGAAATTCAGATACACTCAGCGCTTCAAACGAAAAGAAGTCAAAAGGAGTCACCCTTATTCAACTTGAGTAGTACATATGACTCAGTTGTGAGTTTGTATTTTGTTATTACTGCCTGTCTCTTCAGATGCCAGAGTTTGGTTTGCCTGATATGTTAGGTACCTATGCTACGAAATCTCGAGAAGCCTAAATTATTTGATAGTTGACAAGGTTACGCCAGGAAATCCAAGTAGTTCCATGACTTCGTGGATAAGCCAACGTCTCACAGGGCGCATGATTAGACCAACTATCAATTTGGTAGCAGAGCCATCTAATTCATCTATCTCGTGACTTTTTTAGACCAGCCGTTCGTGCAAGGGGGTATGTCCTCTCATCATTCCGTGTCTGGTAGGCTTGCTCAACATCTTAATCCATTATTTTATTTTATTTCCACCTTTAGTCGTCACCACCACCCAATCCGGGTGCTCCCACTTGCTGAGCCTTCTTTGCGCTACAGATGTCGTCAACTCTCAATAAGAGGCAAGCAGCCTGTAATAATAATAGTCAGCAAAGCGAACCGAGTAGGAATAATCGTAAAAAAAAAAAAAAAAAAAAACTCACTTCTATGGCGGTCTTGATACTCTGGAGCTTGATAGCCTCAGGCTCCCAGATACCAAATTCCTGCATATCCACGATTGATCCGGTATCTCCGTTAATACCCCATGAGGTCTTTCCTTCTGCTTGCTTAGCACGAAGTTCGGTGAGGACTCTCACGGGACTAGCACCGGCATTCTGCACTAAAGTTCGAGGAATGACTTCTAAGGCGTCGGCAACCGCCTTGTACGGCCATTGCTGTACGCCTTCGATATTCCTTGCTAGTTGATTTAATCGTACTGAGACCGCCATCTCCGTAGCTCCACCACCGGGAGATAGTCTGGGGTGGAAAATGACGTTCCGCGCTACTCCCATAGCGTCTTGGAGATTTCGCTCTATCTCGTTTAAGATATCTTTCGAAGGTCCTCGGAGTAGAATTGTGCACGCCTTGGGGGTCTTGCACTTGGTAAGGAAGGTAAAGTACTCGTCGCCGATCTTCTCGATTTCGAATAGACCGCACTTAGTTCCGATATCTGATTCCTGGAGATCCTCCACTCTGTTCACAATAGTCGCGCCAGTGGCACGAGCTATTCTGTTATTGTCCGTCTTCCTAACTCTGCGCAGCGCGGTCACATTTGCCTTCACGAAATAGTGTTGGGCAAGATCGGAGACACCCTTCTCTGTGATGACTAGGTCGGGCTTAAAGGCCAAGATGGACTCGCACATGGCCTTGACCTGTTCTTCTTCAATCTGCAGAATACGGTTCCAGTCCTCCTCTTTTGTGATTTCGATATTTGTCTGTGATTCACCTTTCTTATACTCTAACGGGCAGTCGAGCAAGACGATTCTGGGGTTCTCGATCCTCCTTCGCATCTTAGGGTGAGTAATGTCCTTGTTGAGCATAACGCCGTCCAAGACTCTGCTATCTTCGATCTCGCCACCGGGAACCTTCTCCACGCGGGCATATCGCTTAATATCGACTTCTTGCTTGCCATTTCCAGCCTCCCAGGTGACTGTGCGGACGGCGTTAAGAGCTAAGCTGCACATCAAATCTGTCCATCTTGAAACAAACTTGGTGCCGATAGAGGAAGAGATTAAGCCAAACATGGCCTTATCGTCGTTGATGTCTATGGGTAGGGATATCTCGTCGATGATCTGGAGCGCATCCTTGAGAGCACGCTTGAAGGCGGAAATGATAACGACCGGGTGTATATTTCGCTCTAGTTGCGGGAGGGCATGTGCTAGAATCTCACCGGCTGAACTTGATGTTAGCCCCACGAGTTTACTTTGCACCATGTATTCTTCTTCTTCTTCTTCTACTGACCTAGAATGATGACAGTTGTCGTGCCGTCACCAACTTCCTCGTCCTGCGTCCTGCTAAGTTCGATCATGCTTTTCGCAGCGGGGTGTGATACTTCGATTTCTCGTAGGATAGCGTGGCCATCGTTGGTGAGGACAATACCGCCCATAGGATCCAACAACATCTTCAGCATGGCCTTAGGACCGAGACATGACCGAATGATATCTGCAACACTGTAGCTAGGGTTTTAGCGAGGGGATATCAAGGCTCGGTAGAATTAAAAAGAAGAAAAAAAGTATCATACGTCTTCGCGGCAGCAATGTTAGACAGTTGGGCTTTTCGGCCTGTCTGTCTATCACCACTTTGGGTGTCTAGGTGCAGAAAACATTAGTAGCTATTTCGTATATTTGCCCAAGCTTAGCTCATGGAGCTCATGGAGCTCATGGAAGGGCATGGAGGACATGGAGGGGCTCACTCATAACCAAAACAGGGGCCTGCATCTTGAAAAGAGGTGATTGGAATCCCGATATTATTAGATTAAACCTGAGTAACAAAGACTCGAGAAGAACTCGCACCCGTAGTAAAAATGGCAAGTTCCTAGTAAAAAAAGTGGCGTATCGCGAAGCTTGCCTTATGATACGTATTGAAGATGATTGTCGCCTAGAAATTTTGGAAGCTCCCCCGCGGGAGATGGAAAAGTTATTTCACCGTGCATACGAATCGTAAAATCCATAAGATCCACCTAAGCTTGGGGCACCAAGGTTACCTAACACGGCCATAGCTATCGACTTGGACCCCACCATCTATCTAGGTAAGTTGCTACCAGGTACCTAGGTACCCCATGTATTGTACCTCATCTGTGTGTAAACATGAGCACAGACTCAAATTCAACTTCACACAGACGCCCATACAAACCATTACTATATCATATAATACTTACAACTACTCAAATGGGATTTAACCGGCACCGTTTTTTTTTTTTTTAAAAAAAAAAAATTAATAGACGAGTATGCGATTCCATCTATGTTAGTTTATGAGCACGATATTAAACCCTTCTCTGCTCTTCTGATATAAGCCCCCTAATCAGACATACGGAAGAATGCTGACAACAATCGAGCAAAATGAGGGCGATAGCTCTGAACGGGCAAAGTAACATACCTAGATAGATAGTATGCACGTCGAGAAATATTCTGCCATCTACATCATAGGAGGTACCCTAGTAAAGTCTTCAGGTTAAATTTAACTCACAAAGTCCTCACTGCAGCACCGGGTCTCTCGGGTATTGCGATACCTTTTCTGCGTCAACTGAAGGACGCTTCGAACATTTATCAAGTTGTAGATATATTCCCCCGTTTTCTTGATATGTAGGAATATGGGTGTTTGGCCGGGTAATTATTGACTCCGATAGCATGCAGTTGAGCGCCTCCTTTAAGGTACCTATCAGCGATGAAAAGAACGTAAAATGACTAGTCGTAGCTGAAGATGTAGCCACGGCTATATGAAAATGAATTCGGAAAGCAGGAGTACCTGGTCATGTTACGTGTCTCTCCCGCCTTGTGTTATTCATGATGTATAGGAAGTTGCGCCTTTGCAGCTTCAATATACAGGTAGCCTTAATCAACCAGCGTTGGGGCAACCCAACTCGTTCTGATCAAGTTATCATATTCGCTTCATGTTCCTTGAGCAGTATGATCGTCTCGAACATGCTTTAAAAAATTAGCTTATATCAGGATACAGCGATGAGGAAAGAAGACAATTCTGAAAACTTAACACTTGGTGGGTGGACCACTCTCTCCAGTCAGCAGGAGCTATGTTTCTAGCAAGATGATGATGACACTCAGAAGTCAGAACACAGGTTAGATGGTCAATGAACATCAGGGGAGTATCATTTACTCTAGCAAGACTTGCCAAACAGAAAGATCCTTCCACTCCCAACGTTCGATAGCTACCTAGTATGCTTGTCCTGCAGAGTAGGTAGTTGATCGGACTACGGTTGAATATGACATATAACTCGCCCGTTCTCTACCTAGGTGATATCATCGCTCAACAGGAACAGGGGGGAGGGCGCGGGGGAAGACTACGCGTCGTCGGCAGACAACTTGACGATAAACAAGCTCACATCTACCGATGCGAGCACGAGCGTCGTCCGATGACTGCACGATTCGGTAAGTTCTGCAACATCTTGTTCAGAAAAAACTCAACCGACACGGCAAGCGGCAAACGGCAACAGTAATGTCGTAAATCGTAACATACACATTATACATATACATACGTCAACTATTATAACTGCAAAGCTAACGCAGACAAAGAAAATTTTCAGCAGAAGAGGCTGGGCAGACGCCACCTGCCCCGGTAGCAAAGTGATGGCCTCCAAGTAAGACCAGCGTGGCATCGGCCACGGCCATTGCATCGTATCGCATCGCATCGTATCGGAGCAGGATCAGCGATCTCGGACTCTCTCTCTCTCTCTCTCTCTCTCTGTGTGTGTGTGTGTGTGTGTGTGTTCCTCTATTTTCCTCTCCTCTCGCGCGCCACGGCAAACCGAACGAACAAACAAACGGCAAGGTGCATACGCAGCCGGTCTCCTGACTTTGCTAACTGCCAAAGTAAGGTACATACATGCCTCGCGTTAGACAAAGGATACAAGGCATCATGCATGCATACCTCTAGCACCTAGGTGGGAGGTACCTGGTATGTACGCCATTCCTTACCGTCCAGTGCCGTTGCCAGGAAACGGGCATGCACAGATACTACGGCGTTCATCTATTCATCTATCTGTATACTTGCCTTAGGTAAGAGGTAGGTAGGTAGGCAACTGCGCGAGACCAGGAGCTCCTGATCGCGATTCGGGTGGCTGCTGGGCCTTTCCCCCTCGATGGAAGAGGACCTAAGAAGAAGGGCGCGCGCGTTTTCTCCGCCATGCATTGCCATACTTTTGCTTTGCCGGCATGTTACAGACAAGGCTCATACATATAAGGCACATACATATATAGGTACCTACCTAGGATATATAGGTAGGTATATTTATTTACCCGTCTAGAAAGAGACCTACCTGGCCGTGTGCCCAGTCATATAGAAGAAGTCAGCAAGGAAGAGGAGGAGGAGGAGATAGAGATAGACACAGCCAATGTTCCTGCTACACTACTTCATGCGGACACACATACACGTACAACTACGCCGCCCAACCAGCTCCGCGCTTTCAGATATAAGGTATTAGTTCAGCGCGCACAAAGGTCACAACGCTGCCACTTCTGTTTCGGAGTCAATTCATCAATTCCCTCCAGGAGTTTTTCCCCAATAAGGGAATTCCGCCCCATCAGACCTAGATAGCTATATGGTTGAATTAGCATTGACGCAGGACAACTCAGGGATGCCGTGTTATGGTTACCGTTGCTGTTGCTGTTACTACCACTGCTGCTGTTGTAACAGACCAACCTAATTATTATCAGCTCGCAGATACTTGCTCAAAAGAAAAAAAGAAAAAGAAAGAGAAGAAGAAAAAATCACCCGCGCGCTTCGTTAATTAGCTCCTTATCGGTTTTAGAGGCAATTTTTATCTTTTGCCCCCCCTTACATTCAGTATGGCCTGATAATTATTACTAGTATTATTACTATTGTTATTGTCATCCTTCGTGGGTTTTAGCGCCCGTTGGAGGACTCGCCAACGTGACTATAGTAAGTGGCAAGGGTGTAATGCCTCCTTGGACCCTTCAGATCCCTTTAGACCCTTTAGACCCTACCCGACTATGCCGCTTCGCTAAGTCGGTACGCAGGTAGGTCTCTTCGTAGCTATACCCAGTGGGATTGTTATTGTGCCATCAGGACAAAGTGGCAAAGGCCAACGTTCATCCGTTCATACCTATGCAAATGGATTGATTCTCTTGGGATGCTTTGCCATACCAAGTAGCTAGAGGTACCTAGGTAGTTTGCTACCTATTTCCTATTTCCGGTGCATAAAAGGGCCAGTCAGTTAGTCGTGCTTACATTAGGTTAAGAGGTATCTACCTACCCAAGGCAAGGTAGGTACTGCATTCTTCGGCAGCGCGATTCCGTGTTTGGGAACCGGGCCTGAGTTTAACGGACATTTTACGAACGGCTTGACACATTAGATGCGCGCGATAGGTAGGTAGTCTCCCTTTCCCGAGAATCGACAGATCAATGTTACCAGCGGTAGGTAACCTTTTCTATCGGCGATAGCTGATAGAACTCCCTACCTATCCGGTGGAATGGGAGGTGACGTGAGGAGCCCTTCCCGTGTGCTCTCCCGCGCGAACCAGCTACGCGGTAATGGTTCAGTTTCCCCTCCCCCTGGTATCAATTTCATCTCATAGGTACCAAACCCCGAACTTGGGCGCCTCTCGAAAGGGTTCAGACGGCAACAAAGAAATCCGGCACCAACATCGATACAGTAGTGTTATTTCGGGATTAGCATGTATCCTTTTGCTAGGGATCTGAAGTCATCACCCGCCCTTTCGGACCCTCAGTAGGTAGCCGCTTAGGCAAGGGGTTCGGGCAACGGTTTAATGCGTGGCGTTAGACGTCTTATCAGAAACACGCGCTGTACGATCCAGGTCATGCCGTAGCGAGTGGGAGCGACTAGGTAGGCATCTGGTAAACTTTAGGGCATCCCACCCCCCAAACCATAGGTTGTATGAGAAATTAGACCCGTCGCGCCGGTGCGGGGAGGCCAATAGGAGGATGAATTAGGATCTTGTCATGTTACCACGTACGGCAAGCCACATTTGGGTAGCTTCATGTATGTATGTATTAAGCTAACGCCGGCGTGCCCTTAGAGAGCAAGACATGCGTGCCTACCTAGATGTATGCGACAATGTATCGCAGCCACGTTGGGAATAACGTGTAGATGACATCGAGACGAGTGTTGTGGCCACTAGTGGCGGACGATGTTGCAGTTCTCCACGTTCGAGAACATGAAGATTCTTCTTGCTGGAGAAAAACAAGCACTGCAATGCATGAGCATGTATGCTACCTCGTACGGAGGCCATAGTCGGCTGGTTGGCATGAGTAGAATATTCTGGTACCGTTCCCTGCGAAATAGGGAGTCGGCTCACTCTATCAGTAACAAAGGGAATCACAGCATGGTGATCCTACGGAATAACGCAACAGGAATCCATCCAATACAGTATAGGCAGCTTGGGCGCTAATATCTATGTGTTGAGCAGGATGCATCCAAGATATCTTGTTGTCTTTTCAATTCAATGATTATCAGACAAGGCGTTCGATCGACACAGGCAATGACGTGCCTAGGATACGGTGTAACAGACTGTTTCGCCTTATCACGCCTATGCCAGCCTGCATATCTCTTGACATGCTACTAGGTATTTGAAGTGAGATGGCCCGTTCCTGAGGCTAGAGCTGGCGCGGTAACGGAGACGGGAATGAGACAGTTTGTGAAAGGGAACCTGAGTAGTTGTGTCACAAAAAGGGCGATTAGGTACCGGTGATATTAGAGATTGCGTGCGGTAAGGCAGTAGAATATTGCAATTTACGCGGCAAGCTGCGCGAGGCAGATGTAGGTTTATCGTTGCAAGCCATCTTCGTTCCATAGGCTTACCTAGTTCCATAGGAAGACAAGGCAGGCAGGTAATTTTTATATAGAGTCACACTACACGTATAGTATGACCAGTAAGTCGCCGGCATAGGCAAGAGTCGGCGTATCTTTTCGTATAGGCCTAAAAAATAGATGTGACCACGGCTGGATGGAAGCTATCGTGTAACATGACCTGTCGTCTCTCTGCTGGGTTCGTGTGTTGTTTATTCTGAACTGTTTAGGGCCTAGCCTTGGGGAACAAGTTACTAATGCTTTCGGGGTTCCCTCAATGGACTGCTGTACTGCTGTACTGCTATGCAAGTCTAGAAAGGCCGATAGCTCGGGGTCAGCAGAACCAACAGATTAATACGAAAGACTACATTAGTACGTTAGGCCGCTAAGCGTTGCAACGAATTGCCTTATTGAGTTGATAGTAATAGTAGAA